CTCTTAACTTATCTATTTACCGGTAGGTTAGTCCTAGGCCCGAAAATCTCTTTATAATATCCGTTAAGATAAAGATATACGATACGCCGTAGTCTAGAAGAGCCTATACTACTATATTTCTACCGGTAGCTCCTAATACTATCTTATAAAATAATAATAAATCCCCTATAGTAAAGAGGGAAGCTTTAATTCTAGGCCTAACGGGGCTAAACTTATACGCTAAGGCGTTTAAGTTAGCCTAATTAGCTTACTCCGGATCTAATAGGTCCTAATCCGGTAGTTTAGGTACTACCGAAGCTTTCTTTATATAGCTAACTACTACTTCGAGAGTAGTCGGCCTTTTTAGTTTTTCGAGTCCCTAGGTATTAGTAGATTCTAGTCCCTTTTTAACTTATCGGTTTTAGGATTAGGGTATTCGCGCTTAAAATAACCCTTTTTACCGTAAGCGAAGTATTTAGTATTATTCGATTTCGATCCTTTCTTATCCTTCTACTAGGATTATACTATATTTAGATCTATCTTATCTAGGTTACGCTCGTCGCTAGTAGTCGTTCTACTAATATAGTTTACGATTATTAACCCTTACTTAAAATTAATAAAATAGTTAATAACGCCCCGTAGATCGGTCGGAGGGTTGCGTTCTTCCGCCTATCTCTTCTATAAGTTAGTATTTATACCCATTTAGAGGTATTAGATAATAATATCCTCCTATATCTTAGGATTATACTCGGATATAGCCTACTAGAGTTCGGTAGTATACTACGTAAAAGTCTTTCGGCCCTATTTATATAATATAAAACGGTCCTACTTCTTCGTACTACTAAGATACTCCGAAAACTTATATAAGATCTAATCCTAGTAGACTTACTAGGTCTCGATCTTTTTACCGTATAAGTTCGCGAGCTATCGCTCCTAGCGATTATTAGTATAGCCGGTTAAGGCTCCGCGAGTATATATAACCTTATCTTTATTATTAGGTTTAATACCCGCGAATCTAGCTACTTCCGTAAAATAACGCTCGTAATTACGAAGATAATAGCGTACGGCTTTATCCGGAATACTGCTATCGTACTTCTTAATCTTTCTGATATATTTTAGAATAGTTTTTTTTATCTCCTATCGGGCCTAATTAAAAAGTACTAATAGTCCTATAGTAGCCTACGGTAGAGATATAGGTATCTACGTAGCCGGTTACGCCGGAACGGGCGCTTACAGCTAGATAGCTACTTTATAAATTACCCGGGCGGTCTCTTTCGCTATCTCTTTATAGATACTAGGATTAGCGTTATTTATAATCCGCTCCCGGTAGGAATCGGCTAGATTCTTTAGTAGATAACTAAGGGCTTCCTCCGTAACGGGAGTAATCGGATATATCTATCCTAGGCTAGTAGCTACGGTACTTTCTATAATAAGATAAGTTTTTTAAATAAGGGTTCTAGATTAAATAAAATTTAGATATAGTTAAGGTGTTTCTAGTCTAAACGTTTACGTTCGTAGCCGATCGGGGTCCTTAACGACCTCTTTTAATCTCTTATCTTTTACTTCCGATCCTCGGTACGGACTAAGTCTACGTACCCGAGGGTAAACCTCCGGAAGGATGTCTTATTACGGGGTAATCTAAAGTAATTAGACTATTCTATCCGTTTCTCTATCTTCCTATTATAGTCGGGAGGTATCGTATACGTACTAACGTAATCACTCGTAGATCCTTACGTAGTAGTAAGGGGTTTCGGTTACCGCTACTTTCCTAAGGACCCCGAGGTCGCCGATATCGCCGACCGTAAGCTATCGCTCGCTAGGTCTTGATGCTGTACTACTACGCTAGAATAGATAGAAGAAAGGTTCTTAGAGCTCCTAATTAACCTAATTTTTCCCCTACTCTCTCCGTTATATAGAGATCGCTTTAGGAGGACCTCCCGATAGTTAAGATTCACTACACAGTTAGGCCCTCCCGTAAGCGGCCGTAGAAGGCTACTCAGTTTCAGAGGTTTGCTACTATATAAGATAACGGGAGTGTAAGAGCATGTTCTGTTATTATCGTAAGCGAATATGTCTATAAGGACATAAGTGCGGTCAAACATGGCAGAAGGTACCCGTAAGGGGCCGAACATGTAAGGTTAAAGGAAGGTAAAGTACGCCCAGGATCACATACGTAGAATATTTATCTAATTCGGCGACAGTCTCGCCGGCTAAATACTATCCTAGGGAAGCCAGTTATAAACTACTACTATACCGACGTTCAAGATTATTAGTAATCCTTTAACCAAGGACTCCTTCGAAGGCTATAATAAGATATAGAAGAGTAGGATCCTATCGAATACCTACTACTAGCGACTATAGCGTAGTGTCGCTCGCAGCTTCAGCAAATTAGGTAGCAGCTTACAGGCGTTAGCTTTAACCCTAAAGATCCACTACTTCAGCTCTATAGGGAAAGAGACTAGCCATACCGAGCGGTATATAAAGCACTTCGGCTTCGTACATTACACCACTACCTATCTAGTAAGGAGCCTATACTAGGCGTTTATATAAAGCCGCATAGTGTATATTTATAGTCGCCAGCAGCCGAGACAGCTAAGACAGCAACCGAGCCAGCTAAGACAGCAGCGGAGACAGCAGCGGAGACAGCAGAGACATAGTTTAAAACAGTATTTACCTCTTACATTAAGCTCAAAGGTCCTCAATCAATCAATCTCGAATCTCAGGCCCTCGCATCTTAGGCCCTCGCACTTCGAAATAGCATCTCTACAGTCCTCCCAATAGGATACTATAGCTACTACTATTATAGCTAAATTATCTTCTTTAATAGCTACGGTAGCTTCAATAGCGGCAGCTTCTTCAACGCCTACACCATTAACACCGACACCTTCAACACTAGTAGCTACAGCTTTACTAATAACTACAGCTTCATTAGTAACTACAGCTACACTAATAACTATAGCTACACCAGCGCAGCTAAACTCTCGCTTTTCGTCACTTTCTAGCACAGTAAGCGCAGCCCGGAGCTCTTATCTACAACCACATCAACAAGAAAGACGTCCTCTACCACCACTACCACCACCACCGCCGCCGCTACTACAAGAGATTCATATCTCTACGTCCTTCTATCTCTAGGAGAGCCCAAAAGGGATAGAGCGGCTACAGGGTAAGTACTACTACCACTAGAAGAAGCTAGCTAACCTATCTTTCATCTATCAGTATCGGTTTCTCACATATTCCCCTCCTCCGAGACCATCGTCGATATCCCATCCTTCGCGAGAGACCTTATCTCAAAGCTCGATCGGAACGTACTCTAGCAATCAGGATACCAAAAGAGGCTACGAGATCAGTTCCTTCTAGCCAAGGATATCACACGGGGTAGAGGGAAAGGGCCGTTAATCGCCCACTTTCTCTCTGAGCAGAACCTCTTTCTAAGATATAGGGCCTACCAGGGCCTACTAATAGGGCTCATAATAGGGCTCACAAAGACCTACCACCAGGGCCTACCTATAAGATATATAAAATCTGGTGAGGCATTTCGGTTAGATATCTCGGCTAGATATCTTATCAAAGATAACAGCTTATTAGGCAACTTTAGCCGATAATGTGCAACTATAGCCGAGATCATACAACTTCAAGACTATAGCTACCACTATACAATTACAAATGATCTAGACCAATATCATGATACTATAACTATAACATAACTACATCATAATGATATAACCATAGGCAACCTTAGCCGATTACATACAACTATAGCCGAGATGATGCAATTATAACCAATATTATATAAACTATAGCCTAAGGCCAGCTAGCCGAGCTCAGGTATAAATACCCACAAAATTCCTAACTAAATAAGAATTGAACCAAGCTTCCTTCACATCTTTTTCTTCCCCTTCTGAGTATCTTTATTATATCATACCTACCTATATCAACTATCCTAATATAACTTCCTACGCAGCCTTACTGCTTGCTTAGACTCTTCCTATTCAGAAGCGTTAGTAAACTTTACCAGCGCTTCCAGATAGAGAAAGGAAGACATCAGATACACGTTATAATCCTACGATCCTCGGAACAGATAGCACTACAACAAGAGGAGAAGGATAAGCTATTCATAGAGCGGCTCTTTAACTACGATACAGATCAGGATACTGCTTCTATAGTAGTAGCAGAGGATGCTACTACTACAGCACAGGATACTACTACAGTAGCAGTAGAGGATACTACCCCTACAGCAGTAGCAGAGGGTACTACATCTCTTACAGTATCTTCCTCATCGAGGAAGCGAGCAGCTTCTCCATCACAACGAAGCCAGCGGCTTAGGCGGCGGCGTCGATGGTAGACGAATATAGACCAAGATACACCATACAAATAGCTTTAATATCATTATATCAGCGGAAATGACCAAGATGCACTATAAAATAGCTTCATTATAGCGACAGCGAGGTAAATAGCCTTCGAGATAGCACCTCACCACCTAATATCAGCGGAAATGGCCAAGATGCACTAAAAAATAGCTTCATTATAGCGACAGCGAGGTAAATGGCCATTAAGATAGACATACATGATTTAATATAGGCGTTGTAATAGTAATTCAAGTATCTAAATTTTCTGCCGGTCTTAGAATATGCATAATTGTGCACTTTCCCAGGTGGCCGCTATCGTCCGCCGTACCGCGGGTACTCGGCTGGAAGTATACGTCGCTAACAAGCGAACGGGGTGCGACCGGAAACCCCCTGTGGATTCAACCGACACTATTTCATTTCTCGGGGAAATCGCTGCCACACATGTCATAGTCGATCCCGGTGCCGGCCCGCAGGGAATCGATATAAATAAAAATAAGAAACCCACGTTGTGCCCCTGCAGTTGCGACCAGGGGGGGGGGGGGCCGCCACATAGTCGCATGGAAAGCGATGGATGTCGTCTTACCAATCGACGTCAGCCGTTGCACCAGAATGAATTAGGAAAATGAAGGCGATCAGCTGTCAGGACACGAAGCCATCCATGTCCATGGCCCGGGAATGATTGGCATCGTGCGACGTGTAGCCGCTGGGCGATACACTTCGAGCATCCGGTCCGAGACCCCGCCGATTAGCCAGATGGGGGCCGTTTTGCTGGTCAAGCCTCATTTCGCACCTCTAACCCCATCTTGCACACCTCCCGGCTCTGGTACGACCACTAGCCCGGGTACTATGAATAGCATGGCCAGCATGGACAACATGAATAGCATGAATAGCATGGACAGCATGGATAGCATGGACAGCATGGATAGCATGGACAGCATGGATAGCATGGATAGCATCCCTGCCGTGGGGAATGACTGCATCAACTACGCGACCACGGCTTGATGGGGCTTCATTCTTTCCTATGGCAGCATTTGTTTATCCGAACGTCCATTAGTGGGAAGAACACAATCAGGCCTGACGGTGCATTCCGGCCCCGAACTAGGGTTGAACGGCCCTGGGTCGAGCTGAACTTCATCGATCGAGCGTCCATGAGGCCTTTTGGCTGTGCGGTTCCTGTCCAAGTCGGGCTAGAGCTGCGAAGGGAAATGTCGTACAGAGTCTTTGGTGAGCCATAGGGGATGGCACACCAGGGGGGTTGCCGCGGACAGGAAGAGGATGACATTCGCGAGGTAGGGAAGAATGGTCTGTTTCTCATCAAAGGGGGCGACGGTGTTTCAAGGAGTAAAAGAAAGGACGAAACCGCCCGCGGATCAGTGCATCTCTTCAGCCTTCCCGTGAAGAATTGGCGATGCAACGGTACGCCTGGTTCCTTGGGCCAACTACCATCCACCTCCTGTCTGGTCGTCATGTGTGCCTTTGGAAAGCAGCTCATCTGTGCGGGTCTCGTCGGCCGATAAGCCTCTCCAGGCCGGCAAGGCAAGACCCAGGACCCAAGAGAAAGAGACAGTCGGGGGAACATTCAATATGCCGTGCGAGTCCGCCGAGGTTTGCATAGACGTTGCAGCATTCCATACAGTAAAGAGGAAACTCCCCAGCCGAGCGGTCGTAGAACTTCTCGCTGTCTGGCGTTTGCTCCACCATCTGACGGACTCGCCCGAAGTCGCTACAGTGGCTGCTCGCTTCCATGTGCTGGATAATGGCCGAGAAACGCGAAGAGGAACGGCCACAGAGATTGCATTGCAAGCTGCGCGACGGGTGTGCTCTCATATGCTGCGTCGTGTCATGTTAGCAAAAGGAGGGAATTTCCCGCTTCGATGTATGACAGGGAACTGACCTCGCGCCGAACATCTTCACCATCAAGCACTCGAATGCAGATCTCGCAGCCAAAGTGCTGGAATATGGTATGCTGATCGAAAATCTCTTTCGAGGCCAGCACGAGATCACACTCCGGGCACCAAAGGTGTGATTCGGTTCGATGCTGGTTCAGAGCATCCTCATCGGAGAAGTCCACGTCTTCGCAGTCGAAACAGATGCGTTGGTACTCCAAGTCCTCTCGATGTTCCTGGTACCAGCTCGCAAGTTGGGCACCATGTGTGACGGGAGGTATTTTGACAATGCGAGTAGATGGCAGTCCATGAAGGGTACCATTTCCTGCAGAGCCGACAGTGGTATCGCTCCTTTCGCCCTTCGACATGGCCTCCCACTAGGAGAGACATGATCTTGATTCACTGGGCTGTTCTTGAACTTATCACGATGCGACGTGCCGTTCGGCTAGAGGTGAAAGAGAGAGGGCGACTTCGGGCGAAGCGAGATCGGCCGCGGGAAGGAGGTCGGGAAACTGAGAGTTCTGTATGCGGGCGTTTATCATCCAGACAATATATCAGCAGAGCTAATATGATTATCTACAGGTTCGTTCCCGTGATTTCTTCTCTATTCTGGTCGAAATGAACTGCTCGAGGCGCGAATATGAGGCTCCCGTACTCAAAACATCTTCATAACGGAAGGAAGCTTAGAATTCAATGGTCAGCGATATGGGAAAGTAGCTAGGTACTTCCCATTCAATGAATCTTTTCAAGATGAGGGATCGCATTTTAATCCCAAGTGCGCCCCTTTCGAAGATTCTCCCTGAGGACCGAGAAGGAACCGAGCAGGAAAATTAGGTATCTGAACTTTTTTGAGTCCCATGGATAGTCTCCAAATATTGAAATATAGTACGCTGGGGACCTGTTCAGTGCCTAGTAGATACTATATCCGAATGAGAAGACGGGAGATCTTATATGGTAGTGTTCAATTAATTCAATATGACCGTAGACTGAGTGGGTCTGTGGCGCATTGTCTGTATGTCCATATGGGGAGAAGACGTGCATATATTTTCGCGATCATGCAAGCTCGACATCATTACGATGTTCGACACCTGCAGCGGGGTCAGGTTCTATATCGCCCTCGAGCGCCGTATAAACAGAGGATATGGAATCAGAGTCAGAATCATAATCCTCCTGCCTTCCGATACGAGGCTGAGAGGCCGCCGGGGCCGTTGTATAAGTTTGTGTCGGAAGCGTTCGTGGGACTCGTTCTGACTCAGGAGTTGGATAACTTGAGATTGCATGGGAATCAGGAACAGGGGTGCTGGGCGCCTCATCTTTCATTCTATGTACCGGGGGTCGATGGGCCTGGGCAGTTGGAACCGGTAGCGGTGGCGAAACGAAGGATGAAGATGGTACCGAGGCGACCGTTGCAGACAATAGTGACGCTTCTTTGGGCCGAGATTGACTTCGACTCCTTGTATGCCTGCTCCGCCGTCGATGCTGGTGCCTGATGGGTGATTCTCCTCGAGCTGCTTCTAGTAACGCAGTGACTCGGTCGCTAGCCAAAGGAAGCGGCTGCACGGCGGGTGGCCTTGCCCCCGGGGTGGCCATACGTGGGCTGGTGTCGACAGATCCGGCCTGACTGATTGATCGCTCCTGATCCAAGCTACCCGGCAGTTCAACGGGTGTCGAACTATCCGCTTCAATGGCAGGAGGAGGCGTATACGTTCCTAAGAACGAGTCACGCAGGCTTTCACCCTGAGACGCCCTAGGCAGACTCGCGGGTGTCGATGTGCTGGGCTGTCTCAGACTTTGGCTGAGGAGCTGCTGTACTTGATATTTTCTTTCTTCAGGTATACCAGGAGCGAATCCAACTGTGTCTGGCATGTTGAGAAGATCCGGGATATCTGCATCTGGCATTTTACCGCTCGATAAGAGCAGTTGGAGGAGATCGGGCTGGCCATAGTATACAGCATAGCGAATCGGCTGCCAGCCAGCCTCATCCTTCTTCAACACTGATGCGCCGCGTCCCAGTAGCAGAGAAGCTACATGCCAATGGCCCCCCATAGCGGCCAAGCACAGTGGTGAATCTTCCCGGAATCCGCTATCAAACTTGAGGGACAGCGGGGAGCCTCGATCAAGTAGCTTCTGCACCACGTCGACGTGACCGAACCGGCTGGCCACACAAAGAGGTCGATCACCCACACCATTCCGTGCATCGAGCAAGGCTCCTTTTGCACACAAGAGGTCTAACAAGAAGATTGACCCACGAGCGGCAACGATATGCAGAGGCCGTTGCTGGTGTTGGGATTCTGACGCTTCGACATCAGCCCCTGTCAACAGCAGCAGGCGTGTGATCTCAAAACTGTCGGCCATGCAGGCATAATGGAGAGCCGTAAGACCGGTCTTGCATCGTGTTTCGAGCGGCGCGCCTTTGCGCTGCAACAATTCCACCACGGCAAATTGCGACTGCATCACCGCCAAATGCAGTGCCGTTCGGCCAACGCTGTTGACGGTATCTAGGGCCCCTTTCTTCTCGCTGAGGATTCTGACTGTCTCTTCGTGTCCATTATAAGCAGCCCAATGGAGCGCGGTCATTTCACTGTCATCGGCACTGCGGAGAGAAGCCTTCCGCTTCAGAAGGAAATCCACTGCCTGGGCCTTTCCCGCCCCAGCAGCGCAGATCAATGGTGTTTTATGGTCTCGGCCGGGGGCCTCGATATTCGCTCGGTAATCGAGCAGAACTCTGATCGCTTCGATATGGCCTTCTTCACAAGCATAGTGCAATGCCGTCATCATGGTCCCATCTTTGGCTTCGATGTCAGCGCCCTGCGCGAGGAGTAATTGCATAATCTCTTCATCTCCGCGCTTGGCAGCAGCGTGCAGAGCGGTCATCTGATTCTCAGCTCGAGCATTCACCTGGGCGTGGTGCATGAGTAGCACTTGGACAGACTCTGGTTGTCCACAGTCTGCTGCTACCCGCAATGCAGTTCGACCTTTGAGATTCGGGGTTTCGATGAGTCCTCTTTCTACCATCAATAACTCTATGACCTCCCAGTGCCCCCTCGATGCGGCTAGATGGAGGGCTGTCTCGCCCGATCCGTCTGTCACTGTCAGTCGAGCGCCGCTGCAAATCAATAAATCAACGACTTCTTCCTTGCCACAGTGCGAAGCAACTAAAAGGGCAGTACGGCCCGATCTCTCATGTCTTTCGTCGATCAGATAGCCCCGCTCGATAAGTCGCTCAGCTTCTTCTCGAGAGCCAGCTTGAGCAGCTTTGATAAGTGGGGAAACCGACGCTCCATCCTTGGCGAGATCGATGCTGGTGTGAACGTTAGGTCTTGACCGGTATCCCCGTCTGGGATTCGGAATACTCGGAAGATTCTGCGAGCCTACAGGCGATGATCCCTTGAGACTTCTCCGACTGCTGGTATTGATACGTCCAAGGAAAGAAGAGAAGCGCTCTAGTCTGGATCCCGACGTCTGCAATCGAGGCAAGGCTTTTGAGTCGGAGACAATTCTTCGGATACCATTTATGTTTTGTCGCAGGGGAATCTGAGTTTGAGATTGGCTCCTGCTGTGCACTGGCGCGGACGGGCTCTGTGGCAAAGCAAGGAAGTCCCCTTGTTGTTGAGCAGTGTCCAATCCGAGGCCTTTCTGCTTATGGGCTTCGGAGTGATAGCTACCATAGCCTTCGTCCGTGAAGGAACTGTGGATAATGCTAATACTCGGCTGTCTTGAAGGCTGCGGATGAGTCTCAAGAGGCCGAGTCTCCAAAGGTTGAGCATTCGGAGGCAGACTGGATGTTGTCCACTGCTGCAACGCCCGTTGATAGACCGGCGAGTTCATTATAGTTGCATCGAAGTCAAATATCCGATCGCTGAATGCCCGCCGGCTGCTGCTTTCGGACAGGTTATCCGCGTCGCTGCCCACGCGGCTGAGACGGCCTGATCTGAGGGTGGCAGTATCACCGGCCACTTTGCCGATGATCTGACGGGTCGTAGCCCGTCGCAGTAGACGGACTTGCTCGGTGGAGGAATGGCTATTGTGGTCAGTGTCATACTCATCATCAACAAAGACCTGCTTACGCGCTCTCCTACCATTGACAGACTTGAAGCAACAGCTGTAGCGCCTGAACTTGAGCGTGCAATTTCTCCTGATGCCCTCTCATGGCTTCATCATTCCAAACGACCTTCATGCGGATCTTAAAGCCAATCCCCCCGCTTTCTTCGGCGCTCTGGACCAGCTCCAAGACCTCATACGACAAGACCTCCATAATCACGCGACAGCCATCCATGGCGACCGCCAGATCGTGGTCGAGCTCGTCAGATTTGGGTCCATCGCGGCCACTACCACTGCGGTGGATACGGAGCCACTCCTTGAGGCTAGTTAGCGCCGTCCGAATGCAGGCCAGCTCCTGAATCAGGGATTGGATGGTGAGATCAGCCTCTCGTAGTTTGCCGGCAAGTTGACGCAGGCCGCCGACGGTCGAGGCGATGGCCTGCAGGACCTGTATGGCACCGGAGAAGAGACCGAAGGCCGAGACTGGATCCATGGCGCCTCGTGTGCGAGAGAAGCATCTGCCAGCTGGCGAGGAGTGAGGCTCTTAGCGCCAAATCACATGGCGGGGATGTAGCTGCGCCCGCGTTGGGGGCCGTCAGTGCGGGCTGGGGACCACAGAGGGGAAGTAGACATAGATGCTGCATTCATGGATCTTGGTCGCCCAAAACCGATGAATAAACCCAGTACGTGGATGCGGCGACAGCTGATTATGTTGTGGTTATCATGGTTATCATGCGAAGATAGACATAGTACCCAAAGAGACTCGACACTAGCGTTTGTTTGGTGGATGATTTCTTGTTTACACATCGCTGAAGGTAGTTCCAGAAAGCCAGGGTAGATAGTTCTATATTTCGATGCACGAACCATCATTCCACATGAGATCCGAGATCCATGATCTGGGAGGGGCGGGTGGAAACATGGATGAATTAGGGACGGTACAACGTTAAACTTAAAAAGACCCGTGGAACTCGCCGTGTTGGCCATATTCGAAGCAACCTGATTAGATTCTTCATAACACACAAACGGGATGCTATCTTCTGCTTTTTGTACAATACAGGCTGATTCAAAACTCCGGCAAAACCTCACCCCGCGCCACAAGCGGCATCTATATAAACTCAAGCTCGGGTATCACGTCCAAACACCAGATTTTCGCCCTGGGCAAATCGATCAAGAGGTTGCTCCAGGCTTATGCCTCGATCGCATTCTTGACCCACTTCTCCAAGCCTCCCTTGGCAATAATCTCCTGCACATTGGGAGGCAGTTCGCCCACCTTGTGGGTCCACTTGACGCCGTTCTCACCCTCCTGCACCTCGATCTGGCTGCGGCGCACGTCCCAAGTCAGGGTCCAGCCGGTGCGGCGGGTGAGAGCCTTGCCCTCGCCCACACTGAAAGTCTCCCGCAGACGACTGATTAGGCGAGGGATCTCCAGGCCCATCAGGGCGTTGTTGATACTGTTGCGCGAGAAGATGTTGCCGAAGCTGCCAGCAACAACTAAGGGTATCTGCTTGGCCAGGATAGCGGTCGCGGCCTGCTCACGCGAGGAGCCGCAGCCGAAGTTGTAGCCGGAGACCAGGATGTCGCCAGCCTGGGCAATTTTGGAGAACTCGGTGTCGTAGTTCTCCATGCAGACCTGGGCCATGGTCTCCACGGACACGTTGTCCTGGTAGGTATATTTGCCTAAAAATGTTATGTTTAGTGGCGCGTGTTCACATGAACCCAACCGAATGAATCTTACCAGGATAAATGCCGTCCGTGTTGATGTTATCACCGTCACAGAAAATAATTTCTCCAGAGACACGCTCCGGGAACCCGGGGTACACATCAGTCAGGGCGTCATCGGCCTTCACCTCAACCTCAGCCGCGGCGGGCTCAGGAGCGAACTTCTTCTCACCGTCAGCTACCAGGTCATCAAGCTGGCCGATGACCTTCTCGAGGGCTTCCTCGGCAGTGAGCATCCGCTCCTCTTCGAGGATTCCATCTCCTTCTCCGCGTCTGACACCGGTCCAGCCCTCAGGTGTCTGGTACCAGCCAGGGCCAGAGAGCTTTCCGCTAAGAGCACTCGCGGCGACAACTTCAGGAGAGCCGAGATACGCCTTTGCCTCAGTCGACCCCATCCGTCCCTTGAAGTTACGGTTGGAAGCGCTGATGCCGACCTCACCAGGTTCGAGAAGTCCCGTGCCTAAGCCGATGCAGGGACCACACCCGGCGGGAAGAACGGTCGCACCAGCATCAATCAGAACCTGCCAGTCACCGGCCCCCTCCGCCGCAAGCTGCTCCGGAATAGACGCTGCGGCAATATAGAACTGGACACCCTCCGCGATCTTCGGGATCTTGCCGTCGTTCTTCTCAGCGGCCTCCTTGAACACGCGGGCAGCAGCGGCAATATCCGAGGCGCGCGAGTTAGTGCAGGAAACGAGATAAGCCTTGTTCACACTGATATTGGCCGCCTCCAGCTCACTCAGGGGCGTAGCAACCTTCACTGAGTTCGGGCCCGCCACGTACGGGGACAGGGAAGAAAGATCCAGGAACAGCTCCTTCGCGTACTTGGCGCCCTTATCCGCAGTCAGAGGATTGGCAAACAGCTCCTCGATAGCCTCGTGAGTGAATCGCTGGGCAGCCAGAGTCTTGAAGGGGCCGTCTGCCAGACCCATAGCAGCAGTAGTAGCCTTACCCTTCATCCAGCCCTTCAGCACATCGTCCATCGGGAACAGACCAGACAGGGCACCCCATTCGGTAGTCATATTCGCAATGGTCATTCGGCTATCGATAGGCAGGCTGCGCATCGTCTCCTCGGAACCAGTGAACTCAATAGCGTGGTTCAAGACATCATCCTTGTCAAACAGGCCGCAGAGTGCAACAATCACATCCTTACCCGTTACACCAGCGGGCAGGACGCCGGTAAGAGTGACCTTAGCGATTGCAGGCACCTGCCACCAGGTCTTTCCGGTGCTCCACACGCTTGCCGCGTCCGTCCGGACAATTGGAGTTCCCTACATATCGCAATGATCAGTAAATTTCGACCTTCGGACCGTACAGGAAAGGGGAAAAAGATTTACCAAGCAAGCGACGGCGCCATAGTGGTTGGAATGGGAATCCGACGCAACGCACATGGTGCCAGGCCAAGCGAAACCCTCTTCTGTCATGATCTGGTGACCGATACCACGTCCGGCAGGATAGAACTCGACGCCATGGAGCTTCGCAAAGTCCTCAATCTGCTTGTACTTCTGGAGGTTCTTCTCGCTGGTGTTTTGCACGTCGTGATCCAAAGTCATAACGATCTGGTTGGGGTCGTGCAGCTTCGAGGCGCCGATGGACATGAACTTCATGGCGACAGGCCATGAGTTGTCGTGTGTCATGCAGCGGTGGGGGGAGATTGTGACATAGTCGCCGGACTTGACGAACTTGTCCTGGGCCAGACCAACGGAGTATTTCTGTACAATCTTCTCGGTCAGAGTCTGGGGCACGGCCTTGGATGCCTGCAGTGACGACAAGACAGCTGCGGTGGCCGGGTCCTCTAGCTGTGAGTGGAAACCCTGCTGGGAGTTGAAGGCTTGCTGGAGGAACACTCGCGAGGTCGCGAAGGTACGGCGCAGTGAGCTGGGGAAAGGGCTTCGCATGGCCCGACGGCCGGACGGCATCAACCGGGACTGCATCGAGAGAGGAAGATCAGTAAAAGGCCATAGGAGGAATCAATTGAGAACTTACAGTCATGTTGCCCACCTTCAGCTCAAATGTAGTCGGGAGATTTCACAAGGATCAACAATATCGCCGCAGAGAGAAAATGCCCCGTCTATTCGGCAAATGAGCGGCCGGGAATTTGGGGAGGTGACTCATCGCTCCGTTGATTGGCTGAATTTCAATGGATGAAACCAAACAGGGCAAACATTGCCATCAACATTCACGTGACGTCAGGCAATCTCCCGATATCGGATGGACTTCGGATTTTTCTTCTCCAGCTTCTGCTCTGCCGTATTGTTTGAGAGTCAGAAGATCATATACCAGCGTGCCAGCTTCCCAGTCTGTGGATGAAGGTATGAAGGGCCAATGGTCAATGACTTCTATAATCGCAATTTATTCTACCGCGACTCCGAAGCTACATTTCCTACAGTATAGTGAAACTAACTAGTGCGGATCAGCCCCGCCATTCCGATCTTGTGAAAAGACGATCGCAGCTCGATATATACCGTAATTGAAGCCAAATGTCCATTAATGAGGTCTCAGTTCCATTTGTCTTTGGCAAAATAGATCTGCAGTAGCAATTTTTACAGCAATTAAATTGCCCTGGTGCAATCGCAGCTGCAACTTCCAATGTCCCCGCGCGCACTTAACTCATACCCCGCTATTGCCGCCAGAATGTAAGGAAAACAGGCCATTGGCCAAGAGAAGAAGATCCGGTGAATGGACTGGGAGGTGCTGCCAGTCTGATTTGGCGGAGAGCTAAAATTGACCGAATGCTATGACTCCAAGGTTGATTGATCCACTCCGGTGCGGTCCACCTGTGACTCTTTTTCCCTCTCCCGCAGCTTCCCTTTTTTCTTTTTATACTCAAGATACCCCTCCCTCTACAACAACCACCAACTGCCCACAAAATGCCGACCCGGCAAGAAGTCTCCTACTTTGGAGCTGGTCCAGCTCCCTTGCCGACCCCCGTGGTCGAGGCCGGCGCAAAGGCCTTCGTCAACTTCAACGACTGCGGACTCGGTCTCGGCGAGATCTCGCATCGCTCCCCCACCGCGAACAAGATCCTCGATGACGCCAAGGCCAACCTAACCGCGCTCCTCGATATCCCGGATAACTACGAGATCCTGTTCATGCAGGCCGGTGGCAGTGGCGAGTTCAGCGCTGTCGTCCACAACCTTGTCTCTGTCTGGGTTGAGCGCCGACGCCGCAGGGCTGAGGCCGAGGTGCTGAAGGCCAACCCCGGTGCAGAGAAGGCCCAGGTGGATGAATTGGTCTTCCAGAGGCTGCAGAAGGAGGTGGATGAGGAGCTGAAGCTAGATTACCTCGTGACTGGATCCTGGTCGCTCAAGGCTTCGCAGGAGGCTGCCAGACTGGTCGGCTCTAAATACGTCAACGTCGCTCTGGACGCTCGGAAGACCAATAATGGCAAATTCGGCACGATTCCCGCTGAGAATACTTGGTCCTTGACCCCTACCAAGCGTGAGGGTGGCAAGGGCTCTGCTTTTGTCTACTTCTGCGACAACGAGACTGTGGACGGTGTGGAGTTCCAGAGCTTCCCCAAGGTTCTTGAGGCTCAAGGTCAGGACGCAGAGGATGAGCGCCTCGTTGTGGCCGACATGAGCTCCAACTTCATCAGCCGGAAGGTTGATGTCAGCAAATATGCTGTTATCTTCGTACGTTACATTGAACTCATTTTCAAATATACAGACCTAACACGCAATACAGGGTGGCGCCCAGAAGAACATCGGTGTCACTGGTATCACTATTGCTATCGTTCGCAAGGATCTTCTCCCTCCCCAGACCGCGACTCCTCCCGCTGCGCTTCTGCACCGGCTTAACATCGGCGGCCTCCCCGGGCCCGTTGTGCTCGACTATGCCACTATTGCCAAGAACAACTCTCTCTACAACACCCTCCCCATCTTCAACCTGTGGATTGCGGGCCAAGTCATGGCCAACCTCATGACTGCTTTCGGTGCTCAGAAGGTCAGCGGCCAGCAGCAAATCGCCGATCACAAGTCGGACCTCATCTACGGCGCGTTGGACAAGTACCCCCAGGTGTACCGGGTCGTTCCCGATAAGAGCGTCCGCAGCCGAATGAATATCTGCTTTCGCGTCTGCGGCGGAGATGATGCCAAGGAGAAGGAGTTCATTGCGGGTGCGGAGAAGCGCCTCCTCCAAGGTCTCAAGGGCCACCGCAGTGTTGGCGGCATGCGTGCCAGCAACTACAACGCCGTTCCCTTGGAGAACGTCCAGAAGCTGGTGAAGTACCTGGAGGACTTCGCCTCGACCCAGTAAACTGCCCTGGAGGCAGTGACGGTGGTGTTTCAGCGAAGATTCAACCTGGCGCTTTATTTTTATTTTTGTTTTACTGGATCTCAAGTGGGTATTCGACAGGGGGTCGCTAAAATCGTCCGGGACTGTTGCAACTATTCAAGATAACTCCGTGGTATATGCTATGTTCTACCAGAAAATAATATGATACAAATGACCACAAGGATCTCTTCATAGTTTCCAAACGGCCCAATCCTTTAGATCCAGCTCTTTGATCATGCCCTGCAAAGGACCCTGGAGCTCCTGCCCTTGCGCCCAAACCTTGGGACCGGCCATGTAGCTGATAAAGCCCTCGGGACCAGACACCAAGATCAGCTTTCGTTTCTGCGGGTCCTCGGTAGGATCTGTGGATTTGATAAACTTGGAGAGATCGTTCTTCCCAATAAAGCGGTTTTCCTCGTCTAAGTAGTAATCCACAGTGATCTGCCCCGGATATTGCGACTTGAGCGCCTCCAGTTCTCGTACAACCAGTGACGAGTTCTGGCTCTGGGAGACTGCAGCAACCGCCGGGGGGTTGGAAGCGCTGGATTGAGAAGAACCAAGCCAGCCCGAGAACCACGACCGACTGGGCACCAGGGCTTTGGCAGTATCACTCTCGCCACCCACGCAGTCTGCCTTCAGTCGGCTGGCCCAAAGAATGTGTATCCTAGGGCGGTTTTCCTTGGTTGTGCGATTCAGGAGGGAATACCCAGCCTGCAGCGCCGGCGCAATCCCGGTTCCTCCAGCAATGAACAGTATCTCCTGAGTCTCTTCGGGGATCACGCACTCTATCTGAGGTCCTCGCATCTCGATATCTGCACCGACCTCCAGGCTGTGAAGATACCGCGAGACCTCTCCAAACGGGTCTTTTCGAATAAAGAAGCGCAGGTATCCCTCGTTCTCTTCATCCACGCTTAATGATGTCGCCGCCGTCGTAGGGAGAGGTGTATAGTCTCGGCCGATCTGCAGCTGGGGCTGCTTGAACATCACGCTCCATACTCCAATCCGCCACGCATCCTCGTAGACCTCGTAGTTGCCGTCGCTGTGGTATCGCGGGCGCAGGGTGAACAGGCTGCTGGTCGCGGAGACAGGCTCACGGGAGACAAGACTGTACTTAGTGAAGGTCTCTTGGTTCAAGGTCCCCGAGCTGGGGCTCTGCGATCGAATGTAGGCGCCTGCGCCTGCTGCGGCTGCGCTCACCACAGCAAGGCCTAGCCAGCGAGATTTCGGAGACGCCGAGGGCGGCGGTGCGGAGGTCGATGCATACCGGCGAGACCGGGTCGCAGTCGACCGCAAGCCAGAACTGCACCGGCAGCAGAAGGAGGGGATGGAGGACTTCATGAAGCGTTAAGGAGGGCGCACCGCCGAGAGGTGCACCGCGGGGAAATTGGGTTGGCGCTGACGGAAAGCCGATTGGGTGAGCGACCCTGAAATAAACTGCACAACCCCTTGGCAGCGGCTCTCTTGGCCTCGTTACCCGGCCTTTCACCTCTCCATCTGCTTCTCACCTAGGGTCTTGCTGGAGTTTCATGAAGGAAATGGAGAGTCTGGCCGGCTTCTCTTGACCCCAGTTCTGCACTTCCTGGTCCAATCGACCCTCGCCATCTTCTCACGTTCCTCCTCCCTGCCCCCTCCTCGGATTCACTCCTACTCGACGAACAACACAAGAGGATGTCGAGCAGCGCATTCAAACACGAGTCCAGGAATGGCAATCTCACCGCCCCGCGAGACTCGCTAGAGCTCGCATCGCTTGCCTCCTCGTCGCCGGTCTCGGTCGGTGGCTCCTCGCGCTCGTCATCCCCCGATGGCATCTCCTCCTCACGCAAACTCTCCCTCGAAGATGAGGACCCCCTCGCCGGCGAAGAGGGAGATTTCTATCTTGAATCGGGCCGTCAGCGCGGTTTACGCTCCTACTCTATCTCCTCGGCCTTCGATTTCGGTCGCAATCTGTTCCCGTTGTCGCAAACACAAGCCGGATACGCACCACTAGGGACCCCTTCTGCGCTGGACCGACAAGGAGCGGATGCCTCATTGGAGCGAAATAAAACATTGACATACCTGAATGGCCTGTCGCTGATTGTGGGTCTGATTATTGGCTCTGGCATCTTCTCCTCACCGAGCCAAGTCAACGCAAACGCAGGTTCGCCGGGCGCTGCGCTCATAGTCTGGGCTGTGGCGGGCTTGCTGGCCTGGACCGGAGCCGCGAGCTACGCGGAACTGGGAGGCGCCATCCCACTGAATGGAGGCGCACAGGTCTATCTCTCTAAGATCTTCGGAGAGTTGTCCGGGTTCCTCTTCACGTGGTGCGCGGTACTAGTCCTCAAGCCCGGTTCTGCGGCGATTATCTCGATCATCTTTGGCGAATATGTCGTGCGTGCATTTGTAGGCGCCGACGTCGAACATATTAACCCCTGGATCAACAAGGGAGTCGCGCTGGGAGGTCTGTTTGCAGTCACTCTGTTCAACTGCATCTCAACCAAAATCGCGACGCGTATTGGCGATCTCTTCCTGGTTTTCAAGTTCGTTGCTCTGCTTGGTGTCACTATCACAGGCATTGTGGTTGCGGTGACCGGCCTTTCGTCCAAAGGAACTGCCAGCCAGGAATGGAAAACGCACGGCTGGTTTGAAGGCACCAATACCGAGATTTCCGATTTCGCAGTTGCGCTGTATGCAGGACTCTGGGCCTTCGATGGCTGGGACAATGTGAGTGACTTCACATGAGATCTACTGAATGTTTTTGTGCTAACTCCTCCCTCAGACGAACTACGTAACTGGCGAGTTTAAGAACCCGAACCGCGACTTGCCGCGAGTGATTCACACGGCAATGCCGCTGGTCATCGTGTGCTACCTGATGGCCAATGTCTCTTATTTCCTAGTCCTGCCTCGCGAAACCATCGAAGTGAGCAACACTATTGCCGTCCAATTTGGCGGGAAAGTGTTTGGCCCCGTTGGCGCTTTGATCCTCGCGCTGGTAGTGGGAGCCAGCTGCTTTGGCGCTCTGAACGCAACCACCTTCACTAGTGGTCGACTCGTCTATGCAGCCGCCAAGGAAGGCTATCTACCATCGTCTTTCAGCCGCATCGGTCTCGGCAGCTCTTCCTCGCCAACTCCTCCAGCGACAGACCGTCTTCGCCGCCGCTCATGGGCCCGTAGGTCCTTCTCACGCGTATTCGGCGACGAGTCTCGGCTGGGCTACACCCCGATCAACGCCATGGCTTTCAACGCCGCGCTGACTATGGTCTATATCGGCGTGGGCGAGTTCGGCACCCTAGTCACCTTCTACGGCGTCGCTGGCTATACTTTCTACTTCGTCACCGTGCTGGGTCTGATCGTCCTGCGCATTCGCGAACCCCATCTCGAGCGCCCCTACCGCACATGGATCACCACCCCAATTATCTTCTGCTGCGTCAGCCTGTTCCTCCTCAGCCGCGCGATCATCGCAGAGCCCCTCCAGACCTTGATCGTGGTGGCCTTCATCATCACGGGTGTTCCCGTGTACTACTGGCGGATCTACCAGCGGGACGGCCCAACAAGCATCTCAGGTTGGAAGTTCTGGAAATGGCGCTCTCGGTAGCAGCGTGTGCGCCCACACTTCTTGATATTTGCGCACTTTGCTGGCACTATTTTTATGATTTTGATACCCATGCATATTGCACATAACCCGGGTGTATGGTGAGATGCGCGCCGATGCGCCTTTGATGTCTTTTGTCCTTCGCGCGCTGCGCGATTGGCGTACGATGTGATGACGGTGGCTGTGGGCCTGTGCATTTTCATCCTTTTCTTCCCCACTGTCTTATTACCTTTGTTCGTGTGATGAAGCTAGTCGAGTGTCTTATACCGATATGAATAATCATAATTTTGCATTCTATATAATAGCATTGTGGCGGAGTGATAGACTACTAGGTAGGACGTGTCCAAAAGATGATCCGGTGCGAGATGCATTCGTTATATGGAGGTTATGTACCATATCGAAAAAACCTATATATACATCTCATGTCTTCTGCAAAGAGACAATTGGCGACTCCCCCGTTCTCGCCTCATTCGACGTTCGATAAGATCGCCACTTCCAAGCAGGGACTTTGGCTGCATAGATCTCATCGACTTCCGCAAATGTGCGGCCTCGAGTTTCCGGCATGAAAACGTACACGAAGACAATAATTGCGGCCATGCAACCCGCAAAAACGAGATAGGTCTTTGCGCCCAAACCCGCCGCATCTGCAGAGGTCAGCTGCGGAACGACCAACGTGGTGATGACAGCCGTCACCTCCTGGCACGCAATAGTATACGACATGGTATGGTGGCGGAGTTTGGGGGTGGCCATCTCGGACGGCATTAGGGTGGAGAGCGAGTAGAAGGAGGAAGCCCAGAAGAAGTTGAAGATGAAAGAGAGCACGGCAATGGCGAGGGTGGAGTGATAGTTTTTTGTGTCGAAAGCGAGGCCACCTGCTACAACGTCGATTATGAATAAAATAGCCATCCCGACGAATGCCGTCGGCCGTCGGCCGGCTCGGTCGATGACGAGCGGAGCGGCGATGGTGCCGGCCAGGGTGCAGCATGATGCGATGATGGTGAGGGAGAATGGGTCTCCGATACCCAGTTCTGTGAGGAATACTGTTGTATATGTCGTGGACAGAATGACACCGGAGATCTGATTGAGAGAGTAAAAAGAGCCTGCGACCAGAGTCCGTCGGAGGTGCTGCCGCTGGAAGATATGCCAGAACTTCACCTCCGCTTGCATCTCGCGGTCGTGTTTCTCGCACAATTCCATGAGACGAAGTTCGTCTTCGACTTGCTCGTCGCTAAAGCCTCGGAGTTTGCGTAAATTATGCCGGGCTTGCGCCAGGTTGCCTTTTGCCACGAGCCACTCGGGGCTTTCGGGGAGCGGCATGGTTATGGCGATCAAGATCACGGGCACGGCCGATTGCACTGCTAACGGGATCTGGAAGGACAGATGACCTCCGAGTTTCTGGGTGCCCCAGACAATGGTCGTGCCAACGACCCCTGCTGTGAGGTTGAGGATGTTGATGGAGCTGACACTTCTCCCTCGCATTGAAGCAGGGACCACCTGTATATGATACTTAGCATGTCCTACTTCCCAGGAGCAGGTCGGGCTTTACCTCGGACAGATAGAGAGGGGCAGTTGCAGTCGCAATTCCCATGGCAATCCCGTTCACCGACCGTCCTCCCACGAAGGTCCCCAGGTTCGGAGCAAATACTTGAAGTAGCCCGCCGCCAATTGAGAGGAAATACGCTGCCATCAGGGGCCACTTACGGCCAAAGTGGAAGTTCAGGGGAGAGGCCAATAGACCTCCGAGCACGGCGCCCACCAATGGCAACGAAAAGACCAAATTCTGATTGTGCGCCGTGAGGACGAATTGGCCGGTTGCCGGGTTGGGTCCTTGGAACTTCTCGACCTGATTGTTCGTCAGTTCGGTGGTGCTGTGCGCGCGTCGCCAGCGGAGAGTCCACTCACGAATCCAGTCAAGGCAGCCACGGGCGAGATGAGCTTGTCGTCGTATCCAAACATGAACGACGCCGCGCCAAAAACGATACAGACGAACACCAGGCGCGCATTGACAGCGCCCTTCTCTGGGCTTGAGTGGTCGACGTGTTCGACCTCGGCGGAGCCGGCCTCATCTTTGTCGGCCACCATCGTGCGAAGCGAACGAGCCCAGTACGATAGCAGAGCGGACGGCGCAAAAGCCCTGGAGGACTGACGGGACTCCGCCTCCATCCGGGGTTTATATACACGTCGAGCTCAGTATACGGCCATGACAGGGCGCGGATTTCCCCATGGAGAAGCAGGGCGACGATGGGGCTTCCCCAGACTTTTGGACGGTTCGCATCGCGTTAGTCGGGCCAAGTTTCTCCGAGGTTTCCCAGTTCAGCGCAACCCCAGGGGTTCGATGCCCCCAGCATTCCAAGGGTCTCTGGGGATTGTGGCTCAGCCAGTGAGCCAGTGAGCTAGACTGCCGCAGATATATTTGCAGATCATGTCTGGGCCCGCTGTCACTGTCCATCGCGACTGGGTTTCGCCGACAATCTTCCGCTGCGATGCCGACGCAGCCCCGGTCGGTTCGCGGGAAAAGTCAGTCTTTGTTGGCTGCGCTGGAATAAACCATATACCAGTGTATGCCATCAGTCCCTACCTCCGAGGTGAGGTATCCTCGGCCAGATTGTCGGTGTGAGGAGGCGTCAGATGTCGCAATCAGTTTCGCTGAGCAGCACTACCGTACCGTCTAGTTCCATTGGACCGCTCAAGGGTTGATATCCGCTCCTCAAGAGACCCGTTCGAGATCAACCTTTCGCAAGCTCTTTGACTTGAGTAATCACTGAAGTCGCCATGTTAATTCTAGTGGGCTCGCCAGACCTGGCGGGACACGAGCTACGGGACAAACACCTGCACACTGCTGTAGAAGGCACTGGTGACGAAAAAGCTTCAAGGATCGCGGCTTCAAAACCATCCTTTCATCTGACGGCCCCCAATGGCTGGATGAACGACCCCTGCGGGCTTGGCTATGACCCTGCGACAGGACTATACCATGTATTCTTCCAATGGAATCCATACGGCAATGACTGGGGCAACATGTCTTGGGGCCATGCCACTTCCACCGACCTTGTCTCGTGGAAAGTATCACCTGTGCCAGCTCTGACGCCCTCCACGGAGTATGATCACTGCGGTATCTTCACTGGTTGTCTGCGCGCAACAGATGTCTATGGAAATCCCGGGGCTTTGACAGCTATGTACACGTCTGTCCGGCATCTTCCACTCCATTATACCCTGCCGTATATCACCGGCTGCGAGTCTCTCAGTCTAGCTGTCTCCAATGATGGGGGCAAGACATGGGAGCGCCAGAGCTGCAATCCGGTCCTCTCCGGTCCCCCTCCGCATCTCTCGGTAACAGGCTGGCGTGACCCCCAGCTCACCACTTGGCCTGGGGAGAAGCAGCGAACGAGCTCGGATATTCCCCAATCACCACTATACGGGATTGTATCCGGTGGTATTGTCGGCCAAGCGCCTGCGATTTTTGTCTATACAGTCAATCCGACTGACCTCCGGCAATGGACGTATATCGGCCTCCTGGTCAATGTCGGCCTCAACTTTCATCCATCACGCTGGTCAGGAGATTTCGGTGTCAACTGGGAGGTTGGCAACCTGACTACGCTGACCAACGACGCTGGTGACTCCCGAGACTTTGCAGTCATGGGTGTTGAGGGGTGCCTGCGCTCTGAAAGTTCGCTTTGGACAACCCCCGGTTCAGCTCGGCACAGACGACAGGCTCGGTCCCAGCTGTGGATGTCTATCAAGACACGTAATGATACCGCGGGCTGTCATGGCGCTTTGGCAGAGTATGCGTTCGCTGGATACTTCGATCATGGCTGCTTGTACGCTGCCAACTCCTTCTGGGACCCTCAAACCTCTCAGCGCATTGTGTACGGATGGGTCACCGAGGAGGATCTACCCGACGAGCCTCGTCATCGCCAAGGATGGAGCGGCATGATCTCGATTCCTCGAGTGATGCATCTAATGACAATCTATCGAGTCACGCAAGCACGCACTTCACAGCTAGAATCGATTACCTCCATTGAAGCTGTCCCCGACACATCTGGAACGGGTACATTCACGATCCACACCCTGGGAATCAGCCCAGACCCGCGACTCTCTCTCCTGCGAGATGGGGCCCAAAAAAGGCAGCTTCCGCCCTCTTCTTTATCTGCGCCTCTACACGCACAGTCGGAACACTATCTAACCTTGGCTTCGGCCCGCTGGGAACTCGAGGCTGAAATTTCAGTACGTCAGCCATGCGAGCGGGTGGGCATTGAAATAGCGCATACTGCCGGTGAGTATTCCTTTCTTGAGGAGGGCCTTGCTCTGAACCTTGAAACTGACATGTTCAATAGAATTCACGCATTGTACAACCCTCGCATGGAACCCTGCCACGGAGTCATTCACCGTCCACCGACCCCCACTAGAAGACACAGAAATCAATCACGGATACGAGTCTGCATCGCATACACTATTCACTAGGGTCAACCAACAAGGCGACGAAGTTGAAGAGACCTTGCAAATCCACGCTTTCTTTGACAAGAGTGTGTTGGAAGTCTTTGTCAACAGCAGAACGGTCATCTCAACCCGGATTTACCACCCATCAGGTCAGTGCTTCGGGATCCGATTTTTCGCAGAACGAAACAGCAGCCAGCCCGGAGACGAACCGGCGTTACTTCTGAGGGCCGATGCGTGGGATGGACTTGGGACTCGCCGAGAATCAGCGGTAATGAACCACGCCAACAATCACCGTAATACTCCCCTACAGCAACAACCTTAGAAAATGAAAGAGCCAAAAGAGCCAAAAGAGCCTTCTTCACATAAGTGTACACTTGGTATTCCCAATCCATTCCTCTATTCACACAGACTCCACGCCAAAAATTCCGCAAAATCACACTAATCAAAACCCACTACTGTGCCCAGCTCCCCTGGGATCTGCAGCGCGCGCAAGTGAGCCCTGTACTTTTCCAAAAACGGATGGTTTCCTCCCCGGAAACTGCTGAACAGCAGGAGGAAGCTTTCTGCCATGCTCTGTGGAGTCGAGGTTGTGGGCAGTGATTTGGAAAGGTTGCCTAGCTGCGTCATCCCCATACCGAAGGGTGGGCTGATGTTACAGAGGATATCTGTGGCGCCCATGGCGATATCATACAATTTTTCGGTCTAGGGGAGATGTTGAGTTAGTCCAGAAGGAAAGAAATGAAGACGCTAAGAGTGCGCGGGGGTACTAGGGTTGCGGGGGGAGGGGGTTTCACGTACATATCCGATTCCATGTGCTTCCATGGAGCTAAGCCGTAGCGAGCGACATAGCTGAAGCGTGGATTCTGCAACGGACACTGCGAACCCAAATGTCAGTTCAGGGCGCTCGGACTGGGTCCTCAAGAGGCCATGGTTCAGGCATAAAAGCCACACGCGGTTCTGAATCCATTTCTGCGTGGTATAGACGTCTGCGGCCTGGGTTTCGCGCAGGCCAATTGCGAGGAGGGCATTGCTCTCATGTCCGTCGCCTTTAGCTCGCTCGAACCAGTCGTATCCCTTGTAGCGCTCCGCTTGGCTGATTCGTTCCAAGCTGTCAAACATGGATAAGGCTTTGACTTGTGTGAATCGTTGGCAGTAGCCGCTGCTCAGGTCGCAGCGGCGATTCCAGCAGTGGATGAAATCTTCATCGATGGCATCGAATAGCTCCATCATTCGTGCGAGACCCATCATGCCTTCGGCGTCTCTTTCGTTGTGGACGATTATGCCTGAGACGAGGCTGTGGGCGGCGTTGTGGAGGAAGTCGTGTACTGAGCGCATGCTGAATCCCGGCTTGCCGGAGAATGTGACGGGATGCAGGCGCTGCAGAGCATAGGCTCTATACTAGCATTAGTATGGTTATTCCTTCAATATATCGCATATGAACACACCTTTCAGTGATGGATAGGACGAGATATGTCCGTAGCCGCTGGCCTTTCTCTTCTCCTGAGAGATCCCGGTATGATCCAGGATCATTCAATCCCAATGTGGACGCAAGATCTAGCGCCTCTCGCAGCCGCAGCCATGCCGCGTTATGTTGGTTGCTGCCAAACAAGCAGCCAAACAGGAAGAAACTGGTCAAAACCGCCTCAATCGTAGGACTTTCACCAAAGTCAGAACAGCTTCGCATCTTAGTCGCTTCATGCATCATAGAGCGAGCCTGCGTGGCGCGAGACGAAGTGGTAGCACGTTCATTGATCTCAATTGGCTGCGTTAGCGAGAATGCACATAATGACAGAAGCATTGCTCCAAACTGTGAATTCGTGCGATGCTCCTGGGACATCATCCGTGTGTACAAGGAGGACCGACTCAACACCGGGACAGTCGGATGAAGGCGGTCGAAATATACGTCAATCCAGGGTATCATATTCGCTTCGTTAATTGCACTGGGCCAGAATCTTTCTGACTCCTGGCTTTCCGATGACTGCATCGACTCCACGGCGGAGGGAAATGCAAGCCCTTGGTGCTCTTGCGGGGGGATGCTCATCGTTGATACATCAGGCACTGGCTGGATGATAGATGGGAGAGATGGTTTGAGGTAGACGTAGCTTCCGGGAAATTCAAAGACAGGCACTTGGGCGCCCAGGTTGTCTGGCAGCCAGTATTCCACGTCTGGGCGGTCGTTCCAGCCCACGGCGCTGCTGCTGTGGGAATCTAAAGATGCAGTCTCGCCGCCCCAGGCGTCTACTACACCCGATGCTGGACCAGTCGGCGCCAGGACGGCCGTGCCGTCCAGCGGCATCGTGACTTGGGCCTGCGCGGGCGTCCAGGATGGCCCCGGCATGGAAACATGCGGGCCCGTTTCCACCGATGAGGTGGGGACATGATACTGGTAGGCTTCCTGCTTGGAAATGGGTGACTCCTGTGGAGTTTGAGGGATGATATGTGTTTGCTGCTGTCGAATTTGCGACACACGGCTGGGGGGCCCGGTCAGCGCACTCTCTTCGGCGCGTGGCGCGATCACTACTTACTGCCCGGTTGGCCCGCGCTTCTTCTGCGGTTGAAGGAATGTGCAGTCAAACCCCATCGACTGGCAAGCCTTGCAGGGTTGCGACAGGCTGCACTGGAGGGCGGCGGGTTATTAGCGCCAGGGGCGACACGGAGAGGGGGACCGTGGCAGGTGTTACCTTGATCTTGCGGAACTTGCATTGGTCGCATGCCCGCTTCGCGATCGGGCTGGACGTTTTGGTGCGCGTGCGGATGGCGCCGGTCGGCGACCCTGTGCTCGTGGAATCCATGGCCGCGCCTCCGCTGCTCCATCAAGAAAGGAATCTCAGTCTTGAGGGGGAGGATTGTGGGGGGGGGGTGGTGGTTGTGGCTTGGCCGAGTGCTGGGTCGCGGTTGAGGATCGGATCTCCGACCCACTTGCGACGGTTGCCAGTTCCCCGCCTAGAGAGCCCATTATACCGTTTAGTGTGATCAACCTAGAGATCTCTAAAGCTTGGCCCATTCGTGGTCTAAGGTAGGGAAGTTTCCGATGGCAGCGGCTATGTACACCAGTACCGATAGACTAGAAACGAGGAATTAATGACTATAGTCATGGATCTCAGCTATCGCAAGAGTCGCAAGGACAGCAAGAGATAGACCAGAGATGTCGCAATTCAATCTCATTTTGATATATTCTACGGCCTCTATAGGGCATTATTTAGCACGTAGCGCCAACTATGTCTATTCAAATCCATTATCAGAGCTCTCCTACTAAGTAAGAGCAATGTGGAATGCTAAGATCCTCTTCTGCTGCACAGTCAAATCGCCCCCAGCAACACCTGGTCCGGAAGATAGTTGATCCGTGGTGGCCTGAGGCGGCTATCGGGCCGAGTGAAATCACACCAGATGCTTATTATGCAGTGCGTTAAATAAGTCACTTACACTCGTACTGTTTATTCAATACAACTGATGATAGATAGCGTTAATGAACTCTTTGCCATGACCCAACCACCTCACTTACCTTACCTGAAGGCGCCAACACACGGACGATCACGCTTCGACAGTTCTTGTAGTCCTGTAATTATGCCAAAATACTTCTCCTTTAAACAGATCTAGGGATACGTGCATTTAGGATGGCTGTCCCCTGAGACAAATCGATAAGGTATCCGCTTGACATATTCCTACCAATGAAAGACATTACAATGTACGGACCGACGTCACATAGAAATGCCGACTATGCCATTGACTTCAAATCAGCGCCAATCGGCTTCATGCCCGATTCAACGCCCTGTGGCACCTCCAATTCCTGCTGAACTAGATAATTGCCCAATCAGTATACCCAAGGTGCGGCTCGGGCCCCGGGGATCGGAATCGGCGGCTTGAAGCACATCTTTCACGACAGCCCCTACTTTTGGCCCCACCCCCAACTGGGCTCCGCAGAACACAAGGAAGATGCAGAATATTCTTATCGCTTATGATCAACGTCAAACCAACAACAGCGAGATAATACTCATCCATGTAGGGAGATTAATCAGAATATTGAATCCTGCCATTCCACAAAGTCCTGGCTTTTTTTCGTAGCTAATATATCGCGGATCGTAGATGCAAGTATATGGGTCATGGGCGATGGGCTGCTCCCAGCAGGTCGCATAGGCCGTGGTAAATAGGCTGGTTGTTCCGGCGCCATGACTGTTGGAGAAGGGACCGTTGGAGAAGGGGGTCGTTCGTTACTCCAACCACGCCTGCACCCCCGCATACGCCCCCACTTTTGGCCAACGAAGTTAGCAACTAATAACGCGACACCCTCTGACCGCTCGGATGCAGAACATACTTAGTCGGCTGTTTCGCCCCGTAGATTAGGAAGGAAAGATATCCAGAGTACTCCGGCGCAATGGGCTCCATCCACCCGCCGTGGGCGCATATCGTCTCCCAGAAACGTGCGATCAGGGACCAGCAAATTGCTCCATACCTGGTCGACGATAAAGAGCTTCGAGTACCCCGGGTGCATCAGGTTGATCATCGCACTCGTCTGGAGCAAGAGCCCCAGGTCCAGAAAATCACGGACATAGACGATATTGCATGCCTGGTGAAGGGACTGGAGGCGGGTGAGTTCAGTGCCGAACAGGTCATACAAGCCTATATTAAACGGTACGAGACATTCCACAGCTATAGAAGAGGATTGACTCTGCTAACACGGTCATTTGGCAGCGCGGTGGTGGCACATCAGCTGGTAGGCGATTCTCTAGCCCTCTATCCAAAAAGAAAATTTGCTCAAACGACCTAATAGACCAACTGCTTGACGGAAGTGGTATTTGACGAAGCCCTTCAGCAGGCAAAGAAGCTGGATGAAGAGTTTAGTAGCACGCATAAGCTCAAGGGCCCTCTGCACGGAGTTCCCATCACCCTCAAGGACCAGTTCGATGTCAAAGGGGTCGACACAACCCTGGGGTACGTGGGCAGGTCCTTCAAGCCAGCCAGCCAGGACGCAGCTCTCGTGAAGATACTGAAGGATATGGGAGCCATTGTCGTTGCAAAAACAAACCTGTGCCAGAGTATCATGGTTCGTGCACCGCTTCTTTTATACGTTTGTGCTTGCACAATGATCGGTTCGCTTTGCTGAACTAACTTGTCCGCAGTGGGGGGAGACGGAGAACCCTCTTTGGGGACTAACTACCAACCCGAGAAATCCTGCATTTACATCAGGCGGCTCTACAGGGGGCGAAGGCTCATTGCTGGCGTTGCATGGCTCAATAGTGGGCTTTGGGACGGATATTGGAGGCAGCGTTCGCATTCCACAGAGCTTCGTTGGTTTATACGGCTTTAAGCCAAGTGTGAGACTCACCGAGCCCATATATACCCCTTTCTTTACCTGGATTCCATCAAAGCTGACACAATCTACAGAGTAGCCGATTCCCCTACGAGGGCGTACCCGTGTCCACCGAGGGCCAAGAGCACGTCCCATCTTCCGTTGGCCCCATGGCCCGGGACCTTGCTTCGATCAGCTATATCACCAAGCTCATAGCGAATGCTCGACCCTGCGACTTAGATCCCCGCTGTACCCCTCTCCCTTGGAACGAAACAGCATTCCAGGAAATCCAGAACCGACCCATGGTCATTGGCCTCATCCTTGACGACGGCATGGTCAAAGTTCACCCACCGATCACGCGCGCCTTGCAAGAGTTATCCACGGCACTGACAGCCCAAGGCCACGAAGTGGTGATCTGGGACATTGCGGACCACGCTGGCTGTATCGAGATAATGGATCTCTTCTACACCGTCGACGGCGGTGAGGACATCCGTCGCGACATGGCCGTGGCAGGCGAGCCGTATCTGCCCCATGTCGAAGCCCTAGTCAATCGCGGCCAGGCCATCTCAGTATACGAGTACTGGCAGCTGAATAGGCGCAAACGTGCTGCACAGAAGAAGTATCTCGATAAGTGGAATGCTGTCCGTTCTCCTTCGGGAAAACCGGTCGATGTGCTGCTCAGCCCGGCAATGCCGCACACGAGTATTCCGCATCGCAAGTTCCGCTGGGTCGGGTATACCAAGATTTGGAACTTCCTTGACTATCCGGCTTTGGCATTTCCTGTGGATCAGGTACGGGCTAACCTCGACAAGCTGCCTGCAGAGCCCTATGTGCCAAGGAATCCATTTGACGAGTGGAATTGGAATCTCTACGATGTAGACCAGGTCGACGGATACCCAGTGAACCTGCAAATTATCGGCAAGAAGCTTGAAGAAGAGAAGGTGCTTGGGGCTGCTACCACCATTGAGGGAATCTGGCGGAGTCATGTCCAAGGGAAAGTTTGAGAAAGTGGGAATAGATAGGATCAAGTAAATTTCGGAGTCGATGCTCATATACATGTCCCATAGTGGTAAAGGAAATAGAACGTTGTTGGTCATTGAATTTCAAGACGCCATTAACGCCACGGGAATATGCTGTGGGATATCAAATTTTCACTCAAGCCTTCGGGGCTTGGAAAAGCTCCGGCTTCATGTTGATTTTGCAGAGCTTTGAGATGCAGCCGCTCAGTTGGAGCAGCGACTGCACACCTTCCAAGATGCGCATGTGGGTGAACCCGATTTCTTTGATGAATTCCAACTTGGAGTGCTCCGAGAGCGTAGGGATGGTCTTTGTGACGCGGAACATGGTGCTGATGATGTCGTGGGAGGAATATCCCAGAGTCCTGCCCCAAAGGAACAATGTGTTAGGCGAGTTATAAGTCAAATGGCACCGCAAATGGCTACTTACCATAGCTCGTTTAGACCCTCCAGCGCCGCATCCACCTTGCCCTCCCAGCAGGCCTTGATCATCGCCTGGACCTTGACCGGGTGAGGACTGTCCACGACACGGAACACGTTGTCTCCGCTAACAAATCCGAACCCTGACCAGGTACTCTGCAGATTGTTAATGGCCTGACGCATATCACCCTCGGCACTGAAGACCAGGGCTGCGATTCCGTCCTCGGAGTGTTTGACCTGCTCCGCCTCGCAGATCTGCATCAGTCGTTTCACAACCTGGGCATCCGTCAAGCGGGCATATCGAAGGATAGCACAACGCGACTGAAGGGGTTCGATAATCTTGTTCGATTGGTTGCAGGCAAAGGCAAATCGGGTTGTCGTAGAGTAGATTTCCATCGTACGCCGCAGAGCTTGTTGTGCACCAGGCGTCATGCTATCTCACATGTGAGTGTGTACTCTGGGCAAGTGAATTATCCTTTGAAGGAGATCTCACCTATCGGCTTCATCGAGAATAACCAGCTTGTGCTTGCCTGGGGGCAATGTGACCTTCTTCTGGGCGAAGCCCTTGATCCGGTTGCGAACCACATCGATACCTGAATAGTCACTATCAGCGTCCATCGCCTGCAAGCTCTGCCGGAAAGCGGACAGTCTGACCTCTCTCGTCACTTGCATTCAGCTCTAAAACAGCCTCCTTGTACGCATCACCCAGCAATTGTCGCGCCAGGCACAGAATAGAGGTTGTCTTTCCAATACCTGGCATGCCAGAGATGATAACGTGAGGCATGTTGCCATCCTTGGCGATGATCTTTAGCCGTTCCACCGTCTCCGTGTTGCCGACAATGTCATCGAGGAAGATAGGACGGTACTTCTCAACCCTGTTGCAGCGAGTAGGTGGGAAAAGTCAGCTCTTGGACCTAGCAACCATGACAACGTACTGACCAGGGCAGCTCGTAGTTTGCAGGTGCACCGGCAGTGGCAGCCCGGAGGCCATTGCGCTCGGCAGTTTTGGATGATTCGGCTTGCACCATGCTGAGAGTGTGAGTGAAAGATGGCGCGGGGGGAAGAAAGCGGTGTTGGAAAGACGCGAAAGTGGACGCGCTCCGCGATAAGTGCTTATCGGCTGCCGGGCCTAATAGCGACCGCACCCCTCGGAATAAGATTATCATCTCCAAAACTTCATTCGGGATAGCTTACGGTACCATTCTAATGGTTCTTTGTTCTGGTTTACTACATTCTCTTGCTCGTTGGTTACCTATAACTAGTATCTTTCCCTGTTCTTTTTTTTCTTGTAGGGTTACCTTAATCCCCCTCGCATTCTTCCTTTGACCAGGGATGTTGTACATATATATTGCGATCTTTAATTGCGGAGGCCATGATGTCTATCACTCTCTGACTCCAGATGCAACTCATTTCGTAATTATCGTAAGCGGGAATTAAAACAGCCTTGTCGTTACTCTATACTTGATTACCCATTGGTCGGTTGATAGCAGAAAACCTGCATATTACCTGGTTGGTAAACATAATGTCTCCGAGTCGGTATTGAGCTAGCAATAATATGATAAGGATATAGTGTATAGCTATGAGAAAGTTTGCACTCACTAACCGATATAGGGTAGTGGTTAACCTGTCAGCCTTTCACGCTGAAGCCGGGGGTTCGATTCCCCCTATCGGTGATTCTTTTTGCGCCTATTTTTTTTTTTCTGCGCTAGTTTATTGTCTTACTTGGACTGAGCGTTCCTCGAACCTGCCTCTCCTAACTTTCATTTCACTATCTACCTAGTTTTATATCAACGTCTAATTCCCGACCGCTTTTATCATAGCCAAGGCAGATAGAGAATGTAGCGAGAATTACATTTAGTTTTTACACAGTGGGGGTGACCGTTTTTGTCTAAGATTATGAAGGTTGTTGCTTATCATTTCTCACTCCCTAAGACCAATAGAGCAATAGCCCCATTAGTGCAGTACTACTGGTGCTTGTACCCACCCATAAAATAGGCTTGGTCCGCAAGGAGCGGGGGGTATCCGGTGAAGGAGGAGGAATGTGTAGTTAGGATTCTTACGCGGACTGACTGCATCAGCTAAGTTTCCCAAACCATTAAAATTTGCATCCATTAACCGATATAGGGTAGTGGTTAACCTGTCAGCCTTTCACGCTGAAGCCGGGGGTTCGATTCCCCCTATCGGTGATTCTTTTTGGCACTTTATATATCGGTTTTTGATACCCATCAATTAATTGCAAAAGAACAGAAATTGTTCCTATCCTAGGCATCGCCAGGGCTGGAAAGCGATACCACTCCTCATGACTGATCGAGACGATCTCCTATATTCTCTACAAGCCATCTCTTGCGAGTAGAATTAGCGGAGCAGTCCTGTTTTGGAAGAACTATTGAGAAATCGGTGTGGCTCAGCGCGAATATAGCTGAGAAGCGGGCTACCAAGCAGGTCGGCCCTGCGCAGATTAGGTTTCTGTATCGTAGATTGTTCCTTTGTGCCTGTCCCCCTGGCATGGGCCACGGCAATGTATCGTAGATCGTATCGTGATCCACTGTAGCAACCTTGTAGGCCTGTGCCCAGGGTTTAGATCAGCTACTTATTTTTTATTTATACAATCACACTACTTGCATCCATTTATTTTCAACTATTATGATTGAAAACTGACTGATTTCTACCATTGATCTCTTCAGTATGAAGATCCATAGCTGAACTCCGGGAGCAGAACTACGTCCGTGTATCTAAGCATCATCTTCCGCCGTTCGCGGCATTCCCTCCCCTCACCATCATCTCTCCACCCTATTCTTACCTACCCCCGGCAGCGACCGGCCAACACTCCTTGTTCTTCGTCTGTTGTGACTCGACCTTTGTCGAGCCCGCCCATTCCCTCCCCACGATCTCTGCCCCAGCGCGCGATCCACCCCCACCCATAACAACTTCCGCGGTCCCGCGCCAAAACACAGTACAATCGCGCAACACGCGCAACACGTGCAACGACCTATCCGCTAGAGCCTCACCACGCGCTGTCTTCTCACAATGCCTGCAATGGGGCCAACCTCTGTTCGCCGCAACCTGTTCCACCAGAACCTAAGCCGCCGCCCAGCCTCCACGGGCCCTCCGAATGGCAACGTGCCGCCGGGCAACAATGCGCTCTCGAACCGTCCCTCACACTCGCATCGGTTGAAGCCGACTGGCTCGGACTCATCGTCGCGCCCCATCAAGCTGTCAGAGAACAAGGAGATCGTGGTGCGGGACCAGAACGGTGGCTATAAGCTTGACGTCCCTGCTCTGCCGAATGCGCTTGTGGGTGAGGATGGGGAGGAGCTGGGGGAGCTCGAGGCGGAGGAGTGTGGTGAGACGGCGCTTGATTCCTCGGAGCTGAGTGGGCGGGAGAAAGAGAGTATGAATGATCATCTCCCTGGGTCTGGATCGGAGGTGTCTAGGAAGCTATGGCTGACGGTCTTGCAGAATTGGAGGCAGCGCTGGTCGAAATGGTGATTCGGCATCGGAATCGACCGTCCAGCAGTGAACCGGATGGTGAGTTGCTATTCTGGTAGCAATGGCTTCGCCAATGCAACTGCTGACATCAGAGGATTATGACCAGAGATCTTGAATATCGTCCACCAGAGCCTACGCAGGAAGGTCGCATCGTTGGACGACGACAAGTGGATGTTCGAGCCTGAAAAAGAGGTGCGCTTCTAGACTGGTTCGATTACACGCTGTATGCATCTTCAATTCGTTACACGGTCAATCGGGTACGTCCGCTGCCAGGCAAAATCCCCTCTGTTGCCATCTAGTCGAGCTCCATGTTGGGAGGGGGTGCCTCGACCTTCTTCGCCGGCGCGCCTCTTCCACCAACCTGGCCCTGGCCACCCTGGCCACCACCGAACAACATGCTACCCATCATGTCCAACAATGGGTTCCCTTGCCGCGGAATCTTGATGCTGAAGTACTGTTCGCCAATCTGCGCCAGGAAATCGTCCCAGATGCCCACCTCCCGGATCTGTGCCGCATAGTGCGCTGTCAGCTGCTTGAAGAGATCGGCGCTGGCTCGCTGGATCGTCAGAAGCAGCAGGCTGAGGAAGTTGAGCAGGGGGAGCGCTGGGTATAGTCGAATATCGGAGCTGGCGCTGCTGACATTCTGCACGCCAAGGGCCGGGTTGGCGGTCGAGAGGCGAGAGGTGAAGATGAGCAGGGCCTTGTTCGCGCTGCGGACGTTGCCGGTCAAGAGGTATGGGAAAATGGCGCGCGATGCGTACAGGGCGGCGGTGTGCGGCTCGTCATGGGTGTACCACTCGTACTCGAGCTTTGCCAGGGTCTCTGCCGACTCCGATGTGCCCAATACCAAGTGTCTTTCGGCATCGTACGGTTCGTTGTCTGTGCAGAATCCAGAATCAGAATCGGTAAAGGTGCCACGAATGACGCAATCTATCATCCATCAACCCACCTTCTGCGTAGACCGAGCCGACAGCATGGTGCAGCTCCGGGTCTCCGCGCTCCAGCGGGCCATGCCGTCCACTCCACCCAATGATCTCCTGAATGTAGCGCTTTCTCGTCGGCTCCTCTGAAGGGAACTCGCGCAGAAGCTCGATCAGACGCTCTGTTGACGACCATAGGCGTTAGTCAAGCCACAAATTCAAATTCAGGACAGCATCTTGCACCACGCACTCTTGAGGGCGCGACCCTCCGTATCGTTCTCACCACCCTGATACCCCCACTCGGCCTTGTTGTAGACTTCCACGACGAGCATGATCGCCAGGTCCCCACCACTGGCCGACGCACCCTGCTGGGAACCAGCCCTCAATAAGGCGGTCGCACCACCAGCCAGGAGCTCCGCGGCCGCATCGTAGTTCGACTGCTTGATATAGCGCGCAGCGATGACACGCAGTTGCTGATGAGCTTCGTAGTAAGCTCCGGCCGCGATCCTACGCGAAGGGGAGGATTGTCAGCTCGGGAATTTTCGCAGTCCGTCAGGCCGCAGAGAGCGGACTTACTTTTCTTGCTGGCGGGCGATTGTCTTGCCGATGCGGGATGTCATTATCGAGCGAGCGAGGCCCCGGTACAAGGGACTCGATGGGCGATAGATGTGCAAATGAAAGAAGGGCCCAAGCTCAAGGGCGATGATGAAGCAGAGGCGGGAGTGTTCGCGGGGAGATCGAGGACAGTTGGTGGGGAGGCGGTTGGCCACTGACAGCTCGGCCTGGCATTTCCATTTCCCCCCGAGCTCTCTCGATCCGGTCTTTCGCGCGGCTACTACCTGACGAACTCTACTTGGCGAAGATTGGTTCCTCGTTTGCTTTGCAACCTGCAATTCAGCCACGCTCAGCTTCGGCGAGACTCTTGCCACCAAGCTACGACGTCCGGGCATCTCTTGAGCGGCCCGCGGTTGGCCGCCTGTTCTAGCTGTTCTAGCTAGGGACGCTACCTGATATCGACCAGGTTTCCCTGAGCTCGCCATCGAACCCGCTTTCGAGACCACCTCGTGGAGCCCTGGGGAAGCCCGCTTCCAGCCTCTTCCAACAGCTCTTGCTAGCGACGCGCCAAGGGCTAGAGAAGGCCCTTGCGCGTGAGGATGATTGGTGGTCATTGTTAAATTACTTGCGGAATCAAATCACCACTGCGAGCCATGAGTCGCGCGATCTTCGACATCCAACCAGTGAACCGCTTCGGCGGTTCAAATACAACAATCCGGCGCCCCAAGGTACGAAGGACCGGAGAGAGTGGACTCCTGTCCTTATCCGCAGCGAACAGACTAACGGGCGGTGATATATAGGAGATCGCGTGCTTTTCCTATGATCAGGATCGCCACTTCGCCCTGGGCGATGCATCAATCGCATATTACTACCCGCCAAGTCTGCCAGCAGATCTGAATCTGGGCTTTGATACGTTTCAGAAGCTGAACGATGCGGCTGATGAACATCTGGATGCGCTCCTAGATACCATTATTGCTCTGGAGAAAGATACGGGGAAGAAGTGCGAAGCTGATATTGTTACTTGGCGAGGGATGATGACCAAGGTAGGTGACATGGGGTGAAATGTATACCGATGGGTGCAATGGGAACTGGTTTCTGATCCGCTGCTCCAGATCTTGACTGCTCCGTTTGACATGATGAATGGGTTAGTAGCTTTCTGTTCGACACGGACAGGGGTCTTTTGGTTTTTTTGGGGAGGTTTTTTTACTGACGCGTGTGGTTCCGTTCCAGCTTTGAGATGAATGCAACCTGTTTCCAGGTAAGATGCACGCCCCAAGACCCGAGAGCACTGGACTGACGTGAGATTAGGGCACAATGTGCGTGATCCCATGCAATATACATGGACGTGAGCATTCAACTAACATAGACCAGATTTATTGAGGAGAATAATGCGTACAAAAATCAACAAAAGGAGATCCAGCGCAACCAGAGAATGCCCCCCGGAATGGCCTCGCAAGAGCTGATGATGTATTGGGGTATGGTACATTCTTTCCAACCCTCCATGAATTATCTTGCTAAAATATCCCAGGTTATAAATTCGAAGTTTTGTCGGTCCTACGGAAGCCATGGGACTCGACGTCCCGTGCCGAGATCGAAGGCCGACAGGACGAAGTGGTTAACAACAGCGCACAGTATTGCTCCGTCGTCAAGACTGGCATGGGAAGTGTGCGCATGGTTCTCGGTGGCGAGGTTGATGCTGGTATGTTGTTCGATGCGAAGGCCTCCCTCCCGGGTTTATACTGATTGGAATCCACCCCCTTCTCTCTACAGTCTGGGACTGCAAGCCTGAACGAAAAGAAGACCCCATCCACTGGGTGGAGCTGAAGACATCCGCTGAAATCCGCAACGACCGCGACATGTTCAAGTATGAGCGGAAGCTGCTGAAGTTCTGGGCCCAGTCCTTCCTGCTTGGTGTGCCGAAGATCATCGTTGGCTTCCGGGACCAGCAAGGCATCGTTCATCGCTTGGAGGAGTTGGACACGGCGAGTATCCCTGGTAAGGTCAAGAAGGTGGGGAAAGGCTCCTGGGATGGGAATATCTGCATTAATTTTGCGGCGGCGTTCCTTGAGTGTAAGCCTGGGCTTTGCTACCCGTGTATAAGACGGAGCTAACATGGGGTTTACAGGGCTGAAGCAGACTATCAAGACGGATGGGACTTGGAGGATACGGAAGCTGGAAAAATCCCATGTAATTGAAGTTTTCAAGGTGGAAGAGTCCGGACACGGTGATATTCTTTCAGCTGCGTTTACAACTTGGCGATCAGAATTCGCATCGGCGCTGAATTGAACTATCACGCGCGTTCCGATCTTATGACACGGTTATGTATAAATGGTATCTTAATTCAGGATGTAGTGTCCTATCCATGGTGCTCGCCTATTTCAAGCCACTGTTGAACTTCAACGAGCCTTCAAGAATCCGCCTCCAGGGCTGCGGCTTGCTGAGCGTCTAATTCTCGCTTTCGAAAGTATGCGTCCCGCTCTGCTTTGCGTGCGGCAGACTTGACGCCTCTCTTGTGGCTATAGCTGCTGAGATGGATCTTCCACTGCTCGTCACCCACAATGGTCTTCCCGCACACCTCGCAGGTGAGGCTGGTCATAGCAGACCCGGGCTGTGCGTGCGCCTGCTCTTCTTTGGCGGCAAGAACGGTCTTCGCCAGCTCAGACAGAGACTTTGGATCGGGCGTGGGTTCACGGTGAAGCATCGACTCCACGATTTGTTCAGACGGGGCCCTGATGCTCTCCGCCCACTGGCTGACGTTGCTGCTGTCGAGAAGGTATAAGCGTTGGGTCATGCCCGCGTCAGACAGGGCCCGCCATAACTTGTTGCGGATCCATTTGATTTGCGACCCGCCGTACTGGCGCGTCGCAGTCCGGATAGACTCGGTACACCGCTGCTTCAGAGCCTCGAGTTCTTCTTCGCTCAGCTCTGCTTTCCGGAGAGCCGTGAAGTAAGGAGCCAGCTCTTTGAACCCAATGGCCACCCACACCCCACGGGTGAGATCGACCTGAATCCCTTTAGCCTCTTTCTCCTGTAAGAAGTCGAACATGGTCTCCGCCTCTGTCATTAAGCCCTGCTGAAGCATGTCGTCGACACGCGCGTCCAGGCGCGCATTGAGAATCTCCTTCTCGGCGTGGACCCAGAAGATGAGGGTATTATCGAATCGCAGGAGTCCCTCCGACTGCAAAACCGCCCGCTCTTTCTGAAGCTGCTGCTCCGCATAGATCTCCGAAGCCGGTCTTCCAGTTTGAAAGTAGATCTCCAGTGACCGGCGGATCTTCCGCGCGTCTTTCGGATGCCACCGTGCAGCCATGACGGGATCCACCTCCTTCAGTTTCTCCATCAGAACCTCAGGAGCTGAATCGAGAATAGGCCATTTCTCCGACGTAGACGGGACATCCCCGGACACCTCCACGCTGTCCTCCTCATCCGATCCTTCCCCCACGAGCTGGTCTTTGAACAAAACCGCCTGCGTATAGTAGTGTGTGCCCCCGACGAGGATCGGCATTTTCCCGCGCGACCGAATGTCCTCTATCAGCCGCAGCGCTTCCTTCTTGAAGAGGCTGATCCGCCAGGCCTCCGCTTCCAAATCGACACAGCTCAACAGGTGGTGCGGGATGCCGTTCCGCTCGTCGACGGGGATCTGGTTCGTGATGATGGGAAGGCCCCGGTACATCTGCATTGCATCGCCATTGATGATTTCACCATTGAATCGGGACGCCAAGTCCACGGCGAGCTGTCTGTCCCTATTAGCGACTCGCACTGAGTACTACTGGATGCGACAACGTTCTCTCTCTTTCTCACCTTGGACTTGCCGGTGCCCGTGGCGCCGACGACGGCTATGAGGGGATCCATGAGCGCTCTGGGACCGGGCCTGAAAGATCGGAGGGCTGCGAGCATTCCGAGCTCCGCATCGTGCTGGCCTGCGAAAGTTGCAGCAACGGGAGGGGAAAAAAAGAGGCGTGGCTGTTATCGCGGGTTTATCGCACATTACCTCATCCGCGGGCGATGGCAGACCCGCGCTAGGATCAGCCCAGTTTAGTTCTAGCTGGAGGATGCTACATACCTTAAGTCGCAAGACGTGACTCATTTTCGTGTTTCCTGCTACATATTTACACGTTTCAATTTACTCTTTGTGATTTTTGATTTCTGATTCTTTTTCTCCCCTGAGACCTTATCAACAGTTTCCAACATGCCCGCTCCGTCAATCGAGGTGAAAGACCTCTCCTATAAGTTCCAGGATGGCTCGGAGGGGCTGGAGCATGTGCACCTGGATCTCCCAGCCGGGAGCCGAACCTTGCTGATTGGCGGTAAATCCTTGAAATATCTACTCTCTTGACTTCAAACTGCATCCCAGGCTAATGCACGAAAACGCACAGCAAACGGCGCGGGGAAGACCACACTGCTCCGCCTGCTGTCCGGCAAGCGGCTTGCCCCCACCGACACCGTCGCCGTGGGCGGCCAGGACCCCTTCAAAGACAGCTTGGAGGGCGTCACCTATCTCGGGGTGGAATGGGTGTTGAACAGCATCGTCCGCACGGACATCGACGTGCCCACGCTGCTCGCCTCCGTGGGCGGCAATGTCTGGCCCGCGCGACGGGACGAGCTGGTCGACATCCTCGACATCGACCTCCGCTGGCGCATGCACGCCGTCTCAGACGGTGAGCGCCGCCGCGTCCAGCTAGCCATGGGCCTGCTGCGGCCCTGGACGGTGCTGCTTCTCGACGAGATCACCGTGGACCTGGATCTGCTCTCCCGAAGCAACTTCCTCTCGTTCCTGAAGCGCGAGACCGAGTCCCGCGCCTGCACGATCGTCTACGCCACCCACATCCTGGATAACCTCGCGCAGTGGCCGACCCATCTGGTGCATATGAGCCTCGGCAAGGTCAAAGCCTGGGGCTCCGTCGAGACCTTCCACGACCAGGTGCCCGAGTGGACCTCCGAGAATAGCAGACTCGGAGAGTTGGTCCTCAAATGGCTGAAGGAAGACTTGAAGGCTCGTGGGCCGCGTAATGGCCCGTCGATTCAGGCGAAAACCTACGGGGCCCTGGATGGGATCGGGGGCTATGGCCTGGAGAAGCGCGGCGACTAGACGCTGGTTGTTGTTGTGTCTTCCTTGTCCGGCTTGATGCTCATTCCTATGTGATTCTTTTTCGTTCTTTGGGATACATGGGGATTGGGGAGTCTGCTAACAATATGCCATTCAACAAACATTGGGTTCAACCACCTAGCATGGACGGGGTTTCGTGGGCATTTGGGTTCTAGAGACGGGGCGGTGGTTCTATTCAACATTTGGAGTTTTTCAACCATGACTCATAGAGGGCTTTGCGCGGTTTCTGCATATATAAGGTTACTTCCAAATAAACGTCTTTATTGTCGCTGCATCCTCTTGATCCATGATCTGATCACAGGTAGAGGGGAAGACTACCAAATCGGAAATGATATCGACACAAGGACGTCGGACACAGCCGGCCTGGATGACCTCGAGAAGAACGGCGTATCAGGGCCCCCTCGAAAGCACAGCGGTCGGGATCCGCTCGTACAGACACAAATACCGTGGGCTGCAGACAAATCTATAGGGTGATCCCGAATATCCAGGACATCCATCAAAGCCGGCTACGCTACTCGACATCTCCCTGGGACAGCATCAAACACGCGCTGTCACTACAACTACATGCCCGGGACCTCACTCAAGGAAAACCGTCTGCTTCAGAACTGGAACGAGTAGCGCATCGCCGGCAAGTCAGAGGGGAAACGGAGGAGAGGGGCAAGACCAGTGGAACGGTTGGAAAGGGTGGGGGAACCAAAGAGGAAGTAACCAGGAACCAGCCAAGCCCGCTAGAACCAGGACAATGACATTTGCAGAGCACGGAAGAGAAATGAAGAGAAGGAAAAGGGAAGATAGGATAAGGAAGAGGTAAAGTAAAGTCAACACAAAAGACCAAAGCAAACAGGACGCAAGGGGAAGATAAGAACAGGGTTTCTAGCGCTGCAAGTCGAAGGGGAATTCGATTTCCATTTCCATTTCCACAGGGAGGCAGTAGACCAGTAGACCAGTAGACCAGTAGATCAGTAGGCCCGGCCCAGGCGCAAAGGCAGATGCCGACTCAGACCAGATCAGACCAGACAAGACCAGATGAGACCAGATGAGACCAGATGCGGCCAGAGGGATCCGAACCAATCCGATCCGATCCGACCAGAACAAGACGAGGCCGGCCAAGACTATCGACTCCACCGTGGAAGACCGAAATCGAGGGAAAAGAGAAAAAAAAGAAAAGGGTCCAAAACCGTCGGTGATGCATCTCGTATGTCCCGGGGCCAGGGTCAGACAGAGCACGCATGGGCGGGATATCCATCCATGCCCCTTCCTCCCCTCGACCGGCGAAGCTATGCAGTCTTCCATCCCGGCAGGCCAGACTTGCACAGAAAGGGTATCACTTTTTCCTCCCAAGAGCATGTCGCAGACACCTCCAAAATAAAATAAAATAAACTCCAGGCCATGACCTCCCACCGTGACGTGACAATCATCAGGCCCCCGTTGCTGACCCCGCCAATGATTCGAAACCTCCCGTTTTCCGCTCAGCCATGAAAGCCATTGAAAAGAAAAAAGAGTCCATGTTCCACGTCCAGGCCCACTCCCACCGCATTGCATGTCGCCCCTGCTCTTCTCTTTCATGCCCCCATTCCACGCCCAGCCCGACAAAGGTTCGCAGTTCCTCCCCTCCATCATGGCCCCCCGCTGGTTTTCAAAAGGTGTACAGACTCAGCAAAAGGCCCCTCCGTGCTGTTGATTCAAAGCCCACTCGAAACACGATGGGTCGTCGGGTCGGCAGGTCGTCGAATTCTCACGCACTGGTACGGAACGCATTAACAAACAGACGTGTCCCTCGCGGAGGTGGCATCGGTCGGCTCAGTCGAGGTGGGCCATCATCTCCTCCTTGGACAAGGGCTTGAAGTTGTCGATGTCAAGACCTTGTGCTTCGAGAGCGGGACGGGCGTGAGGAGGAACGATCTGGCTATTCAGTTCGGGCGCGATCGAGAGTTCTGGGCCATTATGATCAGTATGGAGATTGTACCAAACGATAATATATCGTAGTTGAAGGAAACAGGGAAAAGAAATGGTCGGTATGGGGGCACTCACCATGCCGCGAGAAGTCGAACAGGTTGGGTAGATCCTTGGCGGGGTTGCCATGGTGTCGCGAGTCCGGTAACCGAGTGGTCGGGTCCCGCAGCTCATCGAAGAAGGGGTGGCACATGGCTTCGATGGCCGACAACCGCTGGGTAGGGGTGTATTCCAAAAGTGCCGAGATGAGATCGATGGCCTCGGGGGGAGCCTTGCGGAAGACCTAGGGACGGTCAGCATCCATGCCCGCGATCGAGCGACCGGGAGGGAGCCGGGCGACAACATACCTTGTTGAAGGGATGAGGCTTGATCTGGGGGAACTTGTGCTCCATGTAATTGGGGTTCATGGTCCGAATCTGCTCACGAGTCGGGGTGCCGAGCACCTTGATGATTTCCACCAGCTGGTCAATTCCCGATTCACCAGGGAAGAGGGGTTGCCCCAGCATCAACTCGGCCATCACACAACCAGTCGACCACACATCTACCGAGGAATTAGCCCCACGCCGGCGGGGGTCAAGGGGGAGAAGAGAAAGCAGACGACGAGAACCAACGTACCGATCTTCGTTGTGTAGTTGGTGGCACCGAAGATCAACTCCGGGGCTCGGTAGTAGCGAGAACAGATGTAGGAGACATTGGGTTCATTTTCGATGAGAATCTTGGCGGAGCCAAAATCGCAGAGTTTCAGGATACCAGTGTTGGGGTCCAGGAGGAGGTTCTGGGGCTTGATATCGCGATGGCAGATGCCTTGTGAGTGGATGTAGGCTAGCGACCGGAAGAGTTGGTAGATGTAAAGCTTGACTTCCAGCATGGGCATCGTCGTCTTCAACTTGTTGAAATACCGCGATGCGCGATACACGGTCTCGGGGACGTATTCGAGCACAAGGTTGAGGTACACTTCATCTTTCTGCAATTATGGGGAGAATGGGTACAACCAGGTCAGCCGGGGACTGAAGGGGAGAGGGAGAGAGAGAGAGAGAGAGAGAGAGAGAAGAGGGGGAGAGGGCGCTGCAGCGGGAGAGGAAAGTCGTCTCACGTACCCTGTCGCCGTTGGAGTAGTAGAAGGCCTTGAGTTCGACGATATTGGGATGGCGCACGATCCGCATAATCTGAAGCTCACGATTCTGCGAGACAGAGAGAAGTCGATTAGCCTGAGGGGGTTGCCCAGCACCTAGAGATTCCGGAGCGTCCGCCTTACCTTGAACCGCTTGTCTTGCAGGACTCTCTTGATAGCAGCGTCCTCGCCGCTGGGGGCCATCTTGGTCTGAAACACGACGCCGAACGATCCATTGCCCACGATCTTGCACTGGGTATATGAGATCTCTTTGGCCTCGCCCGTCAGGCCATCTTGGACCTTTTCACGGACGACCTCTGCGCGGGAAAGAGAGAAGCGTCAGTGATCGACTAGAAAGCGCAATTGAGCACCGGGTAGGACATGCTTACCACCCATGCGCAAGGTCGGGAACAGCCCAGGCCGACTTTGTGACATCGCTGGGGGGTGGGGAGAGGTGCTATCGATGAGGAGGAAGAGAATCCGTTTTGGGCGAGGTGTAGGTCGGTGGTGGAGTAGCTTCGGAGGGAGGGGGGGGGGGGGGGAGGAGTGGGCGGCAGGTCCGAACGGGGCGAGTTGAGAAGAAACGGCGAGCGCCAAGAATGCAGGAAAGAAGAGAGCAGGAGGAATGAAGAGGAAAGAAAGTGGGCAAATGGCAGGAGAATGCTTGACCAATAGAGAGGACGTGGAGGAAATAAGACGGGTTAGACTGGGAAGGTTAAGTGTGGACTGGGTGGATGAGGAGGAGGTCACCTGTGGTTTAGTCAGTCAGTCGGGGGAGAACTGGTACGTTGGGTGGTTTGGCTGGGTAAGGGAAGCGGGTATGATGGGTATGGGTAATGGGTACTGGGTAATGGGTACGGAGTACAGGTAATATTGGATTGTCAGGGCTGAAACTGACGAAGTGACGTACCGGGGGGAGCGGGACTGGTTGATTCCCGTCCACCACCTTATGCCGGTAGGAGAACTTACGGGTAAGAGTACAGTTGGTGGAAGTTCAAACGGAGGAGGAATCGACGATAGCCAGGAGTAAGAATGGGGGCCGGAATAGAACAGCACCAGTGATGGGTAGAAAAGAAGGTGGGGAGTGGCAGTGGACGTGGAAGGTCGCGCAGAGGGGACCACACTACGTTCAATAATCTCCCATAGCCAAGGGAAGAAACACCTCGAAGAAATGAGAAGAAAAGAATACCAGAGGTAACGGCCAGCCACTTTGGCCATTCCGGCTTTATAGACCCTCTTTTGGGTTCGATCGTGACCTGAAGAAAGACACATTGAGGCCACGATCTGATCTCCCATTCTTCTTGTCTCCATAGCCCCTCTTCTGCCCCTAAGCTAGACTAATGGCTCCCTTTTTTGTGGCCTCTCTTCCCTTTTTTGATGAAGTACTGTACATAGTCTTTCTGAATCTGACTCTCACAGTCGGGGGCTGGGCCACGCTCACGATACACGATACCAGACTGTGAAACAACCGATACAGGACCGCATCTGTATGGATTGCGGTGGGACATGATATCATACTGGAGGTACGGGATTGCCGTATTCACTGATACCTGGGTACAGTAAATACATGCCAGCGGTGTAAGGAATCTGGGGAATCCACGCTCTCTCAAACCTCTCCTCGACCGCGCGACCTCGACACCGGGACCTATCCCTCGTGGTACTGCCGGTAACCTCCCTAACTGTACGAAGGACTAGCTAATAATAGTCGCATAGTCGGATCCGAGCTCCTAGACGGTATATTCATAGTCATCGTGACCCGCAACTCCAGACAGCATGACGGGTCAGTCGGAGGCACTGATGTTCCGCGGTCGGGTGACCAGCCGTGATTTTCCTAGGAACCGCCACGATTGGCTGCCGCTGCCTCGTGACCACGACATCATCGAGTCCAGCTGACTGGGAGAAGCTTGGGCCATGCGGCGGCCCGTTTGGGATCAGGAAAGTACGGAGTAGACTTGGATACTTCAGTCCATAGCTAGTCGAGAAAGTATGCTTGGTATGCCCACCAGTATAGCTCCGGACTCGATAGGAGGTCGTCCTGGTCCCGGTCCCGGTCCAGGTCCAGGTCCAGGTCCAGGTCTAACTCTCGGTCTCGGTCGGAGATCTGGGTTTGTGTTTCCGGAACCCATCATTTGCTCTCGGCTCCACGGTCTGTTTTGTTTTCCCCCCTGCCAACTGACTCCCGTACCTACATACTCGAGGTACTTTTCTCCTGCGGTCGATCGGTTTCAAAGCTTGCTGCCATGCGAGATACGGCACGGGACTCGGCAGCCCAATGCCGTCGATCGCCGTCCCCGGGGAGGGTCTAGTCCCTTCTCCGGGGCGAGCCCGGTGGGCGGGATTAGGAAAGAGCACAGTACCCCGTCTCTGGTCTATGCAATATGAATATGCTTAGTCCGGACCCTCGAACCGATGCAAGCAGGGATCCCCTTGGCATGTGAGCTGCAGTGATCTCAGCCGACGCCCAGCTCCGAGTAATTAAGATTCCACCCGTACTTTCCTCGGTCCCATCCTGCGGGTCTGGTCCTGGCTCTCGCCCTATGGACCGTCTGATTCTGCACATCCTGTCTTACGATATATATATCTATCTACTGGAGTGTGAGTGTGAGTGTGAGTGTGTGTGTGAGTGTGTGTGTGTGTTGTTTGTGTGTGTATATATGCGCATCTGGCCAGAAGTACGGCGAGTCGGTGTGGTAGTAGCAGTAGAAACAGACCCGACCGATCGAGCATACCTAGGGGAACCTATTGAGTTCCCTAGTCGCATTACGTTCTGACAGGGTAAGTCATGGGAGCTCGACTAGTTTAGTCACTAGCCAGCTATAAATCATCCTCACGCCCACCAAGTCACCACCACGAGGACTAGGACCCGTCACCAAGTTCGTCAAAATCATCATCACCAGAGCCAGTCAATGTGGAGAGGCGTTCAGTTCCCCATTTGCTTGTTCTCCCTCCCAAACTCTCCATCGAAAGGGGCTCCGGAATGTCTGGTTCCTGACGCTTGCCCCTGATCAGAGATCAGACACCGCGACCCTCTCCCCTCCCAATCGTAGGTCAGAAGTCGGTCTATCTGGGACTACTGTACCCATCCAGCATCTCACAGATCGCAGGTTCGGGCAGCCGAGATCCGCCAATAATGTGTGGCGGGTTCTGGGTCCTCCTGCTCGGGCGGGGCTGGGGGCGGGCAGAGGGCCCAACCCAGCAGACCGAGTGGATCGAGTCGGGGGAAATGTACTTTACTCTGTACACTGGCCTACGTACCTCCGTCCACTGTAGTTGATTAGTTCTGAGCTTGGGCCCTCCAGCTCAGCGCGGGCGCTGGGGTTATTTGGGTTTAGGGGGAGAGGGCGAAGGAGGATGGGAAGATAGGAGGTGCAGACGGGACTGCACCTGGCTGAAAAGGTTAATGTTGAGCAGCTCCCGCGCTGCAGTCACTGGGCGGTCGAGCAGGCCAAGCCTGCGGCTTCAGGCCGTGCGTGGACGTACAGGCTCGTCCGCTAAGTGGCTAGTGACTAGGGACGGGCTTAGGGGCTTAGGAACTTACAGTAGGTAGAGTGACCAAGGGAACATTGGGGGAAATCGCAATACGTATTAGCCAAGCCGAAGCGGAAGGCCCCCCAGTACGACGTAAGATACTCAGCCGGACCGTTTCTCGTGGCAGGATACTGGTATTTACCAGTATGGACCTGCGTCTTATTTCCGACTGCATTTTGATTCACCACCTTCACCACGACGGAGAGAGAGAGAAGTGAGAGAGTGAGGGACGGGTTCCTGTCGTCTTCTTTGAGGGAGTAGCGAGGCAGTTCCTATATAACTAGTCGCGCGGTTCCTCAGGCACCAGTGGTTCCTCAGGCACCAGTCCCCCAGTATAACTACATCACTCACTTCAGAACTAACCCTATCACATAATCCCACTCCGGGTAACTAGTTACGCCGTGCTCTCCGTAAAGCGACTGGGTCCTGGTCTAGTGCCCTCAACGAGAATGAGCCAACATCAACACTCACCCCCCCAACCATTCGCCTCTGCCCTTGACCCTGGCAGATCAACATCACCAGACAGACCGGCCTCGCCACAGTTCGTGCTGTCATGCGACGCCGCGATCACGTAGTGACGTAGGCCGCACGGCCCCGGCACTGAACTGGGACATGACTGGGACCACTCCAACCGAACCCCCATGAATTAGCATCAGCATGGCCGACGATGGCCTGCGGGAACCGTTCCCATGCCGGAGCTGAGGATGGTCCGAGTCGCCGGTCAGCCCACTGGATGACCGGTTCAGCGGACCCCGCCTCTCTTCCGCCCATCACGGACCAGTGTCCCTGGGTGCAATACTAATCCGTGCCCTGAGGGCTACGAGATTGCCTTGATCAGGTGGTCCGCGCAGTTCCCTACCGTTCTATAGCCTCCCTACTGTACATGCCTGGTGTGGCCCGTCCGTTCCTGTGGCTTCGGCACTCTGCTCGAGCATACTCCAGTCTGGTCTGTCCGTGGTAAAGAACCCCCAGAGGCAACCGCCGTTCCTGGGACTCGGGCCACTGGCATGAGAATAGGATTTGGATCTGCGGCCTGCCGCGCCGGTCCGAGAGGGATCCTGGTCCTCGGTGGGAATGCACATCCACATCCACCGACCTACCAAGGGCGACTACGAAGGGTCCCAGCCGGCATGGCATGTGTGTGTGTGTGTGTGTTTCAGGTTCCTCGACGCGGAAGCATGGGCAGGAACCCAGCTATGCAAAGCCAATGCCAACGCCGGGACGCAAGGGCACGGCATGGCATTCCTTGAAGCGGCGCCTCAGTGTCAGACACGTGGAGTGGGATTAGGCTTCGCGTTTACTTTCTTGCTCCGGTAGCGGGTACAGGCTAGCGAGTATGGAAGCATAAATGTAATCTTAGGGAAGTGCATCAGGAATTCCACGACCTGCGTCAGTGGTGTGTCGCGCGAGGTAAATAGGGAAATTCGGCCGAGTATATTCCTGTTCACGTTTCATTTTCATTACTCGGGCTCGGGGCATCAATCTCCGCTGTCCTAAGACCGAAAGAGAGAGAGAGAGAGAGAGAGAGAGAGAGTATCTTCCCTATTATACCATGACTACCAGCCCAGAATGAATTTGAGATTCGGGAGCGAGAATTGGGACTTGCCGGCGGCGTCGGAGAGGAATTTAGGAATGTGAAATATGCGAAATATGCGAAATATGCGAAATCGGATTCTGGCGCGGCTCATTGGCTGAGATGGGGGATCCAAATAATACACCTACACCACAGTACTGTACATGCTTCCAATCATATCATAATAATACACGTTTCTGATTCCTTTTCCTTTTCCCTTTCCATTACAGTATTTAGTATTTACTTGGCTGTGAGTACGTTTGCCGTGGACGGGCGCTAGGTTTGGGGCGATCTGCCTGGTTTACGCGACGATCCAAATAAGATGCGCTGGAAGTACGGAGTGGCCCCATCCTTGGTGGGATCTGCCCTCGTTGAGCGCGTCTATCGAGGATTCCGGCATGTTACAGTAGGCTGGAACCGGCCAACTATACGTGCAGTCGGCTATGATGGGGCCCATCTATTACGCCACAGCCTGCGGTGTACAGTACTTGGACTTGGACTTCGGACATCGGTATGGATACATATGTATTCCAGAGGCAGGTATGTACTGTAGTGCTGATGCCTCCCGCATGATTATGGCGACTACGACCGAGCACACCACTCCCGATACTGACACTACCTGCCACTCTCACTACCCAACCGGCAGAGCCCGTTGTGTTGGGCCCCGATATTGGGGCGTTCTGTCGGTTTCGTCTATGCACAACCCAGCCACAGGGCCCCAACCACCCCGAGGTGCTTCACGGGCTCAGGCAGATTTCAAGAAAAGGTTCGCAACCAAACTATGGACGATGCATCATCTCCCAGCCAATTTCCGCCACGAAAACGAGCCAGTCAGGAGATCCTACCAGGGCCCCGGACCAAGAGACAGGCGGGAGTGGACCATTACCCACAAATAATTTCGAGGAAACGAGCGACCCCAAGACGACCGAGGGTTTACCCATTGGGCCCCTCTTCCGTCTCCCACCAACGAGGACTCTCGCCTGCGGGGATCATTCAGTCCATCCAAACCATCCAACAATCCCATCCACTCCGAGTCGCGCGCTACTCAACACTTAGCCTTTGTGTGAAGGGGGGCGGGGGTCCGTGACCCGCGGGAGGGGAAGACCGGCTCAGCCATGGAGTATGGTTGATCAATACGTAGGTTATAAGGATCAGGAGTTATCATGGTTCCGGACCGGACGGTAAGGACAGAGCGTAGTGTGGCCCCGTCCACCTATGAAGTTAGAAGTTAGTCAGTTGGTTGGTTCGGTAGTACTTCGAAGTGGGGATGGCCCCGGAGAGCCCAAGGGCCAATGCAGGTCGACAAACCCGGACGGAATTGGGCCAACGGCGAGGATGATGTCAAGGCCGCAACCCCCCGCCGACTATCAGATTATTCGTGGCCGGGATGTGAAAGGGCTAGCGGCGCGGGGGTGGCTTCGGGGTTTGTGTGGGAGTGATGGATGATGGTGGTGGTAGTGCAGGAGACTGGGGGGGGGAAGAGGACGCCATGGTGCAGACAGCATCCCATGCCCTTTCGGTAATCTTATGACATAGTTAGTCGTGACGGAGTACTCAGGAAGGTCCGCGGATGGATTGTGTGAGTGAGTGTGAGAGAGAGAGAGAGAGAGAGAGCTTGTTCAGAGCCGGGATGCAAGTTTAGCGTCACCCTCTCCTATATAGATCGTAATAGTCGTCCTGGAACCCGAACTGATTCTCCGTAGTTGCGAGGTCAGGCAGATGCACTCATAACATTAGCTGTACATAACAAGTCCATGGTATTTCGCCGAGATACCGGCCCCAGGGCTGGTTGGTGGAGCCACCAAGTTGGGAGAACCAGGACAGAACGGTTTGCTCCATGCCAGAGATGCATAAGGCCCCCACCTCCGGAGTCTTTCTGGGCTCGTGGGAGGTTCTCCAGCAGCCCACTAGGGCCCACCGTGCGCCTTTTTTCTTCCTTTTCGTTCGGTTGCCTCGCGCACTTTGGATGAGAAAAATTACCGGACACCGCCTTAGGCCCGATACGCTGGTTGTTGTGGGTGCCTGATATTGGTGGCATACATCTAGAGGAAGAGGTATTGGAAGACGGGAGAATTCACACCTACATCGGGATGCACGGATGCATGTACAAACGGTCTAGTATATTAGCCTGGTTTCCCAACGAGCGAGCGGGCGAAGGTCCCACTCTCAACAGTCGATAAACACCCGTTCCGAGGGCATTGGACGCTAAGGTCGTAGCATTACATGGCTCTCAATTTTAAGATGAGCTATGGACTAGTCAAGGCGTTACCTAGCGAGCCTGTTGACCGGTCAATCGATACGGGCTCCTACAGCTTTTTGACTGCCGGAGCCCCTTACAGTCCAGGCCTGGCCCTGCATCCTCCTCCTTACGCGTGGAAAGATCATCATACATGCAAAGCGCTGCAATCAAGGTTCAAACACTGTTTTACATTGGTCCGTCTATGATGCGAAAACATAACCAGAGATCTCTCCAGGCGCAAACCATGCACCTCCCACCTCACATAGACCCCTCGCGATCCCACGGGCCACACGAACAAACACCACGGTCATGAAAAGGGGAAACGGCAAACCCGATCAATCCAGCGAGAAGCAAGACTCACAAGACCACGGGCCAAAGCAGATAGCCGGAGAATGCGGGCATCAGATGCTGGTGGAGACGAAGAAGAGATAGGCAAGGTAGATCCAAGGACAGAGAATAAGAAAAAGGCAAACAGACACCAGGGACGAAACAGAGATGTGAATCTATACAGAACATGCGGGACATTCCATGGCGCCAAACAACTGCCGCCAGCACCAGCAACCCGTATTCAAATAGATATACCGAGGTGGGTGGAAGTGACGTGCCATGTCAATCCAGACATGGACATGGGGGGAAAAGGGAGCGAAGAACTACTAAAACAGAGAGGTCGAAGGGATGATTCGCTCGAGAGACCTGGGCGGGGATGAATGCACCCGGACCGTGAGAGGGTGGGAAGGGGGGAGGGAATCTTGGACGGAAGAGAGGGGATTGAGGAGATTAGAAGGGAGGAGGGGTCATGCTGGCCGCATCGGCCTTCTCCTGCAGCTCCATCAGCTCCTCGCCGGCGATCTCGAGAGAGACAGCGAGGCCGACCTTGGCCGTTTGCTATTGTAGAAAAACAAATCAGTCAGCAATCAAATGATCCCAGAATGAACATATGAAAAGAAATTAGGGGGGTTCATTGTCATACCTTGGCCTGGTCAATCTCACCCGCAAAGGTCAGAGAGATGGGCATGGCAATGCGCTTCTCCAGAAGGCAGCTAACCTTGCCGGCGCTGTCGACCTGGGCGCGGAACGAAGAAGCACGGAAGTCGTACTTGGCACCAATGGCAGTGGTACCATCCCGGGTGGGACCGCCCATCATCATAGCAGCAGCGCTGGGGGAGAACTGGAGGTTCATGTCGACACCAGCCTCAACACGCTCGGACAGCTTGCGCCAGTAGGTAGCGGCGAAGGTACCCTGGGCCTGCAACTGAGCGGTACCAATCCAGTCATCTCCCTTGTACTTGGCGCAGTAGGACAGAGCAGTCTCGGGGCGGGTGTTCAGGCCCTGGCGCTGCCAAATAGCCTCGAAGCCGAGGGCCAGGCTGGGTGTGATGGACTGGAGGTAGCTACCAACGAAGATGCCGGTGAGGCCGCCCTCGAGGAAAGACGGGTTGAAAGCCTTCAGCGATGCGGAGAAGTCCTTGCCGGTGTAGTCGTTGTCGATCTGCATGAGACCCTGGGCACCGCCGGGCATGATCTGGGCATTGGTCTTGGTAACCAAAGCCTGGTTCCAGCGCCAGTTGTAGACGGCCGAGAGGGTACCGTCGCTGCCGAGGTTACCCTGCATGAAGACCTATTGGGAAGAAAGCGAACTTGCCGTCAGGGATTGAACCAAAAGAATGACACTAAATCTTGAAATAAAATGGGAACGGAGCTTGTTCTTACCTTGGGGCTGCCGTACATGGAGGAGAAAGCGTACGGAGGCAGGTTGCCGGACGAGCCCATGGAGAAGGCATGGGATACCCGGAACAGAGGAGACATGCCAAACACCTTGGTCAGGTCTGCCCGGAGGCCTGAGAACATGAAGTTGGACAGCAGAACCTCCTTTTGCACCTCGCGCGCGATGTTATCCACGGTGCCGGGGTTGGGCAGGTTGAGCTGTGCCCTGCGCTCGGAGAACGCGGTGTATGCATCGTTGAACACGGCCATCGCGGGGTTGTCCGTGAGGATGGAGAGAGATGATGTGAGATCGGCCATTTTGGAAGATAGGAAGGTTGAATTATAGGTGTCGTCACGCGATGCCGGTCAACGGGGGGTTTTCGTTGCGAGGATGAAGACAATGGGCAGGAGGAGGGAGGATTGAGACCAGCCCGATAATTCTGGGACGAGTAAACGTCTCAGGCCACGAAGACTTTGTAAGAGGACTGTATCTGATCCACTCGGGGGAGTCGGGGGTTGTATCGAAGGAAGCGGAGCTGAAGACTTTCCTGTGAAAAATGCCAGTTGCGCAGCGCCTTTGGTAGCTGCCGTTCGCCGGGCTCCCTTATGTAAGCACACCGGGGGTTCGCGGGCGCGCAATAGATTCAGCCTCAATGAAGTAGGTTGATCTTGTATATTTTGGTGGAGCAGGAGACTGACCCGAACAGTAGAGATAGGATCTGATTTCTCATATATTATTAAGGAGTTGAATTTGATTGTGTTGGCTCGGCTTAATTATAGGTGTCGGATTCTTTTGGTCTGGTGAGGATCCACCTGATATCTACACTCACCGTTATCGCCTATACCGCCTCCTAGCTGCGTCCTACTTTTCATCCCTCCAACTTTCTCTCTCTCCAGGAATTCACCCTCTGGCATAGGCTGATTTTCCTCTTGAACCGACTGCTCTGTGAATAAGGAGCCCGACATAGCAATTACCGGAGTGGCACCCTAGGGAAAGGGCCTTGTTCGTCACTCCTTTTTGGGCCCCGCGATCATGGACACCTTACTGTAAGACACCCCTCTCCCTCGTTCGATGTTCGGTATACAGAGACATCCTATCTTGATCATGGAAGAAGCGTGTTTAAAGCTGCCAGCATAACCTATCATGAGGCACCCTTTCTAGAAGCAACACGGATATCCTCCCTTGGATCGATAGCTGACGTCAATCCAGAACCGCCGAGATCGTGGCCAACTCGCCGCAGTTCCGGCGGAAATCCTCAATTTTTGTCGATGCCATTCATGATCTACCTGAAAAGGCCGATCTTGCCCCGGCCCAACTGTATAGCACTGAATCTGGCCGGCTTTTCCACTCGGGCCGCATCGTGATCATCACTGTGGGGTTGCCCGCAAGAGGAAAGACGTACGTCTAACCTAACCTCTATAGTATTTCTCATGCAGCATGCTTATCTGATTAATAAATGACAGACACATGTCTGTGGCCTTAGCACGCTACTTGCGATGGTATGTTTCATTGCCGTGGAGCTGAGCCGCGCCTTTTCCTCTTTCCTGCCAACCACCAAGCTAACAAGTATACCAGGCTGGGTGTCAAGACCAGGATCTTTCATCTTGGTGACTATCGACGGGCCACGATTCCATTTGGCGAGGACATGCCTGATGACTATTTCTATGTGAATGGTGAGTGCAACGGCGATGGCCATCAAGTCGTTGATACTGACTTTGTGCCTAGCCTCGGCGTCCTCTGTTCTACTTCGTCAGAAGATTGTACGAAAGTGCCGCGAGGACATTTATCATTTCTTGAACCACGAAAATGGCCAGATCGCAATCTATGATGCTGTGAACCCCTTGGCCTCAGGGCGGCGCTCGCTTGCTAAAGAGTTCGCAAAGCATGATATCGAGGTGCTGCACCCCGCTTAGTTCCACTGAGTCACGTTGACAACTCACACTTTTTCTTCTATAGACGCTATTTATCGAGTCCTGGTGCGACGATGAACGAATTATTGAGGAGAATGTCCGCAGGGTCAAGATCTCCTCCCCCGATGTGAGGATCGTTCGAAGAGATTATAACCACCCCCACCAAACTGACTAGGCAATAGTATATTTCATGGCGCCCTGAAGATGCAGTCAAGCACTACTTGACCCGTATTTCCTCACGCATCCCTCAATTCCAGACCATGGAAGAAAAGGACCTGAACTACATCAAGGTTTGTACAATTGGGTTCTGGATCAAGTCTTATATATTTACTTTTGAACAGATGATTAATGCTGGCGAGCGACTGATTGTGAACAACCGTAGCTTTGGCTATCTCTCTAACCGCATTGTGTTCTACCTTTTGAATCTCCACATAAAATCGAGACGAACCTACTTTGTGCGGGTTGGCAGTGCCCCAGTCATACCGATAGGAACCAGACGTAACTAACTGTTCATATAGGCTGGAGTGTCGCGAGAGGTCGGATCTTACAAGACTGATTCGTCTCTCTCAGAACAGGGCGACGAATACGCCAGAAAAATGACAGATAGCCTGCTTGCCCACCGAGAGGCAGAGAAACAGGATATGATTGACCGGGGTGACCCGAGCTATGAACCACGACCATTGAAGGTATGGACATCCACCAGACGCCGGACCGTGGAGACTGCGAAGTACCTCTACGATAGAGGGTACATGGTCCGACAGCGGTCTCAGATGAGTCAACTCAACCCCGGCGTCTGTGAGAAGATGTCCGAGAGACGCATCCGTGAAGAGTTTCCAGATGAGGTTGCAAAGCATGAGCTTGACCCCTACCATCATCGGTATCCTCGAGCCGAGGTAAGAGATCCACGCCTCTCCGGTGTTTGAACTCGACTGACATAATGATAGTCTTACCATGACCTTGCAGTCCGTCTTGAGCCTATAATTCTCGAATTGGAGCGAGAGCAGAATGATTTGCTCATTATTGCCCACGAAAGTGTCCTGAGAGTCTTGTACGGCTATCTCATGGCTTGCAACGCCGCTGACATCCCATTCTTGGAGTTCCCTCGTGACGAGATTATTGAGGTATGCACAATTATATTTCCCATTTGCTTTATTATTTGAGCTAACTCACGTTTGCTTTTAGATCATTCCCGAGAGCTATCAGAACGAGGCGCGCAGAATCCATATTCCCGATCTCCCAGCAGAGATTATTCCGGCCTCGCCTGAAGACCTGAAGATCCCGGTGCCCTCTAGCGGAGTGGTCTCCCCGATTCAAGGCCTGGGCAGTCCACTGGATGGCGCTGCAACCCCTCAGAGCGGCTACAGGACCCCAAGCGGGCTCCGTACTCCTCGTGAGCCCGAAAGGATCTCTCAACAACATGTCGAAGACGTTGTCTAGAGCTATCCACCGAGAATCTTCTTCTGATTGACTTGAGGAGATTCTTAATTCCGGGACTCATTCCGGTATCAAGTTCCTTGTTTTATCGCATTGATCCATATTCTGTACCATCCAAGTACCACTAGCCTCCGTGTAGCGTTGAGACGAAGACTATATTATCTCCCGGTTGAAGTTCGTACTTCTCCTCGCCTTCGAGTTCCCAGTCGGCGTCATTGATCAGGACAAGGATTCCTGGACGACTATCATGATTATTAGTTTCGTGCATAGCTAGGCATATCTGTCCCACATACACATTGTCTTCCATGATGAACATCTCCTTCCTTTGATCCTGCATCAGGTTGTCGACCAGGTATGGAAGCAAATATGCGATGTTCGTTGGGCTACCATCTTCCATGCTACCAGGCAAGGTGACCTTATGCTTTCGTTCATTGCCAAAAAGCAACTCGAGTCCGCCACTGTAGAATTGTATTAGAGTCTAGTCGAACAATGGGGGGAAACCGGGACGGTACGTGAACTCGACGATAATGGGAATGGAGGCACCGGCGGCCATATTTGCAGAGTCTGCCATGGCTTCAGTGATTGTAATGGCAGAACCTCTGGCGTTTTCAGGCACGCTGACAGTGTCGTCGGCTTTCTTGACCGGGCTGGTGAAGGTTGGAAGTCGGCAGTGGGGAGGGGCTGGGCGGAAGCATTCTTATCGATAAGCTCGCTTTCCCAATCATCTTTTGCGACAGCTCTTTTTTCCGCCACTACAACCTCCAGCGCTGACACGACGGGGACGTCTGAGCCCGTGCAAATCATCACAAGCATGGCGTCTGTTACGACCGAATATATCAGCGTGGGAGGAAACCGGCACCCGGGGGCCGCGGATTGGGATGTCCAGTCGGGCGTGCTCGCCTTTGGTGCGGACAACAATGTCGCCTTGTGGGAACCTCTTGTAAGTCCAGTGGGCGCCATTGAGTTGGTATGTTTCTGCCTGGAGCTGACCATTTCCCTAGGATGACTCCCACAGGGGCGTTTATGCTCTGCTCGTGGGCCATTCCGACAAAGTGAGCGTCGTTAGATTTTACACCTGCCCCGCATCAGGAACGAAGTTTCTCCTCACCGGCTCCGTCGATCGTACAATCAGAGTATGGAAACAAGAGGCTGGCGATTCGCGTATTTATAAACAAGCTGCTTCCCTAGAGGCCCATCAGGGGTCAGTGAATGCGATTGCCGTGGCCAACGGGACGGATATCGTTGTGACTGGGGCCGCAGATGGAACAGTTCGGATTTGGAGAATCAATGCGCAGAACGAATTGAATTGCGAGTTGGTGGAAACAATCACTATGAAGCCTCGGTTCTTCCCGCTTACGCTGGCTATGCGGGTCCTTGAGGGAGACAGTGGCAAGCCTTTGGTGCTGGCTGTGGCAGGCACTACCACAAGCGTACAAATCTACGCTGCGGAATCATCCATTGACAAGCCAAATTTCCAGCGTCGGGCTGTGCTTTCGGGCCACGAAGCTTGGATTCGATCCCTTTCATTCACGCAAGACAAACAAGGCAAGACCAGTGATCTCCTGCTTGCTTCGGCTAGTCAAGACAAATACATCCGTCTGTGGCGATTATGTCAGGGTGAAGCACAGGTCCCTGCACCAATTGATGAAGATGATCCTTTGCTGGGTGGCATGGAGCCTACTTTGTCGAATAAAGCCCATGAGTTTGAAGCATCTGGATCGAAGTACTCGATCACCTTCGAGGCCCTTCTGTTCGGAAATGAAGATTGGATCTACACCACTGCATGGAATCCCGATCCGGCGCGATCACAGCTCCTGACTGCATCTGCCGATAACACCGTCACAATCTGGGAACAAGACTCAGTATCAGGTGTTTGGATGTCAGGGGAAAGAATGGGAGAGATTAGCACTCAAAAAGGCTCAACTACCGCGACTGGCTCTGCTGGTGGCTTCTGGATTGGACTTTGGTCTCCAGACGGCAAGCAGGTGGTGAGCCTTGGCCGCACCGGCAGCTGGAGAGTATGGCAGCACGACTCCGACGCGGACGCTTGGATTCAGAAATTCGGCATCTCTGGCCATGTACGCTCGGCTCATGGCGTGCAATGGGAGCCCAGCGGCGGCTATCTACTTTCCACCAGCGCTGATCAAACCACACGGCTTCATGCTCAGTGGCTGCGTGACAATAAGCGCTCATGGCACGAGTTCTCTCGCCCTCAGATTCACGGATACGACTTGAACTGCATTGACACATTGGGACCAGCTCAATTCGTGTCAGGCGCAGACGAGAAGCTTCTACGGGTCTTTAATGAGCCCAAACAGATCGCAGAGCTGCTCGAGAAGCTGACGGGCTTCCGACAAACGATTGAGGGAGACATGCCAGACACAGCTGAGATTCCAGTCTTGGGTCTTTCGAACAAAGCTCAAGGAGACGAAGCCCCGGTGGAAGAAAAAGAAGAATCCAGCGGAGTGGCACGGTTTGCGCCTGCTGCTTCGTTAATTACTGAAACCCCGCCCCTCGAAGACCAACTATCTCGGTACACACTGTGGCCAGAGCATGAGAAACTCTACGGTCACGGCTATGAAATCTCCGCCGTCGCCGTGAGCCATGACCGCGCCATCATTGCCACCGCTTGCAAGGCCAGCTCCGTCGATCACGCAGTGATCCGTCTGTATGATACATCAGACTGGCACGAGATCAAGCCATCTCTCGCAGCACACTCCCTCACAATCACTGACCTGTCATTCTCCGACGACGACCAATTTCTTCTGAGCGTGGGGCGAGACCGCCAATGGGCAGTTTTTGCCCGAAGTGAACAAGACCCGACCACATTCAACAGTTGGGCCACAAACCCCAAGGGCCACTCTCGAATGATCCTGGGCGCAGCCTGGGCACCGATTACCACACAGCGCATTTTCGCCACGGCTGGGCGTGACAAATCCGTCAAGATCTGGCAGAAGACCGAAGATGCGTTCACTTGCAGGACTACTATTGCTTTGATATCCGCAGGGTCCGCAATTGCCTTCCTGCCCACGACATACAAAGATTCCTTTATCGTTGCTGTCGGAGAGGATAGCGGTGCCGTCTCTGTCCACAGAATTGCCATCGATAACCTCGAAGCGCAGCACATTGTGACCATCGACCCGTTGATTGCGCCGTCGAGGGCAATTACGCAAGTATCATGGCGGCCCGTACCGACCGCCAATGTGGATAGCAGAACTCGGTTTGAACTTGCAGTGGCCAGCGAGGATACGTCTACGCGCATATACGCCATCTCCAACATACTCTCATGATCCCGGATGTACATAGATATCACCTTGATGTTAACGATGTTTACCTTTCTACCCTCTCGCCGGATCTAGCATTTCTAGCAGCCCTTCAGATCAGAACTGCTGATTTTCCGCTCCACCGATAGAGCTGGGAATAGTTGATTGGGTGCATCGACTGTTAGTCGTAGCGTGTGACACGATGCAAGTAAGGCTGCAGGATCGAAGGATTGCTGACCGCTGATCTCAGTGTCTGGAAAGACCACATAATCCTTAATCATTGGTACCTGGCGTGGGGTTCCCCATGGGGGCCGAATGAGCATACTTGCTGCGACTTTTAAGCCTGGCACATCGGATGATGGAGTGGTGCAGGCCCATGTGCATAGGACAAGGGATATTCGTAACACATTCGGCGCAGGCTTGTTTACTCTGGTTCTATGGGTTCGAAACATTGGGCCCATCCACAGACACATCTTTCTGTCCGTCAATATCATGTCATTCGGCTAGCTAATGAAAGGATCGAACTACACTGTAGATTCAAAATCGTGAAATAATCCACCACATAATCTCGTTACAGGAGTGCTGCCAGCATAACAACCCCCAACACACTGAAAAGGCCACTCTTGCCCTGTGTATGGGTTGCAACAGATGAAGTCGTCGCTGCAGCGGTAGTCGCCGGCGGAGAAGGTGCGACAAGGGCCTTGTTCGAATTGAACACCGCTGGCAACGGGGCAAGATCATATGTGTTCGCGGGAGTCACAGTCACATAAAAAGGGCTCGGCAAAGAAGGGGCCAGGACATAAGCCACGCTGAAGAAAGGCAGCCCGAGTTCAAGAACAGGCGGTAATGAACTGGATGATGTCGTAGAGCAGCGCGAGTCATCCGACTTTGGGAAAGCCAGGAATGAGAATGTCACATCTGTGAGCTTCTGGATGGTAGTGTCTTGGGCTGTGAGCGTAACTGAGAAGTTCGAGGTGCATGTATCCACTCCGGAGGGGAACGTAATCTGCTTGCTGCCAAAATTGAGTCATGCAGGATATGTGTGGGCGGAGCCATTTGCCATGGAATCTGAACCCGTTGCAAATTGTCGGATGGTCGCATTATGGGGTCAAATTCACCATACCAGTGTCCTAGAAGATGCCAGACTCCGAGCCAGGCAGGATGTACCACGGCTTTGATTGCACCCGGTTGGCATCATAGCTGGGCTTTCCCATCATAACCCAGATTGAGCGCAAAGGGAACGGTGAGGGTTGCTTCCGCTGGACTTCTGTACCTCTGCCCTTCTATTCGCTTTACATAATTTCAACCCCCATATTTGAACCCTGTAATCTCCAAGTCCTCGAAGATTGCATCACATAGATGGTGTGGAAGAGAGCCTTGGAGACACCTCACGCTCGGTGCGATTCTGTTTGCAGTCCCTACCGTTCCACTTCGACGCCAAAACCAGCATAGAAGCCACCTAGGGCAGCTACCTACCGACTGATAATAGAAGAGAACATAATGAATACAAGTTGAAAGTAGTTAGAAACTCGTAGTACCCTGGTGATAATTTCATGAGTCGAACGCTGTCGGATGCACAATCCACATCAAGTTGGGCCCCTTGATCGATATTCGAGAATTCTGTTATGATGTCCATGCGCAGTCAATGGTCACGCCTTTGGTAGCTCGCCTTCCTTGTCATTCAAACTTCAACCGATTCTGTGGTCCGCCATGTGGAGAAACTTCCTATCCTCGTGGAGCTCTTCGACTCTCCCACGTCGCTTGGACTCGTAACAAATTTGGCGCGAAGCGCGGCACGGATATCCTTCTTACTCCGGCCCTTCCAAGCGAGATAGCCGTCCTGGCTGAGCGGAAATAGAACCAAGTTCTCTGGGCGCGCCATGAAAACCTCCACCTTGGGCGGCGGAGTGGCGGTGATTACATCCAGCTCCTTCGCTATCTGACGACAGTATGTGGTGAGGGGGAGATCATTGACGTCCTCGCCAAATGGATTCTCGATCTCGCTGCCAATGAACAGTAAGCCGATAATGATATACGCGGCCACTGGTGGCGAACAGGTCGTCAGCGATTGTTCTTGGACACCCGCTGAGTTACGGCCAGCTTGCTTACCCATCGAAGCAGGGATCGTAGTCCAGTGCAAGAATTTATACAGCTGAAAGGGAAGCAGCATAACGTAGACCCAGGAAATCTGAGCGATAGCGATGCTATACGCGGCGGGTAGAGGAGTGTCGAGGACGCGCTCCGTCCCGGTTAAGATCTCGTTGAGCGCAGATATCATCGTCACTACATGAGTTGGTCCGTCATTCATATCTTGTCTCTCTCGCGAGTCCTTTCACTTACTCGTTTGGCCCTGGTACTGAGCTGGACCGAGCGTGCCGTTCTTCACACACGCATCGACATAGGCGGACAAGTGGACCAGGATCTCGAATGGGAGATTGCCGAGCGGCTTCTTGGACCGCTTAATCAACTTCCGTGGGTTGGACTTGGCGAAGGAAAACCCCAGATACTCTCCTGCAGATTTCCATGGAGTTTTGGAGTTGGGAGAGACGACGTTGGGATCGTGCGCGTCGAGGGCAAAAGTATCTAAATGGCCGATGAGCCCTGCTAAGTCCTCGTAGGCGACGTCGGGCTCAAAGCGGAGCTTGTGTTTTAGAGCGACAGCAAACGCGAGGATCAAATTCATGGCGGATCTATAGCATCGCTGGTTAGTCGATATCTATGACCCGGGGCCGATCGGCTCCTGAATATACAGCTTTCTCAGCAGATCCACCTTGCTCTGTTCCTCGTCCTCGCGTTCGTCGATATGCACCCAGATGATGCGGGCCAGGTTACGCGAGGTTTGAATGAGGCCAGCCCAGTACTTGCGTCCATCGGCCCATCTTATTTTCCTGTTAATTCTCGCGGGAGCAAGCCAGCAAGCCCACGCCATCGATGACTATACCTTTCGTACGCAGTCGAACCACGGAACGACAATGATAACCCCACCACGAACCCCAGCACCGTAAGGAGGATATTGTTGATCCCGACTAGATACTCCCACGAGCACGTCAATTAGTCCGAGCTAGGGCCAGACCTCCCACCGAAGACTTACGATCGTGTTGAAAGTGAGAAATGCAGGTAATGAGCGTCGCCCAGCCGCCCACGAGTAACAACGGCAGGATCATTTGGGGCATAACACTCCCTTGGATTCGCATGACCATCGGCCACTTCGAATGTTGGTTCATATTGCGGGGCCCATGCTAGGCGAGGTGATATCCGTTATATCTACGTCCGCCTCAACCTCGCTTCCCAGGGTTACATACAAAATACCGCTCTAGCTCGCTTCTCTCCTGCACCTGGAACTGGGACTCCCGAGAGTCCGCCAGATTGTCCATGAAACTCGGTCGCCGCGAGAGCGGCTCGATGAAGTCCTGCTCCTTTGAGCCGGGAAAAAGTCCGGTTGGGCGGTGATTGTTATCATGATGTACATCGGCTGTGGACGGGGCAGGATCGCCGCTATCTGACATGATGGAAGACTAATGAGCCCACGAAAGATATCAAAGAGGCAAAGGAAAAGTCCCAGCTGCTGGAACCATGCCAGGTCAACAGACGAGTTGATTCGAAAGTCGAAATGAACGCCGACAAAACATACAGAAGTATTGATATGAACGGGGAAGAGGAAGAGAACGACGTCATGCGTGCTTTTCCCGATCTACGGCAACTGGTGACGAGGTACATATTGATGAGACGAGGCGATGTGTCGAAGTACATCGAGCTGCAACGCCACTTGCTGTGTTGGGACGCAGCTGCAGCCCCGCCAAGGCGGCGCTAATCTTTGAACGAAGCTCAGGGCGTCAGCCTGGAATAATAACCTTTGGGTCTGTTCATAAACGCTTGCGCTCGAGGCCATGCGGATGGATTGACTGGGATAGATACCGCACGACCCGAGCGGGGTGATCATCGCCCCGCTTGCCCCGTCGATCCCTGGTGTGGCATGCTTGCAGCGGTGTTGAATATTATACCGAGGAAATCACTGCGCTGCTTCGATATAAGTGATGCGCAACTATTTTATACCTCACGATACGCGTTGCTCCGGAATCCTATTGTTCAGAATTCATCGCAACGCCATCAGTCCCCACGATGTCGGCGTAGTCTCCCAAGTGCAAACCCAATCTATGATTGTCGTTAAAAATGAAGAGCCAGGCACGAAGCCGTGAAGCATATGTGTTCAACGCTTGTATATCATCGTTCTGGCCTTCGTTTTCCGAGAGCCAGGCAATCCCAACAACAGCGAGTGGACCTCGTTGCACCAAAAAAAACACACACAGGAGGAACCTCCTCTAGCTGCCTTCCATATTCTTAGTACAGCTCCAGAAGTATCCAGAGGGAGAACAGGCAGTCTGAGTGACGACGCATAGTACGCTGAGTCGGAGGGCAGGTCAAAGTAGAGCCCTCCCCTTTACGTGACTCGGGCAGTTCCCCTTCCACTCGAGAAGCTTCTTTCGCTTTCTGGATACACGCGTCAACGCACAGAAGAATGTTGTTTTAGTCAGTGAGCATGAGGTGAGAATCCCTAGTTAGGCCCCAAGATGGACTCGCAGAGTCCCAATTGTAGCCGGTTCCAGCACGGTGGACGGGCTTTGGTCGAGTTTCTATCACAGACTATTTTCAGGATCATCGAGCTGAATTGGGCGGTCTCCCTCATTCGAATAGTTAATGTAACCACGAGTTATGTCAGTTTGCGCTCGAGAAAATGAGATTATAGTTATAGATCAAAAAGCTCGTCTTCAAGCGCAGTGTTGAGATAAAAGCACACCTACATATGATCTTGCTCCCCGTGGGTTGATATAAGACTATACCAGCAGCGACAGCTCAGCCAGCCCAGGTACCTCAATGAAAGCAACAACCATGTTGATTAAATGTATTGTATGGTGCATATGCGATTAGTGACGTTGTACTACCCGCGGCGAGTTTTTGTGTTGACGCAGGGAGCTCGGGCCGGAATTTCTTCTTTCCGGGCTGGCATTTACCTCTGGGGAGCTCTCGCCCGCTGAACCTCTTAAACGTCAACGCGATCCCCAGCTCTTGGATCCTCCCAGTGTTGCCCCAATCTCTTCACACAATGGCCGACTACGAGCGCCGGAATAGTGGCCACCGGGGGGTGGTGGTGGTGGTGGGCGCAAGCGCCGCTATCGAGGTGAGTGATCCTCCCAGAGGCCTCTTTTTCTGTGCTGCTGACCATGACCATTCCCAGATGACGAGGACTACGATCGCCGCCCTCAGCGACGGAGATATGAGGAGCCACTCTTTGTGCAGGTCCGCCGGCAGCTGTTGACCATTGCGGAATCGGTACGGTCTCTCTCTTGACTTCTTGATGCGCGTTGTTATCCTACGGATTACGGAACGGGATACTGATGCTGCGAACTATTGCATAGGCTGCTCGGAGAGTGGAAGATGATGTCGTTGGAATCGCGAAGAGTGTGGCAGAGAACTACGACGATGAGGAGCTGCGCGACACTATGATCAACATCTCCCTTGACCTGTACGTGACGTGCCTCCTTGTCCCCCATTGGACACAAATCCGATGCGCCTACTGACGACGTGGTTCAATGCAGTGTCCTGGAACAACCGATGAAAATTCCATTTGTTGCTGCGACGGCTCTGGTCGCCCACAATATCAAGCCGGAGCTTGGAGCGGAGCTGCTGCAGAAGGCGGTTACGGCCTTGCAGAAATACATTGATTCTGGGTCATGGCGCGAGGTCAAGCTTCTCATCCGCTTTTTGGGATGCCTGCAGCCTCTGTTTGAGGGTGATGGTATTTTTCCACTTCTGGAGGAGCTCTTCGCTCGCGCGGTCGATCTCCAGACCGCATCGTCTGAAGACGTAAGTGGTTTTGTCTCCTTCGGACAATGTCCTTCTGTCCTAACTGGTTTTCTGGTCATAGTTGCTCGGCATGGAGCTTGTCAAAATCATTCTCTTCACCATCCCTTACGTCATGTCATCCAGCGCCACTGGTTTTGAGGCCCATGCTTCCGCGCTTCTCGAGAAGACTGACATTATCGCATCCACTCCGCACGCCCTTGTTGACTTGGTGAACACCTTTAGCCCGGAGGAGAACGAATCTGCCGCTGGCCCCAGTTTAATCAGTGTTCTCCAAACCCAGCTTCAAAACGAAGCCAGCCAGGGTTGGGAGCTGAAGTGTCTGCCACGCCCTTGGAAGGATGCGCTGGAAGCGGAAGGCGACGAGCAGAAGCCTTTCGACGTGGTGACCAAGGTCGCTTTCCCGCAGATCAATGTCCCGAACCCTGTGCCGTATGGCCCCCGGGCTCTCTTCCCGGAGGTCTACCTCTCGGTCTATGCCAACCAGGAGGTGGACACCGTGCCTTCCATTTCGGACATCGCCTCGTCGCTTCTGCGAGACGCATTAGTGGATACCATCAACCTTCTTGACTTCAATCGCGTCGCTACGGCTAAGTACCTTATTGATGTGGATTGCTACTACACCCGCCACACCTTCGTCAAGCGTGCCACGCCCTTTGACCGCATGCGTGATATGGCTGGTGACAATAAAGCGTGGAAGCCAGAGGATGTGGCGGTGGATGCCGTCTTCTCACAGTTGTTCCAGCTGCCGACATCGGAGCATAAGCTTGTATATTATCACGCCCTCCTGACCGAGTGCTGCAAGATTGCTCCGGCGGCAATTGCGCCCAGCTTGGGCCGTGCGATTCGGTTCCTGTATAACAACGTGGAGACCATGGATCTAGAGTTGAGCAATCGGTTCTTGGATTGGTTTGCCCATCATCTGAGCAACTTCGGCTTCACCTGGAAGTGGAGCGAATGGTAAGTGGATAGATCTTGGATTTTCCCCCCTGGCAATAGTTGCAAGGGGCCGGCAAGATGCTGACCATGCATATAGGGTTGAAGATCTCGAGCGCCCTGCCATTCACCCCAAGATGGCCTTCATTCTCGGTGCCCTGGACAAGGAAATTCGACTTAGCTTTGCGCAGCGCATCAAAGGCACTCTCCCCGAGCAGTATTTGCCGTTGATCACAGAGTCCAAGGAAAAGGATACCCCCGAGTTCAAATATCTCTCCGAGGGTATGTGTGACGGCAGTCCCCCCCGTTTGACTACTACTAGTACTTTTCCAGTCACTAATTCATCAACGACAGCAACCCCGTACTCAAAGGAAGGACAAGAGCTCATGCAACTCATCCGCAAGAAGGCAGGCGACGACGAGCTCCAGCCTGTCATCGCCTCCATCGAGGAACAGGCGCAGAGCCTGGGCGTCGATGACCCTAAGGTCCCCTCCACAGACGCGCTCATGACCTCCATCTGCTTCGTGGGCTCCAAGTCCCTCTCGCACGTGCTGTCCTGCATCGAGCGCAACAAGGATCGCCTGCTCGCCATCGGCGCGGCCTCCGAGAAGGCCCGCTGCCAGATCATCACCTCCGTCATGGAGTACTGGGCCGATCAGCCCGGCATCGCCATCAACATCGTCGACAAGTTGCTCAACTACACCATCATCAGCCCCCTTTCCGTGTTGGAGTGGGCTCTCATCGAGCACATTGAGGCCGGCGCCATCCTCTCCAAGTCCCACATCTACGAGATGATCTCGGCCACCGTCGGCAAGGTCACCAACCGCATGCGCCAGATCGTGGCTGCCCGCACCCAGAAGGGCCTGTACGAGCCCCAGCTCAGCGTCCTCGATGAGACCCTGTCCCGCGAGCGCGTCGGGATGCAAGCCCTCTTCAAGTTCATCGAGGACTCCCTTGTCTCGGTCGCTGCCGGCAGCAACGACGAGCTCATGGAGCGTGGCAATGGCTCCGGCGATATGCCCGAAGACCTCATCCTCCGCCAATGGGGCCGCCGCTGGCTCCGCGTCTTCCGCCGCAAGGCCGCTGTCGAAGAGGCCTTTATCTCCGATGCCCTGCTCAACGCTACCCCGGTCGGCACGATCGCCCCGGTGCAAGAGGAAGTTGTGGATACCGTGGCTGATGGAGACATTCACATTGCTGATGCGGACGGGCCATAAATCAGTGGACCCTGGGGGTATGTTTGGGGGCCAGGTTAGATGGGGACTTGGAACTTCGATTTTAGCACTGATCTTGCACTTGTTTTCATCCTTTCGATTTTTTCTGTGTCACTGCGCGATTGGGATTTGCCCCCCGTTTCCTCTAATCCATGGATGCCCTGGGCGCGGATCTTGATTTTGATCGGTGACATACTCTGGATTTGTACACTACGGAACTAAAACCGAACCCTGAGACTTTGCGTGCTGCCGCAAATGGGAAATAAAAAATAAACAAAAACGAAAAACAGAATATTTCTCATTGTCATAGTCATAGTCATAGATTATTCATCTCTGGTCTCGTGCTGTCCAGGCTTCTTTGGTAACATCTGACTGTGCTCCTGAGTTGGTGAACTTCCGCACTACCGCAGTGTCGATTCAATGGTCCCAACTACCCAACGAACTATTTACTCGCGGTAGACTATATCCATTTCTTGAATGGACGTGGTACAATCATATCGTAACATTACATATTTCCCCTTGGATGGTCACTTGACCCATCTCCCGTATACGCCTCTACCATGCACCCCGCAAGTCGCAAGTGCCGGTTCACGGGAAAGTTCTACCCCCAAAACCCTAAATCAAAGTTCGAAAGTCAAAATCAATCAACGGCTGTCCCGAGAGACCTCTTGAAATTCCCCGTACAGGCAGAGCTGGAGTCCCCAAAACCAGCCCATAGAGTACAGACAGTATAAAATGAAAGAGAAAAAATCGGAGGGGGGGAGACAAAGACGTCAAACGGCATGGAAATAAACCCCAGAATAAAAGAAATGGATATCTCAAAACCAACCAAACAAGGACGGGCCCCTCGTAACCTCGTATACATAATGTCACAGAAACAACAAAGAGCCAGGCAAGACCAAATATAAGTGCACCCCAGAAAGCACAGCGCCCGGACAGGATATGTCCAGGGACAACCCAAAAGAAAGGGACGACAATAACCAAGAACCCCCCCAAAAATGCTCCTATCTCCATCAGATCTGCCGAAATATACCAATCCCAAGCCGTCCCGGAGTCGGTTCGTATCATCAAATCAACATCACATCAACAACATGACTCACCCACCCCTCCTCTCCAAATAGTACCCCCCTTCCTCACCATCACTACTGGAGCCGCCCGTATACATGGATAGACTATCCTCATAGCAGCCACGTCGCTCCTCATCCGACTCCAACGACGGCATCCGGCTGCCCATGCCCATGCCCAGCGATGTGCCGCCAGGTCCATGCCCGGATCGCTTGCCGGTCGTTGAGATCCGCCGGTCCTTGCCACGGCCCTTGATGCCCTTGTTGCTGTTCTTGTAGAGCTCGGCGAAGTACTCCCACAGCTCGCGGTCTGCTGGGTTCATGGGGCCGGCGTCTCCCATCTGCGCGAAGCGGAGGGTTAGGTTGCGGAGGGTGCCGGAGTGGAATTTGTTTTGGTGGGACTGGAGTTTGCATTAGCTGCTGCTGCTCTGCTGCTCTGCTGCTCTGCTGCTCTGCTGCTCTGCTGCTCTGCTGCTCTGCTGCTAAGAAGAGGGTGGAGGGGGAAATATGTGTCGCGGGGTTTGGCTTGGGAGGGGAATCCGGGGCTGTTGTACCTTTAGGTTACCCAATTGCGTAAACTTCTTGCCACAATCATCCAGGAGACAGGTAAATGGCTTTGCGTGGAGGTGAGTGATCTGGTGCGCGCGTACATTGCCCCGTTGGGCGAACCGCTTGTGACAGATGTCACACTTGAAGGGCTTCTCGCCCGTGTGCCGGCGCTGATGAGTCTAGCCCGGGGTGGGTCAGTCAAGTCTCGTGCGGTCCGGTTTTCCGAGGTGCAGGAAGGAAGGGGTAAGTTGTAGAGTGGGTATCCATCTGGGACGGGTAGGGCTTGGGCATCGACAGAAGCATGCTTACCTTGAGGTTGCCTAGCTGCGAGAACCGCTGCCCGCATTGGGGCTCCTTGCAGATCTGCCCAACGTCGTCAGCAAATCTTGCTCCACTCTCCCCCACCACCCATCGGCTCTAGCCCGGCCTGGCCTGGGCGAGTCTGGGCCTCTCAACCGGCCGTAGCCAATGGGAGATTCTGCTAGTGTACCGTAGACTTACAAAGGGTTTCTCTCCTGAATGCGCTCGGTTATGAATATCCAGATGCGTCTTCTGCGCAAAGCTCTTCCCGCAGTTCGGCAGCATACACGTATACTTGCGCTTTTTGCCTGACCGCGACAACTGCCCTTCGTTCGTGAGCAGGCTGCGTGGAGGCGACATGGGATAGCTAGGGTAGCTTGGATAGCCCGGCGGCGCAAGCTGCTGCAGCGGCGGCAGCGACTGCTGCACGGGCACCGGCGAGCTCGCACTGCCGGGCTTGGCCTGGATGGCTTTCATCAGGACATCGACCTCCGTCGAGAACTCGGCTTCACTGCCCTGCTTCTTCGAAGAGGAGCCTCTGGCTGCCGCCGCCTGACTGCTCGGCGGCGGCAAGCCTGGCCGATGGTCCGCCCCTTTGCCCACCTGGTTGATGGCATTCTTGGCCGGGCGGATCTCCGGGAGGGATTGCAGCGGGGCCGGTTGGTGGTGATGGGGCTGCTGGGGCTGCTGGTGTTGATGGTGGTGTTCTGAAGTCAGGCGCACCGGTGAGGCCAGCGGTGGCTGGCTCGCCACGAAGTACTGATAAGCGTGTGAGGGCTGACTCAAGGCGCTGGAGCCAAAGCTATATGCAGCGGAGGTGGGAGTTGGGTGGTAGGGCAGCGAATATGGAGTCGATGTGGGATGGGAGTAGTAGGGGAATATAGGCGAGTCCATAGCGCGACGATGGGGGAATGAGCCCACGCCGTGGCCTGGGAACTCATAGGAAACCGGTTCAGCAGTCTCCATGATAATGAGCCGACCAAGCAGACGCTAACGAAGCAGGAAGAGGAAGAGAGAGGCAGACCCGGTGGGGGGGGGGGGGGGGGGGAGGATGTTCAGCGCAGGACGGTCTGGGTCGGGGGCAACCCTGAAACCCGGACGAACCGGACAGCCTCACAGGCCCCAGCCCACGCACTCGACACTGTCTTGATCTGGATTTGTGTTTTGACTCGTTGGGCGCCAGTTGGGGACCAGAGATCTCAGGGCGCCTATTTTGGTTGGTTTGGTGCTGGCTTGGTTTGGAAGAGGAGAAAGGGGGGGACGACAGAGGGAAAGAAGAAGAAAAGAGGATGCGTGGACGAAGTATAGAAATAGACAAACGGGCTGCGCGGCACGACGAGGAGCCGGGTGTATCCTCAATCCTTGAGAGACTGGATTCTAGACGACGGGATCGTCTTGAATAATGAACCCTGGGTACGATACGGGGTAGTTCGTCTCACTGCTGCGAAGATCCGCGCCGGATGGCCGTCTCGGGGACCGATCGACCTATATACCCCCGATCTCCCGCCAGGTCGGAACGAGGCAGATGGACAGAGCGACGGAAGACAGATCGAAACGAGACAGCGAGCGTGAGAAAGAGCGCGAAAATGACTCCACCCCGACTCCCACGGGCTGCAGGTGGGCTGAAGACGCGCAGACAAGCAAGAGGGTCGCTGGGGAACTAGTGGTGATCACCCGCGTCCGTCGTCCAACGTAGTCAAATGGTCAAATAGAGGCCAGGGCCGACTGGGGCGGATGGAGTCAGAGCCAATGCATCCACCGGCAAAGACGCCAAAGACCAAGACCATCAAGTCTTGGCTCGACTGTATGACGTTCGCCCCGAAAAGGGGAGCAGTTCGAGACCAGACGTGCAGGGGCGATCTCTCGAGGGGCGTGGACGAGTACGGAGCAGAAAGAAGAATCAAAATCACTGGGAGAATGCCGAGCATAAATGTCGTAATTATAATCGTAATGATTATTTTTGCGCGACATTTCCACGTCCATCAAATCAGAAAATCATCATCCCAGATGGACCTCATGGACGCCACGATGAGGCGATCTGAACACCCCACTGGCGCATCCTTTCGGACATCCGGTATCACGAGCAGGGAAAAACTCTGCATGTTACTCCTGGGGATGATCATGATTATCATTATCATTCGCGATTGGTGTCATATCTCTGAGCATATCCAATCTCTGTGGAAGGGCGGAGGAGGGGGAACTCTCGGTGTGCCTCCCCGCGGAGTCCGCCGAATTCAGTCGCAGCCGCGACTGGCGAGGGCTGACTGGATTTCGTGACATGACTTGAGACAATTCTGGCATTCTAATTCTAGTTAGCAGCAGCACTCCCGCCTGGGGGATGGGCTTAGTTCCCCGGCCCGCAGCCACTCACCACCCGCCGGCATGTCGCCCTCTCCACCCGCTTGAGCCCTGGCCCTCGCGACGGTTCCTCTCGTCACTCGACTCTTTTCTGCCTTCTGCAGACCTCGTTTCTTTTTCGTGTTTCTCTGGATCCGCGGTTTCCCTGTACTCCGTCCTGACGGGACCATGAACAGGAACCACCGACCCAAACGGGAAAAAAAAAGAGAAAAGGAAAAAAAAAAGGAAAAAAAAGGAAAATGAAAATGCCAAACAGCGGCATCGCCCTCGAGGGCGGGCCGGGCCTTCGGGCTTTCAAGCTGGGCGATCGGCAGTCGACAGGTCGGTCGAGTCAGCCTCTCCGTCTCCTGAGAGAAAGCTTTTCGCGCTGTGATTTGCCCTCGCCCGGCTGGACTCCTCCAGCGCCCTCCTCCCCCGGTCCCCTTGACCCTCAGCGAGGGCCAGTGGCTGGGGGCCAAACTCGAGAAACGGAGTCGACTGGGGTCGAGGCCGGCTGTTCATTGGGCTCCCCCGGCTGCGCCCGCCCGATAGTCGCCAATAGCGTCCGATCCCCGCCCAGCGAATATCCTGGTTAGCCGCCCATGGCCCCAGAAATTCCTTTTGCTGTGACCCCCGATCGGTTTCAGCTCCCAGATCTGTGAGGGCGATCCTCTAGGTGAATCTGGGCACGCTGGGAACGCTGGGCACGCTGGTGTCACGCTGGCGTGCTCCATCTAGGGACAAAGTACTCTGTGCCAAGAAAGTGTACGGATATACCGTCCTTTCGTACCTCTGGATGCCCCCGGATGGGGTCACCTCACTCGTGGCTTCCCGGACAGACTCTTCCGCTGCCTCCTTTCGTCGAGGACGGAGACGTGACCCCCCAATACTCCAGAGCATGCGATGATCATCCTCGACCCCAGGGAGATTGGAAAATGACAGAGCACGCCCGCGGCGAGATTTGTTTTCATCCCGGCCACCTGCACGGCCAGTGGTGCGTCTGGAGGCGTCCGCCCTTCTGGTTCCTGCAGGGATCGGGGCTCACGAACTCCTGCCAGAATGGGTCCCGACAGGTGAGCGTGCGAGCGGATGCGGCTGCCGGTGGACGGAGTGGAGCTACGGCGAGTGAATACAGTACAGGCGATACTTGGCCACTCTCCGTCAAGGACGTGCTGATGTACATCAGAGGGGCTATGGGTATAAACCACTGTAGTATGTCAGTATGCACTGACAGGGGGGGGGAACAGAGCAAGAAGGACTAGCACTTAATGAACATGTATACCGGTACTGACAGCCGAGCACCCTTCGACAAGCCGATGGAGGCACACTCTTTCTCCTTGTCTGGTCGGGTCGGGAAGGCACCCGCTAGGCTGCGCGAGACTATCTGCCCTTACGATCCCATCACATCCAGGAGGAGTTAGCTCTGTGCTCTGTGAGGGTACTGGAGCTGGCGTTCCTACCGAATCACAGTAGTGGACGGAGAACCCCCAGGTGGCCCTCCATCCTTCGTACTCGGTACCCGGGGGGATCCACTCCCCCCTCATGAGAATGACGGATTCTCCTGGGCCGCGGATCGCCCGCCAGGGTCGATAGGTCGACCGGTCGCCTGGCCAGGTCGCCCCCGGCGGCTCTGGGGCGATTCCGACCAGGGGTGGCTCTGTTGGGCCCCAGCGGACCCAGTGTCTTGGGCCTGTTCTGGCTGGGTGTGGCCTGCTCGGTTCGATTCGGCTCTGGTTTGGCGGGCCTCCACCGAACTACACTAGACCCTTTTGCACGACTGTGCAACTGGCCTGGAGAGGGTCAGATGATCATGCGGACGGCTGAGGGCCTTCCTGATGGGGCTAGCGGCATCGTCGGGACTTCTGGCGTGGTGCGACGGGAAGTGGTCGAGAGTGGTTGGCTGGCCGAGGATTGGGCGACCCCGTGGAGTCTTTAGTGTAGTAATAGGTGCAGACGGTGTACGGGACTATGGACCGAGCATGTGTATATTGGGAATTGTATGGGGGGTTGTATGGAGGGGGTTTGCAAACGTGCCTGATCCAAAGAGAAGGGAAAGGCGACAATGGAAATCAGAACCAGACAATCAAGAAGAATTGGTAACAAGAGTAACAGAAAGACACCGTCAAATTCAAGAAGCCCCAACCTGGCTACGAAGGAATCCAAGCAAGTAAAGTCATATTGCGCCGTGGCTGAGCCGATCCCTTTTACCGTCCTGTGTACGTCGAGTATCTGCGTCGCAGAGAAAGACCAGTGCGTCAGTAAGGCGGCCAAAGATCGCGCAAGAAAGAGAAGATCATGATGGACCATGGACGAGACCGGGAGATGATCGCAGACCCGGCGCTCTGGGATAAGGGGGAAGGGGGAAAGGGAGAGGAGGGGGGACAAAAGACAAGGATGGGCGATTGCTTACCTCCAGATCCGTGCACGCATGTCTCCACTGCCAGTGGCGAAGAGGTTGCCAGTCGGGGCAGGGGCCACCGAGATCACTATCCGCGGAGAATTAGAAGAATGATCGTCAAACACGACATGCACCGGCAGACGGGGGAGAGGAAGGAGGATAGATAATAGATAGGGACAACCGAGGGATAAAGATAGTGACAGCACACTATCATCCCAGCTATTCCCTGACTATCGACGATAGACTCACCGGAGTTCTTGTGCCCCTGCAGCATCATCTGCGCGTTACCAGTAATTGGATCCCAGAATTGGACCCCACGGTCCTTCGAGCCACTCATGACCCACTGGCCATCGGGCGTCAGGCAGACGCTAAGCACGAAGTCCTGGAGCACGCGGTAGTCAGTACCCAATTAATGTCAAACGTGGACCCTCGGCGGTTGCCGCGTGAGTGGCCGTTCCATGGAGGTCATGGAGACGACGAAGAAAGAAGACGAACCTTGTGGCCCTCGAAGGTGCGAACACACTTGCCGCCCTTGACGCCGCTATGAGGGTGCATGCCCCGCGGGACGGTGAGCTCCCACAGCTTGATAGTCTTATCCAGACTACCACTGACCAGGTCGCGGCCGTTGGGCGCAAAGGCAACCGAGTACACGCTGTCCTTGTGCCCGTCAGGGTTTTCCAGACGTTCCACGAGGTAGCCGGTGGTGGTGTCCCACACCCGCACGCTCTTGTCCAGCGAACCGGCCGCCACGTAGTGGCCATCGGGGGACATGGCCACCGTGGTGACGCCGTCCTCAATGCTCAGGGTGTAGACGAGCTTGCCGTCCAGGATATCCCACAGACGGACGGTCTTGTCACCACTTCCCGACGCAATGTACCGGCCGTTGCCGGCAAAGTCCAATGAGTAGATATCCTGCTCGTGGCCGCTGAAGATGTGCTTGATAGTGCGCGCAGCAATATCCCAGACCTAGAACACATTGCAATGATTCGTCAGTCAATCATCAAGTCTTGCAACACGCTCCCTTCCACGCCCAGTGTGTAATTCGGAGCCAGAAGGGAGAAGGGGAGGGGGGGGGAGGAAACCGAGGATAGCATACCCGAATCTGCTTGTCCTCCGCGCCGGTCGCCAGGTACTTTCCATCCGGGCTGAAGCAAACACTGCGGATGTACAGGTCGCCATCCTTGTCGACATTCTCATCCTGCAGGGTCGCCACGTTCTGACCAGTGGTCACATCGAAGATCTGCGCCGAACGGTTGCAGCCCGTCGCCAGGTACTTGCCATCACGGCTGAAACGGACACAACAAACCACGCTGTCATGGTTGAGATGGTGCACCAGCTCCACGTCCAGCACGCGCTGTACCTCCGGGTTGAACACGGCATACCAATCGGTGCCCTCGCGCTTTTGCGACGCGGGAAGGTCGGCCGGGTCCCAGTTAGCGAGCATGTTGCCCGGGCGGTCGGCACGCACGAGAGACTGGTTTGGGGGCGTGGGGCGAGGGATCTGAGGCGACGCGCGAGGATCCGGGTAGGCAATCTGCGTTTGCTGGGGGGTGGCCGGGCCCGGGGCGGTGCGACGACCCTTACCGGGGCCAGGAGATGCGGTCGGGGGAGGAGGAGGTCCGTAGCCTGTGAGTTCCAAAACAAGTGACCCAATTCGTTAGCCAACCTGACAATACTTCGCATCTCACGCAAACATACCGTTCACAGCAGCACCAGGCTGATATCCTCCAGGGAAGCTCTGCGGGGGCTGCGGCGCACCAGGCTGGGCGGCCGAGGCAGGCTGTTGAAGGCTATGCTGGGAAGGCTGCTGATCCTGGGAGGGGGGGAGGGGCAAGACCGGGACCACTACCTCCTTGGTTGGTCATGATACCACCAAACAAGTTGCTGGGGCCGTGGCCCAATGAAGGGGGTTGCGCCTGAGGACCGGTGTGCTGTGCGGGCGCGATGTGAGAGGCGACGGGTTGCACGCCGCGCGACTCGAGCTCGTGTCTCAACATTCGGATCTCCGCTTCGTAGCTGTAAGCGCGCATGGAATTGTCAATCGCCGAGGGTCACCAAAAATTGCACCAGTCTCCCATCGCGCATTTATGCGCGGTCGTGGGAAGAATAGGGGAGGAGGAGGAGGAGGAGGAGGAGGAGGAGGAGAAGGGGGGGAGACACACTCTGCCTTCATCTTGATCTGGGTCTGCTCCAGCTGATACACCTTCTGACGGATCATCTCCATCTCCTGGAGCTGTCCGGTTACTGCGTGATCTGTCAGTTAGAAACATATTTCAGCGAGTTTTCGCGACCCATGAGAGAACGCTACAGCCATTGATGGACTGGCGACACTTAAACGGTGGAAAGGGGACGACTCCGCATATTTTGCTATTGTGACGAGCCACGGGGGAGCAGGGAGCAGGGAGCAGGGATATGAAGACAGTAGGAGACATACACTGATGCTCATATTCACCAGTGCTTCGAGACTGGCTCTCGAACTCCTGGCGCAGTTGGTCCAGCAACTCCGTCAGGCGGGAGTTGGGGGCGGGCACCATCCCGCGATGAGTGTTGTACATGGTGGGTTCGGTTTGACGGGTCGAGAAACGCTGTCACGCCAGTGGACGGGGGTGCTGTACGGATGACAGCTGCTGGAAGGGACGGTCGAAATCAGCGACAGCTCGCGACGACGGATCGCAGCTCAGCTAGACAGCCAATAGGGCGATCACTGCGCGATTGCTGCTCGGTGGAAGACACCAGGCAGCTAGCCACAGCAAGGGCAATGACAGTCGATAAGAGAAGAGGGTGGTTCCGAGCGGTGGGGATGGGGTTGAGAAAGAGGGATGGGTTGGATGAGGTGGATGAGGTCGGACGAGGGAAGAGGGGGGAGGAAGAGGCTGGCAGCGGGAAGGTTGAGTTGAGTTTGGGGGGTGGAGATGGGATTTGGCGGGTAGCGCTGGCGCGAGAAGCGAGTCACAGAGCCGAGAAGCGCTGCTGGGTGGGGAGGGAGAAGGGAGGCAACTCCTCTGGTTCCGGGAAAGGGAAAAGGCGAGAGGGAGGAAGGCAACTTACCAGACTGACTAAAGGACCACAGTGAACAAAGTTAAGCGGGCTGGCGTGGTCGAAGAACCCGTTTGCAGAGAAGCCGAAGACCAGGGACGTGGGACGGAGGTAGAGGTCGGTCCGGCAGGTCCAGCAGTCGTAGAGGGCAGCGTCCGTAACTACTCCAGAGTGAGTTAGAGAAGAAGAGGGTCCAGATCGTCCGAAAGAGCCTGAATGAGCCGGGCTGAGCCCACCGTGCAGTCGCCTTAGTGCCTGAACACCTTGATGCCTGGGTGGCCTGTGGCCCCCATGCTCTGTGGCCTGAGAAATCTCTGCCCGACTCTCCAGGCAGCCAACCCCTGGATTAACCAAATCGGGTAAGCGTACCGGGCCTGCACAGTCCTCCTGAAGTATACTTCGTACTGCGTAGTCCGGATACTTCCCGCAGGACGGTGGCATGAGGCCAGGTCCAACGTCAATCCGATGTAGAGAACTAGACCGAGTCCGACACATGGCATATGGTCCTATATAGACAAGCCGATTGTAATGAACCAATCCCAATAGTCCAACCGCTGGTGCAATGAGAACCGGCTTATTAAGAACGTGTGGCTTCGTCGCGGCTGGCGCCGTTCCGCGCTGGTGTGATGCGGGCAGAATTTATTATTCGCCCCGTCAAATAATCTCCAATCTCCCCCTTCCACATCTTCTCCTCCACGTCCTCTTCCATCCCTCTCCCTATCCTCGACATCATGGATATCATCCTCGAGATCTGGGACACCTTCATTGGTGATCACCTCTACTCGGCCCTTCTCCCTACCTCCCTCTCCTCCACCGTCGGCCTCCCGGCCTTCGTCAATGCCGCCAACAGTACGCTGTCCCTCTTTGGCTCCGACAAGCCCTTCATCTACGAGCCCGCCACTCAATTCATCCACTTGGAGCCCTCCAAATATGCCTACCTGAGCGCCTGGCCACGGAATAACATGTACCGCCAGTTCACCAGCTTTTTCTTGATTACGTGGTATGCGCCAGAATCACTCCCCCTCCCCCCTCCTCAACGTTCTTTTTAAGGAGAGAAGCGCGCGCAAGAACTAAATTGACCTGACGCTGATCCAGGATCTTCGGTCTTCTCGTGTATTTCATTGTCGCGACCGCCTCGTACATCTTCGTCTGGGACAAGTCCACCTACAACCACCCCAAGTTCCTGAAGGGCCAGATCCCCCTGGAAATCAAGCAGGCCATGTCCGCCATGCCACCCATGGCTCTCCTGACCGCACCCTTCTTCGTCCTCGAGGTCCGTGGCTACGCCAAACTCTACGACACCGTCGCCGAGGAGCCCTTCCCCTACTACAGCATCCTGCAGTTCCCCATCTTCATCTTCTTCACCGATTTCTTCATCTACTGGATCCACCGCGGCCTGCACCACCCTCGCGTCTACCGCACCCTGCACAAGCCGCACCACAAGTGGATCATGCCCTCCCCCTTCGCCTCCCACGCCTTCCACCCGCTCGACGGCTGGTCCCAGAGTGTGCCCTACCACGTCTTCCCTTTCATCTTCCCCCTGCAGAAGGTCGCCTACGTCTTCCTGTTCGGCTTCATCAATCTGTGGACCGTTTTCATTCATGACGGCGAGTATGTCGCCAACAGTCCCATCGTCAATGGCGCCGCCTGCCACACCATGCACCACCTGTACTTCAACTACAACTACGGCCAGTTCACCACCCTTTGGGACCGTCTGGGTGGCAGCTATCGGAAGCCGAACGAGGAGCTGTTCCGCCGTGAGACCAAGATGAGCGAGAAAGAGTGGCAGCGCCAGTCGAAGGAGATGGAAGGCATTCTCAAGACTGTCGAAGGCGACGATGACCGCACCTACTCGGCCGCCACCACGACGAAGAAGAACCTATGAGCCCGTCACGACCAATTTGGTTCTTTCTTCTGATTCTTTCATTGTTCCGGGGCGTTGCGAATCTGACTCGCGCTCCGTGGAACCCGCGCATGCCATGGGTCGAGCTGGTTTCGATCTCTGTGTTTTAGGGAGTTTCTTTCTTGGCCCTTGGCTGGCAGGGGCGATTTGGGTCCACCCAACCATTCCCTTCATTTCTAGCGTACATTAATATCGCGCTGTGCACATCCCATACTCAGTTTTAATACCTTCCACAAAAGGCGCCTGGCCCGGTGGTCACGCGGTCTGCCGGATTTCTGTACATATCTATCTGCCCATGGCGACCTGAATGCATTTTGATGACAATAAAGGCTTGGTTTTTACTCTTTACGTTCCGTTCGATTCCATACCCCCTACTTAACCTAAATGCTCTAAGTAGCTCAGTTGCCGGACTCGGTGAGTCGACATATCAAGAGCTATGTACAACACTACTAGAAGGTATGTATCTAGTGTGCACCAATCTACCGCTGTACAGCTAGCTAGAAAATAAACCCCTCAGCCCAGAAATCCAGATCATGATCCATCATACAAACCGAGTGATCGGCCCATCATGGTGACACAACCATCCACGTTGGACATCTGACCCCGTGCAACACTCCCGTGCGCTCGGGTTGCTGGTCTCGCTCTGTGCGGTACGACCATCTGTCCCCGCAGGCTTCAGCTGCGCCACAAACAAGCTCACTTCGACTCGACTCGGTACGTACTGCTTGACGATCAGGGCAGCTGACAGCCGCTCGGTCACGCGGGTGTCCGAGCACATGGGCACAGACTATGGGATAGCGGATAGTTCCAGCCTACCTAGGCGCCCTCGACGCCAGCTGCTTGATGAAGTGACTAGTCCGTGTAGGCAGTAGATGTAGAGGGCACGCTGATCCTGACAGTTCTGCACACGTGGAAAGCTCATCTGCTGTATACCCTTGTTCTCCCAGCCCTCTTCCAACAACACACCGCCGGTACCCAAGAAGTCCTGCAAGGACTCGCGACCAAGCAAGATTTGGAAGTTGTCATATGATATCAGACCGAGTGTGCAAATATATGGGTTGGGTTCGGCCCTGGCGGTGGTAGGAGGACTGCCGACTGCGCTGGAGGGCAGGCAGGTTTATATAAATTGGCAAGTACCGAGAACGCGGTCCATAATTGCGGGTAGAAATACTCGTCTCTAGTGCACATCAGCAACATTGATGAGTGAGAGGGGTGAGTAATCACAACGAACAGAACGCGGTGGTGTTTATATAAAGCTTATATGTTGGACGAGCTTGGGGTAAGCTATCAACGACGGCTTTATAGACTGGTACAAAAAGGAAGAGCCCCAATGATTACGACGGATTCGAATTTGCCTGAGCTAGCTAGGAAAGTAGAATCAAAATGTACGGGTGACCATCCCGCTCGGCGACATTGTCTTCAGTCTCGTCTTCCACGTCACGGAGTCTTTGACCGGACGCCAGTGACCCTGCTCGGGCTGTCAAACCACTCCATATAGCTTGTCGCCGCCAGGGCAGGTAGTAGATTCGGAGAGAGAGTTTGTATAGGGAAAATTCGTACGGGTTCTCCGGCAAATTCAGGAACCGTTGTCGATATTCATGTACGAATTAGCGGCTTCTCTATCTTTCAGGTGGTTCGTTGAACCGAACTATTGTTTGGCGTGGATAGAACTGGCTGCTTGAGGTTCCGATAGTTTCATTCTCGTACGATATAAGCTGGAGTTTTGATCTCGGGCCAGACTCTCCATTCAGACTGGTTATCATAACAGCCTCTTAGTCCATTCCATTCACCCGTCCCTCCCCCCATGGATAATCACACATCGCGATCCATCCTGAGGATGGAACCCGTGGGCAGCGAGATCCTGCTCTGTTGTAGGCCAGACCTCCACGTTAAAGTTACAACGGCTCCCCCCAGTCATGGTCCGGTGCATCTCAACGACGCGATCAGCTTGCATAATATCTCCGCACTCTAGAACCGTGACCTGAGCGTGCACCTTGAGCGATAGGTCTAGGATGCGCCGGTAGAAAACATCCTCTGACCGATCACCATCCTGCCCCATGAACCCAACGGGAGGTACCAAAGCCAGCCGTGGCTCAAAGAGCCGAACGCTTCGCGCAGTGGTTCCGTTGCGGAAATCGGACGTCGAGATGTACGGTGGGTTGGAGATCAATAGGTCTATCCTGGGCGCGGGGACCGATATATCGGCTAGACCGGATTTGAGCGCATAGTGGGATAGAATCTCTTCCACAGCTGGGATGGAGCTAGCCTTGCGACCCAGAACATCTGCGCGGTGGAATTGGATGTCCGCGCGGGCTCGGCGATGCAGGGCTTCTCGTCGGACGTTATGGTCGAGGTTTTTTCGCGCAAGGTTCAATGCTATGGGGCTGAGATCGATTCCTATAATCTGCATGTGCTTGAAGTGTGGGGCGAGGAGCGCGTGCAGGAGCAGCGCTATGCAGCCGGTGCCTGTGCAGAGGTCAAGGATGCGAAGCGGCCTCGTCGCGCTGGTTGGGTCTGTGCTGTTGCCGCCGCCCTCCAGCGCCATCTGGCGAACTAGCCTGGCGGCTTCATATGTATATGACTCTGTTTCTGGCCTGGGAACGGTGTTAGATGTGTGTATCTAATACTAGTGGCGGTTGTGTTTAGTGGAGAAAAGCTCAGTCACACCTTGGGATTAAAACGCCCCGTCGACAGAGTATCTCCAGGTCTCCGAATGGTTGATCCCCCAGGATATACTGCAGGGGAACCCCTTGCGAGCGCTGGCGGCACATTGATCGTAGGCGCGTTCTCCATCCTAGCCGTGCTCCAGGCGCGAGACGGGAGGAGGACGGGCTGTCGCGTAGTGCGCGTTCCCGGAGCCACCGAAGCTCATTGCGAGCTGAGTCTAGGGATCGGCATTCCTTGAGGAGGAGAGGTAGAAGAGAGTTCTCCTGATAGGCCCTCACGAGCGTGGCGGTGGGGATTCGTGGCATTTGGCGAAGCGCAATAGCGCGGGGAGAAGGGCTGACGATGCCAAGCGCTGTGATCTCCCCTCTGGTCTTAAGAAGTTAACCGGCCTTCGGGAGGACTTCACGACTGAGCTACGGGGGAAAAAAATACACGATGTATGAAGTAATAGGAGGATTTCATTGAGAACGTTCTAGGATTCGTATCACATTAAAAAAAATTCTCGAGATAAAAAATCGAAATTGGACAGAGAGAACACGACCAGGTATTCCTCGACTCCGATGCACCACCGAAACATGACCGAAACATGCTAAAGTCTTCAAACATAGTAAAGGAAAGCAAAAATATCTACATAAGCCGAACCGAACCTTCCATTAGAGCGCAAGCAAGGCTCCGGCACCAGTCAGGCCCAGAGCCAGTTGCTTAGACATGCTGGTGGCGCGCGGCACAGCAGCGTTCTTCGTCGCCGACGCGGAGAAGAAAATGTCGGTGCCTCCGCTAGGACCGCCAATGCGCGCGCCAGAGCCCACCACGGCCACGGTCGTCACTGGGTTGGCCACAGCAGTCGCCCCGGGGACCGAGTCATCACCAGTGCCGATTTCCAAGATGTGGTTGTCCGTCGAGTTGAAGCGTGTGTTGGCGAGGGAGATCTCGTTATTGGCAAGATCGTACACCACATACGCACTGCGGAGGAACGTGTCGCCCAGGACGGACATGCTATCGCCGGCCGGGACGATGCCGAAGGCGCATGCGCGCTTGCCGTTGTGGAAATAGTAGTCACCCACGTCGAGAAGCAGTTCGCTGATGCCAACGTTGATGGTTGGGGATGAGAAGGTGTAGGAGATGTTCACCTTCTGCTCCGCCATGCTGCAGGGCAAGTAGCCAACTCCGCTGGATGAGTCATAGTCAACGTCCAGATCCTCGAAGATTTTCTCCACAATCTCATCGGGGAGATATGTTAGGGAGCTGCCCGAGTCGAGCAGAACGGCCGCAGGCAGCGAGCTGGACGAGTAGTTGGTGGTGTGGGACGATGCGGTGAGAGCCACTGCAGTGAGTGCGATGACGAATTCGGAGTAGCCGCCACCGGCTTTCTGGATGGGCAGGGTCTCCAGGGTGCCGTGGTACTTCTTGGTGTTCACTCCGCCGAACAGAATTGAGCCGGTGTTCGCATCCAGGTCGTTCAACCACAGACTGTAGGCGTTCGATTTAATCAACCCTTTCTGGACCATGGCCTTGGGCAGATTGGCATAGGCGCTGTCCCCATTCCGACCCACTTGAACTTCGTTGGATGGATATCCAATTCCCAGTACACCATCTATCCATACCAGAACATATAAGCCCGCTGTCCCAAAAGGAAGTCTGAGAGGTTTCCATACCTTGAGAGGCGGACGTAAAGCCAATGCCGAACTGGAGAGCCTTCAGGGTCGCAGACCCGATGGTCACGGTGTCACGGGCGTAGTCACCGACCGCCCCAGAGCCATCCGCATATGTAATGTTGAAATCCGAGTTCACAAAGGCGTAGGTCGATGATGAGCTCGAGTCGTAGGTACCTGAGGTGCTGCAGGGGTCGCTTCGATCTTCACAGAGAGTCGAATTGGGGGCGTTGACCCACAGGTCACTACTACCTGTGTCCAGGACCAAGCGCAACTTCTGCTCCGGTGTTCCCAATGTCACATTGGAGTAGTAAAGTGTTTCCTAATTTCCTGTGTCAGCCATATAGTTGAGAGAAAAAGAGAGAGAGAGAGAGGAGGGATTGAATAAAGCGGGAGATTGAAGCGATCTGCGACCTACCTCGTTGTCGAGAGCCTGGTTCACCGTCTGGCTGCGCTTCATTCTTCTTAGTCGGTCTCGGGCCACTGGGTTCACGATCTCGTTGCGCTTGATGCCCAGGTCGACCACGGCCGGGACATCTCTTTGATGCAAAGTCAACCCACCCAGCGCTGGGCCGCCAAGGGTGGCTAGCCACAGCCAGGTATTCTTCATAGTTTTCCTCCCAGATACCCGACCTCCGCGGCCAGGAATGTGTGTGATCGGCACGCCGCCTTCTCTTTTCTGCTGCGCACGATCTTCACCGCTGCAGCTTTCCGGAAGCGACAGAGGTATCACTCCGGAATGGCAGTGAAAATGCAGTCAGCTGGAGGGTTTGGGATGGAGCGGGGAGGGCGAAATGGGGTAGAAAGGCGTGTTCGATGCTGTAGGAGGAGTCGTGAAAAAGAAGAGAAGAGGGAACACCGGCAGCCAGGCTGGAAAAGTCGGCCAATGCCGCCGGTAGGCATCGATGATCGATGCGGTTGTGCCGGGGCGATAGATGTCGTATGCCCGTCCGACTTAGGGTTCACTTGGCCGCTTTGGCTGCGCAACTCGGGGCCAGCGGGGTCGCTGGAAAAGCAGCTCGGTTGCTCAACCGCCAGTCAGCGGCTCGCGGGTGGCCCAATGCTTTGGCGTGGGCTGCGCAAGCGTAGTGAAGAGACGCAGACGACGGAGTCGCTGGGTCCGCCCGGGTAAGGCGCTGATGGATCGGGAACGAAGGCCCCACTGTCATAGATGCAGCTGTCGTCACCAGCTGGAGGGAGGCGGTCTGCGGCGGTGAGAGCCTTCTCAATGCCCTAGAGGGGATGGCCCTCTGCTCCGCCATCACCAGCCGCCACCAGAATAACGCCCGACCATGGAAAATTTTCTGTTGCGTACGTATGCAACGTACGCAGTTGGGGTTGCGGGACGCTGATGACGCGGATGGATGACGCTCCACTCGCGCCAGCCTGCTTTCGGTTAGGCTACGGTTGCGACAGCAAAGCCAAGAGTGATCCTCTTGCTTATTGAGACCTCGGAGGGCGTTGGATGATGGAGGGGTCACTTCTGGTTTCTTTCTTCATATCAACTAACCTGCCTGGGTTCACCACGTGTGTGTCGGGGATTTCTTTGACTCTGCAGATCCTCGAACGATCCCCCGTCTCCGGGACATACCAATCCCTATCTAGGGGCGCGGCTTCCGGAGTATAGACTGTGCCTAGCGTTCCCGAAACTAGCCGATCCCCCGAAGCTACGATTGCTACTTGTATCATGGAGCATTGAGGGGCTCGAAATCCACCCGACTCTCCTTGTTCCATGAGTTCGGAGACTCAATAGTAATTCATACTCATCATAATACGGCATCACGCGCAGTAGCTTGAGTAGCTGCCTACTACTGGACCTTCCCCCTCGCCCTTCCACGGTTCGGCTGTTTGCATAGCCACCTCGACTGTACAGCCACAGGGCTAGATGACGACCTCCAATGTTTGGATCGAGGGATCGATGGCACTACGAGCGATCGGCCAAACCTATCCACAAGTGGCAAATGAAGCTACTGGATCCGTCCGAGTATCGTATCTTTCCCGGATCAGCCCCAAAGGGTATATGCTATGATATTTTGGAATCCGGGAGGCTGTCATCAGCCCCCTTTGGTGATTATGAATACTGTTGGTACATAGGCTGGCCAGTGCCTCCGCCAATCTAAATTACAGCCCTATCGCATCCCGAACCTGCCGCATGGTCACGCTCGCGTTGGCCTGTGCCGCCGCCGCACCCTGCTGCGCCACCGAATCCAAGTACCCTGTCTTCTCGTCCATGATCGATCGATACCGCTCCCGGATCTCTTCAAGGTGATGTGCGATCTGGCGAGCGACGTGCTCTTTCAATGCCCGGAGGGTCGCGCCGTCGAATTCCGAGGCGATTGCTTCGCACGACTGCCCTTCGAAGTGGCTCAGGATCTCAAGCAGGTTTGAAACTCCGGGCCGATGGGCAGGGTCGTATGTGATGCTGGGTTCGGAATCGGTGAGGGCAACCTTGATCTTCTTGTGGATGACGGCGGGCGAGTCGGTGAGGATGATGCGGGACTTTTCGTCGGCGTGCGATTTGGACATCTTGGATGTTGGCTCTTTGAGTGACATCACCCGCTTGGCGGGGGCTGCTCATCTGTCAGGCTGGTGGCCGGTGGCGCCTTTCTGGCCGCGGGGAGATCTTACAGATGAGGGCTTCGGGAGTGGGGAAGATGGGCCCGTAGAGATGGTTGAAACTGTTGGCTGTGTATCTCGAGAATTCCAGATGCTGTCTCTGGTCTTCGCCAACCGGAACATGGGTCGCCCTAGTTTGGGGGTGAGCAATGCCCTGATCCTCCTCATCATGTAGAGATCGCACCTATGCACAAGAATATCCGCTGCTTGGAGCACAGGATAAGAAAAGAGCCCGAGTCGCAGCTGTGCCCGCGCGTCTGCGTCATCCAATGTTGTGTCCTCGGGCAACTGGAGTTTGCTCTACATGAGGTGTGGTCAGCGGCCATTGCATGCTCCGAGATATCTTGAAGCCCCTGGGAGGTGAGAATCTCACCTTCCATTGAGTCATCCGTGATAGATAACCCATTGACGCAACCGTACTGAGAATCCACATCAACTCTGCATGTGCCGGCACCTATCTTCTTTGTTAGAAGGCCCTCCTGTTCCCTAGAATCTCACTACCGGCGATGATAGACGTTTTAGCGCCACCTACTTCCGATTGATAAAAGATCGTGGAGCGGCTCGGATCCAAGCCCACCGCAAGCAGCGTGCCAAATGCCTCCCTCCTCCATTTCCGCAATGATGCTGCATCTTGCGGCACAGTCAACGCGTGGAGATCCACGATCGAAAAGAGCAACTTGGTCCCTGCTGTCGCCTCATTTTGGAGCCTCACCCATTCCCGGAGAGCTCCGAGATAGTTGCCCAGATGTGGAACTCCTGTCGGTTGAATCCCAGAAAAAATAATGGGTTCCTGAGCAGGAGGTGAGCCGGTGCTCGTGCTGTTTGACCGATACCCTTGGGACGGCCGGATGGAGGTGCCCGGGCGAACACGAGAGAAGCTCCCGCTCACCGATCGCGAGGGCGCGTTTCGCCGAGGGCGGATGGCGATACGCATCGCGGAACCGACCATGTATGGACCGTCGAATTCAAGGGACGATTGGGCCAGGGACCGTCCTCCGCGGACTTTTCGGTGCCCGCCGCAAATCACAATCTGATCACGTGATTTGACGTTTCGAGGTCATGGTGGGAGTTGATCATGTGAAATGATCAGGAACCTCCGTCTTGCCCGGGATGCTCCTGCGATTACCTGGCTAGCTCATACAGCATTTGTCTAACGATGTTCTTGAGAGAGGTCCGACGCCTGGTCAGCTCGGAAAGCCAGCCATCACAAAAAAAAAAAAAAAAAGTCATAAGCGGACTCCGGTTCTGGATTTTGGAGACGGCAATGATCAAAGTAGAGTACAACGGGGTCTGGCCGGGACCACAGAAAGCCTGAAGGAGATGATGACTAGAATATAAAACTACATGACGCCCAGGGGTTCCCTCAAAAACGAATTATGCAAAGCTCGCGCAACAGACCAATCCCGTGGTCAATTTTACAGGTTCTTGCGCTCGGCAAATCGCTCGCTGTCCAGCGAGTCGAAAATGGACTCCTTGGCGGTGTTGTCGTGTCTCTGACCGAACTGGGCGAGGTGTGGGCCCACGGTTTTCTGGATGTCGGACAGAGATGCATCCAACGCCTTGCCGGCATCTGTGACGGGGGTTAGCGGGTCGGACCGATCAAGCAAACGTGCATCGCGAGGAATCATACCCAGGCTTTCACTCTCCCAGACGTTCGCCTTCATGCCGACTCCGTAGAACGCGTGTTTCCGGAGGAAGGCCAGCCATGCCTGGACCGCCTGTGGGTTACCATCCTTGATCTGGATCAGGCGGCGGAGCGTGATCCGTTCGAAGTTCTCCTTGCTCTTCTTATGGACGAAGTTGCTGCGGGTCACTGTCCAGCGTTCAGTGATGCGGGGGAGCGGTACGGGGCCGGAGACAGGGAGGTTGAGATAATAGGCGGCGCGGATGGCGAAGTCGGCAAAGAACTCCAGGTTCTGGACGCTGTAGGATCGCAGTTGGAGGTCGCATACAGGGAGCCCGTATTCCGCCTTCCTCCGGAGGGGACGCAGGTAGAGCGCCTGGACGCTTCGTGGAAGTCGAGCGTGCTCACCGAAAGCGCCTAACCGCTCGGACCTGGGATACTATAAGCAATGGGGTTCGTTCCTGCCGCGCAGGTCTCTTGGAAGGCGATGCAATCCCCTCACCATTCTTTCACACGCAACTCGGATGGTTGCTCAGCATTCGTGGTACTGCATTGGGAACCCAATTCCGTCAATTATTCCATTCGATCCCAATCATCTTCCAGGGGTTGTTGCAATCTTACGCGGTGGGTGTAGGGGTGGGCTCTAGCTTGGCCTGGGGAGGTGTGGTCGTCGTCTCCGTAGATGGCGCATTCGACTGGCTCGGGGTCGAGAGTGCGCGAATGGGCATGGGCACCTGGTTCCCGGGTCAGTTCGCTTCAGTTTGCTTGGCTCAATCTACCCCTAGTCTAAAATAGACTTACCCGCAGGCGCTTGCCAGCCCCGATCAAGGAGCGCGTGCTGGGGAACATGGCTGATGGATGTGGCTATCTGTTTGGTGCGGGTTTTTTTCTCGAAGTTGGAGTGATGCGGGCTGACCGCCTTGGGTCGACCACGGCCGCAGGCGTGTACCCACGGCTATGGCCAGCAGTTCGCCCAGGGCTCGAGGGGACGTAGTATAGAATGCTGGGAGAGTGTTTCTACTGTGTCTGAGGAGATTGTTCTATACTAATGGATGTATGTTGTTGTGTCTCCAGTGTAACTATATGAGTCTCCCTATCAATCTCGTATACATTCACGCCACGACCGTCTTTGGATATAGAATGTCCTCGGACGCAACAAAAAAAGGCCTACTCGCGCTTTGCAATCGATACAGCTCATACCCAGAAACTATAACGCAGTCATAACCCGCAAAAAATGACCCATTGAATGCAAGCTAGAACGATAGAGATGGGTATCAACTGTCGTAGGGTAGGATCGGGACCCCGACGGCGGGCCAATGGGACCGCACGCGACTCCGCAGCATCAGCAGATTCTTGGACCCGCCCCTCTCCCCTCACTCGATTTTTCTCTTTTCTTGTCAGAGGCATAGGGCTCGTCCAAAACCAGGCAGCATGGCTCCAGCAGATCATTCCGCCTTTGACCGAGCGAATGAGACGGTGTCCTTTCTGAAGAGCCGCCTGCCCGAGAGCCTGCAGTCGCCCAAGGTGGCCATTGTATGTGGCTCCGGGCTGGGTGGACTGGCAGACACGGTCCATGCTGAACCTCGCGCCGAATATGACTATGCGTCGATTCCTCACTTTCCCCGTCCTACTGGTGAGTCTCTGGCTGTTGGGTGGTCATTTACAGAGAAGGAGATGGAGATCGACTGACGGGTGCAGTTGCCGGACATGCTGGAAAGCTGGTGTTTGGACTGCTGGGCCAGCAGATCCCCGCCGTCTTGATGGTTGGCCGAGCACAGTAAGCTTCTGGCGATGCGGTTGGGTGTCTGCAGAGCTCACGGCTGATCGGGGTGCTCATAGCTTCTACGAGGGCCATTCCATGGATCAGGTCACATTTCCGATCCGCGTCTTCAAGCAGCTTGGTGTTGATACCGTCGTGTGTGAGTGTCTACGCCCAGAGATTGGCTCTTGCTACGACAGATGTTCTACGACAGGAATAACAAGACGTGATTGGCAGTGACAAATGCGGCCGGAGGCCTGAATTCTGAATATCGCGTGGGCGATATTGTAATGTTGAATGATGCAAGATGGCTTCTGATGCTTCCTATCTGAACCGAATGGCTAACGCCGACTACAGCACATCTTCCTGGCCGGCCTGGCGGGAGTTCATCCCCTCCGGGGGCCCAACCTGGAAGAGTTCGGAGTCCGCTTCCCCCCTCTATCGGATGCATATGACCTGGAGCTTCGTCGGCAGGTACATCAAGTGTGGAAGCAAGTCATCCCAGCCCAGAGCACCAGGAGGTTGCACGAGGGGGTGTATGCCTTCGTTGGGGGTCCTACGTAAGTATTCTCCCATCGCGCGCATCTGCTGTCATCGATCTGACGGCAGAAAAGTTATGAAACCAGGGCGGAGAGCCGGATGCTTCGAATGCTCGGCGCCGACGTGGTAGGCATGTCGACAGTGCCGGAGATTGTGGTGGCGAGGCACTGTGGCCTTCGCGTGTTGGCGTTTAGCCTGGTAACCAACAATGCAGTGCTGGCACCTGTCCCGCGTGGAGACGAGCACTTACTCCAGGGTAAAGCTGCTGGTGAGCTTAGTGCTATCCTTGAAGAAGGCAAGGCCGGCCACGAGGAAGTGCTGGAGGCCGGCCGCATGGCAGCATTGGATATGCAGGTGAGACACCCCATACCTATCCACACCAGGACACCAGAAACTGACAGATGCAGAAATTGGTGCTGCAAAGTCTCGTGAGTGCTTTTGGGACTACTTAGATAGCCCGGCGCCAATGCCGCAAGCTGTATAGCCGCTGGAGATAGAACCCGAGCAAGCCATGGATCATCCAAGCAGCCAGTCGGCTGATCGTTCTAGCTTCACTTGATCTTCCGGGTTCGCTTGGCTTGTAGGTTTTTGTAGAAGGCCTTCTTTCCGCTCGTCTTGGTGGCTTGGATGTCGCGGTACTTGGACTCGAAACGCCTGTTCTCCCGCTCCAGCGCCAGCGTCTCCTCGACAAAGTTCTTCTTGCGGTCCTTCTTGGCGATTCGGCTACTGAAGAACTCTGTCGGGCCCTGGATAATTGTGCCAACCTGCGAGAACTCAGGAGGCTTGGCCTTGCCATTCTCCTTCTTGTAGTGTCTCTTAGGGTCCAGCACCGAACGCATCCGAATCAGTTGCAGGTCTCTCTTGAGACCTGGGGTCAACTCGGTCTTGGGAAGGTTGAACCAGTCAGGTCCGGCGGTAGCTTTGTCCTGCAGGGTCGACCAGTTAGCCAATCCATCCCGCTATAGCACTTCGGAAAAACAAGTGTATGTTTGTGTATGCTCAGAGTAACTATGAAAAATAAAGCTCTCACTAGTGCAGCACAGCCCAAGACGGACTGGTTACGCCGCATCAAGCGCTTATGCGTTGGGAAAATTTTCCTCATAGCAAATGGTGACGGGATCAAGGGGACAGGACAGTGGTATGCTCACCTTCTTTGCAGAGTTCTTTGTCTGAACGGACCGGAGAGAGTTGGCCAGCTCCTTTTGCTTGAGATCAATGAGCTGGGCCGAATCAGCGGTAGCAATCCCTTCACCACTCGGACGCAGGTAGGGCTCTAAAGTGGAGCTGGCGGACAGCTTGGGAATCCTAGGAGAAGTTAGCCAAGCTGCTTTAATAACACCTAGAGAGGATGGCATCATACCTCAGGGAAGCGGCATCGTTGGCCTGGGCGATCTGGGTGTCTGAACCGCGCAGTCGGGCCTCTGCTTCCAGCAACAGTTGTTGAATCTGGTCATCAGTAAGATCCACGTCCTCTTGAGGCGGAACATTGGCCTCGATATCAGTGGTAGCAACCATCCCTGCAGGTCAGGGCGGAAGGTCTCGGGGAATGGAGAGGACCTGGACACAAGCGGGCTTTATAGGATTTTTTTTTTCTGTTGATGCTTGTCGGGGCGGACAAACTTTTACGAGAAATCTCTTTCGGGACGTCCAGGATCATGTGATTCACAAGTAGCGGGGACCTGCAAGAGAAAGCGAGGTACACCAAAGACGAAAGTACCGGTACCTCCATCCATTCTGGCTAATGGGACACTTGAGGCACAGGGCATAGAGACCTAGTAATGAATTGAGCCCGATCCAAAGGAATGAAGTAGCTATAGGCTTTTGTCGCGACTCCGACTGGCTAGTAGTGCAGCGTAGCTAACTCGGGCTGGGCCGCAGCTTGCGACCGTGGAGGGGGGGTTCTCCGGAACGTCAGACTGCTAGAGCACCTCCACGCTTGGCACGTCCCCCCGACGCGCTTCCAACACCACCACCAGAACGCGCGCTACTCTTATCGCCGCTCCGATCGTGTCTGAGCGATTGCTTGTTAACCTACTCGCGCATCCCACCCTCATCCCCTTCCTCACCGGTCGCGTCGCATACTCGACACCCGAGAGCTTTCCCCGGGACCTGCCCAACCACAACCCATACCACCGCCGCCTCGCGCGCAACGCGTTTTGATCATCATGGAGCCGGCTCCTCAGGGTAGCGGTCAGCAGCAAGGCAGACAGCAGCAGCAACAGCCTGTCTACGATATCAGGAACGGCGGACACTATGGTAATTGCTCCCCTCCCCGGAGTGATCAGGCCTTGATGGCACGGCAACGTATTTGGGCACCACTGCCCATTCGGACCCGCGATAGGGTTTTCAGTGTCGCATTCACGCTTCGAATATAGGCTGATATTTCTTGCAGGTGCTAGTGCAGCGGTATGCTTCAAACCATGGCCCGGCCTTCGTGCCAATCTCCCGGCCTTCGACTTCTGTGATAGGCCCCCCTGGTGAACCCGACGCTAACTAGATTTTGAACTTGATTAGCTCTCTGCGCAAGGATATGCTCCTGTCGCTGAGCTATACACCGGTACCTGGGCTAATGTAGGCCCCCAGCGCAAGCAGTTTAATAGCTTCCCTCTGCTGACACCCCAGTTAGGTGAACCAAGGTCTGCAAGGCACCGCCCGCGATATCTTGACGACTTACTGGCAGCATGTCATCAACCACCTTGAGACCGACAACCATGACTACAAGATCCACCAGCTGCCGCTCGCTCGCATCAAGAAGGTGATGAAGGCCGATCCGGAGGTCAAGATGATTTCCGCCGAGGCCCCCATCTTGTTTGCCAAGGGCTGTGATATCTTTATCACCGAGTTGACGATGCGTGCCTGGATCCACGCCGAAGACAACAAGCGCCGCACTCTCCAGCGCTCGGACATTGCCGCGGCCCTTTCCAAGTCGGACATGTTTGACTTCCTAATCGACATCGTTCCTCGGGAAGAGGCGACTTCTCACGCCAAGCGCTCCAGCCAGGCCGGCGCTGCGGCCCCGGGCCCTTCTGCCACTCCAGGCCAGATGCCACCTGCTCAGCATGGCGTTCAAGCGCATATGGGCCCGGCTGACTATGGCTCCCTGGGCCAACATGGCATGCCGCAAGAACAGGAATATCGCCCACAGCCGACAATGTATCCTGGCACAGTCCAGCAGGACCCAACAGCAGCATATGGCCAGCCACAGTCGCAGATGTTTGAGGGGATGTACGCTTACCCCCATATGCCTCCTCAGCAGGTTCGTGTTACCTCCTTTCTACTCGCCCATGACCCTGAGCATGAAACTAACGCAGGTTTAGTGAGCCACGAATACGAGCGCAATTGGTCTTTCCATTCGTTGATTCAAGGGCTTGCGTGTGTTTTCCCGGCGAATACTGGGCTTTATGGTTGTCTATGCTTTCTATGTTCCTGCCTTGTCTTTTCCCCCATTGAATCTTTTGTTTTGCCAGGCTAGGGCAACTCTGATACCAGTAGTTGGAACAGGGAGAGATTATGTCATTTTGTTCCAGAATCTCAACTGGAGTTGATATTATTTGTTATTTCTTTCTTTGAATAGGATATGATTACATAAAACCTGCTCCGGACTCTGCGCTAACTCTACAGGGACACTTAAGGTCCTGGAAAGTCCCCAACACATCAAACGGAGGTTTCACAATAATCTTGAGCAGTTTGTCTGCAGAGGGATCAAGACTTTTTAAATCGTGAGGACAGGTTCGCAAATTTATCCACCTTGGCGGGCGCTTGCACCGTTCGAGTTAACCTGGGAGGTAAGGTTAGCAAAGTATTCAAGGGCAATCATCACAAACGGAGAATCATACTTTTCAAGTAGGACAGGTCCCTGCATGGCGTCGACACGCCCGTATTTCTTATTCCTAGTCGAGATATCGTAGAATTCATCCGCATTGTCTGCTTGCATGAGCTGCACCGTTTGCTGCAGCTCATCGAGGTTCTCGCGCAGAATCGGGACGTTCAGACTATCCACAAATTGCGCAAGGTATTCCACATCTTTGGCCAGTGCCATAACACCATTCGGGTTGATGGCTCTCACTTCTGGGGCAAGGGGTTGAGCCTTGGTGGTAGAGTCGGTCAGCCTGTTGTACGGTAGTCGGTGAAGGGATGAGGGGGAAAAGGCTTACCAAAATCATGTTTGCAGCATGACTGAGTGCGTCAAAGTAGATGAGCTCCTTGATTTCAGTCGGCAGCCCGAGTAGGGTGGAGTTCATGATATTGGACAGGAACCGAGTCAAAGTCTGCATATAGTTGCTGGGCTCGCTAGGAGGGGTGGGCGCCATCCATTCGTATTCGGCTGTTTCAATGAGATCGTCGATCTTGGAGTTGACAACCTCGAAGATCCGCTTCTCAGCTGCCTTTTTATTGCTTCTAAACTTCTCGGTGGCCCTTAGCGCGATTGAGGTGCCGGTGGAGTTTTGTGATCTCGCAGCGGCCAGGAGTAGTTCCAGCTCACGGCATGCCAGTTCGAAGTGTTCCAGATTGATCAGAATCTGGACAATCTGCCCGAGATATTGTGAAGAGAGTCGCTCTACTAGAGTATCGCATACCTTCCGGGAAAGAAGGTCATCCAGTGCCTACTCACTCATCTGCTTTAGCAACTCATTCCATGATGCACTTTCCTAGATGACAGCACTCACATCCTTTAAAGTCTCATCAATCACATTTGGATGGGAAAAGTCGTCATTTGCAAAGAAGTAGAACTGGTTCAAGAAATTCCGAATGTCGATGCAGCATAATGGATACATCCTGGAGAATGGTAGGATGCAAGGGAAACTGTATCCTTTGTGAGTTTGTGTTGACAGCCACTCAGCAGAAGGCGTAGAGAACATACACTTGTTCATCACGTGACTTATCCGGACTGTACCAGCTCACATTGAGCACCTTGTCATACTCCTCCAAGGTCTGGATTGGCATGGGCATATAGTCATCGGTAGATACAATCTAGACCACATTAGTGCTCAAGGATCTTCGGGTCTAGAGGGGAGCTTCGTACCTCTTGGAAGTCATCACTAAACCGCCGTTTAAGAAGCTCTGCGTATTTCTCAAATAGCTTCAACAGGAAGTCATCGAACACTCTGACTGAAAAGCCCCACGTCTGTTTGTATGTGTCAATACTGCTGCCTGGATGTGCTAGAAGGAAGGAGGGAGAGACCCGCTTACATTCATGGTCTGCATGAACAGGGCAATCAGATTCTTCGTCTTAAGAATACTTTCCGCGTTGTCTACTTCGTGCAGTGCCTTGGCAATCACACCAACCGCGGCCTGACATGACGAGTCCCACAGTTCGTCAATCTATACACGCGCCAGTCAGCTCATCATTCAGAAAACCAAGCGATTGAGGTCGGTGGTGGAAGAGTGGGAGTTTCGTACCTCAACGGATGATCTCAGGTCTGGCACACGCTTCATTGTCGCCCGCTCAACAATCGCGAATCCAGCCATTTCTTCAAGCATATTGTGAAGGCTAGCACCGTCCTCATCAACGAGGGTGACGGAGGCAGGAAGCAAGAGGTCTTTTTGCCGGCGACGTGTGTTGGCGTACTCGATCCTGAACTTATCCATTTGCCCCAACGATTGATGGATGTGGAGGCACTCGAACAGTGGTGCAAATGGGACCTGGAGATCCTCGTTCTGCAGCAGATCGTACTCCTCGTCCTCATCCGCCACGAGTTCAATCGCAGAGTTGAGGTTGAAGTTCTCCAGGTACGGAGTCTTCTCCGCTCGCTGCTTGAGCCTTGACTTGCGCTGGTCCGTGTGAAAGAGGGCCAGCTCGCCCAGAAACGGGGACATTTCACGGATGCGGTACAGCCAGGTGTTCAGATCGGACATGACAGCCTCTGCGATGGCACGTTGTGTGGCTGGCACCGATCGCTGAATCATCTCCGCAATCTTGTACTGGGTCACTCCTTTCAGATGTACATTTTGTAGCTCCTCCAACGCTCGTAGGGCTGCATAGTGGTTCTTCTTAGCTAACAAGTCATGGACCTGGTTCGCCAATCGCAGCACCTCCAAACAGTCCTGGATCGCTCGGGACGTTTCATCGATATTCTGTCTGTGACCCCTCGACTCCACCAGCGCCTTCTTCTGTTCCGCCAAGCGCTCTGTACTCGTTTGTATTGACTGGTTCAGGTCGAGAATCTCCGCAGTAAGGCTAACGGTGCCTTCGCGAATCCGCAGCAGGGAGTTGACCGACGATACGAATTCTTGGTGGTTGGTATTGCAGATGCTTTCAATTTCCGCCTCTTTATCGCTTGCAAATCGCGACAGAGATTGTAGCAGCTGAGGGGTTCGGTTGCCGACGCTATATTCACGAATCGAAGGAATCAGCTGGTCGAGGTAATCGGTATCCGAGGGGGAGATGATGATCTGCGGGCGTCAGTTCCCATTCGTTTTTGGGGCAATTCAGCGAAATATTCTGACTTGGTTTAGCACATGAGGCTCTGGCGGGGACGGCATGGCCGGCATGATGGTGCGCAATTCAACCCTGGAGAGGCCCGCGGACATCGGACGGCGCGTGGGGAGAGCTGCAGTTGCAACCAAAGCATTTCCCACTTGAGTTTAGCGCTGCGCTCGGACCAACATTTCTGAACTATACAGCTTTCAGATGTATAAAAAGATCCCAGCCGTACCTAACAGCACTTCTGGGACTGTGCTCGACGAACAAACAAAAGAGAAGTCTAGCTCTGAAAATGAGCTTCAGGCCATATGGCGCCGTCCCGCTGAGCTCCTTTGTTTCTTTCATACTGCCAAAATATCCGTGAATCACAGTCCTGCTGTCGCGAGCAACTCAACTGACGGTACCTTGGAGAGGTCATCATGACCTCCGATGGCATTTAATCTACTGTACCTAGCATGTACGGTACTGCATTGCTCGCACTACTACCACCGCTATTTTGGAACATCAGACATCAACCCCTGCGGTCCGACTGCAAGATGGCCGTAAATCCAAGGCACTGACGATGCGATAAACGCTCAAACGATGCGATTTACGAATCGACCAATCCCAGGCCCTCTCGCTCGAAGGCATGGGCTGATGGAGCGGAGATGCTATGAATCGCCGCTGTCTATCGACGACTCATCGCAACGCGCCAGGAAGGTATAAGCACCTGCTGATCACCCTCAGAATGTCCTTTTTTCTCTTTCCCTTCTCCTTTCCCCTCTTCTTCTTGATCTTTTCGTCTTTCCATCTTCTTGTCTCCTCGTCGTCTCCATCGAGGCCGACGTGCTTTACGTTACTTTGTGAAAGCCCTTTTCTTCTGGGCTCATCGTTCGATACTCCACAGCTCCCACCTCCAACTTGACTTCTCAAGTCAATCATGAGCAGTGGCCCTCCGGCTGACAAGCCAGGTGTGGCGGGCTCAGACTCTCAGAGTGCCCTGATCAGACAGTCCATGTCTTTCGCGCCCTGGCATGACGACCCTAATGTTCAGCCAGCGGTCAGCCCTGCGGCTGGTCGTGCTCTTGACTATCGGAATCCGTGAGTTATTTATTATTCACTTCTTTTCTCACATGGTTCTCTCTGGTATCATGCTTGGCCATGTTTTGCTCCATGAATAACGTTTTGATATAATGACTGATCGTGTGTGTTAGTGATCTCTATGCGGCCTGGGGCCTTCTACATGGACCTCAGCAGCCGACCACCACGGCACCAGGCACGCATGCATCCACCGAGTTGCTTGATTACCCAATGCATACTGCATCTGGTGGAGATCGTGCTTACTCTGCATCTGGCGGACATCATGCTTGGTCTGCAACGGCCCAGTTATGGACTGGCTCTGAACAAATTGGCTATGAGCAGACAAGTCAGCAACCTCCTCGCCCTGGTTATACATCTCATTCGGGGTTTGCTGTTCCCCGCCACCCCGGCAAGAGACATTCGTTGCGAAATGTCAGCCGCCATTACCTTGTCAAGAACGTTTCCACCGACATTGAAGGTCTGCAGCTGCTGGTGCTGTTCGAGGTATGTACTTGATACTGTGCGTGAAGAGCCTAAGACTGATGCTGCCATCAGAGTTTCGAGTCAAAGGAGGGTCCTTTCATCCCAGAATTGAACACCAAGGGTCGCTTCTTTGTCGGCTTTGGTGATATGAACGAGGCAAAGCGGGCTTACAGCATGCTTGAGAATCACTACCAGGACTGGGTGCTGATCCCAGTTTCGGTAGAGGACTTCAATCGCGAGAACAGACTCTCGGCCCCCCTGCCTCCAAGCTTTGACGATCGGGTTCTTGCCATCATCTACTGTGGTGGTCAATCGAGAATCAATGCCTCCAACATTGTGACCCTCCTGAAGCCTTACTTCGAAAAGATCGGTAAGGTATTGTCTATCCAGGAATTACTTCTTGGAGTCCCCGCGCAGTCCGCTCGTCTTGTCACATACGAGCTTGTCGTTCGCTATTTCGTCTGTAGTCACGCTTTGAACGCCATCAAAGCCTTGAATTCCATACGTACGGAGGTACGTCTTAGAAGCAACCCGGCTCCTACGCTGCAGCACATGAAACATGCTAATTGGAATGCCGCGTAGGACTTCGTCATTGAGATCACGCCATGGCATCCAAATATCGAGAGCCAGCCGATTCGCCACTGGACCTCCTCCACGAAGATGCGTCGGATGTCTCACCCCAGCCATTACAGTGGGAACCAGCCCAACCGGGGCTACATATCTCCTGGGGACGCGGACAGCTCTCCTATTCCACACCGTGATACTGGCAGGGACTGCACTATTGATTTGGGTAAAATCTTCTATCGCCAGGATGATCGTACATCTGTAAGTTCCGACTCATAGAGCTCCCCATGAATCTCATACAGGGTTGACTCAAAGCTCATGTATTTTACGAAGGTCATGCTCCGCAACATCCCCAACTCTATGACTTGGGTAACACATCGTCCCCTTGTTTCCCTTCCCTTTTTGCTAATCTTTATTAGCAAAAACTCAAGGACATTCTTGACCTGACTAGCGCCATTCGCTTTGACTTCTTGTACCTTCGAATGGGTAAGTCGTATTTATTATCCATCTGTCTACGTGGCTGAATATGACTCGGTTTGTGTGACCACAGACTTCAAGAACAATCAGAAGTGAGTCTCTGGAAAATTCAAGTAGTTTGATCATCCTACTGATTTCACTTTCCCTTACAGTGTTGGCTACGCTTTTGTCAACTTTGTGAGCGTGAGTGATGAGTCTTTTCGGTTTGCAATGACGGTGACTGACAATTCTTTAGCCTGGTGACATCCTTGTGGTTAGATTAAAAGCTCTTGAAATATTGACTTGTGCTGACCATGTTCTAGCTTGTCGAGGCTCGTTGTGGGTTTGCATGGTAAGGGTTATCTATCTTTCGTTTTGGCTTTCGAACATTTTACCAACTCTGTTCAGGCCTGGCTTTGAAGGCCACACGGATAAGATTGCTGAGATTTCCTATGCAAGTATGTAATCCTTTTTTGATCCCAACATTGATGACTTGCCTGACCTTCTTGAATAGCTGTCCAGGGCAAGGATGCACTGGTCGAGAAGTTCCGCAATAGCCCGGTGATTCTGAACGCGCACCACAATCGGCCCAAGGTAAGACCCTTTCGGACCTTGACAGAAACAACTACTGAACCCCATTAGCTGTTCCACCTCAGCGGCCCTCGAGCTGGTTGCGAAGCGACATTCCCGCCCGTTAACAACTTTTACACCCTGGCCAAGGGTGTTGATCGGAGCAAGCGGAGCGGCAAGTCATCTTGGCTAGGCATCATGAACTTGAAGACTAATCATATACAGGGTTGTTCCGTAGCGACAACCGGCCTTCGCGCTTTGGGTTCCGTACTCACCGTTACGGTGGCAGCGAGTGCGACAGCCCCGCATTCGAAGAGCTCCACGGCGACCGTGGAAATGAGACTCGCGACGTTGAGATGGACACCCCGTTCCAGGCTTCTCGGGCTGATCTTGATGTCTCTATGGGACCCCCTTCTCACCCTCAGGGTTGGTCCTCCCGCGCTTGAAATCTGCTGAGTTGCCTGCATCGATCGCTCATAGACCGGCCCCCCATCTCCGGTGGCTTCCACATCTTCTGCGCTGGAATGAGCGATCGATGGTTCGCTTGATGCATTTCCTTTGTTCTCTTCCTTCTTCACTTTACATTTTTATCTGAATTCCCTTTGGTGTCTCTCGAGACGCGCGCGGTTATGAGGCGTCGTGCCTCGCGACTATGTGTGGCTCCCTACGGTGACTTCGGTTCCGCTGGTTCCCTTCGGAGATGAGATGGCGGTCGGTGCAAAACAGAGATATGTATCTTTATCGGTATTTGCTCAGTTCTAGTTCTATTTTATGATCATGCTGCCTATATGCAACGTAGTCCGACGATCCGCGTGTGGGTTGATACAGTCCGGGGGGTTTCATAGATCGGTCATTTATCGCTATCCCGTGATCCTTATCAGCTATCAGCTGCGAACTAACCTGGTCGAAATGCCGCCCATTTTGCTTCTGAATTTCTTTCCCGAGCATCTAGCTCGACTCACTACCCTCCGTTATTCTCGCGTCATGGATTACCAGGAAATTCGGGCAACGCATGCTGTGCTGCATTTGATCTATCATCGCAACAAAAACCAGCATCAACGAGCGAAATGGTGGAGGTGGCTGTCACAGTTGAAGCGCACCGCTTTGGATCTGGGATCGCAGGACGCAAGTGTCGTGATGCCTGATTCTTACAAGCAGCATCTGGCCGCGCATCTGATTCCCAAATGCTATCTGTACGTATTCCTCGCACATACTGTGTTGAAATCTGGGGGAAGGCGCCGTGGTCGATGTGGTCGACATGCGCACTGCTAGAATTTAGCTAACTCACTCCAGGGCGTTCTCTACTGTCATCGCCGAGAACCAGTTTTCAACGCTGGGAATCGTGCTTTTAGCGACTTTGTCGCGCTTTTCCAAGGCAACTGGTACGAAGTACGAGGCGGAGACGCGCCGACGGGCGCAAGTTAAGAAAACCCTCACAGCTGCGCCTGCCGAGGATTTTGGAGAACGAGTGAGTCGCAGCGAGGCTGGTGGGCTGCCAACGTCGGATCATGAACGTCAAGTTCCCCGGAAAATATCGGGGCGGTCTACGACAGAGAAAGCATCGACCTCTAAACGCACAAAACAGGCTAGCAAACGAAAGAAGAACGCGATCGATGATCTATTCAGTGGGCTGCTTTGAAAAAAAAAAAAAAAGAAAACAAAATCCTATCGTTCAAGTTATTGCACAGTCTCATCTTCGTGACCGAAGAGAATAGAGGTTGGCCTCGCCTAGAAGGTTCACTGCGACGTGGTGGGCGGTTGCCCATGCCATCGTGTACAGATATTTAGGCGAGAACACGGTCCAGATGAACAGATGAGTCCTCAAGGCGGTACAAGCAGCCATGACAGAGACCAAAGAGGTTGCGATGTGGAATGTTAGCAGCGCAGCAGTGTTTTGACCCTCCGGGCCCCGTTGAGGTCGAAGCAAATGGCCTGCAGAAACCCACCAGATCGGGCCTGCCCAGTTGCTGACAAATGTCAAAACTCCCACCATCACCACGCTATAGCTGCCAACGCCGTTGTAGGCACTCGAGAGGTCGACAGAGGAGATCGCATTCGAGCCGCCAAATGCAAAGAAGGTTGTGTACTGCAGGATCAAGGTCGTGACAGTTACTTCGATCCCCGTGAGACTCATTGAGGACAAAATCGAGGCAGCGACGCGGAACAAAAGGAACAGAGGGATGTTGGCCGCTCTAGACTGGGTCATCAGGAACAGATGAAGAGCCTCATGGAGGAGCGAGCTTGAGACTATTGACGGCAATCAGTCAGAGGTCAACGAAGGGAGTTTCGGGGAAGGAGGTTAGCTTACCGGGCCTCGTGTCCGGGCTGTGTTGCGTCACGACAGCCAGAAGGGCACACACTACAAGTCCCCCAAAGATAAGCCTCGCCTGCAAAATCAGCGACAAGCTTTCTGGCCAACTCTCTGCAACCTTCGATAAGAAGGAGCTTGCGAGAAGCTCAGGAGAGTCGTTGGCCATAAAGTTCAGTTTGAACAGGAAGGCCAAGACTGTCAGGATCAACCCCCCGAACTTCAGCACGGCAGCAGATGGGAGGTTTCGGAGAAGATGATAGCCAGCATCCGCATATGTGAGCACTATGAGACCCCAGAAAACGGCTGGGTGAGCCGGTAGGAAAGTACGGGCGATATCTGGCTCTGCTGCGAACTTTTGGCCAGTCTGGTTCCAGCGACGGAGGACTCGCAGGGCGACCGCAAGTACTAGCGTGGCCAGCTTGCTGGCATGGAGTGTGAGGGGATGGGTAATCTTTGAAGTGCCCATTGTTGATGATTCTGAGCGGATGTGTAAATAGAACGTCCATCCGGAACAGATCCAATACCAGAACTGTTGCTCCTCCTCGACGTAACTGCTTGCAAACATCATGCTCCCGTAGCCGACAATCATGAATGTCAGGAATGCGCCAGTGTGCGTCGACCGTGCGCACTCATGATAGGTAGCGGGAAAGACCAAAAGTGCCGCAGCGCCTGTTATCGCCAATCCCAGACAGAGCCGGAAAATGTTGTAGTTACTGGCGGTGCTGCTCATCACATCTTGTGCGATGTGTGAAAACTGCAACAGAGACGATTCAAGGGTCGAGAAAGACTCGTCGGTTGTGATGTTGGTCGAAAGAAGCTGGAGAACTTGAGACCATGCACACTGGGCACCTTCAATACCCGAGTCTGCTCCATTCGCACAGCTTGCCGCAATGGCTTCCTGACCAAACACAAAACTGGGGAATGTAGCCTCGACTGTATTCAGAAGCTGACGAGCATTACGAGATAACAATTGAAGCCTCTCGGACCCTGTGGTTGCGTGAGTTGACGTGTCTCCGTTGATCAAGTACATCGTAAGGCGGCGAGCAGAATGACTTACTGGAATCCCACATATCTAGAAACTCCGGAATGAAGACCCCCAAGCTATTCAGAGGGATCGGCAAACCGAGGAGCCCGGCTAATGTGGGTGTGATGTCCGCTTGTTCAACCGTGCGATAGTACTGGAGATCAGCAAACGCTTCGATGGGACTTTCGTGCGGGGACGCCAAAGCCTCAAATTTGGGCGATATAAAAAGTAGCGCGGGAGATGTTTCCCCGGCCGATGCGCCACCATGGTTCCCGGCATCATTCATGCCATGGTCACCACAGAGAACGAACAGGGTAGACTGGAGGTGAGGCTCCTGCTGAATTGCTGTATACACTTCGTTCACCACTGCATCCATTTCTCGCTGTTTGGGTCTCATGAACGAGCTAGCGGAGTGTCAGGCATGCCAGTCAGAGTTGAGATACGGACAAGGATAAGATACCTTCTGGGTCCTGCCTTGTGGCCAATATGGTCCAAACCCAGGTAATGCATGATCAAGGCAGACCAGTCGCTTTGCGCAAGCTCCGTGGGAACATGACGCGTAACATTCCGGTCCACTTCCACAAAATCCTATGGCGGATAGAAGATTGACTCTCAGCTAGGGTTTCGCAGTTAAGGGAATGCTCTTCCACAATATCACTGACCGATACGAAAAAGCTGGTTGTGCCTTCGGCCCGGCCAAACATGCCTGGGAAGAGTTTAAGCCATGTATCATCCCCATACATGACCAGCTGGTCCCCTCGGGCTTTCAATTGGGCCAACCATGTGTCCTGATATGCGAGAGTGGACGAAGTGTCTGACTCGGCGATATTGAGGATCACGTCGAGGAAAGATGGAACGGAGCCCGTAGTCATTGCCTTCAACCTCGGCATAGTGACCGTTGGAGAGCTCGCATGGGCGGTAAACGGCAACGCTGCACCGGCCCGGATTAGACTAAAAAGGAATCAGCTTTTAGGTCTTCTCTTCCTGCTTTATGCTGCTCAGATGTGCCAGACCTTTGCGTGAACAAGAACCCAGACTCGGTCGAGTAAACAAAGTCACTGTGTCATTCCTTTAATGGGCTGTTCTGCTTCCGTGCTGGAATAAATTCAATTCCTACCTGCGCAATGCATCTACTACCATAAAAATGACTTTATCGAAAACCGCAGACGTGGCATTCTGGTTGACCTCATCGAACGTCGCTAGGCCCGGGAGGAGCGGTTTATAGGGGAAGAAGCCGGACGAAAAGGTGAGGATGCCCACTGGCACCATGAGATTGGCCAGCAGGGTCGCCCAGCTGCAATGGAAAAAGCCCATGATGCTCACCCCCAGCGACGTCTTTGCGGCGCCAGGCGCGCTTTGACGCGAGACATGCTGGAGCCGTTGACGATGGGCGACCACACCGCCTTCACGATCCCATGTGGCGCAGATCTACAACATGAGGGAATCTACTAGATCTACTAAGTTTACCCCATCTACAGATGCAAGGTTGGTCCCAGAAATGCCGGACTAGATCTAGAGATGCAATTGACAAGAAATGGTAAGAAACATATACCCTGAGGACTCCCAACGCCGTTGATTAAGCTGCATCCACTCCCCATCACCCTGCATATTCGACCATCAGTTATCGTTTCCTCAAACCAGCGCTTACTTCTTCTTCGAGCCCTTCGTAGACTTGGAAGCAGGTTTCTGGAACATGATGGAGTTCCGGGGCTTTCGGTTGCGCTGCTGCTTTTGCACCCGCCCGGATTTCTGCGATCGGGTCTTGGAGGATTTGGTATCGATATCCATCTCTGTAAAGACAGCAATTAGCCCTCCGGTCCATCATATCAATGAGAGGGAGAAAATCAAGGAGCAGCGGAGCCAACCTACCCTCGTCAGCGGCGGCTGTAGCCTTCGCGGCATTCCGGTCGGCTATGATGGCAGAACAGGTTAGGAGAGATTTCTCTAGGGAATAGGAGCAGCGCGCGCACACGTACCAGTCTCATCAGATCCTAGATCCATACCGGCATTCTCGGGGGCCTTGGGCTTAGGCTGCGCGGCAAGCTCCTGCAGCTTGGCGGACAGTCGCTCGGTGCGGGCATCGACGATAGGGCCAAACACCTTCTTGCGGAGGTTGGCTCTGTTGCGCTTGGACACGCTCGCTCGGACACTTTTCGCCATGGTGCTGCTGTGATCTAATCTTGTGTCCGAAGGAACTGCTGTAAAGTTGGCAAGGCCAGAAAATGTACGGAGAAGTTGGAGAAGTTTGTTGACTGAGCTGTGAAATGCGGCGGGCTCGAACTTTTTTTTTTCTATCGCGATAGGCGGGCGTCTTATGTCATCCGCAACAACGCCCGGCTCGACAACCGCCGTGGCTGGCCTTCCCCTCGAACGCTTGCGCTTGTTCCTAGGAGGAGGGCGATCCGAGACTTCAGACTTCTCGGCAATTGAGGCCTGCGACGCGATCATAGTGCGATGTATCTGTGCAGAGCCCCTATCACCGGCTTAGCTGCACTGCACTCCGCCTGAGCCCTGGTGCCCGTTCTGGGCCCTCGAAATCAGCCCGCGATGGCGTCCTCCAACCAGCTGTCGGAGATTCCACACCTCGTGGCCCTCATCAAGACTCTAACAAACCCACAATTGAAAGATCTTTTGCGCAATGAAGGGCTTGCAGTGTCTGGGGTCAAAGCATCTTTGCAGCTCCGCATCATCGACTGTTTGTGTCCTTCACCTGTTCTTCTCTACCTTCATCCCTAATCTAGCCTGTCATCCTGCCCCTCGCATTGCCTCTTTTGCTGGCCCCTCCCTACAAATTCTTGGTCTATGTTTGGCGACACATCCTTCTTGATAGACACTAACGATCTGGCCGTGATAGATCTTGAGCGCCTTGCCAATTCCGAAGGCAACGGAGCCCGGTATGATGCCCTGAGGCGACGCATTTACCAGACCGCGATCCCCGGCGCGTCTGCTTTCCAGTCGTCATCTCCCAGTTATCCACTCCAACCCCCGCCTGCTGGTCCGCCGACACCGTCGCACCCTCGGCCGGCACCGGCGGCTATGGGAGGCATCACGTCGCCCCATTCAAATTCACTTGGTTCGATTGCATCCACTCACTCAACACTGCCAGCATTGACTGATTGCTTGGTTCTTCAGCCCGTCTTACTTTCAAAGAAAGTCCCTTCTTCACGGTTGTGGCGCCTCTCACGTCGGTGATGGAATGTAAAGGTGAGCGCTGAGGCACTGAATCCCTCTATCGTGCAGTCGGTCCGTTGGTCTAATATTCGCCAGTCCGTGAACAAACGAGGGATAGTGTGGAGTTGAAGGTCAACCTGACTCCGTCCACTGCCTCGGATCTGGCAATTGACCCCAATCTTCGGGTGATGGTTTATTGTGCTGCCGACTTCGGGCTCAAGCAATACACCAAGTCCGATATTGCATTTCCCCATCAAGTGGAGCTCAAGGCCAATCTCGATGAAGTCAAGGCCAACCTTCGTGGACTGAAAAACAGACCCGGTACTACGCAACCCGCCGATGTCACAAATTACATACGCAAGAAGCCGAATTATCCCAACAACATTGTGATGACTTACGCATTGACCTCAAAGGTGAATCCCTATTCTCATTCGTATTGCTGCAATTCGCAAAAATGCTTCTGAGCTTTTTCATGGAGTCACACCCGAAATGCCTTTGCTGACGGTATATTGATAAAGAAATTTTTCGTGCTGGTCAACCTTGTCAGACAACACCCAGTCGATGAACTTGTCACGCAGCTCAAGTCTCGCAAGATCATTTCGAAGGAGCAAGTGATCCGCGAAAGTACGAACCCGAGCTTCCTTTTATACTTTTGGGTGGCGACTCTGACGCATGCTTGCTGTAGTGAAAAACCGCGCGGATGATTCTGATATTGTTGCTACATCAAGTATCATGTCACTCAAGTGCCCGCTATCAACACTAAGAATTCAAGTGCCCTGTCGCTCCGTGGTCTGCACCCATAATCAGTGCTTTGACGCGTCATCATTCCTTGAATTGCAGAAGCAAGCCCCCACCTGGACCTGTCCTGTGTGTTCCAAGTCTACCAGTTTCGAGTCATTGCAAGTGGATCAGTAAGTCCAGATCCTTTCTAGCGCTTCCAACCCCCTTAATGGACTCCGAATCTGTATACTGACCCGTGGCGGGGGCAGGTACGTCGATGACATTCTCGGAGCAACTTCATCAGATGTGGAGCAGGTCGTGGTGGAACCAGATGGCGCATGGTCCGCGCCTAGTGATGCGGATCCAGTGAACCTAGGCGGAAGAACCCCCGCAAGTGACGATGACGACGACCTCATTGAGATTAGTGAGCCGGGAGTCCCTGCTGTCAAGCAAGAACCTATACCGTCGAGCATGATGCTAGAGCGAACTCCCGCCCAGTCGCAGTCCCGAGAGGCATCGACGCCATCCTCCGCGGCTCGCCTATCCAGCAAGAAGCGACCTGCGGCCCAGGTCATCGATCTTACTGGAAGCGACGACGATGATGATGAATCGCCCGTTCCTCCGCTGAAACGCCAGGCTCTGAGCTTCGCAGTTCGCGGGCTGTCGTCGCAGGACTCTCACCAGCTGATGGCCAGCAGCCCTCTTAATGACCGACCTTACCCACCGCCATACTAGGGTTCGAATTGTAGTCTCTCGGTCCTTGATCTCCCGATGCCATACACCTTTTTTTGTTCCTGTTCGGCTTCTGTCTGGTCTTTTGTTTCTTTCGACCGTTCCATTCCCTCTTATGTTTCACATGCATCTGGCTGCGGTGTTTCTGGCGTATCCCTGGTCTTGGGATTGCATTTGGGTTTGCTTAGGCAGGTGTAGTTGTGCTTGTCCGGTCCTAGGAGAGGAGCATTCTTATCTGGAATTGATCTAGGTGAATGCATTGTCCGTATGTTCACCCTTGTGTCTTGTACTGGTGGAGTATAATGTTTTTGGGTACTGCGTAAGTCTATGGTTGTCGGAGCTGTCGGTGGTATAGCTAGTAAAACAGTGAAAGGGGAGTGGGGAAACCGAGCTGCGCTGTCAGTTGATCGCCCGCCTCCCCCGAACCCGAAACGCCTTGGCAACCACCATCTTAACAACGTCCACCTTCCAACTTCCCTCTTCCCTCCCTCCCAGCCTCGAAGCCGCTCCCCCGTCCGCCATGTCATTCGATGCCTCTGCTTCGTTGTCGATTTCCGATCCAAATGCTCGCGCCATGAGCTCCTCATGCTTTGACTTCCTGCTTATCGAGCTGGTGCCTATGGCCGAACGTCTGGCCAAGGACCTGTCAACACAAGACAACGACCCAGAAGATGAAGAGGTCCGCGAGTCCACGTATTTTCGTCTCGAGTCCCTAGGCTACCGGGTGGGTCAGGGTCTCGCGGAAAGGTGTGTGGATGCGCCTACTCCCTCCCATTGCGCTCTCGCCTACCGGGGGCGCGCGGAAGACCACCCCCCTTCTTATCGTCAGCCCGCGTCAATGGCATGCTGGCTTCGTCTACTGACGCCTATTGGATTGGTCTAGGTTCTCGCGCGATCGTCCTCGATTTACCGACAACCTCGATGTGATCAAATTTCTCTGCAAAGATCTGTGGACCGTTCTGTTCCGGAAACAAATTGATAATTTGAAAACAAACCATCGAGTATGTGGCCCGGCAGGCAGGGGCGGGAGTCGTGCCCATGGCGAGCTGGCTGCGATGCTAACGAGGATTGAATAGGGAGTCTACGTTTTGACTGATAGCGCATTCCGGCCGTTCGCCAGGATGAGCATGGCTGTGCGCGGTGAAGCAATATCGATGGCACAAGCGGTAAGGACCATCACACAAACCCCTCCAGCGTGCCTCGGAGGCGGCGAAAGGCTGATCGACGTGACTACAGTACCTGTGGTTCCCTTGCGGGATCATCCGCGGCGCCCTCGCAAACCTGGGCATCAACACAACAGTGCAGGCAGAGACCTCGGATCTGCCTGGGGCCACGTTTCAAATCAAGACTGTGCAGGGCCGGCCTTGAATTGGGGGAGAGGGGAACCATGGTGTCCAGGCAGGCCTGGTCTACTACTTGGCAAACTTGCGGACGGGCCTTTCGTCCCTTCTTCACGGGCCCTTCGCCGGCAGGTCCGGCAATGATGCGTGTCCACCGCAGACCGCTCCTTCCTGTGGGCGGCCGATGCATCATGAGGAGGCGGCCTCTTCACTCATCTGCTACGCAGGAGTACGTGCGAGTATACAGGTCTGAAACATAATCTTATTTCTTTACGCGCGCGATCTCCCCTATCTTTGCGTGCGAACAGCCTGTTATTCGACTGAGGAACCCTCCTGTCATCTCTGTTTGTCGTTCATAATCTCATCGCCTCGCCCTTAAAGCCTATCTTTCAGCGATAACCATAATTAGCAAGGCTCTGCAATTTTCGAGGCCATGACGAGGTCGCGTGCCTGTCGGTGCATATCAAATATGGGATGAGATGGTGGAGTCCACCAATGCAGCATAGGGTGGATGGAGAGGCTGGGGGAAAGGGGGGAGGGTATTTACTTTGGCGGGGGGTTCTGGGCAAACTCGACACCCTTTTCGATGTTGCCCTTCAGGCCCTTGATGCAAGCCTCGAGGAGCTTCTGCTCCTGATCGGTCACGCCACCGAGGATGTTGGTGGCCTTCTCGGCGCCGTTGGGCTGTATATATCGTGTCAGCTTGTCCTTCCCGGCATGACGATGAAAAATTTCATGATAAGCTTACGCCAAGTTCCACGGGGGTGGAGAAGAAGTCAACACCAGTCGCCTTGGCGATCTCCTCGCCACCAGGGACACCGGGCAGGTAGACGAAAGTAGGCTCGACAATGCCCTTCTCACCCTTAGCGGCCCTGATCACAGCCTCGGCAAATCTGCTCTATGTCAGTAAAATACGCCTTGTCAGGAATGACAGGATTGGACTGGACCTGAAACCGGCAAATGCCATGGAAAGAGTCGCTGAACCGGCACCGTCCTTGGCCTTGACAACCTCATCACCACCGAACTGGACGCCTGTGAAAAGTCAATGGCTGGAAACCACAGAACAATCGAACTATGGACGAGACGGTAGGGAGGGGGAGGGCACGTACGGTTGACAAGAGCATCATAGCGGTCAGCAGGGATCTCGAACTTAGGAGAGACCTTGCTGAACAGCGGGACGATCGTCTCGCCAGAGTGACCACCGATGACGGGGACGGTGGCCTTGGAGGGGTCCGACAGACCGGAGAACTCCTGGGTGAAAGTCTCGGCGCGAACCACATCCAGAGTCGTCACACCGAACAGGCGCTGGGGGTTGAAGACACCAGCAGCCTTGAGGATCTCGGCGGCAATGGGCACGGTGGAGTTGACGGGGTTGGAGATGACCAGAACGAACGCCTTGGGGCAGAATTCAGCAATGCCCTTGACCAGGTCACGAACAATGCCGGCATTGATCTTGAAGAGGTCGTCACGGGTCATACCAGGCTTGCCTATACTTGAGGTTAGCAAGGCACAACTCACTGGGTTTATGAACAGTTGTTTGGGGCGGGGTACGAACGGGGAATGCCAGCCGGGATGACCACGATGTCGGCGCCAGTTAAGGCGTGCTTCAGGCCGTCATCTTTGGGGAGGTAGCCCGAGATTTTCTACTTGCATGTCAGCGGGGGTGATTCTGGCTAGCCGCGAGCGCATGCCCACAGAGACTATCTAGGAGGATGGGGGAGCAGGTGGGGTCACGAACGGCAACGGAGGAGATGTGGGACAGGTCGGCGGCCACGCCAGGAGTGTTGACGACATCGTACAGGGCAAGCTCGTCCACCAGGGGAGAGGCCTTGAGCAGCAGTGAGAGCGGCTTGAAGGGAGCAAAGGTCTGTTAGCAAGCTTCTGGGGGCACTGGATCTCTTTGGAGGGCTCACCTGGCCAATGCCGCCAGAGGCACCAAGAACAACTAAACAAGGTCAGTCGGCAGCTAGAGAGCTAGAGAGCTAGACCATGCACGACTCACCAGCTTTGACCATGATGTGAGATGTGTGTAAGTGAGGGGGATGGATGGAAGAAGATGGGTTGGCAAGAAGGAAGGAGAAGAACCGGTTATTTATTCATGAGCTCGGAGAGGAAGGAGGGGCGTGATTTGAGGGGCAACCCCGGAGAGTCACAAGCCAAGGGATCATTACCAACTTACGGCCTACTTCCACTTACCCACTGCCAGGGCCACTATCTGTCCATGGCTGGGATGGTAATTAGAGCAATTAGAGCAATTAAATCAATGAGATCAATGAGAGCAATTAGAGCATGGCTACCCAGCTCGCCCCTCGTCTCGTCACCAGTGGTACCTGGCGAGTACCGAGAACCGGCGGTTCCTCAAGTCACTACTATACTCCATTCGGCGGCCCGGTCTGCGAAGTCGGCAGGTCTGTGTACAGAGCTCTGGACGGACAAAACCTCCAGAGGACACGGGCTTCGGAAGAAACCTCTCTGCGCCGGAGGGGCGGACTGACGGAGCGGTCACCTCCGTCGATATCGAGGCTCTGGGGGTACGGGGGAGCTCGACTCCACACGGTCTATGCGCCCTATACTATCGCACCCGCTCCCTACTTATACTTATCGCTTACCCTCCTTACCCTCCTTACCCTCCCTTCCTCTTCCTCTTCCTCTTCCTCTTCCTCCTCCCCCTCCCCCTTCGTCCGAGCAGGGCAAGATTTCCCATGAACCCTATCCGCCAACTCTCCCCTAGTCGTGGCAACGGCTCACGTCTCGGCAATTGTCGTCGCACCCGTAACGCTCGGGAACCTTCGCAGGACTCTCCTACCATCGGGAAAAGGCGGGATGCCCGACCATTCCACGGCAAACGACATCATCGCGACCTCTCGAAGGTGGGGCCGCTCCGCTCGGCTTCCACGCCTACTTCATCCTTTCGGCTGCGTTTACAGACTAACCTCCCAGCCCGACGGGCTACCAGGCAGTCCCCCTCGGCCGACCAGTGCCTCTCCTACAACACCCGCAGGCGGATCCTTTTTTTTCCCGCATTCCCCGTGACATGGACACTTTCGTTTCGTGTGAAAATTGCATTCTCTTTTTCTTCCAAAGACCAGGGTCGGGCCATTCCCGCCCCACCTCAGAGCAAGTATTTGCTAGATTACATGGACGCCTCCGTCCTGCTCCAGCATAGGCGCGCGCACCGGTTTCCATTCAGATGCCCATCCGATATCCGATCCACCTGAAGTGCGCGTTCGCCCTATCGTTTTGACTCTTCATCACTCGCGTCGCGAACACTTTTACTCCGAGGCCTTCTCAGCGGCCTTGCGAGCCTGGACGCCGCGGACCTTGCGGGGCGGGGTGTCCTTCTTGGGCTTCTGGGAGCGGCGGAGGGCGCTCACACGGGCAACAGCCTCCTCGCGGACATCCGCGCGGTAGCCGTTCTGGGCGGTCTGACCGGCGACACCCTTGTAGATCCTGTTACACACACGCACGCTGGTCAGTATCAAGATTCTTCTCGGTCCGCGAGCCTTGGTTCTCATGCCATGCTCATGCGCGAGTGTATCGTAAATGATATATGGATCGATTCGCTGGCGTAGCATGGAATTGGCGGTGGTTGGGGGGAGCTCCTTACTTGCGGGTGGAAGTCTTGGGGCCGTAGGTCACGGTAACCAGGTTCTGAGCGGGCTGCTGGGGGTTGCCGGCCTTCTTGGTGATCACGACGACGTCACCGTTCTCAGTAGACTGGACACCAACGGCCTGGAAATATCAAATGGTCGAGTTAGGATATCGTCGGGAGTGCCACAGCTGTTTTCCGAGCACAGCGCAGGGGAGGAAATGAATACCTTGTTGTTGGTGTAGCCGGAGTACTATGAACCCCTCCGTAAGCTTTCGTGTGTCCATCATGGGATCCATGGGATTGGGCTCGAGAGGCCCATCGCGGTATCATACCTTGTAGGATTGCTTGTTGACCAGGTTCAGGGGGTCCCGGGAGAACTGGGAGCCACCAAAGGTGTTGCGGCGGACCAGATAAGCATTCTGGTTACCTATGATGCCACAATCTTGGTCAGCCACGGATGCGCGCTCAATTTCACCGGAGGGACGGGAGGCATACGGGTGATCTGCCAGATCAGGTCGTTGGAGACGTTTGGGCGCGAGACAGACATGGTGACGGGAGTGGATTGCGGAGGAATTGGGATCGAGAATCGCCTTTCTGGAGGTAGTCGAGGACGGCTTGTGTGATGGAATTCTCGACTCGGGCGCCTCGCTAAGCAGGCCGCTTTGGGAATAGGGCCCGTACTGATGCCTTGGTGCCTTAATGCCTTGGTGCCTTCCACCATCGTAACTAAATTGGAGCTAGTGAGTGACACTAGTTACTCGTGGACGCCTTGCTGCCTTGGGATTGTTGCGGCCTGGCCCCTCAGGCATGGATCTCTGCTTTCCCGCTTTCCCCATTCGGCGACTCCGGGCGTCACGGATGACGACTCCCTTCCCTTCGCCTTCGCCCTCGTGGATCGTCTGGCCTTTTGTTTACTTTGCTTCGAGAGGCGTTATCTCGATCAGCCTGCTCCCAAACTGCGCGTGAACCCGCTGGGCTTCGCCAACCATGACCTACTTTCTCTTCTACTCTCTCTTCATCTCTGTCATCATCTGCGGAACAGGTACGTCGCGAGTTCCTCCTACTTCCCCCCTCCCCGCCCCTACCTCCTTTCCCTTCCTTTTCCAGAGGATTTGAGGGCTCGGAATCTGGAGGCCTGTACGTGATCAAAGCTGACCAGGGACTTCAGCGCTCTATCTCACCCGGTCACGATGGATTCACCTGCTGCCGGTGCCTGACTACATCTACCATCGTCTTCCCTCCAGCTTCACGGGCGATTTGGAGGCTGGCCTGAGTTCCTCCCAGTTTGACATTACTGCCAACCTTGCAGATGGCGACACACGAGCCGGCTTGGATCTGAAAGCAAAGCGAGAGGTCCGAAACATCATGAAGAGCCGCAAGGTCGACTTCGATGAGGCCCGCCGAATCTATACCGAGCAACGATTCGCAAAGAATAATATTGGCCCCGATGGTCGGCCCCGAGACCCCAAATTTGTCTCATTCTCATGACCTCGCGCACGCTTAGCTTGTTTTCCGTTTCTTCCTTTTCTCCCTCTCTCTCTCTCTCTCTCTCTCTCTCTCTTCCTTTTTCTTTTTCGGTTGTTTCTATTCAAACCACAAAAAGTGGTTCTCATGCTTTCCTCTCCGTCTACCATGCTAGCCGTAAGAGATTTCATATAAGTCATTCCATTACTCTACAATTTCATAGCAAATTGACAAATATATTTTGATCACATCCCTTTTGATTGATCGAGAGTTGACCCACTTGAGGACTAACTAGAATACTTGCGCCAAGGGCGCGGCTAGCCCGTGTCTGTTCATATCGGAGGGATCTGCAGGCGCTTTTGACGAATACATTCCCACAAATTTTTCATTGTGATCCGGACACCAACGTACGGTCAGCCTGGGCCCCACCGTCTTTGTCGAGGCATATATGTGTGTGTATAAGGGATTCACTAGGCTGGAGGCAGCGGCTTGATGTCCCAAACATCAGATCGTAGCATGCGAAACCATGGCGGGACTATTCGATAGAACTGCAGTGACGAATTCCAGAGCATCGCCCATGATGCTCAGCGACCGGTTCCATACCCTGGCTGCTGAAAGCCGGGGGGCAACGATGAAGGTGCAGCGGGGGTCCCAGGTCCACCTGCGGGGGGACAAAGCCCGGAGGGCCAAATCCTGGCGGCGGAGCTGCAGCTTGTGGGGGATAGAGAGGTTGCTGGCCAGCGCCATTAAACCCTGGTGGGAGGAAGGTTTGAGGCCCGCCATAGCCAGCCTGAGACGGCGGGGGACGGGCTGGGAGACCTGGGGGTGGAGTGGTGAGTGATGAAGGGGGAGGGCCGGGTCGGCCCTGCGGAGGAGGAGGAGGTACGCCCTGATAGCTCATTGGGAGGGGTATTCCCCTGCCCATATTGAGATCGGGCGTCTGCGGAGGACCGGTGCTCACAGGTCGGGACAAGTCACCATTTGGTATGGCCGTAGGAGTCGCAGGAGGGCCAGTACCCGCTCCCGGAAATTGAGCTGGTGGAACCTGCTGTGTTGGTGGCCGAACATTATGCTTCCGAGCCTGCGCTGCCAACGTCCTCTCGGCCTCGTCACCGTGCCTCTCTCCTTTGCCATCCTTTTTGTAGGCATATTGGACAGAAACTTGTTTGTTCATGAGATATTGACCGTTCATATTGGCGATGGCCGCATCGGAAGACTCAAAGTCGGCAAAAGAGACAAACCCATAGCCCTTGGATAGGTTGTTATCGTCCCGAGCAACCTAAGATCGGTTAGTTCCGCGTTGGCTGCCAATTCCTACAGATCAAGAACAAGACGTGGGGAAGGGGGAGAGGTTTCCCCGGGTAAATGGCACTGACCTTGGGGAAATTGACCAAACTCCCGAACCGACTGAATGTATCATAAAGGACTTGTTCCGAGACCATGGGATCGAGGTTTCCGACAAACAGCTCGGCACCAATTTCCACCGACTTCTGCTTGTCGGCTGAGGCCTTGTTCACACGGATGGGTTTCCCATAGAGGCGGATCCCGTTCATGATTCTCGATGCATATTCGGCATCCTCCTCGCTAATAAACTCTACAAACCCATATCCTTGGTGCGACTGCGTGACTCGGTCTTTGGGGAGGTGGACGTTCACGATGCGCCCGGCCTGCAGCATCAGCTCCCATACCAAGCTATCGGAGGCCCGCTCATCTAGGTTTCCGACATAGACTGTGGCCTCTTTGTCTTGCTCCCTGTTCCTTGGTGAGCGCCGGGGGTGATTGACTCATAGACGTGGGGAAAGGGATCTTACCAGTGCCTTGCGCCAGACATGACGGCGACGCCAGTCGCGGCGAGGCAAATTCAAATTCAAACGAACAAGAAAAAGAGAGAAAATCCTCCTCAGTGTAGCGAGAGGGTGGTGACGAAATGGCTTAATGTTCTCAAAGCGCAGCGAGGAGGGCAGAGAAGGATGGACGTTGGTGAAGGTGGTAGGCGGAGGGAACTGGAGCTGGCCGCTGATCATGGGATTTCCCGACCCCCGAAAACTTTTGAGCCCTCGCGTTCCCGCGATCATCCAAACCACCTCTTCCATCCGGTCCTCCTCCTCATCCAGAATCTATTTGCAACCCTTCAGCCCCGAATTTTTGACAAGCAAAGCTACTTCACTTCCGCACTTCCCAACCCTTTCTACTCAACATGGTCCAATTCTCCGAGGAGACCAAGGTACGGCGCCTTCTTGATTTCCAACCGCGAGTCTTTCATCACCGCTAACTAGAGTCATTTCTATCCTTCAGGAGCGCGTTTCGAAGGTGATCGATATCTCCCGGGTTGCGATCCACTAGTGAGCCCCCTACCTTGCCAGCACCAACTCTCCTGCGATCCTCTGCGACCCTCTTCACGCCTTTCCACCCACGTTCGAGCTGACCTGTTCGGATCCACCAGCGGTTACTTGCCTCTCATTGTCTACCTTGGTATGTCTCAAACAAAGCTCGCGCCAATATTTTCAAGACCGGATGACCAGGTGACTGATCTGCAAGAAATAGGCTACTCCTACAGCGAGCCTAAGCCCTCTTTGTTCAGGTATGTGGAAAGCTCCCGCAGGCCGTGTCTTCGTCTTGAAGACATCTTCAGCTTATTCTGCGGCTTTTTCTCACCCGGGCAATAGGCTGTTCTCGCCTCTGGCATAAGCATCGCGCTGCAGGGCATCCGTTCGGAACACAAATGATGATATCCCGTGCCACGTATTGATGGCCCGGCATGAGCTATCTCGTCCAGGCTTTTGGAATCTTGTTCACCTGATTTTAATGCCTCTTCCAGCGACGTTGGACCAATTCTTGGTGGCTAGGTCTTAGGACAGGCTGTACAACTCATCCAAGTCTGCGACATGTATTTTTAAATGGAATATTGATTTTAATCGGTCGCGCCTTACCTGCTCGGTTCCATCGATGGGGACGTGAACAATAGAAAGAAAGCCTCCCCGCCCCAATGAGTATTTGGGCACGTATCTGGTATCCTACGCGATACTCCGTACACCGTATGTCTCCGATGGCCTATGACCACCTGAGAATGGCCAATGGCGGAGGGAGGTTCTGCCGCGGCTCCCCGTCGCCGACCCGTCACCTACAGCCCGCCATGGCGGAGAAACATCAGTCTGGCACTACCACACGCCCTATCTCACCGACCGTCTTCGATTCCAGGTCAGGGTTCATGACTAGCCAGGATGGTTTGTCTTCATCCTCTGTGGAGACCGTAGCCGGATTCACTGCAGGGCTTGTCTCGACGCTCTGCTTTCACCCGCTTGACTTGCTTAAGACTCGGCTTCAAGGTAACGCGCTTTAGCCCTCGCCCTGATCCCGACCCATACCCTTGCCTCCATGATCGTTGGACGTGATCTGACTCAATTCGCTTTTCCTAGTTGACCGGTCAACCTCCTCTCGTCTTGGCAGCTCCTTGCGGATCATCCGTGGAATCACCACACATGAGGGTGGCTTCACTGCTTTCTACCGTGGGCTTGCTCCAAACTTGATTGGAAACTCTACCAGCTGGGGCCTGTATTTTCTATGTTACAGCAGCCTCAAGGGTGCCATTTGCACATACCGAGCACAGGAAGAATGGATGCTTACATCTTCTGATTATTTTCTCGCATCGGGTGGAGCAGGTCCGTACTCCCATCAGGAGGCCCGACCATCACCTCCCATCTAATCAGATATCTCTAGGCGCTCTCACATCTATTCTAACAAATCCAATATGGGTGCTGAAGACCCGGATGCTGGCAAGTGGCGCCCAAGCCCCGGGGGCGTATCCCTCATTCATATCTGGTGCGAGGGAGATTTATGGTACCGAGGGCATGCGGGGGTTTTACCGCGGCCTCGTCCCCTCGCTATTTGGTGTGAGCCATGGTGCTTTTCAATTTATGGCCTATGAACGATTGAAGCGTTTCAGGTTGCGGACGCTACGCAGCGAACCCTTGACGGGAGACCCCAACACGGAGACAATGGCGAGACGGCTCGGGAACTTAGATTTCCTTGTCCTCTCCGGTTTATCGAAGATCTTCGCCGGGTGTGTGACTTATCCGTACCAAGTCATCCGATCACGGCTACAGACCTATGAAGCCCACATATTGTACCGCGGTACTCTGGATACCGTTTCTCAGATCTGGGCACAGGAGGGTGCTGCAGGTTTCTACAAGGGTCTCGGGCCAAATCTGCTTCGAGTTCTGCCAAGTACTTGGGTGACCTTTCTTGTTTACGAGAACACTAAGGTCTACCTGTCGAAGCTAGCAGAGGAAGTATGAAGCAAATTCTGTCGCCTTATATGCCAAGATAGGCAACCCCTTCTTTCTTCAAAGTACCTTTACAGTAACACGATATGACTTGGGTAGAACGAAGTGAAACAAGAGAAACAGAAACAAGAAGATAGATATTAGAGCAATAACATCTTTTTAATGTAACAAAAAACCTAAGAAGTAACAACAGATTGAGGTCTACTGGTGTAACGGAATGTTACGATTGTGCGCTACTATATGTATCGGTCCTGAGCATGTCAGCCTTGAGGGCTAACATAGTGGTCTTTTTGGCCTGGTTGTACAATCATATGATTCAGGCATGACCGGTAATAGAAGCCTAAGGTTATTCTGAAGTAGAAGCCTGGAAAGGGGCGCTAAACATTAGCAGCAGATTAGCAGATGGTAAGCTAAGGAAACGAGTTATACAACTACTAACCTACTAGTGTTTGGCTTGTAGTCAGTAGTTGGGCGGATGCCATCCAGGTAAATACCTATGATAAACGCCGCTTTAGCATCGCGCGACCCGGGTGCAAAGGGTGAGTGCGCAATTACTAGGCTGAAAACCTGGCTAAGAATTGGTGAGAATCACCCTTTGTCACTCTCTCCTAGCTGAACTATGATTGAACAGTAAATCTGAAACCTTCATCTGTATAGCTAATGGCCACCACGGAACGAGTACGAATCTATCCGACGTTACTATAGACTATCCTAAGACAAACTAAGCCTATTTCGATAAGACTAGAGTATGATAAGGATATGTGTATATATCTAGGCGTATCTGGCTTACTCTTCGAATAGTCTTACCCTACTTCCCTTCGTCTACTATTACTGTATTCTATCCCCATCTAAGTATATCGTCCGCGGCGTCCCTTAATACACTAGAAAGTGTTTCTGTGTATAACATAAAACTCTTGATACTTTTAGCTCAAAGATCGCTACTATGACCTAGAAGAGATTTGTGAATCCCTATGGAACTTAGAGGGCGAAGTCCTTATTTATCAGATGATTAAGCGGCATAGTATTGACTTTTACCACTTGGATATCGATATGTAACTGCCTGTGCGGTATCCGATTTGGAACCTCCTTACTTTCTCCAACGTGTATTATTTACTAATTGTCGTGATATGAGTAGGAATCTCAAGGATGAAATTCTCGCCGTGGGATATGAATCCGCCAGTGACGGAGACAATGGGATTTTCTTCCCAGTGCCCCTATAGTTAGCACATGATAATTACGCTTGTGGGATGAGTGAAGATCTACAAAAGCGCATTCTCGATTCGAAGTAAGTCAATCCCTATACTTAGCCCTAGACCGCTAACTAATTATAGCTGATTAATAACTTATATATAAAATCCTAGATGCAATGAGGGCACAACGAATGAACTAAGAAGCATGACCTATGAGCAAAGCCTGACAACGTTTCATCATATATTACCGGTTTGGAGTTTTCATGCCCATTCTACAAACAAGATCACTAATTATAAGACTTAGAGAATGGTCCATCTATGGGACTGCTATGGACACTGTCACCTGCTCTATGTTCTTGTGTGCGATGAATCTAGGCAATGCGTGGAGGGAGACCACATGATCGGCACGGTTCTGGAGAGCCTCAAAGCTGTCATCTTGATCGGTGAGCCCGATCAGCTTCCCCCAATGGTGATCTCCCTGTCGAATGGCAACGAAGGTGCCAATTATCTGGTCCGATTCCTCTTAAGTCGACCCCGCGACATTGACTACCCACGTACGCAGCTATGTATGGACTACCGGTGCCATTGCGCTATCATAGGAACGTCCAACGAGGTAATTTACGTAACCACGATTTGGAGCGTGTTGGCCGCGACGCTGCAGCCATTGCAGAGACGGGGATTTGGGGGTTATCGCCGATAATGCTCCGCATGTTCTCCTCACTTCCCCTACACGCTCTGTTTGAACGGCTAACGTAACCCCGTTCAATGACTTGGACGCCTCGTTCAGCCTCGATTATTATTCACATCAACTGCATATACCCCAATTCTTTCCTTGGTTCTGGACAGACTACTCATCAAGAGGCCGAACCCAGATTCTGGCTGCCTACGGCATGAGCATGGCAACTGGACCCCTGTCACTTACTCCACTCTGCCAAATCGACCTATCCGCTCGATGCTCGGTCTAGCGATGTCGATCGTTCCCCTCACCGAACACCGAAGCTCATTATCGGGTCAAATCAAGTCTCTTGATTCTCTGCAAGCCTTGGTGGAGGCTTTGCCGAGCCACTCCCGGTTGGCTTGGGATGAGGAGCCCTTCTCCTCGTATGGAGATATAGCGATGCTACCTTCCCCGGGGCTCCTGCGGAGATGGCTGGTGCCGTCCCCACGATTCACTCTGATAGTGCCTCTGACTGGTTTTTCCGCTGAAGGTGATTTCTTGGCTTTGCCCGCTCTGTTATTCTCCAAGGGAAGCGGGTAAGGATGATCGTCCCAGCACGGCTATCTCCGGCCTCACGCATCCAATTCCTGTTGGCCGGGTGTCACTGGACGCGGCTGGGCGCAATTTACAGCCCGATGCATTGCGCTCCCCTCTTCCTGAAGCATTATTTAAGATGCCTGCGGACACTCCGGTCACAGCTGTTTCTTCCAGCATCGAAGTTGAGGTTGTTCCTTTGCATTATTCCGGACTGTTGAGTCACAATGCGCGTCCACAGCCTGATCCCGCTAGTGCTGCCTCTTGCAGCAGCGGCGTCGATCCCTCTCGGTACTGAGTTCGCTCGTCGCCAGCTTCCCAACGAGCCCAAGGGTGTCAAGACGATTAAGACGGCGAACAATGTCACTATCCGGTACAAGGAGCCTGGCAAAGAGGGTGTCTGCGAAACGACTCCCGGTGTCAATTCATATGCTGGCTATGTGGACCTGGCTCCGGACGCGCATACTTTCTTCTGGTTCTTCGAGGCACGCCACGATCCGGAGAATGCGCCAATTACCCTGTGGTTGAACGGTGGCCCTGGTAGCGATTCATTGATCGGGTTGTTCGAAGGTGAGTCAGGCCATTTGCTTTGCTGGGATATCTATTGTTAACGGGATTCACCTATAGAACTGGGGCCCTGCAGTGTTAACGAGAAGAACGAGACCGAAATCAATCCTCACTCATGGAACGAGGTTTCGAATATGCTCTTCATCTCCCAACCCCTTGGCACCGGTATGGAAGAAAACGAGCTATTAACGAGGAACATTCACTGAGACTCTCTAGGCTTCTCATATGCGGAGAAAGAAGCTGGCTCCCTCAACCCCTTTACAGGCTCGTTTGAGGATGCGTCTTTTGCGGGTGTTCAGGGCCGCTACCCGGTCATCAATGCCACTCTGATTGGTAAGTAGCCTCTTTTGGAGAACCATGGTAGTAGAAGCAAGTCTAACAAGGGGAAAGACACCACCAATCTCGCTGCCGAAGCTACCTGGGAAGTCCTACAGGGATTCCTTGGTGGTCTGTCCAAGCTGGACTCGAAGATCAAATCCAAGAGCTTCAATCTATGGACCGAGAGTTACGGAGGGTAAGCTTTACCTTTCAACCCCATATATGGCACAAGAATGGGGTATGCTAATGATTTCTTAGACACTATGGCCCAGCTGTAAGTACCCACGCATTGAATTGGAATGTATGCATTTACCGAAACCTAACGAACCCAGTTCTTCGACCATTTCTACGAGGAAAACGAGAAGATTGCCAACGGTACCACCGAGGGCATCCAGCTTGATTTCAACACTCTGGGCATTATCAATGGAATCATCGACGAGTCCATCCAGGCTCCTCACTACCCCGAGTTTGCCCGCCACAACACATACGGCATCAAGGCGGTAAGATATAGTGCTATGGTAACGAGGAAACCCTTCAAACTAACCAGATCTCAGGTGAATGAGACTGTCTATAACTACATGAAGTTTGCCAACTCCATGCCCAATGGCTGCCAGGACATGATCGCCAACTGCAAAGCCACCAACCGCACCTCGCTCTCCGACCTTGCAATCTGTACCGAAGCCGGCAACATGTGCCGTGACAATGTCGGTATGTATCTCTTAGGACTCAACCCCCATTGGCAAACCGGCACCGACTTACACTACTCCCACAGAGAGCCCATACTACGTCTTTAGTGGCCGCGGCACCTACGACATTCGTCACCCTTCCCAGGATCCCACCCCTCCCAGCTATTACCTCAACTACCTAGCCAAAGACGAAGTCATGAACGCCCTCGGCGTCGACCTCAATTACACGCAGTCCAACAGTGAAGTCTACTTCGCCTTCCAGCAGACCGGCGACTTCGTCTGGCCCAATTTCATCGAGGACCTGGAAGATATCCTCACCCGCCCCGTCCGCGTCGCTCTCATCTACGGCGACGCAGACTACATCTGCAACTGGTTCGGTGGCCAGGCCGTCTCCCTCGCCACCAAGTACAAGCACAGCAAGGAGTTCCGCGCCGCGGGCTACGCTCCCTTCACTGTCGACGGCGTCGAATATGGCGAGACTCGCGAGTATGGCAACTTCTCGTTCACCCGTGTTTATGAAGCTGGCCACGAGGTCCCATACTATCAGCCCATTGCCTCATTGCAGTTATTCAACCGCACGCTGAATGGCTGGGAGCTGCCCACTGGCGAGAAAAGGTTGACGTCGGACTTTGGGTCGCATGGCCCGGCTACGGCAACGCATACTGAGTCGTCGGTGGCTTTGCCGACTTCGTCTGCTACTGCAGGCGTTTCTGTTGGAAGGATGGCTTGGTAGTGGATTGGTATCTATATACATGAGCATTTAGTGTAGTCGATATCCGGACCATTCACTCTGAGTCTAGTCTATCCCATCAAGAATCAGATCATGTCTGTCGCTAGCTCGTGGTCTTTTCCTGTTTCTTAGTGCGCATTTCTGGGCCTTTATCTTACTATATTAATAAGATTATATCAAATGGTCGGTATCGGTTGTCGTCGGCTTGGTGAGGGTCGCAAAATTCCAAGTCTGCGGTGGCCGAGCCATTAGGCAAAACTCATCGTGAATATTCAGTGGTGAGCTGACGAAGTCCATCGGAGCGACTTCTCTTGCCGGTCAAGAACGCAAGGCCCGCATTCGATTTCGGCACTTTGGCTACCCTATCGAGGCGATTGTCGATCGACAGGAGGTTTGCTATGTTAAACATGCCATCGTGGTACGTCTTTTATCCAAATGAATTTAGCAGCGCCGACTAAGACTAAGTCTGTCGCGACACTTGCAAGTCGGTCCAGGTCGAGTCTGATTGGGGCGTAGAGTGGGTTGACCAATATATACTGAAGGATAAGTAGTTATACAGTCGCAATCGCAATCGCAATCGCAATCCCAATCCCAATGCGGATGGTACACGATGAAAAGCCCCGCAGAACACGAATTATCTACCCTAGTGGATGTTGTGCTTCCTGATACGTTTCGGATTCTCCAATTGGGGATTGACGGTCAATGCCTGTTCTATCGGAATACATTGACGGGGTCTATGGCAGCCCGGAATGCTGTTTATGCTATCCCGGGCCTCTCCCAGGGCAGAGATGATGTCACATCGCATTGCTGTGGAGTAGTCTGGCCCCAGGTCGCAATGACCGCGCCTCTCCGTTAATCGGCGCGGATGTAGACCACTGACACGTCCAGGTGTAACAAGGGGGAGTGGTAAAAAGGAAAGGAGGAAGGGTTGATTTGGAACAAGGTAAATAGATATTCGATGCTCAGCTTGAGATCGGGTGGTACCGAACGCCACCGTTTTATGCTATTCCAAAGATGTAGGTAAAAGGGAGGTGTAGGCCTGCCGATAGTTTGTCGTAACGAATCAAACCCCAAAAGGGTGGGGGAGGGAGGAAAGATCACGCCGCGTAATATGCATGGAGTCATCGCATCCAGGGGATGCCAAAAAAGAACAGAGTACAAGATACAGCAAGGAAAGATGTGGTGGAACAATGTGGTGATAATGCAATCAATGCCGCGCCTTCCCGGGCCTGATCACCTTACGCCTTGCTGCCGTTGACCTCCTCGGCGTGCGGCTTTTCGGGGGTCTCGTCCCTATCACCGAGGACTTCAGCGGCGGTCTCGTCGGAGAAGCGCAGGTCCTCTTCGACATCGGTGCTTTCCTTGACCTTGAAGAAGATCACGGGCGAGGCGATGAGCATGCTGCCTAGGAGCAAGCCCCAGCAGGAAGCGAATTCGGTCATGAACGGAGTCTTTTGGGCATCCATGCTAGAAAACGAATTAGAATCAACCGCAACGGTGTTTGCACGAGAACGGGGACACGTACCGCCACATTCCAGCCGCACCCGCCGACTGGATGCCCTTGTAGAAACCGGCGAAGTTGGCCAGCTTGCGGGCGTTGTTGGAGAGAGATCCCATGTACCTATATCACAACCAAGTTAGACCAAAGGGTGGCTCCAGTGAAAGAATCCTAGGCTGGGTCAGGGTGCTCACCAGTAGGTGCAAGTCTGGAAAGCAGCATCGTAGAAACCATAGAACATGTACAAGAACATCGGGCCGATGTAGTGGCTGTCTGTGAAGTCCGTGTCCGCCTTGACGGTCTCCCGAGTGTACTGCTTCTGGAAGGCATAGCCACCGCCCCAAATGCCCAGGGTGATCGCCATAAGAAGGCCAAAGTTGATTTTGGCACGGGTTGGGCGCGAGAAGTACTTCAAGTCCAGCAGCTGGCCGAAGATAAAGGCGCCGACCATCTGCATCAGCCAGTACAGAAGACTGTTCAGGGCGCGTGTGCGCACGGTGAAGTAGGCCAGATTCACGGCATTGAAGTGGTAGCCGTAGAACCAGTTGCTGGCCAGGAACATGGGGAACATGAACACAATGTACGAGTCGCTCAGCAGGGTCTCCCACAGGCCGAGGAACTCGGATTTCCACGTTGGGTTCTTGATCACGATCACACGCGACCCGTCGTTGCGCTTGATGTATTTGGAATCGACCAAGCCCCAGCACAGGACGAAACCCGCGGCCATCAGGACCATGAAGGCGATGTAGGTACCGTTATTCACGTTACCGGCCGTGCTGTGCATATTTTGGCCGAGGGGGACCTATGAGATAAACCGTTTAGTACCGGGCCCCAGGGATCACGGTCTGAATTTCGACGTACCAAGCTACCAATAACGCCCCCAGGTTGAAAATTACCCAGAAAATCGCAATGTACTTGCCCTTCTCATGCTCATAGGGATAACTCATCATCACAGCACCCTGCGCGCACCACAATAGACCCGCACAGACACCCAGCAAAGCGCCCGCGAAGATCAAGAAGCCCGCGTTCTGGTTGATATTATACGAGAGCAGCGCGGCCGTATAGAGGAAATACCCGAAGCCACCCAGGGACAGCGTAATCCGCAGACCAATGCGATTGGCAATGGAGCCAGCAAAGAAGCCCACCACGGCAAAGGTACTGTACAGGGCTGTGTTGGCGTTGTTCACATCGGTCGGATTCACTTGGCCCCCGCCACCCAGACCCGTCACCGCATTGTACATGCCGGGGCAGAGGAAGCAGACGCACGAGACCAGATACAGCTGCATGTCCGGCGACGCGAACCACGGCGCTTCCCATTTTCCGATCTTGAAAAGCGGCTTATACATCCACGGCTTGCCGAGCACAGCATGGTCCCTGGCCGGCTCGGGATCCTCCACATCGAAGGGGACGGGAGTCTCTGGCGCCCCGGAGGGGTCCTTGGCTGGGGCCTGTACCTGCACCTGCGGCTGCTCCGACTCAGGGGTCGTCGCCATGATATTGAGGGATTGTGGGGGAGGTGGATGGGGAGGAGATGAGGAGCAGATCAGGGGATCGCGAAAGGAGAACGCGAGTGGGAAACCAGGGGGGGAAAACAGGAATGTACGGTTTTCCCACGTGAGGACGCGAGATCCAAGGAACTCGCAAATTTCAATTGGAATGAAGGGAGGGCACAAGAGCGAGCCGAACAAATTTATGAGTTATTCGCAGCGCGGCTATTTGGGGGCGTTTCTTTTTTTTTTTTAGACTGGAGATCCGACGCTAGTTAAAAGTTATAGCCGAGCTAGAGCTAGCTAGTCTTATCATGTCTCCCAGGTAAGTTGCTTTATGGGATGGTACGCTGGAAACCACCGGATCATACAATGGACCATGACGAGGGGTGAAGCGAATTCACATGGACCCAGGCGAACATGGAGAGACATGGGCTGGCCGTGGGTAACTTGCTTCGTGTGGACAGGCCGACATGCGGGGAGGGGGAACAGATGGAGACTGGAGACTGGAGACTGGAGACTGGAGACTGGAGACTGGAGAAGAAGGACTCATTGGAGCGTGCGGCCGAAACCACAGGCCGGCCAGCTCAGCATGATAACATCCTCGCGGTTCTACTGGCCGAGACAGAAGTCATGATGGAGTCGATATGGAAACCGAAGGGAGGCAGGCTGGGCAAGACTGGGCAAGACGGGGCGGACGAAGAAGCGCGGATGCGACCGCAAACAGAGTCGCATTCTGCCGCATGCAACTCTCCGCATGCGGGGACCCCGTACTGTATGTACCGTACAGTAATATTACCTCGCCTGCAGACGGTCCCGGGCGTCACCTCGGTCTGCTGTTGGTTTCTGGGTATACCACATCGGCATGCCGATGTCACCTCTGCAGAAAACAATGGATGTTACATCATCGCACCACCCATGCTTTATCTGCCATACTTCCCCTAACTCCCCGCCTCCCCTGGTGCCTGAGGGACTGAGCCGGAACCACAACCCCAACAGCTAAACCTGAGACCACATCCGTGTTTACCTTTCCGCTCGACTTCTCAAGTCGCTGAACCCCTCCTCCCCGACAGCCTGAGCCGTGACCTCGATCTATATCTCGATCGCCCACCATGCCCGGCAAAACCGCCACCACCCCGCGCATCACTAAATTCACCAACTGCCGCCTCGTCCGCGGCTCCAGTCTGGTCGAACAGGATCTATGGATCGATTCGCTGTCGGGCAAGATCCTCAAGGATCAAGAGGCCTTCTATGAGCTGCACTTGTCGCCCGACGAGATTATCGACCTCGGCGGCCGCATCCTGGCCCCGGGGCTGATCGACACCCAGCTCAACGGCGCCCAGGGCTTCGACTTTTCCGTGCCCTGCGAGACCAAGGAGGAGTATGATGAGGGCATGCGTCGGGTGAATCAAGGCTTGGCTTGCACCGGCGTGACCGCCTACCTACCCACCGTGGTGAGCTCGACGCCCGAGGTGTACTGGAAGGTAAGACAAGACAAGAAAAGACAAATCAAGACCCTCTGCATGACGAATCAGCCTAAACTAAACGCCCTTCCCGTGTCCAGGTCCTCCCCTCCCTCGGCCCCACAGCCGCAACCCACCGCGCCCAAGACGGCGCCGAGTCCCTCGGGGCCCACGTCGAAGGCCCCTTCATCAGCCCCGGCCGCAACGGCATCCACAAGCCGGAAGTACTGCGCTCCGCCGAAAGCCAGGACGACCTAGTCTACTGCTATGGCGCCTCGAACCTGGCCGCGCCCACCTCCATCAAAATGATCACCGCCGCCCCCGAGGTCGGCAACATGATGGCGCAGATCCCCCACATTGCCGCTGCGGGGATTATCTACTCCATCGGCCACTCCGATGCCTCCTACGAGCAGGCCGTCTCGGCGACCGACCAGGGCGCCCGCATGATCACGCATCTGTTCAATGCCATGCGTCCCTTCTACCACCGCAATCCGGGCGTGTTCGGCCTGTTGGGTCGGAGCGAGCGGAAACGCCCGTTCTATGGCGTGATTGCGGATGGTATCCATCTGCACCCGACTTCGATTAAGATCGCGTATAATGCGCATCCGGACGGGCTGGTGCTGGTGACGGATGCCATGCGCCTATGTGGTCTGCCGGATGGGGTCTATGAGTGGACCAATGGGGAGCGCATCGTGAAGACGGGCGCTCGGCTGACGCTGGAGGGTTCGGATAAGATTGCCGGCTCGTCGGCGACACTGATCGAGTGCGTCAATAACTTCCGCCGCTGGTCCGGGGCGAGCACTGCCGATGCGATTAACGCGGCTACTGCTGTGCCAGCGAGGCTGTTGGGAATCGAGCGTGTGAAGGGCTGTCTGGATGCTGGTGCCGATGCGGACCTTGTGGTTCTAGGCGAGACCAACGATCCGTACGCTGGTCCTACGCTGACGGTGGATCAGGTATGGAAACTGGGCGTGAAGATCCATGATGCTGATAAGACTGCTGCGGTGGCAGTTTGAGACAGGAGGTGGGGAGTGGGTCTGTTTTCCCTTTTTCCTTTTCGTTCGTCTTCGGTTCGCTCTCCTGTTTTCTCGGCATGCTTTCGGATATCTCGTGATGTAGGGTTCGGCGTTCGGGCGAATTTGCATTTCGTGGGGCATAGAAACATACTACAAGCACCATTACAAGCGCCTATCATATCCATAGAGATTCAGAGTTAGATTTGCATCGCAGAAGTCATTTGAATACGTTAATCTCAGCTAATGTATGTGTTTGGTCTTTTTCCAAGTTGATATCACCCTGTTTGTATATATGAACCCGCGGCGGCACCGTCCCAATCCAATTGACGGCCTACTCTATCTACTCTTATGTCCATAATACTGCTGTGCGGGTGAGATGTATATATGTATATATATATAATGGTTCATAAGGTTCCACAAATCCAAAATACCGGGCCCGTCTGGCGGACTCTGATTGACTGGGAAATTTCCAAAGGAAGGGAAAAGTCAGGGCTACATGCTGTGCGGTGAACCCCTTCCTTCTCCCCTCTCTTCCCTCCAATCTCGACGGAGCTCTGTGCCGCGCGCTCACCAGCTCACTCGCTCTCTCGCTAAGAAAACAGAACAGGAAAGGAAAATTTTGGCAGGCATAGCTGGCTCGTACCAGGCTAACGCCAACCGGTCATGATAAGCCTGTGTTGATAGGCTTACAGACGGGGCTGAGAGCGGGTCCAGCCAGCCTCCTCGGCAATCAACTCCGCAGCACGCTCACCGATAGCCAAGACCGTGAGCATGGGGTTGACGGTGGGGATGTCGGGGAAGACACCGGCATCAGCAATGCGAATGTTCTTCAGGCCGCGGACCTTCAGCTTGGGGTCCACCACGGCCATGGGATCGCGGGTCACGTCACCCATCTTGGTGGTACCTGCCGGGTGGTACACGGTGTGCGCCACACGGCGGCCATACTCGGACAGAGCCTCGTCGGTCTGGACATCGGGGCCAGGAGCGACCTCCCGCTTGATCCACTCCTTGAACGGCGACTGCTGGGCGATCTTACGGGCCGCCTTGAAACCGTCCACAATGGTGGCCGCGTCGTAGCCCTGGGGGTCGGTGAAGTAGCGGAAGTCCAGCGCGGGCTTCACAGAGGGATCGGCAGAGGTGAGATACAGACGACCGCGGGAGCGGGGGCGGGGGATGTTGGGGGTCATGCAGAAGGCGTTAATAGGCTCGTCGTAGCCGAGGCGGGCGGTGTTGAGGGTAAAGGGGATCTGGTAGCAGTGCATCATGAGATCGGCGGCACGGCCGTCGAAACCGGCCGCATTGGGCTCCTCACGACGCAGGAAGATACCGGCGTCGGAGTCCATGGTGGTCTGGTTGGGGGGAACGGGCTGGTTGAGCTCCCACATGATGATACTCTCCGGGTGGTCGATCAGATTTTCCCCGACACCAGGGATATCCTTCACGACGGGAATACCGAGACCAGAGAGCTGCTCGCGAGGACCCAGGCCAGACAACATCATCAGACGAGGGGTGTCGACGGCACCGGCGCACAGGATGGTCTCCTTCTTCGCGCGGAGCGTGTGCTTGAGGCCGGACTGCAGGGTCACGTTGACACCGGTGACGGAGTCACCCTCCACATTGACCTTAGAGACCCAGGCGTTGGTAAGGATGGTCAAGTTGGGGCGCTTCTCATCGCCACGCAGAATGGGGTGGATGTAGGCAACGGAGGCACTGCTGCGGCGGCCATCATCCGGGTTGTAGGAGACGTTGAAGAAGCCAACACCCTCAGTCAGCTCGCCGTTCTTGCGAATATCGGCGTTGAAGTCCTCAATAACGGGAATGTCCATGGCGGTGGAGCAGGCCTGGACCCAGTCCTTACACAGCTGGTTGCGGTGACGGGCATGCACGGGCTGGAAAGTGTTGCGCAGGCCATCGATCATGCGGGTGAAGGTCTCAAAGTCCCAGCCCTTGCAGCCCTTGGCAACCCAGTTGCGGCAGTCATACTCGAAGGGACGGAAAGAGATGAGGGTGTTGTGGCTGGAGCAGCCACCCAGCACCTTGGCCCGGGAGTGGCGGATGAAGCTGTTGCCTATCGACAGAGGGTCAGAATCCTTGATACCGAGGATTTCCCCAGCAAGAGGGAAGATGGACGCGATTGAACAGGGAAAGCATACCGTTGGGCTGCTCGGTGGTTGGGTAGTCGTAGTCGAGCTCGCCGCCGAGGAGGCTGAGCCACTCCTTCAGGTTGAGGACGCGGTCATCCATATAGTCGCTGGGGCCGCCCTCAATGACGAGCACGCGCTTGTTGGGCAGGTATTGGGCCAGGCGCGAAGCAATCACGCAGCCGGCAGTTCCGCCACCGACAACGATGTAGTCGTAGCTGTCGACGTCGAGCGCCGGGAGGTCGTTGGTGGTCGCCATGTTGGATCGCAAGGCAGGTGGTGTTTGGAGGGAAAGAAGAGGAAGTCGGGGAGCTCGCTACTTGGTTTTAAACGGTGGATTCCTTGGGGTCGCAAAGAACAAGACCGGGAGGTGGGCAGGGGTGGTTTGATTGATTATGCAGACCTCGTCCAATCTTTTGTTTCTCTAGGTAATGCACTGGTTCGGCTCGCGTGTGGCTCTGCTTCGCTTTTCACACATTTTTTTTCTGCCGGATGGATGGCGGAGGCTCATTGGACGCAGAGAGTCCAAGTGGGGCGTCTCATCATAAGCCACGACCCGCCCAGATGATAACGGCGAGAGGAGGCGCTGGTTCGGGCGGGAAAAAAAAAGCCCAGGATCGACAATAGCACGATAGGGCTACTGGATCTGTGAGTGTATCATAAGTACCGAGTCGAGGCAACGGTTAACGAGAGGGAGGAGAGGAAAAAGAATGGAAGATTGGGGCTGATAAGGCATGCCCGAGCGGTCCCGTGCGGTCCCCCTGCATCGCTAATCTCTCTCATCCGCTGCATGCACTCCAACTACTCCAGTTGCATTCGTCCATCGTCCCAGTGAAGAGCGCGCATACGTCAGCGAGTCCTCGCCTCAACCAGCCCGTTCCAGCTTAACTCTTCTTAGTGCGTTTCGACCCCAAGGACGATATGGGGCCACCCCGCGCTCCATATCGGACCATTCACAGTCGCAGGAAGTGCAACCACGCGCCGCCAGCGATTCCCAGTTCCAGCGAGCAACCGTCCCTCTCCGCAGCCACGCGCTCATCGAGGCGCCCGAACCACAGATGCCTGGACACGCTAATGCACGGCGGTAATGCTAGCCCCGTTTTGTTCGAGACGCCCGAGTCACAAATGGCTGGACACGCTAATGCACAGCGGCAATGCTAGTCCTATTTTGTTCAAGTCGCCGCGCTCGCCCCACCCACAGTGCCGCGGTGCTTTTCCCGGCCGAGCTCCGAGCCAAGGCGGTGTGTGGTGCAGAAGTGTGGCGACCATTTGGACAGCGATAAAGAATCTCTTCTGCAAACAAATAAGGTGTCTTTCTTCGATCTGTTGGTATCAGCAAATCCTGGCCCGCCATGTCCCTCCCCTTCCCGACCCGTCAGCTTTACTACGACGGCCAAGTGCGCGCCGCCTCGTCCGGCAAGACCTTCCAGACTATCAACCCCGCTACCGCAACGCCGCTGGCCGAGATCCAGGTCGCTTCCAACGCTGATATCGACGCTGCCATTGCTGCCGCTGACCGCGCGTTCGTGACATGGTCACAGACTCCCTATATCGTGCGCGCCCGTGTCTTGCACAAGGCGGCTACTCTGCTACGCGAGCGCAATGATGAGATCGCCCGCGTCGAGACGCTTGACTCGGGCAAGGCTTTCACGGAGACGAGCACCGTCGATGTCGTGACCGGTGCCGACGTGCTCGAGTACTACGCCAACTTCATCGGCGGGGGTGGTCTCAATGGCGAGACGACGCAGCTGCGCGAGGATGCATGGGTGTATAGCAAGAAGATCCCCCTGGGTGTCTGCGCGGGTATCGGTGCTTGGAACTATCCCATCCAGATGTCAGTCTCATGCCCGTCTCCCCGGGTTTTTAACTAGCTACTCCGGAAAACTCCTCATACTAATTGTGGTTGTCTCTAGTGCCCTGTGGAAGTCCGCCGCTTGCCTGGCCGCCGGTAACACCATGGTCTACAAGCCCAGCGAGTTCACCCCGCTCCACGGCGAGACTCTCGCACAAATCTACACCGAGGCCGGCCTTCCGGCCGGCGTCTTCAATGTGATCAACGGCGCTGGCGACGTTGGTGGCTACCTGACCAGCCATCCCCTCATCGCCAAGGTCTCCTTCACTGGCCAGGTGTCCACCGGCATGAAGGTCGCTGGTTCTGCTGCCGGCAACATGAAGTATGTGACCATGGAACTGGGTGGCAAGAATCCGCTCGTCGTTTGCCCGGATGCAGACCTGGAGAGCGCCGTCGACGGCGCCATGATGGCCAACTTCTACAGCACCGGCCAGGTCTGCACCAACGGCACCCGCGTGTTCGTGCCCCGCGCGATGAAGGCTGATTTCGAGAAGCGCCTGCTTGAGAAGATCTCCTTTGTGCGGGCTGGCCCGCTCTTCGACGAACAGACGAACTTCGGCCCACTCAGCTCAGAGGTCCACTACAAGAGGGTCGTCGAGTATATTCGCCACGGCATCGAGAACGACCGCGCTACCCTGCTATGTGGTGGTCTTGGGAAGCCCGCTGTGCCCCAGGACCTACAGGCCGGCTACTGGGTCAAGCCCACCATTTTCACCGACTGCACGGACGACATGCGCATCGTGAAGGAGGAGATCTTCGGCCCTGTCATGTCCATCTTGTACTACGACACCGTTGAGGAGGCCGTGCGCCGTGCGAATGCCTCTGAGCTTGGCCTCGCCGCTGGCGTCTTCACGAAGGATCTCAATCAAGCCCACCGCGTCATTGACCAGCTCCAGGCCGGCATCACTTGGGTGAACACCTGGGGCGAGAGTCCCGCCGAGATGGCCGTCGGCGGCTGGAAGAAGAGCGGTCTGGGCGTGGAGAACGGCCGCAAGGGTATTGAGGCTTGGCTGCAGAATAAGAGCACCCTGGTCGATATGAGTGGGGCTGTGGCGAGCGTCTTTGCCAAGCTCTAGAGATCATGCTCTGTTCCGTTTTTTAATATTTTACGACGTGATGTGTGGAAATGGGTCATATCCGGATAGACAGAGACCATTCAAAAGCAATATATAGACGCTCTTAACCTCGCCATTTGAACGATATTCCTTCCTCTTTTTCTCAATTTATGGAATTGAATATAAATACGAAACACGTTTCGCGCTTCTACTGTTGTGGCTTTGTAATGTAGTGGCGTAACTAACATATCTACTGGTTTATTTCGCTGACTCCTAGATGAAAATAATAATAGCAATGTTGACTGACAATTTCGAATGCAAAATTCCTGAAAAGAAAAGAAAGTGTATCGTATCCAACATATATGTCAAAACCCCTTTCTATCAATTCCATACCAATCGCAACGAGCTGAACGCCTGGGTGTGATTGATCCCGGTAAACATGAAGTCAGAAAACAAAATTGAATCGGATCGAATCAGGGATGAAAGACCATGCAGCGATGTAGAAAATGTAGAAACCCTAGGTAAGATAGCAGAGAAAGACAAAACAACACCCAGATCCCAGTTCTCCTTAATTATGAAATAGTTGCAACCCAATTCTCAATTTTCGAAGTTCAAAAAGAACCCATGCCTCCTGTGGCCCTGGCCCACCCTGGGCCCTCACAGTGTAGTCATGCGAGCACCCATCCGATCGAAGATCAAATCGTTCTTCAGGGTCCCATCCAGCCCCCCAATCGCCGAGTCCACCATGCGCGACGACATGCTATCCGGCGTCAACTCATCCTCCTCCATTGCCCGGTGCAGCTCTGTGTTGATGCGCAGATCCTTGGGCACCTTTTCCGGCGTCCGGGCCGGCGTCGCCACCATGCGCGGCGGGCTCCTGATCGGCAACGTCGCAGATACTGGGAGCTGATTTACCAGTGCAGGGCCCTGCGTGCGCGCGTCCGTCCCCGCCTGCTCAATCGACTCGAAGTACCGCACCGTCTTGACCTTCAGCTCCAGCGTCGCGTCCCGGTCGCACACCACCAGCGGGTGCCGGTGCAACTGCAGCGCAGACAGCGTCCACATGTGGTTCACGCCGTCTTCCAGTCCCTTCTGCACCGCGAAGGCCTTGTGCGCACCTGTCGCAACAATGACGACTTCCCGGGCGTCCATGATCGTTTGGATGCCGACTGTCATTGCCATGCGCGGCACCTTGTTCACATCGTTGTCGAAGAAGCGTGAGTTCGCGAGGATCGTGTCGTAGGCGAGGGTCTTCACGCGCGTCCGGCTGGCCAGCGATGAGCCGGGCTCGTTGAATGCGATGTGTCCATCCGGTCCCACGCCGCCGAGGAACAGCTCGATGCCGCCGTAGCGTGCGATGCGCTGGTCGAAGGAGGCGCACTCGGCCACGAGGTCGGCTGCGTTGCCATCGAGGATGTTGATGTTCTGCGGTGGGATGTCCACATGCGAGAAGAAGTGCTTGTACATGAAGCTGTGGTACGACTCAGGGTGATCACGGGGCAGGCCGACGTATTCATCCTAGGGGGAGTTGGTGAGACGATGCGGGTTGGTTGATTGTGATGGGGTCAACTTACCATGTTGAAGGTCACGACATTCTTGAACGAGATCTCGCCCGCGCGGTGGCGCTGGACAAGGATTTTGTAGATGATCTCCGGGCTGCTACCAGTTGGCAGACCCAGCACAAATGGGTGAGTCTCCGTCGGGTTGAAGTTTTTGATGCGGCCTGGGATGTGGTGTCAGTATATCCGGTTGGTATGAATGCACTTCCGTGCCAATCCGAGCTGCAGCGCATCACTTACTGACGATGTACTCGGCGATATACACCGACACCTCCTGAGGGTCCTCACGAATGATAACACGCCTGGATAGCAGAGAGAAGCTATGGTCAGTGTTAATTGCCAGGGAGGAGGATGATCGGCGCATACATGATGGTTACGTCAGCGGACGTAGAGGATGTGGGCGGTGGTCAGTAGGGCTGATGAAAGGCGCAAACTCTATGCTCCCAGAAAAGATGTAAGGGGGAGGGGGTTTGAGAGTTGCAGAAGATTGAGAGTCAGTAGAAAGTAAAGTAGTGAAGGGAAGAACAATCGATAAAAGGTAGAAAGGCAGAGAGGCAGAGGCCCACGGATCGGTTACGTCGAGGCCCTCGGTGTACGACAGTGACAAAAGGATCTACTGTGTCGTAGTAGGGTTCCGCTTCTTTCCTGACTGCGTCTACTACCACTACGGATTATCGTCTCCGCAAATGTATCGTCGCATGCGCCATGTGGGAAATGGGTCCAATGGCCTTGTTCGGATATGATACGGTAGATACGGCAGATACCGTAGCCACCGTTGAGGACGACTGGCCACCACGAGACGGCGCCTCCACGCCTCATTCGTTGCGCCCGAGTTCCTATCATGGGAAAATTGGGTATCATGGGTATCATGGGGTCTGTTCCGGGTTAGGGGATCATCCTATGACGACTTATCGGACAGGGAAGATCGGAAAGCAGGGTGCTTGGCCGGTCCAGCAGGTACCCTGTCCTTTGTCCGGATCCGCATTTACCGGCCATGTGGTGGCCAACAATAGACGGGAATGTTGAGAATGTCGAGCCTGTCGAGCATGTCGAGAATTTCAATGACGCAGCAGCAGAAGGACATTATGATTGGTGTGGTTCCCGAGCGGATCCCCAATGTCAAGTTGGCGTGAAGGTTCCATCGTGGCACCAAAGGAGTTGCATCCGGTGAAGTCGGCAAACCCGTGCAAAACCCCCAAACCCAAAAACCGGGGGAGAGTGCAACCCTGCAGCGTCGCAACCGGATCCTGTATGGTACAAGACAGGTATTTTATACGGCACGTGACCAAGAGCTAGGCATGGGACGGGTAACGGACTCATGGTAGAGATGAACTCTGTAGGTGGGACGGCGGGAAGTGGAATGGTTGGAGAGAATGCCCCAAATTCATGATTAGACTGGGACCCCAGGCCATGGATCAACAGGAGGCCCGAGCTGCATGGCTGTCTATGTATCGGCCCGGGTCCAATTGAATTACTGTAGCCCCAGGCCGGCAGTACCACAGTCCGCGGGAAGGCGCTAGGCGGAGAGAACCAGGTCCAACTTTCTTATCGCGCCTGTCGCAACCTCCCGATTGCGGCTTGCGGCTCTTACGCTTCCCCGTGCTTATCCTGTCGGCATTCGAGGGGTGCGGTTCTGCTGGTTCTGCTGTCTAACTCCTGCTGTCACCTGACTGCGACCTCGGAGGGGACTGTCATCTCGGCCTCACCTCGGAGAAGCAGGTTGCAGCTCAGCTGCGACTACCACGACCACTACCACCACGAAACCGCCCACCCCCATCCACCTGGACACCTACCACCCCATTAATCCCTCCACCCTCCTCCACTACCCAACGTCCAAGCTTCCTGTCGGGCACTGCTGGCATTCCTCATTCCCCTGGGCCATGGCCCCGAAAGAGGACATGCTGCCCCCGGGCTGGGAGGATCTAGACAGGTATGTTGATCGCCTGCTTTCAGGTTGAATGTTCCTATCCCCAGAACCCCGCCCATCCTCCCTCTCCCCCTCTCCCCTTCTAGATGTTTCCTACCACCACCTAGTCTCCCAACACGGCACTGTGGAACCCCGACGGGCCTTTCGGGCCATTTAGACTTATTTCCCTTTCGGGAAACTGAGCACCTGAAGATGCGAAGGTGTGCGCCATGCTGACTGACCATGTGGTGATGCCAGGCAAATGGGCCAGCTCTTTATGATGGGCTTCGATGGTACCTCCGTCAGCCCGCAGATTCGCTCGCTCATTGAAGACTACCACCTGGGCTCTGTTCTCCTCTCCGCCAAGAACTTGAAATGTATCTCTTCTTCTAACTTCTGACTGCTCATCTTTCAACCCGCCGGGAGAGAGAGAGTCCCCTCCCGCTGGACCGTTACTGATTTTTTGCGCCCACAGCTGCCGAGGCGGCCACCCGGCTGGTCCTCCAATTGCAGACCATCGCACGAGATGCTGGTCATCTGGTTCCGCTGCTCATCGTGTTGGACCAGGAGAATGGCGGCGTCAACAGCTTGTACGATGAGATCTATATCCGCCAGTTCCCCAGCGCCATGGGCGTCGCGGCCACGGGGTCCAAGGCGTTGGCGCATGAGATTGCGGTGGCAACTGCCCAGGAATTGAAGGCTGTCGGGGTCAATTGGATCCTCGGCCCCGTTCTAGATGTCTTGACGAATGTGCGGGATCAACCGTTGGGGGTGCGTACTTCCGGCGATGACCCGCAAGAGGTGTCGCAGTACGGAGTGCAGTTCATGAAAGGGTACCAGGAAGCAGGGCTCGCGACCTGCGGCAAGCACTTTCCTTCTTACGGTAATCTGGAATTTCTGGGGTCGCATACTGACGTCCCCATTATAACGGAATCTTTAGAGCAACTCAGTCTGAGCGCTCTGGTTCCTTTTCGTAACGCCATCATGCAGGGCCTCGATGCTATGATGGTCGGTGGTGTGTCCATGTCATCAGCTGGGATGAATGTCATGCACGCCTGTCTCAGTGACCAGGTGGTGGATGAGCTCCTGCGGAAGGACTTGAAGTTCCAAGGAGTCGTCGTTTCCGAGTGTTTGGAGATGGAGGCTCTCACGCACAATATTGGTGTCGGTGGTGGGACCGTCATGGCAAAGAATGCGGGTTGCGATGTCATCTTACTCTGTCGGTCATTCCCCGTGCAGCAAGAGGCAATCAATGGATTGAAGTTGGGAGTGGAAAATGGCATCATTGGGCGGGCCCGAATTGAGCAATCGCTCCGTCGGGTTTTGAACTTGAAGGCTCGATGCACGTCCTGGGAGCAGGCGCTGAACCCACCGGGTCTCCCATCGCTGACGCAGATGCAGCCATCGCATACAAATCTCTCGACTCGGGCCTATAATAATTCCATCACCGTGATGCGCGACAAGAAAAATCTGCTCCCTCTTTCCAACATCATCGATGCGGGCGAGGAGCTCCTCCTCTTAACCCCCTTAGTCAAGCCTTTGGCGGCTTCAGCGGTCTCGCTTTCAGCGAATGAGTCAACTCGCGTGCCTATCTTGGACCACGCATCGATGGACCGATCAGCTTCTGTGATGAGCGGAGAGAGCGTATTTAAAGAACTGGGGAGGTCCCTCTCACGGCAAAGGAGCGGACGCGTTCTTCATACATCCTATACCCACAACGGTGTGCGGCCCATCCACGAAGACCTCATCAAACGAGCCAGTGCAGTGATCGTGGTGACTGCGGACGCAAACCGGAACTTATATCAGCAGGCGTTCGCGAAGCATGTCTCGTTGGTATGCCAGTCACAATACTCCACTACTGGTGAACGTTGCGAGAAGCCCCTGATCGCGGTGGCGGTCAGCTCTCCGTATGACTTTGCGATGGATTCTATGATTGGTACCTACGTGTGCACGTACGACTTCACCGAGACGGCGCTCCAGGCCTTGGTCAAAGTTCTTTATGGCGACTTGGCTCCTACAGGAAGCTTACCTAGCTCCATCAGCCGCAGCCAAAAAATTCATCAGTCCCGCCAGCACTGGCTTGTGGAGAATTGGAACGAGGAGCGGGATGCGGATGGTTTGGACGCGCTGCTTGATGCCGTCCGCGAGGACTGTGCACAAGGGCAGCGCTCTGAGCTTCTTGGTACTACCTACAGCAGCTTCCTTCTGCGCAAGGAAGACATCGACGAGGCGCACTTTGTGGTCCGCAACAGCAGTACACAAGCCCTTTACGGCTTCTGTGCGACCTACTTCTTTCGATCCACCGGCACGGGCGTTATTGGGTGCTTGATTGTCGACCCGTCGCGGCGCAAGCTGTCGATCGGCCACTCCCTGCACAGTCGTGCCATCCGCACGCTCCTCCAGCGTAAAGGCCTGAAGCGATTCCAGCTCGGCTCTCGTCTTCCGGGCATCTACCTGGGCATTCCCACCGCGAGCCATGTTGAACGCAAGCGTCTGCGCCAGTGGTTCGCCAACCTGGGCTGGAACACCTCACTCTCGCGCTCCGTGTGCAGCGTTATCCTGCGCAATCTGGCGACCTGGACGCCGCCTGACGGACTCACCGTGACGTTGCAGAATGCAGACGTCCTTTATGACCTCGTCTATGGGTGGGACTTTGCCCGTGCCATTCTCGACCACATCAAGACCAATGCCCGCCAGGGCGTCGCCGACATCTATCGCATTGCCCTCGGTGGCGCTCCCAATTGTGGCATCATCCGCGCCAAGCGGTCCACCGACGACATGATTCTCGGCAGCATCGTCGTATACAATGAGCGATCGGCACTGGCGGAGCACATGCCCGCCCTGCGCGCCACCCAGACAACTGTCGGGGGTATCTCGTCACCAGTCATCTCGCCTTGTGCCGACGACTACTCCACCGTTATGCAGGGGTTGATCCTGCTGGCCATCAAGCAGATCCGGAAGCTGAATGCCAATGCGGTGGTGATGGATTGTGTACGTTGATCTCTCTTGTTTCCCTTTGATTTTTCTGCTTGCTATCGTGGTTATTTTCTGGGTCTCCACGGATGTGAACGTCCTGCTAACGGGATCGTGATACTCTTTAGGTGGATGGTGACGGCAATTTCGACTGTCTTTCGTCGATGGGCTTCAGCATGCTGCACAACTTCGAGGAGGTCAACTGCGATGCGGCCACCTGGACGATGATGCATCCGTCATAGATGGCTCCTGGTGTGCGGCTTACGGCTTACGGCTTGCGAATACCTTCCCATTCGCCTTTTTTTTTTCTTTCATTTTGTTTCTACCTTGTGTGATCTGTGTTGTTTGTCCTCGCCGATTCTCTCGCATTTATGATATCCATCTGGCATTTGTTGGTTACTGGTTATGGGCTTACTGGCTTACCGGGGTTTTTATACGGCCTCCTCGGGCATTGGGGGCTGGAGGTTGGAAGTGGGAGTGGAATTGTCCCCGAGGGATGATTGGATCGGTTTTGGTTTTGACCTGTCTTTGTTTCGCCATTTTGTTACTCTTCACAAGCAGCTTCGCCTCTGTGGACATGTGCATAGCAGATCAAATTCCCTTAGGGATACTGGTGGGTAGGACAGCCCTATCTGTACGGCGTCATTTGGACCAATCTTACATCATTTTCCTCCTGAGCGAAGTGAACCCGTCCAACGGCACCGTGCCGATCACGGGAGATCCGCGTTTTCCTTTTCATGGTTCTTTTTTGTTTGTGCTTTGCCTCTGCCTTTGCCTTTTTTTTTTTTTTTTTTTTTTTTTTTTACCTTTTCGACCGGGCGTTATGAGACAACCGAGGCTTATTGAGAGAGATACATCCTTCGCTGTTCTTGACTGAGCACCGCCAGCCTTAGGGGTTTGGGATTCGGGGGAATATGCCTCGCACCGAGTGGAGTCGTGGACGATGGCCCTGCAGGCATCAGACTAACGGCGCCCGCTCACTGGACCGGACGTCCGTGGGCCCAAGGAAGCCAAAGCCAGCGCCTCTGGGCCGGCCGCTTCGCCCAGAATGGAACATGGAGTATGGAGTACGGCCTAGGACGACGCCTTCTGATTCGAGGGTACGGAGTAACTATGGAGCAGGCGCTATTTGTTCTGTGAATCTCATCCTGCACTACCGCCTATCCACCCTGGAGGACCCTTTAATTCCCCCCTCGAGCAATCTGCAAATTAGGGATTTGCGGATTCACGGCGCATAAGGGGCGAAATGTGGGTTCAGGCCGGCCGGTTCGGACCTCGCTTGGCGCCGCAGGCGAAGGGGTGCGAAAGTCACGCATCCACTTCGTCCTCCGTGCGAGGAGGCTCGCGGGAGTTGCGAATTGCGGTCTGCAGTCTACGATCGCGGGCGGAGGCCGCGGCACTTAGATACATGGCGGACGGAGTTTCGGTTGTAGTTTCTAATGTTGATGTGAGACTAAAGGGGGGTTTGGGAGTTGGGTGTTGGGAGTTGGAATGGAAGGATATTGAGGATCTTTATATTTTATACTGGGGGTCAATCTCCTCTACCGAAGACACTGCATGTGTACTTCTATGGCCCAAGTCCCATACCGTCAATAGGCTGGAGTGATGGGAATCGCCATCGCCCTCGAGTCGTAACCCATAAAACCTTCAGCCTGCATCTTGAACCTTCTGACCAAAGCTTGCGCACCCGCGGGCGTCGGGCGTCGGGGCCACATTTCTATCCGGGGCCCAAGTGGCTCGTGGCTTTGGCGGCGCTGGCCCAGGTAAGTAGTGTTGGTCCCTGGAGCTCAGATTATGGCGGCGCTCGGTTTTGCCTTTGAGGCGGTCAACCCCTCTAGGGAAATCCCTCAGTCGCACCGTGCCGGCCTCTGGGGGATGTCGCTGGATTTCGGGGGTTGGGGCTGGCAATGCTCCTGGTTTGAGCGGGGTTCTCTGCTTTCATTCCTTTTTTTGGCACCGGGCATAGTATGTGTACCGGAGCATCAGAGCGAATCGAGGCAAGCGAGCAAAACGAGGAGCGCGCTAGTTCGGTCCTCCACTCTAATCTGCCCTTGTCTGGGTCCCGCTGCGGATGAGCTGGGTTGGGCCACCCGCAAGAACGGGGATTCGCGGCCGTTAATGGACACGGCAATGTTCGATCCACATTCCTTATCTTCGATCTGGCCCCCGGCTCTGGGAATACATGAACGGTCCCGGATGCCGAAAGTGTGAGTGTCCGTTCCGTCCAGGGGTCAAACGAGAGCAAATGAGAACCAGCGAGAGAGGGAGAAGGGAGGGCGGTATGTGTCGCGTTGCACACTGGCTGGGTTGGGAGAGTATTCAGGGCCTTTTGCGCTCCCGTGCTGGGCGAGTTCCCGGCTGGTATCAAGATAGGTCGCATGCTTTCCCCCAAGGGAACTCAACCCCCAACACATCCAGATCGATCGACTCTCGGTGATGACCGGCCAGGTGACAGCTCGCAAGCTGGTCGGTGATCGGGAAGTAAATCGCACAGTCAGGGGGGCCGCAACGGGTACACCCAAACCGTACCGTAGACGCGTCGAGTAACACAGACCCAGCTGACGGTCGGGCGGCGAACCAGCGATGAATGTGAGCTCATACGCATCGTCTCTGCGATCGATGGGATACCAGCAATCGGCGGCTATCAGCGAAGGAGTGGCCGTAGCGGTCGTGATTCGCCGGGCACAGATCCACCGCAAGAGAGCCGATTAGCGGGATAGCTGGGAAGCTGGGTAGCGGGAGCGGAGCAAATCAAGCCAGCGGCGACAGGTGCAAGGAACCAAGGAACCATGGGAAGATCCAGGGATCTGCTGTCGGCTTTGGAGCCTGGCGTGTCTCGGGGCCGTGCAGCAGAGGAGCGGAGGGAAGTCGAATCGGGTAAATGCACGGGAGATTGGAGGAGGGCAGCAGGCTGCGACTGCTCGTGACGTGCTGGGAGTGCTGAGGGTGCTGGTGGGAGGAGTTGCGTGCGACCACATGGAAGCTTCTTTGGCTTCTTTGGCTTCTTTGGCTTCTTCTTCCCCGCCACACCCGCCACTCGTCAGCCAGTGTCGACCCCTTGGGCACTTCATTTCCGCTCAGGCCTGTGAGAACCTGTCTGGAATACCGGCTAGGCTGGCGCAAGAGCCCAAGAAAAGAAAGGCCTCAACGGGCTGGCCAACTCGGGCAAGAGTCCAGCCCCGATGCTTCCCAGGGGGTTCCACACGCGCTCGTGATGCCGCGAATTATACCTCCCATACCCACCGCCTCCGGTCTGGTGCCTCCGGTGCCTCTGGTGCCTCTTGTATGACCGAAACGAGCTGGATGCAAATCACCCGCCCACGAACAGGCAGAAGATCATGCCGATAATCTTGGCCGGACATCGCCGGTCCCACCCAGGCGTCCTCTGTCCCTTCCCATGGAATCCGTTCGCCCCCCACAAGGCAACTTTCAGGTGCGAGAGGGCGCCGGAGACAGAGTTTAGGCGCTCTCGGGCTACCCGCTGGCACCGCTGGCACTGCGACGGGGGACTACGGAGACCCAGCACTGCTCATCTCACACTCCCATACGCCCCCGCCTCTTAGCTCCTCTCGCAAGCCCAGCACTAGCCCACGAAGAGGCTAAAGGGCTCGCTAACACAGCGCTCGGTTCCTGGCTCCGACTGCGTCTGGATGGGTCGAGTGGATTCCCCGTTCGCAGTGGGACCCGGCCACCATACCCAATCACTCTGGTGGTCCCGGGGGTCGAATCGAAGCGGAGCTTGATCGCAGACGCTCACGGCCCTTCGCACTCGTGTTCTGCTCGCTCCCCTGCTGGCTCCCTCCGGTGATTGGTGCTGGCGCAGGTGGCCCCTCCCCCCCTTCCCTCCAGCACGATGGCGCTGCATGTCAGACGGGCCCATGTTGATCATCGATTCCTTCCTGGGACGGGGGCGCGCTGGCCCGTCGCCATGTCCCTTTCGGGCTGGTCGCTGGCTGCGGCTTCTGTCTTCTGACTGGAACAAGGATTCTTATGTATAGTACGAACTCCCGAAGGAGTCTAGTGTCTCCATCCGGCGCACAGCGATCATCTGCATCGCATCACACTGCGCCCTCTTCGGCGGGGACATCCCTTTCCGGTCTACTCTGCCAGCCAGACCCTTTCTACTTTCTCCCCGACGGAGGTACGGAGCACAGATACACTCTGCGATGGTATACGATATACTTCGGGCCCGCGTCCTACGGAGGAAGGAGGACGAGGTACTCTCGTGCCTCCCTCGTACTTTCTCTTTCCCCCCGGCATCGTCGGAAACCCGTCTCTTTTGCACCGTCCCGTTTTTGATCCGTTTCCATGATTCTTTCGGTCGCAGCCTTTCCCTTTTACCCGCTTCCTTCCACCCCTCCCTCTCCCTGTCCATCCTGATTCCTCGGTCGTGGCGTTTCCAGGGGAGGGGTAGCCCGAAGCAGCCGGGCCTCAATAGGCAGGTGGGTTCATAGTTCTTCAATGCATGATCTTCAGGGCCCAAGACGGAGCGAAACAGCGGTTGCCGAGAGCCGGCGATCGCCCGCATCTTACCCCATTCGAAGGGGGGTGGCCTGCTTTCTAGGAGAATTCTGTGAGAAGTGCAGTAGTGTAGAGCGGAAGGAGTAGAGGGGAGGGCGTGTAAAGCATGGAATAATCTTGGAATAATGACCGTCTTCGTCTGGTCGCTTCGAGTTAGTCCGTGTATCTCAACTAGCCCATGAGAAGCCGGTTCTGCGTTTTGCTTTCCTCCGCAAAAACCGCGGCTCCACTTTTCCCCGAATCCGTCGGCGCATCCGCACCGCATTCCATCTGCTCTTGTCTCGACTCTGCTCTGCGCTGCGCTGCTCTGTCTCTTCTGCTCTCTGCTCTCTGCTCTCTGCTCTCTGCTCTCGACTTGCTCTCGATCCACCCCCCTCTCACCCCTCCCCTTTGGATCCCGCTCTCGTTGTGATCTCTCTCACACTCTCGCTACTCCTTCCCGTCCTTTTTCCCTCCTTCCTCTTCCTCCTTCCTTCCTTCCTCTACTTCTACCAACTTCCCCCCCCTCTCTATCAAACCCCCCCCCCCTCAAATCGCGCGCCGTTTCCCGCCTCGGCCCTCGCCATGGAGGGCTTCGACACCATGGCCATGCCGCCGTATCTGGCCAGCCCGCTATCCCTCGGTAACCTGCAGGGCACCGACTATCTCAATGCCATGCCAGGCCTGGATCTCCCCGATCACCGCTCCAACTTTGATTCCGAGACTTTTGTCAGGTAGGTGATGATCGTTGGACCCATCCTCACGGAGCCACCGAGAGTCAAGTTGGCTGGAGAACTAATCTGGAATGCGTAATATAGCGATGACCTCGGCTTTACACAGAATGGCTTGCCAGCCTCGTTGAAGCGCTTCCCCTCGGGCTATGATGACCCATTCACCGACATGGTCGCCCCATTCGACCCGGTGCCCCCAGAGCAGGCCCAGGACTCGTCGATCGATCACAACAATAAGCTGCTGAGCTTCTCCCTTCCGGTCTACCACTTCACCTTGCTGGACTACTCCATGCGCCGCACGTCGCTCTCGGTCTCGGCCCAGCTACATGGCATGTTCTTCCTGGCCGAGTCCCCTTACACCACCTCCCCATCCGAGAACGCCCCGCCGCAACAAGGCGCCGAGTTGACTTGCTACCGCCGCAACCTCTTCCAGATCACCGGTTCCGTCACGTTACCCCGCGGCATGCGCTACATCATGACCGATCAGGGCGACCGCATCCCCATTCTCGCTCAGGAACTGACCGTGTCTGCGACGGAGTCCGTGGAAGGAAATCCCGTGAAGATCATCTCTGTACCATGGAAGACTCCCTCCGCGGCGGCCGCCAACTCGGGCACCGCCCTTGACGACAGCACTACGGGCAGTGCAGCCAAGGTGGAGAAGGAGCCCCCGCCAATCCCGCTGGATATCATGGCCGGCCAGGACTTGGACACCGACTATGCCACCTTCCCGATCGCATGGAAACGATTGCAGTTCCGTGTTGCGACTGCTAACAACGGGCGCCGCAAGGAACTGCAACAGCATTTCGTCGTCCGGCTCAAGGTGGTCGCGACCTTGTCCACAGGAGCCAAGATCTCCATTTCCGAGGTGCAGTCGGGTCCTGTCATTGTTCGTGGCCGCAGCCCACGCAATTTTCAGTCCCGAAAGGATCTCCCCCTGAGCGGCAGCGCCGCGGCATCTCGAAAGAACCAGGCCAACTCGGCGGCTGCGCTCAACCGCACCCCGACCAGCGAGTCGGTTCCCCGTCGCGCCAGCGTCACCCCGGCGAAAAACAAGGGCCCCTCCGGCACGGTCCAGAGCAGTTCCCCCGAGACCACCTCCGTCCCACCCCCACGATGATGCAACAACCACATGCCCCCCCCGACTGGACTCCCATCCCGCAATCGACCAGCAATGCCGTCATGTCCCACGCCCACCATCAGTCCCTCTTCCCTCACTCTAGCCCAGAGCAACTTTCCCAGGCCGCCGACTCGCAGCGCCGCATCAGCAACACGGCGGCAGCAGCGGCGCCGATTAATCTGTCTCTGCTGGATGACCAAGATGGCAGCCATGATGCCGGCCTTCACATGGACCAGAAGATCATGCCGCCCTATCCGACCGAGATGCCCCAGCAACGGTCCATCAGCATGGATCAATCCGCCCAACCTCCGGCCAAAATGCGCAAGCTATCCCACGGCGTCTCGCAGACCCCCTCCCGAAGTGTCACCTCGTCCTCCTTGCCGCTCCTCGAGACTGCCAATCTGCCCCAGCAGTTCGTGTCCTCGCTGCCCTTCCCCAATGAGAGCACCGACTTCCTCTACGAATACTTCCCCCTCGGCCTGGATGACTGGCAAGCACCGGTCGATGCCGTCTACCGGCCCCATGTCGTCCACCACACCAACATACCCGAGATGAAGTTCGTGGCTGGCTCCAGGGGCCGCAGCAAACGCTACTTCGCCGCCGAGGACGTCTTCTAAACCAACCTCTTATCTCACCCAATGGCGCTAAATCAGCAGTGCTGCCATATTTCTTTTCTTTTTCCCTTTTTCTTTTTTTTGCCTTGTTCTCGTTTTACGTATTGGAGGGTTTGTCTGCCCTATCATCGTGTCACATCTGCATTTGCACATTCGGACGGGGGTTCTGAGGGTTTTCTGCTCCTGTCTCCTGTCTCCTCTAGAGCTTCGCCCCTCTCATAGAAGGGAAAAGCATGTCCTCCTTTCTATGCTGCTACGCTGGGGTTGTCGGGTTGTTTTCATCGCTATGTTATGTATGGGGTTCTGGCATCGCCTCTGGTAAGGGAGGTTCTGGTAGCGTGGGCTTCTTGTTTGGGGTTTGGGGGGTTTTGGGTCTTGGGTTTGTTGGGTTCTTGCGGGTGGGTGCAAAAATGGCGGTTGTGGCGTGCTGTGGAGTTGTGTATCGTGTTTTCTTGTCTTTCTGGGGAATGTGGAGACTTGATGCGAGGGTTGCTGAGTTGTGATTGCACGGTATACTACCCTGCTATACTTTGTGCGTCACTATCGTTCTTCCCTCGTCCTCTCTCGAGGGAGTTCCGCGCGAGGGGGTCGAGCCGAGACAGGGAATCTGTTGGGTTGGGCTGGATTCACTGGCCTTCTTGTTCGCTGCTCTCTTTGCGGGTCTTTCTTCCATTTTTCCATTTCCTTTTACTTTTTTTTTGTTGATGTGCTTGGTTCTGGTTATATCCCATCGTGTTATGATGTTACGCCGCGATTTCCTGCGCGAGATCCCTGGTTGGCCCCGATGCCATATCTGCCACTCCTATATTACTGGCTTCCCAGGATTCAAATATACTTGGTAAAAATATCATCTGTGATGAATTCCAGTGGTCTGTCTTCGTTTTGTCGCTTGCGATGGTGCTGTAGATTGTCGGGTTCATGAAATGCCTAGTATTGTTGTGGGCCGCATGGACCGAGGTTTACAGCGGCTACAGCGGAGCTAGCACAAGACCACCTCCCTCCTGAAGCTTTGCAAATCTGTTCAACTGGATTGATCGTCTAGATCCTGAACCCTGAACGCCCTGGGAGGGCCCTAGGCTCGTCACAGATACCCCAGCCCGTCTCCACCAATAGTCTCCAGATCGGCCCGGATCTCCCACTCCGTCGCGCCGACCCGCCCCGCGATCTCCGCCTGGCGCTGCTTCCCCAGATTCAGCCACTGCAGCAGCAGATTCCCATCCACCATCCCCCGCCCGCCCGTCCCGTCACTCTCAACGGCCCGGAACGCCCGCGGGTTTAGTCCCCCGGGGTGCTCGATCGTGTTCGTCAGCTGCGACTGCAGCGCTGATAGCCGCCGGTACGACTCTTCTGCGACGCCCGTCACCAGCGCGAGCGATCCGTTTTGCGACCCGATCAGCACTTGCTGCGTCGATAGAGTGTTGTCCACATCCATCACGTCGTCGGTCGCCTCCACAAGTTCCGATGGAACGGCCGTACGCGGCAGAAGCATCATTTTAGTGGCAAAGTTGCCCGTGTAGAACTTGCTTCGGTGGAGCAGGCGGTCGCCATTGGAGGACTTGGGGTCTGGACATGAGCGCGTTAGCGGATCTGTTGAGGTTGTAGGTCCTGTCTCGGGGTTATGAGACAGCGAGGATGCGAATCCAATATTACGTACCCTCTGGGTCGTACTGCAGCACATGCAGGTTGCAATCGCTGTCAGCGACTAGAATGAACAATTTGCTTCCATCCGGCAGGAAGTCCGCTGCCACCACCTCCAGGTACTCCGGGTCTTTGCCGAAGAGCGCTATTTTATAAGGCTCCTCCTGTGAAATTAGTAAGACGTTAGCGTTAGCGTGCCCGTGTGCAGATACAGATGTTGGGTCCAGATGAACTGGGTCCGTACCGAGTAGCCCGCAAACCAGAGCCCCTTGACCGCGTCTCCCAGTAGACACATCCCTGTGCCTTTGAGCTCCTTCGCGACGGACACATAGCATTGCATGTCCATGAATGCCACCGGCAGAAGACTGCCATCTTCCTTCAGACCCCGCACCATGCACTTCTGCCCCTGCGCGACAATCACGAAGCCCTGCCCGCCGATGCCGGACAGCGCCGTCACAGCACCCTTCACCGTCTCCTTGCCAATCAGTTTCAACTTACGCCCTGTCTCGGGCTTCTCCGGGTCGGGGACCACTTTGATCACGTCGAAGACGTAGATGCATCCGCGCGCGGGGATGTCCTCGCCCTTGGTAATGGCCGTGCCCACAACAATCAGATCCTTCCGCTCGTGCGTATTCTCCGAGACCTCCATGTTCACGTTCTGCACGGCTGTCACATGCTCCGCGACTTCTAGCGGGTATGCATCAATGACCGTCCAGGTCTTCGGGCTGATTACCTTGATCGAGCTCTGGGGGACCTCCGGGCAAAAGGTTATCGCCTCGTTGCGCCACTCGGGATGTAACTCGTCGTTGTCGGGTAACTTGAACTCTACAGTGGAACTGGTGCCGACGACGTAGGTTTCGGATGACGTTGAGTACGTCAAAAAGTCAACTTGCTCATCTAGGGGAACCTTGCGCAGAGTCCAGGGGTGGTCGAATTGGGTCGCCGGTGGGAGTTGGCAAGCTCGGATGTTGCTTTCGGAATCGACGTAAACAAATCCTTTTTCGCAGCCAAAGGCCGCCGAATCAAAGCAGCTTAGCCATCGAGTAAACTCGCCTCGAAGGCGCACTAGATGTGGGGAGCTTGTTGCGGTCTTCAGGATAAACCCAGCCGTACTTCCGGGCATAAAGACTGTGCTGAATCCCGAAACATCTGGTAGGACTCGTAGCGGCCTTGCACGTTGCTGCATGTCTAATTCGTTGATTGTTCCCGAGGCCACGTTTGACAGGTTATAATTGGATTCCCTGTAGAACCGTATGTAACTGGAGGAGCCGTCTTCCGCCTCGGTTAAAGTGACAATCGGCTTGTAAACAATAAGTTCGTCGTTCTCAGTTCGAACCTGTGTCACATATTAAAATCTTATTCATTGTTCATAACGGATTGCATGAAGACCTTACGATCAGGTATGGGGACGTAGCCCAGCGGTCGCCGAGATCAGCAACAAGAGTTTCTTTAAGAGGCTCCCGTGTATTGGCGCGCCGGGGAGGTTCAGGCGACAATACAGGTTGCAAGCAGTCGACGCCGTCGATGGTCGATAGAAGCTTCATGTCTGGAAGGTTGAATATCTGAATTTTGCAATCAGAAGATGAGTTCCTGGAATAGCAATGACCCGAAACAACTTACCGAGAGCTTGCACTCGGGGCTTAGAAGGAACAGAAGCATGTTGCCGTCAGCAGTGCCGGCCGGCGTTGAGCCTGGGCAACTAAAGACTTGATTAATATCTCGATAGAGACAAGCGGAGCGCCACTTCAGATTTGAAACAGCCTCTGAAAGTGAAACTTCATCAAGGTCTCCACCATCATCTGCTTGAAGAAGCAAAAGAGAGGAGTCATCTCGTAGAATCGCAAGATAAGGATCCGCAAAGCTCGCGCTGACCGCAAACCGTTCTTCATCAGTGTCCTCGTCCCATACGGGATAGATCTGTGCCAGTCCCAAGTCTAAATGGGGATTGTGTTAGTTTTATGGCCGCTGTCACTCATTTTTTTAGGCTGAAAAGACTTACCCATGTCATAACTTCGAACTTCATTTCGGAGAACCTGCACTAAGCGAGTAGTGTCTGCAAGCGGGCCAATATCCACAGTGTGGTCTCCATTTGGGTTGAATTCAGAAGCTTTGAAGGGCTTTAGTTCTTGACCCTCAACCGCTAGGACCTCGGAAACTTCTTTGTCCGTCTCTGATGGCCGTGAAATAATCACATATTGACGGGATAGATTCTCTGCAGAATCGCTGGCATTAGTGGGATCTCCCTTCTTTCCCTGGGTCACAGTCGCCGACCACACTCCATCAGCATCATTGACTGTCATAGACAAGACTGTCAGAGGGTCGATCTCTCGCTTGATGACAACCAGCCCACCGGCTCGACCGGAGCCATGTGATGCCACAAGTTCCAACTCCGCCGAGACATCTTCATCTGTCGATTGGCTTTGGCCACTCAAAACTTGAGAGGGTCTGCCCAGTGCAATATCTCGCAGGGGGCCAATCGAAGACAGCTGGTCATTCAATCGGAAATGGTAGAACTCGGCTGTTGCACCTCCACAAGCCGTGCGCGAGTTAGTCTGCGTTGGCTCCGGTGCTGTCGAATAGAGGTCGTCTTCATATGCATCATCTTCCATCTGATCTTCATCCGAAGAATCCTCTATCTCTCCAGCAGCATGCTTGGACTCCAAGCGCGCTTTTTTGGCAGAGACTGCTGCTGAATGAGACCACCCTAGGAGAACAGAGTCTGCTTCTTCACTCCCAATGAAGATATTGCCATCGCCGAAGCAAGTCGAGCATGAGGCAGCCGACTTCAAGAGGTTTCCACCCGCTTGCGCAGGCAAAGAATGGACCGTCAAACCCGACACAGATCGACCGTCCAGCTTGAATCTGATCAAGGCCATGTTCCCAGACGCAAGTGCGAGGAGAAGATCCCCGCTAGCACCACCGAGTCGCTCCACAACACAGCCCTCCAGGCGGAAACCCAAGTTGGATTGGTCACTCATCGAGAACGATGATATCTGTCGGGAGAACTCATTCACTCCAACCGCATTGGTCTTGCCGGCTTGGTCGACATGCACGATCTCGTTCGCGCCAATAAGGAGAGCTCCTCCCACGGGTGGGGGCAGTGCTACCACTTTAAACAAATCACTGGGAAGTCGCGAGACTGACAGAAGGGTTGTCGACGCCCTTTGCTCCAGATCTAACGTGAAGACCGTGTAGAACATCACATCTTTCCGTTCGTGAAGTAGGGCAGTGGAAGTCGCAACTTGGGAGTACAAAATGCCAAAAGTCGGCTCCCTATACTCGTAAAGAAAAGCAAGACTGACAGGATGCAGCAATGAAGGGTCCAGGGCTGTCAATGGCAGGACAAAGGACGCCGCATAGGGCGTATGGTGTACAGCCCCATCCTTTCTTTTCCCGGCATCTGTTCCAGCTTCAGCGTCTTGAGTCGGCCGTGCGCCGTCAAGCTCCGAATCATAGTCATCCATAACCAGGTCATCTCCCGCTTGGTGGAAGGGCAAGATGGCGAGATTGCGTACCCCGAAGTTGAACACCGCGCACCGACTGCTGGGGTCCACGCTGAGGGCGCTACCACAGCGACTGAGATCGGGCACCCAGGGGCTACGAGTCAGATCATCCCGCTCGTAATAATGGATCGAGATGGTCGAAATGCCATGGCGCTCGGGATCCCACTCAATCAAGCTGAGCTTGGCATTGCGGACGGCAACGAGAATAGCCTCACCACCACTCTTACTGTTCAATGTTTTGACCCGGCTTAAGTCTGTCACAGTTCCCGGTAATGGGTACTCTTTTTCCAGGATGAGCTTCGTCTCTGGTGGGTGAGTTGGTGCTGTTGTGTGGGTCTCGGCGTTTTCTGCCAGCCGCTGAGCAGCCGGCTTGAGCAGAGAGAAAATCTGCAGCAGAGATGATCGGACCACGATCAAATTGTTGGCTGTGGCAGAGAGAAAGGGGACCGCCAAGGCATGAGTGACCCCCGATGGGGGCAGCAGCTCCGTATAGCACTGCATCAGAAAGCCCCTGCCTCACCGCGGTATGAATTGCCCCAATGACCTGTTTCTTCTGGGATGAATATGGTCAGCGAGTTAACATGGCAGCTCCAAAAGCCCAATTCACTTCAAACGAAAGCCCCCAAACAGCGGGGATGGGGAGATCATACAAAGCCATCAAAATGCACCGCAGGGCGGCCTCGAATCAAAGCACCCGTCACGTGGTGATAGCCCGATCAGGCTAGCTTATGACGACAGGCGCGTCAATGGTTTACTACATACTTCCCAGCTTTCCCAGCTTTCCTGGCTACTCAGTTTCTCAGTTTGCGCTAAGGGACCACAACCTTCGTGGACTCAGACAACTGCCTCATATTCTCTTCTCTCCCCATGAGGGCCAGCCTATCTACAAGATGGCGCTTCTTCAGACTTCACTGATCTGGATCGTTTATGCCGTCGTGATTGCTATCCTGCTCGCGGTAGCGTCGGTATTTATCTACATCTACCAAACTCCTCGGGACCGGTCGCCCTCTGTTACTTTGACTTGCATCCTCGCGATCACCAGTCTTCTGGCAACGGTGCTCCTGCTTCCAGTGGATGTCGCCCTGGTGTCCTCGACCACCTCGTCAAAGCTGGGTCGTCGCAAAGACTGGGCCACCCAGGATGCCGTTGACAGTATCACTTATTCGCTGACCATTGTCTATTACCTTCTGTACTCGCTGGATGCGCTACTCTGTCTTCTTGTCATTCCTTTCACCTACTTCTGGTACGAGGAATACGACGAAGTCGCCGCGGAGGCGGGAGAGCAGACGCTCGGACAGCGGCTGTGGGGTGCTCTCAAGTACACTTTATCTTTCGTCGCGATCGTGGTGATCATATTTCTCGTCGGGTTCTTTGCCCCTGTTGCCAAGGATAAGGGCGATTTGGACCTGGACTACTTCAAGCGATTGCTGACTGAAAACCGTAAGACTATACATAACCTGTTTTCTGTGCCGAGACTGACACAGTCGCAGATGGAGAACGCGCATTGACGTTTGCGCTCGGACTGCTGATGACCGTTGGCATCTGCCTCTATGTCTTATATACCTCTGCAGGCCTGGCTCTGTTCCCCATAAGCCTGATCAAGACCGCACCCTCCATCTCCAGTCCCACGTTGCGGGCGACTACTGCGCAACAACTGGAAGCAAACCGAGAGCGGCAGCGGCAGCTCGAGGGTCGCTGTGGGGGCAACCCTGAACTCCTGTCATCTAAGGATCGCAGAGAGCTTGATACTCTCACTCGAGAAGAGAGGACGCTAATTCGGCGGCAACGCCTGGTTGAGGAAACACAAGGTGAAGGTCGGAGCTGGTTGATGCGCGCATGGTACAAGGTCGGAGCCATCTTCCGCCCGTTCAAACTAATTGGGGGAATTTTACTGCTTTTGGTCGCGTTCGTGGTCTGGGTCTCGATGCTCTTGACATCTATCGACAAAGCGAAAAACTCGATCTGCAAGCACCGTTGTGGATATATTCTTGGTCACATCAATGTCTTCAACCCTGTCAACTGGACTCTGGTCCAATCCGCCAAAGTCTTCCCGGTGGACTACGCCATCTTTACGGTTCTTGTGCTTCTCTTGTTTTGCAGCTCTGTTGTTGGTATTGCTGTGGTCGGAATTCGCTTCCTCTGGATCAGAATCTTCCAGATCCGCCAAGGCCATACTTCGCCTCAAGCCCTCCTTCTGGCAACTGCCCTGTTGATGCTAATGATACTGGCACTGAACTATTCCATTTCTATGGTGGTCGCTCCTCAGTATGCCACCTTTGGCCCGCAGACATTCTGCGATCGCGCGCCGAGTCTGCCTCTGGGACAGCCGGATTGCACCAACAGCAAAGACCTCATCAAACCATGTTCAGAGCTAGCAAAGAATCCTGCAGCGCGCCAAGTGTGCACTCCCAGCGTTGTTAGCACTTTCCTGAACCGAATAACCCTCAACTTCCCATTCTTTGGTGTTGTCTTCTTCTGGGCCCAATTTTTTTTCCTTGGTAAGAAAACCAGCCGCGACGATTGGTCTGCTTTGGCCATGACATGTTCCGAACTGACAATGTACCCATATTATAGGTATCTATTTAATCGTCTTTGTGACTTCCCTCTTCCGAGCACCCAAGCTGGACGAGAGGCAGCTCGATGAAGACGCTGAGGAGGCGGAGGAGGAGGGTTTATTGGCTAGCACTGGCAGGCGTTTCGGTGCGACTTGGCAAGATATCACCGGCAGGGCTGGTCAAACTGGACACTCTGGTGATTGAGAGGACACACAATGGAAGGCATGGAGCAGCTGGATAATTTGTTTCGAATCTTTCATATATTCCGTAATGGTGATTCTATTGCATTGATGCCATTATTTGATGGACTAATACATGATTCGACTCCATCTAAGGAAACAGATTAAAGAAGGCATGTCAATCCATAACCTTTCGAATGCATTAGAAGCAAGCTTGCATGGGCCAGCATGTACTTGCTCGGGTCTGAAAGAATACAGTCACGCTTGGTATAGGCTTGGAACAGGCTCAAACCTTCATCTGCTCGTTGAGCAAGGCCAAGGCACTCTGAAACGCCTTTACTACGTCCATATCTTTTTCATGATAAAACTGTTAGCTCTTGACCAAGGACTGGCATAAGGTAGTCTCGGGGATGGACATACAGTGCTTTCTTTTGCTTTCCACGCTCGCTTCAGAGTTTTGCACATGCTGCATCTGTGTTTTAAATCTGTGGCGGATTAGATCGGAGCTTTTATAAAACACAAGGACATCGTCCTTAGCGTGGTAGGAACCGGGGCCCACACCGTTTCAATGCCCTCGTCTCATCTTGCAGCACCGTAGTCTGAGACCAAGCGGTAAAAATCTGTCCCAATGTGAGAAAACATCATCCAAGCTGGGTATATCCCAGGTGTCTTTACCTCGAGCACCTTTGCTGTCTCGGCACGCAGATCTTCTTCAACGCGACTGTGCTCATCCATAGCGTCTGTGTACCTCTCTTGCAGCTGGTCCCAATCGCAGCCCTCCAGCCCTTGCACCAACCGAGTGACAAGGGTGAATTCAACATCGGTAGCGGTCTCGGTCGGCTCGAGGCTGCGAGGTTGCCATGTTTCTCCAACAGCGGTTGGCCGAGGAGTCCTCTTTGCCGGGCTGCCTTGTCTCGACATCTTGAATGGCTCAATTTTAGGCACAAGAGACAGCACAGGCGTCAATTCAGTCACAGGACAGTAAGCGTAATTCAAGACTCTCTGGTGGCTTGCGATAAAACCATCTTCACGTGCCCCGTGCTTTGATATACTGGCGAGATCATCTGGTCGGTTTGCCAAAGCGGGAGCCGCGTCAGGTGACGACATCATACTGCGAACTCCGACACCGCAGGCTTTGGACGCAGCATCTCTCTCCATGGTTAACGGCAGCTCTGGCAGCGTCCACGACACACCATGGAAATGCGATCCTTGACGACCTTGAACCTTCACGACTGTCTGCGATGAGCTGTCACATATGCACCTCTGCCCACTCCCGCCTGCCATTCCTCTGTCCCACATGTGCCCGCAGTCGTCTTTATCAGCTGCGCCTAGAAAACACTCGGGTTCTTCTGGAAAAAGAGAGCCTGGGCCGACAGATCGAGCGTGCGGTCTCCCAGGAGTTCCCTCAGAACCCACAATCAGCGCCCGGTGAGGGGCTCAACGCAAATGATCACGAGAGCTCTCGGCGCTGGACCCTCCAGACGATTGCCAGTCGCCAAGCTGCCTCATCATCCAGAAGAGAAAATCTTGGTCAACAAATTGAAGCCCTGAAAGAGGAAGTCAAGGCTAAGAAGGCTGACATCTCTGAGCGCAAGGCGAACTTGTCCCGCAGGCGTTCCGATGCTGAATCCGCCCAGTACCAGCTCGAGGGGCGGGAAGCCGCGATCTTGACTGGAGTTCAGAATACCTCCAAACGAGCAGAACATCTTTGGCACAATCTCCATAGCAAGACAGCCGAAGCGCGCATCTTCCTTTGCCGGGAGGCGGCCCATCTCTACGGTCTACGACAAAAAACCTCGAGGAAGAGCGATGGTCGGCAAAGCTATGTCCTGGGTGGCATAGCGATAGTCGATCTGAAGGATATGAATGGTAAGCTTACGATAGCCTGTTTCCGCATCTTCGGTATACTGATATATTCCCAGGTCCCACACCAGCTCAAATCTCTACATCGCTATCCAACATCGCCCACCTCCTGGTCCTTGTCTCGCACTATCTCTCCCTTAGACTCCCAGCGGAAATCACCCTGCCTCACCGGAATCATCCTACCCCCACAATATATTCCCCTGCCGCATCATACCATTCGCGAGAGCCATCCAACGGGTCTGATACTCCCCACTCTTCGACATTTGGTCCAACTGCGTCGAAAACAACAGAGCCACGCACCCAGCCACGACCCAGACCGCTCTTCATTGACAAACCCCTTCCCCGGCTAGCCAAGGAAGATCCTGGAACATATGCTCTCTTTCTAGAGGGTGCCACACTCCTCGCTTGGGATGTAGCCTGGCTGTGCAGGACCCAAGGAATTAACTTGACCTCTGACTCGTGGGAGGAAGTTTGCAACATCGGGAAAGGCATGTGGCAGCTGCTAGTTGCCCCCCTGCTCAAACATCCACCTTGATGCGAGCCTTTGCCGGTCGAGACACACAAGCGAAGATGAAAGCCCCTAAAGACTCCCCTCAAACAACTATTCAACGCACCAAATCATTTCCCATGCTTGGTCATTATTCCCACGGTACTGTGCATTCGTTTATCGGGGCATCTGAGGGTTCCGAGTTCATGCGCACCTGGAAGCTGCCAACTCCAACGAAGATTGTGGATAAGCTCAAGGCTAATCTACTTGGGGAGATGGCGAGCGCCGAATGGGAGCTCTTGGAAGAAAAGGAATGGTTTGATAGAAATCCGGAATCCCATCAACCATCGAGCTCACAAGTCTCGAAGACTTTCGCTTCACCCACACCCCATGCTGAGTCGACCCAGCAGGGAACAGAGAGTAATCAGACATCTATGCAAGCGACAGATGATAGTCGTCGGTCGAAAGGTACAAGTGGATGGACGAAATTAAATAGTCGATAGACCTCAAGCAGGGATCCCAATATTTTCATTTTCCTTCTGGATCTTTAAACGAAACCTACAATAAAGCGTGCTATTGCTTCTGACCTCACTATGTTAAAGAGAATAGATTGATATGGTGGGAGAGTCCTCCTCTCAAGACGGTTGCGCCGGAACCGTCATTACTAAGCGGCCGATATAAGGTGGGATTAAAGTGTAGCCGCGTGGCCCGAGTCCCTCCGCTTCAGTGCCAAAACGATGCATTGCGGATCGGCATCCCCTGGACGGTGTTAGCATATTGCAGGACCTCGTTGACCGAGCCCAATTGCGTGGTTCCACCCTTGCAGCAGATCCCTCAACTTTTTTTTGCCTCCACGTGATTCTCTGAGCTGGGATGCGGCCAGGGTCCAGCGGTATCTAAACACCCCGATTAAAGATGCAGAATGCCCGGATATGGCAGGATGCAGGCGAGGGAGCTTTGGGTTAGTGGTCTCCCTGACAATACAGCCACCGCCGACCTGGACTAAACCCGTTCTCAGATCTCAAGCGCGCCCTCTCCGCCATTTCAGACCTCCCCGATTCCCTCCTGAGAGCGGAACTCCAGCGACGAAATGTGGCCCGATCCTCAGACTCGGTCGATGCAGCACCGGCCTGTGGATCTCGACAAAGAGGTGCTTATAACACACCCCTTCATGTCATGGCTCTATTCCTTATCTTGGTATTGAGTACATTCGGTATGCATCGTCGTCTCTTATCCTCCCCCTAAAGTGGCTCCTAGCGAAGTTGACCACCAATCTCAAAACTCAGCCTGCTCATTCCCGGTCCTTGCTCGTCGATTCCCTCGTCTTCCAATCCCCCGCCACTTTCTCTTCATTTCAAGGCATTTCGGAACTGGTGTCTTGATTGCGACGGCTTTCGTACACCTGCTGCCAACAGCATTTGTATCATTGACCGACCCATGCCTCCCACGGTTCTGGAGTCAGACTTACCGTGCTATGGCAGGATTTGTGGCCATGGTAGCTGTCTTCGCCGTCGTCTTAGTGGAGATGTTCTTCGCTATGAAAGGGGCAGGTCATGTGCACGGAAATGATTACGATACGCTCATGGGGGGCATTGGTCGTGAATCCATGGACGAGTTTGGACATGGAGACTCCACTTACTCGCATTTGGGAACCCAAGAAGGATTTGGCCATATCCCTATGGAGGGCCTACAGCAAGGTAGTCATGGCGACACTGAACGGCCTTCAGGCTCCTCACGCGAGTTCGAACGGTCACACCTCCCGGGCACCCATCCCGATAAGGAGGAGGAAGAAGAGGATTCTGACATTGAGGGACTGGACCCGTTTGCTGATGATGTCTCCATCAATGGGCGATCACAACCACCCCCACATTCTCGTCACCATCGCCGGCCGCGGGTCAGTACCAACTATAGGACCCAGGAAGACTTGGGGTCGCCGATGCCGAACCCACAGCGGCAACTTCTTCAGTGTCTTCTTCTAGAGGCCGGTATTCTATTCCACAGCATCTTCATCGGTATGGCTCTCAGTGTCGCCACCGGGACGTCATTTATCGTTCTCCTTATCGCTATCAGTTTCCATCAGACCTTCGAAGGGTTTGCTCTGGGATCTCGCATTGCGTCCCTCATCCCCGATCTCTTCTCACCGTCTTCTATGAGGCCTTGGCTCATGTGCTTGGCGTACGGAACTACGACTCCCTTTGGCCAAGCCATCGGCCTTGTGTTACACAATTTCTATGACCCCGCAAGCGCAACGGGTCTGCTTATGGTGGGTGTCACCAATGCGATCAGTAGCGGATTGCTACTCTTTGCGGGTCTTGTGGAGCTACTTGCCGAGGATTTCCTGAGCGAGTCGAGCTATGCGACTCTGAAGGGTAGACGGCGTGTCGAAGCTTGTATATCAGTTGCCTGTGGAGCTCTCCTAATGGCGTTTGTTGGGGCTTTTGCCTAGTTAAAATGACTGCAGGGGGCAGGACACCACCCGCTTTAGTCCTTAATGGATCGTGTTTGGTTAGACTAATGACACCAGAAATCTGGCCCTTAAATGTGCTACTGATACCCAGCTGCCGTTCTAGAACTCATGTCCGTGGTAGGTCTATGGTGTAAAGATTAGGGACTGTACCTTTTGAGGAAGTTAGTCTACGACAACTGCACTAGTAGAAAAAATTCAGTATTCAAACAATTATTATTAATCCCGAAATGCTGCATTTTTTCTGCTTGAAGTATCGGGTTTCAATATCTATGTCTAGCAATAACCCCTTTCTTGGTCTTTCACATGAAGGGAGTCAGTAGTCATTTCATATCCGTATATCGTTAATAAGCCGCTTTAAAAGAGAGACTCGAGCACCAGGGCGCTAGCACCGCCACCGCCGTTGCAGATGCCGACACAGCCAAGCTTGCCCTGCTTTGCCTTCAGAACACCAAGCAGGGTAGACACAATACGGGCACCGCTGGCACCCAGAGGGTGGCCGATGGCGACGGCACCACCGTGGATGTTGACCTTGTCCTCGGGGAGACCGAGCAGCTTCATATTCGCAAGGGCGACCACGCTGAAAGCCTCGTTGATCTCAAAGGCATCGATGGAGTCCTGAGTCACGCCTGCGTGCTTAAGAGCCTTAGGAATCGCCAGGGCGGGGGCAGTGGTGAACTTGCTGGGCTGGTGAGCGGCCTCGCCCCAGCCCAAGATCTTGGCAATGGGCTTGAGGCCAAGCTCCTTGACCTTGGCCTCGGAGACGAGGACAACAGCGGAAGCACCATCGTTCAGCGGCGACGAGTTGGGGGCAGTCACAGTGCCGGTGCCGGGAATGAAGGCGGGCTTCATGGCGCGCAGCTTATCGGGGTTGAGCTAAAACAGCAAAATAGAAGTGGTGAGCAATGTCCAGGTCTAGGACAGAGTCTTGGGACACCTTCAACTTACGTTCTTGGGTTCGTCATCCTGGGACACAGTGACGCCGGGCTTGCCGCGAAAGCCAGGGATCTCAATGGGAGCAATTTCATAGTCGAAAGCACCGGCCTTCTGGGCAGCCTGGGCCTTCTGGTAGGTGCGGATGGCATACTCGTCCTGCTGCTCACGGTTGAAACCGTGGTCCTCGGCACACTCCTCGGCAGCGAAGCCCATGAGGTCCTGCTTGCCATATGCATCCTGCAGACCGTCCTTCATGATCCCGTCCACCAAGCTCTGGTTGCCGTACTTGGCACCGGTGCGCATGTTCGGCAGGTAGTGCGGGGTGTTCGACATGGATTCAGCGCCACCGGCGACGACGATGTCGGCGTTGCCGGTCATGATAGTCTGGGCACCGAGGATGATGGCCTTCAGGCCAGAGGCGCAGACCTTGTTAACGGTTGTGCAGACGGTGGAGTCCTGGAGACCGGCGCCGATGGCGCATTGGCGAGCGGGGTTCTGTCCAACACTAATTGTGTAATGTTAGTGTCGATTGGAGGGATAGAATTGCTAATCACACAGCTCACCCAGCAGACAGGACGTTTCCAAAGAAGACTTCCTCAACATCGGAGGCCTTGATACCCTCGGCCCGCGCAACAGCCGCTATTATCCGCCATCAGTGTCAATTGGAACAGGGCAAGGACTCCTGATGGGGATAAATCGACGTACCTTTGATCGCATGAGCACCAAGCTGGGGCGCACTCAGGCTGGAGAGGGAGCTAGCAGGAAGTCAGTATTCTGGCAACCAAAATTTCAAGAAATGGAGGGGCATTACCCAAGGAACGAACCCACGGGAGTACGGGCCGTCGAGACAATGTAGACAGGAGGAAGAGAAGCCATGGTGAAGAACAAAACGAAGATTCAGATTCTATGAAGGCGGGAAGAGAGGAGCGGATGGCCAAAGGGGGTATAAATGGAGAAGGAAAGGGAGTGTAGGAAGGGGGGTGCATATAAATAAGAGTGGGGAGTGAGGAGCTGTACGGTGTAGGTGCGAGTATGTCCGGGAACTAGTGAGTTACTGACTGGCCTGACCGACTGCCCGCCGAACGCTCGGGCCAAGTGAAAGTTGCGAGCCCTCAGCCTTTCTCCGGCGTCACGCCAGCATCAATTCGGGGGACCGGCGCATTGTCTTTTCGCGTCCTAATCCACTCTCGCAATCTGGCCCATCATGGACGACCTCTACGATGAGTATGTTACCCCTCAATTCTAGATCTCCTCTTGGCTTTCTCTGGGACTAACCGAGGGGCCTCCAGGTTCGGTAACTACATCGGCGAAGCCGAGTCCGATGAGGAGCAGCAGGAGCAGGTCCCGCAGGCCTTCAAGTTTGACGAGGCCTTCGAGGACGAGGAAGAAGATGAGGAAGTCAATGATCAGCAATTGATGGAGGTGGATGGTACGTTGGCGCTCCCAATTGTCCCTCCGGGCGGACCGCATGCTCATTCGCGTCTCGCGCACAGATGGCCCTTCGAATGCAGTCATATTACACGAGGACAAGCAATACTACCCCAGCGCGCAACAAGTATATGGCGCCGATGTCGAAACTATGGTCCAGGAGGAGGATGCGCAGCCGTTGTCCGAGCCCATTATCGCGCCCGTCCAGCAGAAGAAATTTGCGATCGCTGAAACGGAGCTTCCGCCCGTCTATTTCTCTCGCGAATTCATGACAGATTTGCTCAACTTCCCCGAGCAAATACGAAATGTAGCTGTGGTGGGCCATTTGCACCATGGAAAGACCGCTTTCATGGATATGCTGGTGCGACAGACACATGACCTTTCGGCGCGGCTAGAGAAGCGGCAAGGCAAGCGCAAGGAAGAACAGCTTCGTTATACCGATGTTCACTTCCTTGAGCGCGAGCGGGGGGTCTCCATCAAGGCAGCGCCCATGAGCTTGGTACTCCAGGGAACCAAGGGGAAGTCTCACCTCTTTAACATTATCGATACCCCCGGCCATGTGAACTTTGTGGATGAGGTCGCCGCATCGATTCGCCTGGCCGATGGTGTCGTCCTCGTTGTGGATGTCGTCGAGGGTGTGCAAGCAAATACCGAGCAGATTATCAAGCATGCGGTCTTGGAGGATATTCCCTTGACCCTGGTGGTGAATAAGATGGACCGGCTCATCTTGGAGCTCAAGCTGCCGCCCAATGACGCTTACTTCAAGCTGAAGCATGTCATTGAAGAGGTCAACACGGTGATTGAAAATGTTGTCCCAGGCCAGGGCGAGCGGCGACGGTTGAGCCCCGAGAAGGGCAATGTCGCTTTTGCGTCCAGCTCGATGAACTGGTGCTTTACCTTGCAGTCTTTCGCTCGCATATACGCCGACACCTACCCGAAACTAGACTCCACCGAGTTCGCGGCGCGTCTCTGGGGTGATATTTTCTACAACCCCCAGAGCCGGAAGTTTACCCGGAAGGGCGTGGAGGAAAACGCGAAGCGGGCATTTGTGAAGTTCATCCTCGAACCTATCTACAAACTCTATTCGCACACAATCAGTGAAAGCCCGGAGGATCTCAAACAAACGCTGGCGAGTGTGGGTGTCACCTTAAAGCCGTCTCAATTGAAAACGGACGCAGCCGAGCTCCTGAACCTGGTCTGTGAGCAATTCTTTGGTCCTCCAACCGGATTTGTGGATATGGTCGTTCAGCACGTCCCTTCCCCAGTTGGCGGCGCTCAGCGAATGCTAGAACGCTTCTACACTGGGCCCTTGGATACAAAGGTTGCGGCTTCGATGTCTGCCTGTGACCAAGATGGCCCCTTGGTCGTTCATGTCACCAAGCTTTTCAGCACCACCGACGCCACGGGTTTCAATTCTTTCGGAAGGATCTTGAGTGGCACTGCTCGACCGGGTCAGCAAGTTCGTGTTCTTGGAGAGGGATATACCCCCGAGGATGAGGAGGACATGGTCGTTGCAACAATCTCAGACACATGGATTACCGAGACCTGCTATAATATTTCCACCGACGGCGTCCCCGCCGGCAACTGGGTTCTTTTGGGTGGCGTGGACAATTCTATCGTCAAGACGGCGACGCTCGTCCCGCTCAAATTGGAAGAAGATGAGGAACCGTATATCTTCCGTCCCATCCGGCATCTGACTGAGTCTGTTTTCAAGGTCGCTGTGGAGCCCGTGAACCCGTCCGAACTGCCCAAGATGCTGGACGGACTGCGCCGGGTCAACAAGAGTTATCCTCTCATTTCCACCAAGGTGGAGGAGTCTGGTGAGCACGTCGTGCTGGGTACTGGCGAGCTCTACATGGACTGCGTACTCCATGACCTCCGACGACTGTACTCCGAGATGGAAATCAAGGTCTCTGATCCGGTTACCCGATTCTGCGAGACGGTGGTTGAAACTTCGGCGATCATGTGTTACTCGATCACGCCGAATAAAAAGAACAAGATCACCATGATCGCTGAACCTTTGGACGACGGGATCGCAGAGGACATTGAAAGTGGCAAGGTCAGCATCAAGGATCCTATTCGGAAGGTTGCTCGCTATTTCGAGGAGAACTATGACTGGGATAAGCTTGCTGCCCGCAGCATCTGGGCGTTTGGCCCTGAGGAGATGGGGCCCAACATTCTCCAGGATGACACATTGCCCTCGCAGGTGGACAAGAAGCTCCTCGGAACCGTGCGAGACTCCATCACGCAGGGTTTCAGCTGGGGCACGAGAGAGGGGCCTTTGTGTGAAGAACGTGAGCTGCTTTTTTCTCCCTCTCCCGCTCCTTCCCTCATCCTTTCTCGTGATTCACTTATACTGACTCTGACGTAGCGATTCGGAACACGAAATTCAGGCTCACTGACGTGTCTCTTGCTGACCAAGCCATCTATCGCGGCGGCGGCCAGATCATTCCTACTGCTCGCCGGGCCGTGTACTCGTCATTCCTGATGGCCTCACCCCGACTCATGGAACCCATCTACTCGTGCACGATGACCGGGCCCGCCGACGCCGTCGCATCCGTCTACACCGTGCTCTCCCGCCGACGAGGCCACGTCCTGTCCGACGGCCCGATCGCCGGAACTCCGCTCTACTCTGTCCGCGGATTGATCCCCGTGATTGATTCATTTGGCTTTGAGACCGATCTGCGCATCCACACCCAGGGCCAGGCCATGGTCAGTCTGGCCTTCGATAAGTGGAGCGTCGTGCCTGGCGATCCGCTGGACCGGGATGTGAAACTGAAGCCGCTGGAAGTGGCCAATGCCATGTCCACTGCGCGCGACTTTGTGCTGAAGACTCGTCGGCGGAAGGGTCTGGCGGAGGATGTCACGGTCAGCAAGTTCTTGGAACCGGAGCTGTGGAAGGGTCTACAGGAGAGCGGTGTTTTGGATTCATGATTGGTTCACTATCCCCGGGGACGAGCGCTGAAAATGAAGAGAGTTGCTTGGGAGGGGGATTTGGGCTACGGAGTCAGTGATTGTTGTTGCATTTGGCTTGTTGCGGCATGTAATTCTAATGCGAGGATCAAAATATATCTCATGGCATATTGAGAGTCATTCAGTCTGGATCTGGTATTGGTATATATCGTAACGGGGGGGGGGCGTCATGGTTCATATGCATCCGGTGTGAACTGAAGAGGAGGGGAGGAGGGAGTCCAGTATCATATCACGCGTTGGTCAGGAATTATCATGTTACATCCAGCAAGGATTTTTGGTCGGATTCCGTTTCATTGGCAAGTTTCCATCATCTTGGCGATGACCTGCATCAGCGCTCCGTTCTCCAAGGCAGCCGCCACTCGCTCCTTGTCTCCTAGTTGTTTGTTGACCTCATCGCCGGTGCTGTGGGTTCCTTCCTTAATCCGCACGTCTACACGGAATCGGGGAGGGAGGGATTGCTCGAGCCGCACTCGTACCCCGAGGCCGATGACGGTGGCGAGACTGCAATGCGTGATGGTGGGGGTGATCAGGATGGTGACTGTCTGGAGGGGTGATTCCGGCACGTTGGGAAGGGTGGGCGTGATTGAGATATCGGGGAGAGATACCACGGCTAGTTCTCCCAGTGAGAGGGGGTGTTCGGGATCCGAGATGGACTTGATCAGATCTGTCTAGGGTTAGGGAAGCTCTGATCCGAGCGATGATCGGCCGGGGGTGGAGGATGGAGGAAGGGCCAGCCTACCATAGATCTCCTGCTCATCAATCGGCTCCTCCAGCAAGTCCTCGTCGCCCTCGGAGTCTGACGAGAGAAAGTCCGACGGGTTGGGGACTGCGGCGAAGATGCCACTCCCATAGTTCCCGGAGGTCTTCTCTGCAGCCCGGGACCTTGTGGGGAGATCGGCCACATTGAGAATCGTGGGGTTGGAATTCTGCATTTCCGCCATGGTGATATTCGTTTTGGTGGCTGGTGGCTGGTGGCAGGTGGCTGATGGTGGGATGTGGAGGGTGGTTGGATGTCACAGTTCGGCGATGGCTAGGCTTTCGCCGCGTTCACGTGCCTTCGGGGGATCCTCGGCTTTTCCCTGCGAATCGGGGGCTGGTTCGGTCGCGCGCCTCTGATCAGATCATACACGATACACGAGTCCACCGTCTACCTGACATAGACTAGTTTTCGTCCTCTGTCCTCCCCAATTCACGGCTGGCGAGGTGATTTATGGTTATTCCCATCGCGACCAATGATCGGTTTCCCCCCAACAGGAGGCCCGAGAACGCCCTGTCGATCCTGGTTTGTCCCCTTTCCCCCACCATCCGAGAAGCTTGGGAGCGGGGATCGACCTGGGTTGGCCAGGCCGGGTGTTCCCCCCTGGACGATTTGCCGAGTCGATCACGAAAAGGGCTGCTTGGCTGCATGGCCATAGTGCTGGCTCCACCGAGGGGACCTAGCTTGTAACCATGGCGGTTCCAGTTCGTGTGGCCTTCCAGAATATAGCCGCCCCACTCCTTAGCTTATCCACGACCGGGTTCCCCTTGCGAGGACTGTTGAAACGCAGGCCATGCCGGGTCGCATGCGGCGCGCTGTGCGGAGGGGGGCATGCATAGGACCGGCCCTGCACCAGTAGACAGGATCGGGATCAGGATTGGGAGGAGGAGGAAAGGGAAGTTGGGGAGGGTTCACGTTCCTGTTCCCTCCGAACCCAAGGACCTCACCGCTCGGCTGGAAACTGGGAAAATGCGATGGGCGACGTGCAGAGTGGGAGAAGGGGGGTCGAAGGTTTTTGCTTATTTTTCCGGGACCTGCAGGTATTCTTCCGGAGGCTGCAGCCCAACTCGACTCAAGCCCTAAGGGGGGAGAGGCGATCCATCCAAATCCGCTGGTCGGCGAAACATGGGAGGGGATGGTGTGAGATCCTGGGGGGGAAGAAACCTCGGCCGGCGTTGTCGACTAGTCCTGATTGAAGGCAGAGAAGTCTGGGTCCCAGCAAGTGGATCATGATAGATTATCAGCCATGTGCAAGAATCTATCATCTACTCACTAGGTCCCGTAGTGGACTGGGCCGTGGCTGATCACCCCCGACAGCCCTGGCCTCCCCCAGAGCATGGGAATCAGGCTAGCGACTGTACGGAGTACAGAGTACAGAGTACTAGTCAGGCATTTGACTTCCTCCCTCCTCCCTCCTCCCTCCTCCCTCCTCCCTACTCCCTAGGGACATCCAGGGGTCTCGACCTGACTCCGGAGTCCGTGGCAGTCATGGTGTGTGAGAGGCACTACTGTCAGACCTAGAGTCATTGGCGTAGTTAAATAGATTAAGAGGCAAAGTTCGGCGGTAGTCCGTCAAAAAGTGGAGGGAGACGGTTCGGTTCGTCAGGATATTTTCGTGGGAGGCGTATTTTAGTTTTTTAGCTTGATAGGAGTCGGAGTCAAGAGGTGGACAGGAGGCAGTATATGCATCCGGGAATACGCTATCTACCGACTGTGGCGCGGAGTCTGTATTTGCATTTGGGGTGCTGCCACTGCTGCGACTGCTACCAGACTGGGCCGAGGAGTATATTACGAAACTCAGGAGAGACCAGATCGGCCCCCCACCCGAACCCACAGCCACGGCGATTGGACCACACAATTGCACTATTGCACTCTTGCTTGAGAGACTGGTCCAGCTCGGGATTGCCCATCGGCCCTGCGCTTGGCGGTGCCACCCCTCTCAGCTCCTCTGACGCTGCTCTCTGTTCACTACTCTCCGCCCTTTTCCAATCTGATCATCTCTCCCCCCCACCCTCCCTCCCCCCCCAAAGTACCCTCCACGACATTCCTTCCCCCTCCCATCGCACATACCACGCCCACGACTACGCCCACGCCCAGGCCCACTGATACTTGCCTACCGATCACCCTCTCCCAAATCACCCGAATGTCTCCACCCAGGCTCTGAGCACACCTTCACCATGCTCCTCGTTGTGACTCGCTGGGACTCGCTCAACTCCAATCTAATTCCTTCGTATGCTTCCCGTCTGGAATGCGCCCGCTCAGAGACTAATACCTCGGCTCTTAGGATTTGCTCCCCTCCCATTCCAGAGCACGCTTGCGCGCGACGATCCTCGTGACTCGATTCTCTGGCTTCGACAAGCGCGTCAATTTCCCTCTCGCCGACCTGTGTGTTTCGGCCGACTGCGCTGCAACCGGCGTGGACATACCTAGGCCAACCTGCGCCGGACCATCGCGCCGGCGACTTCTCTCTCATCTGACTACGCTCTATCGATTCGGCTCGCTTAAACTCCACGACCCACCGCTGCGTCCAGAGCTATCTTCTATACCCGCGCTCTATATTGCTACCCGGCGCGACCCACGACCGGGATTCGGGAGAGCGCGCATCCACGTAACATTCAGATTGTGCGTGTGTATAACCAGTTTCATTGATTCCATCCCAAGGCCGGTCCTGGTGGATAAGTTCTTCGGATCGTTAGCAGACGACGACGCGATACCAGACGCTACGGGCCTGAGCCTCGACGTGTTTTGTGGGAGCAACGAACAATGCAAGGCTACTCATTTGCACCTCCGTCGGGCCCGCCCCGGGAGGGCCAGAAAAGTATCGATCTCCCTACCAAAGGAACACCGGCAATGGTTGCTAACTGTGGTCTGTCATAGATTATGTATTTGTCGATGAGCATAATCGACACAAGAGGTTGAAAGGTAGGCGACTCATTCCACCGCCAAACGAAGCGATTCCCCCCTGCTGACCAATCCAGTGATGCGGGCGTGCAATGGCTGCCGGAAAAGAAAGATCAAATGTGATGCGGCCACCACAAATACGTGGCCTTGCTCGGCATGCACTCGGCTCAAGCTAGTCTGTGTTCCCCCAACCATCGGCCAGGACGGGGACTTTCTCCCGGAAGGAATGGATCCCACGCAAGAGACCGGTTCCTCCACTGCATCCGAATCCTCGCATCATGCCTTCCCGGTGCCTCCCGCTTATAGGGACCCCAACCAAGCCACGATGGGAAGTATGCCATCCTACGACGGGATGGGAGGCATGTATTCCCAATTTGTTCACGCGCCGCCGACCCAGCCAGGAATGTATAACGACATGCGATCCCCCTCCATGGTCATGCCACACCAGTCATATCAACAACAACCCTCAGTGTTTCCGGGGGCCAACCGCCACCTTTGGCCACGCCCGATCGGGGAGTGTACGTGGACAACGATCCATCAACGGCGGAAAATCTGAGCGATGTCCTTGGGGAGCTGAAAATCGACGAAACAGGCATTGGTATGGTTTTGGTTCTCTTTTGCCTCGGCTCGCGCGGAGTGCAATGGCTAATGCTGCCTTTTCAATTCTAGCACCATATATCCGGAGGCAAAGAACAGATCGTGTTGAACCGGATGCCCCGGTCCAGGATGAACTGGAAGAAAGGCTACCCCCTCTCAGTACGGGAGCAGGCGCCACCATTCGCATCCCTCCCGAACTCATGCCCGACGAGGAAGACGTCATGAATTACTTTAAAGTCTATTTCGATGAAATTCACCCTTACGTTCCCGTGATCCCCCGCGCCCACCTATACTACCAATGGCAAAATGACCGCCGCTCGATATCTCCACTACTCCTCGAGGCCCTCTTCGCATGCGCGGGGCGATTATCCGAAGAGCCTTCGGAGGGAGCTCAATGGCTTTCCATGGCGAACAGTACGTTTGTACTAACTTGTAAACCTACTGCGGTCTTAACTTGCTGACCTTTTTCTGCCAGGACACGAGTCCAGCTTCATGGATGTCCCGCGGTTGAGCACTATCCAAGCCTTGCTTCTCCTACTGAAGGCGAGGGAGTCGTTGCCCAAGAAAGGTTACTACTATCGGTCCTGGCAGACCGTCAAAACTATTGTCTCCATGGCCAAGGATCTAGATATCAATGAACATTATAATGGCCACGCCGAAGGAAGAGCCTGTGATTTGAGCCCAATTGAATGCTTGGTGAGCACTCGGGTATGGCAAGTGCTTTTAGTGGTTGAGGTGATGATTGGAGCACCCCAGGGTGAATTTCTCTTCTTCCAGAATGGTCTACAGACCCTTATCCCGTCCGAGTCGCTGACGCTTTTTTTCCCCCTCTAGGCCGTTCCGACTATGGTGTTGACCCCGAGACCGTGGATATGCGCCCAACCCTGGATATCAGGGGTCTGGACCACTACGAGACGGAACGCTCAAGACAATATGCCTACTTTGTCCGTAACGCGCACCACATCCGTATCATCACGGACATCTATCACAAAATCAAAAAGCAGAAAGACTGGGGAGCGGACCCTCGATTCGCACAGAAGAACCCCTTGTTCGCAGATTGGCTTCGTAACCTACCTACAGACTTACAGGTGAATTATCCAGCCGATGGTGCCCCGCCATGGATTCCATCTCATTTCGTCGGAAACATGCATTGCCACTGTCATTTGGCTATCATCTTGCTGCACCGTCCTCAACTTGTGGCCTCTCAATCCTTTGCGGCGGATGGAGAGTGGAGAGTCCACTTCTCTCTGTGCTATACCTCGGCGAAGAATATCTGTCGGTTGCAGGAAGCCATTCTCGAGAGATTTGGACTGTCTGGTCTGCTTTACATGCAGCGGGGGATCAATTTCGCCATTTATTGCATTCTCACCTGCACTATGCTCCATCTCGTATGCCCGGCCCCCCCCTCCAAAACAGCAATATCACGTTTGTAGAAAGTACTGTCTGACAGCTACAGGTTGCCATTACTTCCCCGGATACAGAATTCAACTCCGATGCCCGGGAATATTTCACACGCCACATGCGCATCTTGGAAAGGTGCTCCGCAGCCTGGCCTATGCCGGAGATTCAGGCACAAATCGACTCTCTGCGGCTGGCCTTTTCCGCGGACACCCATCGCCCCTTTGAGCTGAAACCGAGTTTCCCCTACGGCAGTCCCTCGGAACCGTATCAGCCCAGTCCCCCCATGGATGCGCATTATCATCCGCACCTGAGCCAAATGTCAAGCAATGTCCAATCCAGAGTGGGTTTTAACGCGCATCCAATCACTCCTCCGATTTCCGTTGGTGCTGAATCAGACACGAAGTCGGACACGTCTTCCCAGTTACAATCCCTTGGAATGGTTCCCCATCAACCGCCTACCACCCACCCGCTCGACACTCCATTAGTTGATGAAAGCAGCTGGGATCCGACCCGTATTATCCAGTACGTGATTTATAAGAGGAGACTCCACACATGTCTTTGCTCGATCATTCATTGCTAACCGCCGCATCTTAGCCAATGGGACATGGCCTTTTCTGTCAATCCCTCCACCGTCAGCACAAATTCCCCTCCAATGCCCATGAGCAATCCAGCCCAACCCATATCGAATATGGTGAATCACCAGTACCCGATGCAGTACGAGTCGCCTTCCAAGGTGGCTGTCCCACAGACCCAATCTGTCTCGCCACCACAGTTCCAGACCGCCCCTGTCGTATTTAGTGCCCGAGACTGGCAACAGAGTGTTGCGAGCGTGTATGATCCACAGGGTTTGAAGCGACGCTGGAATTATTCCGTCGATCTCGGTTCCGACAATATGACCAAACGGCAACGAGGATAAGACAGCTGATTGGCCCTGAAAACGTTCTACTTCCTTCCCTCCTCTCATTCTTTGGTGCCGTTCTACCTACCGCTCCTCGGACGGCGCCCACTCATCTCCCCAAACCGTTGTTCCCTCTCTTCTTTGATTCCCCCCGATTCTTTGATGTATGTTTGCATTTTCTTGGCTCTTTGTTTATGTCTGCCACCACGGGCCTTGGACAACGCGCGTTGTCTTTGGACTACGATTGAATTGGGAAAGATCCCTCGGCGATCTCTTTGAAGGCCGAGGACGCCGTTGATTGACTTGACTGAATTGACGATTGGATTCAAAAATCCTACTGTACATCACACCAAAAATATCCGGGAAAGGGCTTGTAGAAGAAATCACATTTCACGAGGCTCTATTTTGAACTGTTTCCTGAAGTGAAGCGGCTATCCAATGGCCGCCAGTTTTCCACTTTCCACCGACATGCTCAAGTGTGCTCTTGTAGCTGAAAGAGTATGACAAGGTCTTTTGTAAATGAACAGAGGGTAGAAATGACTAAGGTTCATAGTATGTGTCCAATAGATCGCCACGTCATGCACGAGATATATCACCAAAAACGGAGATTGGCGACGATGGTCATGGCCAGCAAGTTGTGTTTGTGTTTCAAAATTCAAGTCCTTGCCAATTGGAAGGGCAGGATGCCAGAGTTGTGTTGTTTTCACAGGGTGCTGCGCAGTATATAATTGGCCTCGGGTCTGCCCAGCGTCCGTTATTGCCTTTCTTAGGAATTGATCGGGAAGACGGCACCGCGAAGACACAAGAGCTGGGTGGCAGGACGAGGATGTAATGTTTATGATAGTCCTGAATTGAGCTCGATTTGGGATTCCAGGCCAGGAAGCCCGCGGTTGGTATAGTATGTAGCAGACATACTAGATCAGCCACGATGACCGAGGCCTATCCTCTCTTCGCGGGATCGGACAATCCTGGCCTTGTCTCCAGGGAGGGGTTTGAGTTCATCGCTTGGATCGAAGTTGACATTGGCGCTCCCCTTCGCCTGTTCGGGCTGACGAGTCTCCTCCAGTTTGCGGAGTCTCATCTCCTCAAACATGGCAAGGTCTTCAGAAGTGATCGCGATCGCCGTGGGCTTTCGGCGGAGCATCGTGGGCGGCGTTGGGAGGCTGTGGATGGTCCTGTCCTCGCGCAATTGCGGTCAGTTGGGGCTCGTTCGCGAGTGGTCACGTGAACGCATACCGGCCCTGTAAAAGTTGTTCCCGTCGAGGTGGAAGATCTATCTCGAGTCCATCACCTCCCCGCGACAGACATGATCCGGTCACAGCTAAGCCAGCTTCTCCGGCACGGAGACCGTGCATGCTTGGGCCTGTCCACACCCATCCGTCACTTTTCTGTCTCTTATGCGGCCGCTTCGGAGGGTCAGAGTCCGCCTTCAGGTATGCTACCCACGCCCTTACCACGCAGACATACCGCAGACGTCCTCACGCCTGCGGCTTTCAAGCCGGAACTAGGCTGCTTTTTCCCAAGCATCGCTAATTGTACTCGCTGGACAGCTCAGACCGGACCCAAACAGAGACCGGCGGCCCCCCCTCGCAAGCCTCGACCTTCCAACAGACCACCGGGACCCGGAGCTCAAAATAAGGGACGCCCAGCCAAGGTAATTGATGCTCGGTCACTTGCGGCCCCTCGTGCCAGTGGCGAACCCCCTAAGATCATCCGAAACCCCAGGCTGCGAAACCGAACTAGCAACCAGCCGCAGGGTCGCAAGCCCAAACCCGGGGCCGCCAAAGCCAGCCAGAAAGGTCGGCGGCAAAATCGAACCCGACGTTCAGAAAATGAAGTGGATGACGACGAGGCTGCACAGGCTGCTGCCATAAAACAAATTGAGCTTGAGCAGGTGGTCAAGGCGCGCCCGGTGCCCGTTCGCTATGAGCCGCGGGATATCGATTTCTCTACACTCCAGAAAACTTGGCCCTCACTGCCAACGGACGCAAATGCCCGCTCTGCCGCCATTCTCGAGAAGCTGTCGAGTCTGAGCGGCCGCTTTGCAAACGGGTACATCCCCCCTCATGAGCTGGGCCGCCGTCTCTGGAAGGGACAAAGTGTCTTGTTCGAGAGCGAGGCTGAAAAGGCGGAGGCGCTAGAGGAAGTCAAGCGTTTAGCCCAAGCACAAGCGGACAAGATGTCTCAGCGCAAGGGAGAGCCCGTCGAGCCTCGTGACGTCAAGTTCAAGGCCGTCAGTGCGGATGACACGAAGACGTTGCTGGAGACCATCGCGCAAGGAAAATATCCCGCTTTGGAGGCCGACAAGGACCAGCCGGCTGTCATGGGTGACGTGCTGAGGAATCTCCGGAACAATGCGACTTACCAAACGGCTGGTAAACGGCCCCAGTTCCTAGCCAAGGTTGAGTCCCTACTTGCCTCCAGTCGCGTCAAGCGCACCTAGTGCTAGCTCGGTTGGCTTCGCATTAGGTCGTGCTTTGTGTATTATATGGATCGAATGTTTTGAATTTGGTTTCTCTCACTGGGCGCTTGTTTTTTGGGGGGGTTGGGGGGCGCCCTCTGCCTCCCTGTTCCTCTGTATCTAAATTTACAATGTGACTATATTACAAAATGTGGTGGCTGCCCTTTTTTTTATGCCTGTTCCAAGGTCTTTTTGGCTGTGTCAAAGAGCTCCTTGACGTCTTTTTGGCCCTTCTCCGTAGCTTTCTCCATTTGATCATGAGCCTTGCGCACGTCGTCGGGAAGGGCGAGCTTCTTTTTCTGCATGTCTTGAAGACGCTTGTGCATGGCGCCTCGGGAGTCCCGGACGGTACTCGCAGCCTTTTCAAACGCCTGCTTGGCCGCTTGGACGTTCTTGTCCCGGGACTCCTTGGTTGGCGGGGGAATAGGGATATTCAGTTGAAGAGCGTTATGAGGATCGGGCTGGGGAGTCAAGGACAAATTTGAGGAGACAATTGCCGAAGTAACGGGCTTGATGTGCTGGAAAATGGTAGATACCTTGTTAGAATCATGGTAATAGCAGAGGACAAAACCGAATCACACGGGAGACTTACCTCTTCTTCGGCCGCCAGGATGGTTACCATTCTCCCTCCCTTGGGTACCACTTGGGCCAAGTCTCCCAATCGGACAGAATCATGGCTATCCTTGCTCAGCTGAACCTTCAGGCCCTCAAGAGTCGTGGTATTGAATCGCCCGCCTGCACGAAGCTTTGACAGGTCATCTTTCAATCGCGAGACGGCGGTCGATATGCCTGAGTGGAGAGGGGACAGATCAAAGGGATCCTCCAAAGGTGTAGCAGCGTTGGACTCCGCGTCGGAGGTCTGGCTCTTCTTCGCTGCCTTGTCTTTCTTCTTGTATAGCGCGGGCGAGTTGGCGAAGTTGCGACTTTGTGGAAAAGTCACGCTGAGGCCACATGGGACAGACAATCGCGGACTCCGAGACAGGGGATGGCATTGGAGAAGGGCACGCAATGGCAATCGAGGCACGAGACGGTGCATAGTGCGGAGCAAGAGAGCTGAGGGGTGGAGGGTGGAGGGTGGAGGGTGGAGGAGATAAAAGGTCTGTTTGAGGAAGTTCTAGGCCGGGGAAGCGGCGGAGATGAGACCGTACAGGTAGTTAGTTGGAGCGGTCCGATGACGCCTGCCTGCCTGCCTCGCCCTGTCCGCCCTCCCTCTGGTCACCTTGCTCCCCACGATCAACGAGCTGCCTCTTGGTTGATAATATATCCCGTAAGGGCCAAATGTGGATACTTTGGCAGAGTATCTATCTACCCACACACCCAATTGTCTACGGAGTGGTAGCGGAAACGTCACGGAGGACAGAGGTCGTCACACATTAAATTTGCAACGTCGATCTTCGTCTACATAAAAAGGCATACTTTTTAACATAAGGAAAAATAAACTGCGCCCAAGTTTGCCCGGTTTCAATCACAAAACAAAACACATAAGACCGAACGCTGCCCTCAAGATCTATATGGCGCAGACATTCGCCGGATACCGTCCGGGAATGGGGTAAGCGTTGGTCATCCTTATGTTCATCTCTCTCTTTAGCGGGTGGCCATGGCCTTGGTGATGAGGCGCTTGAGCGCCAGCTCCTTCTTCTTCAGGTCCTCGGGGGTGGAGTCCTCAATCTCGAGCTGGGCCATGGCGTCGCTGAGAGCGGACTCGATCTTCTCCTTGTTACCACGCTTGAGCTTCAGCGACATGGAGGGGTCGGAGACGATCTCCTCGACACGGGAGATGTAGGACTCCAGCTGCTGGCGGGACTCGAACTTCTTGGTGAACTCCTCGTCGCTAGACTTGAACTTGGCAGCGTCTGAAGCAGCGAAAGTTAGCATTGTGACCAGAACTGTGTATACTGGGTGTGGATTTTGGGAACTTACCCTCAACCATCTGATCGATCTCGGTGCTGGAAAGCTTGCCGACGGCGTTGGAAATGGTGATGTTGGCACTGCGGCCGGAGGTCTTCTCAGTGGCAGTGACCTTCAGGATACCGTTGACGTCGACCTCGAAGACACACTCCAGAGCGGCCTCACCGGCGCGCATGGGGGGAAGGGGAGCCAGAGTGAACTCGCCCAGGGAGGTGTTGTCAGCACAGTTGGTACGCTCACCCTGGTAGACGGGGAACTGGACGGTGGACTGGTTGTCGACGACAGTGGTGAAGGTACGCTTCTTGATGGTAGGGACAGTCTGGCCACGGTTGACAACCGGGGCGAAGATGTTACCCTCCATGGCAACACCAAGGGAGAGGGGAACGACATCGAGCAGGAGCAGATCCTGGGTCTCGGCAGAGGTGGCCTTGCCGGAGAGGATACCGGCCTGGACGGCAGCACCGTAGGCAACAGCCTCGTCAGGGTTGATGCTCTATAACGAAAGGATTAGCCACTGATACTTGTCACAAGATCTGGAAGTAGATCTTACCTTCTCGAGCTTCTTGCCGTCGAAGAAGTCGCTCAGCAGCTTCTGAATGCGGGGGATACGGGTAGAACCACCGACAAGGACGATCTCGTCAACCTTAGACTTCTCCATGCCGGAGTCCTTGAGGACCTGCTGGACGGGCTCAAGAGTGCCAGAGAAGGACTTGGCGTTCAGGTCCTCGAAACGGGCACGGGTGATGGAGGAGTTGAAGTCCTCACCATCGAAGAGGGAGTCAATCTCGACGGTAGTCTGGGTGGCGTTGGACAGAGTACGCTTAGCACGCTCGCAAGCAGTGCGCAGGCGACGAAGGGCACGGGCATCACCAGAGAGATCCTTGCCAGTCTTGCGCTGGAACTCCTTCTTGAAGTGGTCCAGCAGGTTGGTGTCAAAGTCCTGACCACCAAGGTGAGTATCACCAGCGGTAGCCTTGACGGTGAAGACACCACCCTGGATGTTAAGCAGAGACACATCGAAAGTACCACCACCCAGATCGTAGATCAGGACATTGCGCTCCTTGTCGGACTTGCCAGCGCCCAGACCGTAGGCGATGGCGGCGGCAGTAGGCTCGTTGATGATACGGAGGACGTTCAGGCCGGCAATAGCACCGGCGTCCTTGGTAGCCTGACGCTGGTTGTCGTTGAAGTAGGCGGGCACGGTGATAACGGCCTTCTCCACCTTCTTGCCGAGCTTGGTTTCGGCAACCTCCTTCATCTATTTCTAGGTATTAGAACCTCGGATTTTTTCCCCATTTTCTCACGTTTTGATATGAATGGATTCCGACTCACCTTCATGAGGACCATGGAGGAGATCTCCTGGGGAGTGAAGGTCTTGACCTCACCGAGGTAATCAACCTCGACAGCGGGGGCAGTGCCCTGCGCGACGACCTTGAAGGGCCACGACTCAACATCCTTCTTGACGATGGGGTCGTCGAAGCGGCGACCGATGAGACGCCTTTTGAGTATGCCAGTCAGAGCCAGTCCCGTAAAATGGAGTGGTGGTGTCGCGAGAGCGTTTAAAATGGTGCGATGGGCAATAATGGAGAGCATGGGGTGCTCAAGGGGTGTCGAAACTCACTTAATGTCGAAGACGGTGTTCTTCGGGTTCATGGCGGCCTGGTTCTTGGCGGCCTCACCGATCAGGCGCTCCTTGTCGGTGAAGGAGACAAAGGAGGGGGTAGTGTAGCTACCCTGGTCGTTGGCAACTGCGTGTTTGGTTAGCCTGTAGCATGAATATCGACTCTTTGAGTAAAACGCACTGATCTCAACGTTGGTGCCCTCATAGTTGGCAACGCAAGAGTAGGTGGTACCTAGACAAGGAGAATAATGTCAGCAACATGTCTTCGAAAATCAATTGGCGTCAACCTTACCAAGATCGATACCGATCGCCCCGTCGTAAACCGGAAGGTCCGCCATTGTGAAAGTTGGTGGTAAAATTGGAGAGTGGGAAAGGGTTGAAAGGAGGGGTTTTGCCGGGACGAAATTTTTTTATAAACGCAATGCCACACATGGGAGGGCAGAAAATTTTGCGGGAGCGGTGAGTCACGTGCTACTGGAGGTTCCCGGGGATCGAGTAAGTTGAGTTTAGTGAAGTTCGGTAGTGCCGAACTGTACGCAATACGAAAGAGTGGTCGTGCTTCTTTAGGGAGAACTGACCTCCACGACACTCGCAACCTGCTACGATCCGGCCAGTGAGTTCACTAGATCCTCGAAGGTGGCAAAATCGCTACATGGTTTCCGGCTACGAATACATACAATCAAATCGACACACACAGAGAGAGAGGAAGAGAGGAAGAGAGGAAGCAAGGAAAAAAACAAACAGAAAAAAAAGAAAAAAAAAAAAAAAAAAGCAGTGAAATCGAGATGGGTTTGATCTTCCTAATAATCTTAACCCTTCGCCCTTGGGATGGCATGATCGCGCTGCCTCCCTTGTCGACAGCTTCTGATTGGACTTGATCACCGCAGCAGGTTAAAGAAAATGGTCACTCGCTCGTAGTCGATCTCGGACCCCGGGGGTCCAGACTTCGGAACACCTCTTGCTGGCCCAGCAATGGCTTCCAGGTCGACCTTGGTGGTCCCCGGATGAAGTGGGATATCATACGCCAGCGCAGATGTATCGCCCGTTGAGTGAAGCCGTTGCAAGCCCACGAGAGCGACAATCTTGACCTGCCTCTTTGCAGTGCCGGCGACCAACGTCGGCCTGACCGTCAGCAAATGATGTGATGCGGGAAGGTTGATCGTGATGGACTGCTGTGAAAGCGTGGGTGAAGGGGGAATGTCGAGGCGCAAATCATGTTGTAAAGAAAGGGAAGGGTGGGTGAGGATTTGCACGTTGCGGATCAGGGCTGAGCTGGCATCTACGCTGCCGTTAGCGGACTCTCGGTCTCTCTTTCCCCTGTCAATCACATGTAGGGCAGTTTAGCGAAGCTTTCTTACCCTGACCTGGACGCCTCCAGAGCGAATCCAACGGTGATGCGGAGATAGATTGCTGAATAGATGCTATGTGGTGTAGCGAAGGGTCAGCCACAACCCGGCGGTCAGGGTCGCTCATCTCGTGGTGCAGCTTACCATCAGTGGCCTCCAGTGGGACCCCGTGCAGACCGTTCAAAGTTCGTGTCTCGGGAGGTTGCGATGCCGCCCCAGAGGCTTCGTGTTTTATCACAGGGGGCCCATCTCTTCCACCCGCAGGCCCATTCTGGGGCTGCTCCAAGGCGGACGGGGTGGTGGCCACACTGGACCGGCCGGGGCTTACAACGTGTCCCCGCAGAGATCTAGTTCGAGGAGAAGTCCGGTGTGCATCAATCTCCTGGCTCGCCGATCCTGTTCGGACCAGCTCTTGCTGTCGTTTCAAAGATTCGTTATCGACGGTGACACCGGATGGTGGCCCGTCATCCTTGGACGGGGGCTCGGAGGTCTGCCCAGCCATCTTCAGTGTTAACCTTTGCGCCCTGGGTTCCGGATTCCTTGCGCCCATTTTCAACTTGATGCGAGGCATTTCGGGGTGGCCATCTACCTGAGTGGGATCCGGAACATGCTTCTTTGCTTCCGCCACACGTCGCTTGAAATAATCCTGCTATGGAGTTAGCGCCTTTATGCCAAGACAGTCGTTTAGTAGGAAGAGAAAGAGCTTGCCTCCAGGACCCCTGCGAGCATCGAGATCTCGCTGCCATCCTCGTTGTACTCCCTCGCATTTTGCCAAATATACGCGACTTCTTCTTCGAAGGATTGCCATGTGGAAAACGCGGTTGATTTGGAGGGCTTTTTGCGGCTGTCAGTGCCGCGGACCTGCTTTTGGATTGTCCGCAGCGATACAGGGTGCTGAATGACCTCATAGTAGTCCCGGTAAAGGTTGCGATCGGGCTTCCCAATGAATGGATACGCGACTTCTTCGCCACTGGATACACCGTTAGTCTCCTCCCGGAGTAGCTGCAGACGGAAAGGGGAAAGGGGGAAAGGGAGGGAAGGGTGCCAAAGCTCACTCAGAGTCCTTTAACCGTGTCAATTCTGTCATGATCTTGTCTTGCGCGGTCTGGAGATCATCGCCCTCGAAGTCTGCCTCCGTCTCCTCGTCTTCTTCTTGAGCGATGGAGCTTCCCTCTGCTTGGGCCTCATCTGCGGGGTCGGAGTCTTCTTGGGACGGCGTTTGGTTGGAGTCTTCGGGGTCCACGGGGCTGTCTTCCTAATGAGATGCGCATGGGCATTAGCGGCGCGATTCACAATCACCACTGAGCGTCACGATTGGAGCTTGTCGCGGAGCTCCGTTGGCCGCGGGATTTGGGATCAGGGAGTTGTGCGACAAGTAAGGAATATGCTTCAGTCGGCACGAGTGTATCGAGTCCCACTCGGACGAACTGGCCCCTCGTGGAGGTCGGGGGGGATTGCGAGAAGAGTACGGCGACTTACAGACACCTTCCGGCGCTTTTGGCCGCGGACCCTCACATCTGGCGAAGCAGCCGTCCCACGCCGTTTGGTGCTCATCTCGGATTACGGGCAGTGATTTCAAATCGAGTCACAATGGCCAGGAGGAGAAAGGCCCACGGCTAAAATGAGGGTAAAGAATTACAAGAGTTCATACCTCGACGTGTGCAGACAGACGCGCTGCGACCATCCGAGTGGAGACCCGCCGCCTTAGGTAAGTGGTATGGTGACAGGTCTTATGAGGTATTTTACGGGATACCGTACGGACCCTACACCAATACTGTAGTGGAGGGGTTCGGCGGAAGAGGGAGGAATGGTACAGTATTATAACTTTTCACGGATTACGGTACCTTATCTACGTACAATACAGTAACTTCGTGGTACTGATGTACAGTATGTCCATGTATGTCGAGTACCTACGCACGATACTGTAGTCGCAAAAAGGACGTTATAGTACCCAGTGTAGGCACTTTGGGGGTAGACTATCAGTCAAGTCAGGTACACTGGAAAAATATCGACCGATACTCACCCATCCAGATCCCGGGTGCCTGGCCCCGAATAGGTGCCTATAATTGCTATGGTTAACTCGAAAGTTATAAGTTAAGTTATCCACATCTGATGCACACCTGATTCACACCTGTCCCCTCAGGCATCCAACCTCCCCTCTGTTTTCCGCGTCCCGCAAACCAACCCGATCTCTGGCAAAACACGGCCCTGAACCACCCTGTCTCTTTTCTTCTCCCCCCTCCTCCAACCGCACTTGGGGTCTTGCGCCAATTCCCCTCCCCTTTCATTCGCTTCTACTAGTGATCCCTCAGTTAGTTGCAAGATGATCTTTCCTCAAACCTGCTCCACAACACGCCAAACTGACCAGCCACGTGCGAAACAGATTCCGGATCCCGCTTTTTTTGTCCGCAGCCTCCCCTTTACCTCTCCCAATGGATATCGACCCCAACAGGAGGAACAAGAAGCCCCGTCTCCTATTGGAGTCGGAGCGTGAGCGCCTGGATGAATTCATTGACTCAATCCACTACTCCGCACGGTATGTGAGCGACTGGTACCCCGCGGCTGGCCGTGGATGTTTCACTAATTCGAAGTAGATACTCGGACGACAAGTTCGAATACCGCCACGTGCAGCTGCCGAAGAACATGCTTAAAAAAATCCCCACAGACTACTTCGACAGCTCCAAGGGGACATTGAAGCTGTTGTGGGAGGAGGAATGGCGTGCGTTGGGTATTACACAGGTGCGTTTGGGACCTTCCACTTCGATCCGGGGCTGGCTAACATGCAAACGCCAGAGTTTGGGTTGGGAACACTACGAGGTACACGAGCCTGAGCCTCATATCCTCCTTTTCAAGTCGGTATCACCCTTTTAGTTCTCCCAGTTTGCTCCGCTAACCCGTGCGCAGACGACCTCTGAACTACCAGCCCCCACTGGCGCAATAGACTCGTGATGAATTGGTGGTGCTGCGTTTGGAATTTCCCGATTTCTCCCTTCCTTCCCCGTTCCTCAGCAAGACATAACCGTGGTGGGGGGAGGTTTTTTTTTCCTTTTTCTTTACCACACGGACATGCGTTCGCAGCATGTTCACTAGGGTCCACAGCAGCTTCGTAATGGAAGTTCTGGAATGAGATATGATTTGTTTTTCCCTTCCCTTCACCTACCCCAGGACTACCTCGGTTCAGACTCTATATACGCGCACAAATGGAACCTAGCGTGTCATAGATGCGCCCCTCCCCTCGATGTCCCTGACCATCAGACCACATTCTTCGCCAGCCACTCTCCCCATTGGGCGGCTGTGAAGCTACTGCTGATCCCACGCTCTTCCACCCCCTGGGAGAGATGTCAGTGTGTTGGACTTGCTTCCTGTGGGCGGGCATTCTCACGTTGAAGAAGACGGTTGGCGAGACGTGAACCCCAATAACTCGATCTGCCTGCATGATGTTAAGAGGGACCCTAAGCTGTGGGCGAAATCGGGTAGCCCTACCTTGATCATCCACTTGATGTCATTGGTCACCTGGTTTCCTACATTCAACTGGCCGGAACTGTCGCTTGTTTCCGGGATCAGAAGCAGAGCCAGGACCTTCTGTTCATCCACCCCAACAGACCCTGCGATCTTTGCCAGGCGCTCATATGTTTTGTTACGTGTTTCGTTTACCACGCTCACATCGAAGAAATCCGCCTGACGCTGGAACAAGGCTGCACTGAAGTCCCAGAATTTCTCTGGGGCCAGTCGAAGGACCGCTGCACCAGCTTCGTGGGTGAGGGTAGATGACGGGTGCCATGGCTGGATATGCTGCCGGAAAATTACTTGGAGCCGAGAGCTGTACTGCTCCGCAATCAGGGGACACGTCGTATAGAAGGTATTGAACATCTTAGCAGAGAACTGGAAATGTACTCAGTCGCAGCCATCGTTGTATCAAGGCATCTTACCTACGGGGCACACGTAGTCAAGGTCTGGAAACGGTTAGCTCTCGGACTTCCAGTACAGACCGACGATGCGCGCGTACACAGTTCAAGGGTATGCTGCGTCTCCTGTGGAGTCCCCGCGGAGAGCTTGAGGCCTGCATATTTGGGAGGAACCGACATGACGCCGGGTTGCGGAAGAAGTGTCGGGAGGGTGTTACAGTAGTAAGGAGACGAACGGGAAGCAGGAGGTGGAGAAGAAGAAGAAGAAGAAGAAGAAGAAGAGGAAGAAGAGGAAGAAGAGGAAGAAGAGCACTTGCGTCACTGGTCCGTTACTACCCCGCCACCTCCGGCTCTTCTATTCCCGCCGCACTCCATTACTCATTCCATACTTCAATCGTGGGTACGGAGACAGGCCAACTGAATGGGCTCCGAATGAACCAAGTACTCGTTGTAGGGCTTGTATTTTGTTTACCTTTTTTTTTGTTCTCCTCGACCGAATCTCTATAGATCGCTCAAGGAGGCTTACTGGTCTGGCACGGGTGTATTATTTCCAACCCATTGCCTTTCATAATCCAGATCTGAATTAGCCCCAGGATCCGCTAGCTATCAAGACATTCATTCATATTTCAACAGCCCTTTAGTGTGAAAGGTAGATGCTGGCCCAGTACTCCCAAATGCAGTGGATATCCTCCGCGAGCGGGGTCATTCGGGGCAACTGCCCCGATGATGTAAGCTTGGTGATTGGGTGTCATGTGATCGGTCCATAGGGCCGGGCAGCGGCCCAAATCAGATTCAACATGAACCCATTCGCTTCTGCAACTCCGCGCGTGCAATTAAGGCTGGGAATATTCTTCGGGGATTTTCTCAATGCTCTGGCTCAGGCAGCTAATTCGAAGCCAACCCCGTTTTGCTCTCTTTCATATTGGCCCTCGCCAAACCTCCACACCTCCAGCAATACGGCATGTGAGATTCAGACGGCCCTGGCTAAGGTGAGTGTTGTAGTGTGGCTGTTTCAATGATCCACAATGGAAATACTAACTCGTGGCTCTTGTTTGATTTTGGAAGGTCTTTCCTGGGCAAGTTTCTCTTATACGGCACCGCATTCCACCTATGGAGCTCTTTCGTGTTGGTTCGATTTGACGACGACGATACCCAGGACGATGATCCAGCCCCCAAGGCACGCCTGGAAGACACCGGCTTGCACCGTGCATCTGGTGGGGACAAACAGTTGACGGAAGGGGCACTGGAAGAAGACGAGCCCGTGTTCATTCCGCTAACGTGGTCTCGGTTGCAAGAGGGAGATCTGTATACTGCTTCAGATCCAGAATGGCAGGAGTTTGTCAAAATAGCGAAGGATCGAAAAAAACTGCAGAATCTGCGAGGTCAGTTGCGATAGGGCTATCTCGTTGTCCGGGTGGGTGGATTCCTATTGACAAGTATAGATGAACTGGCTACCATCGTCCTGGAGAGTGCGTCAGATCGCATGTCACAGATATTGGGAAGCCCCCTTTCTTTGACCGGCTTCTGGCTTGTCCATCAGTTTCCACCTCGCGCCCCTCCGGGATATTTACGTTCTGGGTATGCGTCTCTCTCAACCCCGTACGGCTCACCTACTGACGTGGCCGCAAATAGTCTTGAAATCGCAGATGATGGTGTGTCCTGGGTGACTAGACCATTGGATCCCGATGTCGGGGATCGACTGCAAACGTTTATGAAGCCGGTCCATGTGGCCCTTGCGATCAAGGACGCGTATGTGATCCTGATCAAAAGACAATGGGCCCGACTTCGAGACCCTAATACCCAGCCGGTCGATGCCCTGGAACTGTTGAGCGGCAGTTATATTTTGTCGGGGAATGAGAAGCTCAACCCCATCAGCCCCCGCCAACAACCCAAATTACCACCCCCACTATCCGACGGGCCCCCGGAGAACATTTTACCCGACGACGATCCTGAACTCCATCCGTCTTCTATCATATCGTCGTTGCAGCGTCTTCCCTTGCCTGATCTCGGACCGGGCTCGGATCTACATCTGGCCTCTGTAGCGTTCAAGTTGCGATTGAACGAGTACCGGGTGCGCAGTCCACGGACCCCGCGTCGAGGGACTTTCTTTGTATCTGGTCCTGTGGGCCTAAAGGGCCCGAACGGGTTCTGCCGGTTTGAAGTGTGCGGCGAATATGACCCCGTGAAGTCAGCGTGGCGAACGGTCGAGATGAAATTGAAGGATATTAATCCTAGGAGGCAGAAGGCACTTGGGGGTCAGTGAGATCAGGCTTGTTCGGCTGGGCCAGACGCCTAGATCCTTCACTGTCATTGAAATAACCTGTGGATGGTTGAACCGTTTTTGAACAAGCGATTCACAAGCTCACCATACCATGTATACTTATACTCTTATACTTGATCACAATCACAATCACAACGTCGGCCGCTCAAAAGCATAGCAGACAATAGACGGTCTAAGAGTGTTGTAGCTCTGTCCAATAAAGCCACCTATTCAACGTCCAGACTAACCCTATAACTATATCACCCCTCATGGGTCAGTTGTAAGTGTAAGTAGATTGGGTTCCACCGCGGGCTCTGCCACACCAGTGCTTAGCTAAGCACCGACGGGCGGTCGAGGTGTCCCAACGGGGAGACAGTTGAGCTTCGTCACTTTCCCAAACCACTCACCAAGGCAACATCCCGAGCTACTCCAAGGAAAGGCCCTCGCGTGGCCGGCACAGAATCAGCTGTGATTGTCTGACCTGAAACTCCCCCGAACCCATTGACCGAAATGCGCTGGGTCTCCAAGCTCCTGGCCCTAGCGGCGACGGGTGCATTGGGGACACATGCCTTGGAGGCCTCGATATTCACGTTCCCTTCGGGCAACCAGGAAGACCGAGACACCATCTCGGTACACCAGACCGTATCAGAAGATGCTGCTCGGCTTATTCTCGAGCTTCGCATCAAGCCCTCTTTGGGGTCGGTCCTTGGGAAGGTTGAAACAGACATCGTGGATCGCATCAACGAGTTTTCTGGCACCCAACACTCTCTTTTCGGAGGATCCAGCGACCATGAAATACCAAGCAGGAGTATCATAATTATTGAAGGAGTCGATGAGGCTGTTGGTACGTTGCGTTGAAGGATGCGCAGGATGGGTTGTCAGCTAATGGCCTTCTTTCCTTTCCTTTGGACAGGTACAAATATGCGAAAAGGGCAAGTGCAAAGCATTTTCGTTCCTCATGCGTCGTCAGATCTGGTTGATGATTCACTGGGGTCTTTTCTCGGCCATGGTGACGTGAAGAAACGCTGCGCATACGATCAAGGTGCTGTGACGTCGGAGACGGACTATGTTCAGGTATCAAGGACTGCCACTGGTGTCTTGGAAGCATTACGCTAATTTGTGACGATGCTATAGTCTGCGAAAGAATGCATCTCCCAAGACCCAGTTTTCTCCCACGGACAGACGCTATTCAGCCGTGACTTTCTTAACCTGGTCGACTCGGTGGAAATCTGGTCAAGCAAGGACCAAACATCAACCGTCGCACGGCTATCGCTCAAGGTATGTCATCCATGAACATCCTAGCAGCAGCAACACCCCTCTCATTCCATGTTCAGACCAGATCCGATGATGGCGCGCTCGTAGTCCAGTCCATCAAGTCTCTCTTCCACGATTTGGACAAACTGGCTTCGTCGGAAAGCCGGGATATCACCGCTTTTTTGCTGCCTAATTCCGATGCCTCGCGAGACATTTCGCGAATCGCCCAGCGAGACACGTCCACTTGGTCTCGATCACCCGCGTCTTCATCTGATGCCCAGGGCACGCTGCGAAAGTCTGCACAGGGCCTAGCTATGTCCTCGGTGCTTGCACCTGTTTGCCATGCCTCCAACTCGTCTTGTTCCGATGCAACCAACAACTGTTCTGGGCATGGCCATTGCTATCTCAAATCCGGATCTGGTGTTGAAGGTACTACGGATAACTGCTATGCGTGCCGTTGCCAAACTACTGTGCGCACCAAAAGCGACGGCTCTACACAGAAAATCTACTGGGGTGGTCCGGCGTGCCAGAAGGAGGACATCAGCTCGCCCTTCTTCCTGATCGCTGGCGTGAGCGTTTTGGCCATCGTCTTGGCGGGCAGCGCCGTTGGGATGCTTTTCAGCATGGGGCAAGAAGAACTCCCGAGTGTGATCGGTGCAGGGGTCGGGGGTTCGAAAGCACAGATGTAAGACCCGAGGTTCTCGGGAGGGTCTTCAGTCATGTTAAATTTTGGGGTACATTTGCTTGATATTTTGCACACATCCATCTACTTCCTCAGCCAGAAAAGATCTCGGTATTATGCGTTTCATCTATGCTCGAGCGGTCCATGGACACCAAAGGTGTCCTCCTAGCTTAAGTCTCCGGTCATTCAAAATCGGTTAGATTTCTAGCGTCATAGATGGGGGCGGTTGGGTGTTGATGGCAATGGGTGTTCATTCAGCTTAGATAGTCAAACAAGAACGAGGTAGCCATCCGTACCCATACAAATTCGGACCGCGGAGATGGACCGACCGCTAGATGTAATTACTCGGAATCATGCCCATCCTTTGCTCATCCTTTGCTCATAACTAGGGAGGGGGGAGCCGGGGGGGGGGGGGTGGAAAAGAGAAAAGGGAGCGTGTCGTGTTCATATGGGACCAAAGAAGAGAGAAAAGATATTAAGCCGGGGCCCGGCGCCTTGGGAAGATCGTGACTCCCAAGACGCCGAGATCCAAACCACAGAAACAATAAATTACAGAATAGAGCCATTAACAAGGAAAGAGCCGCGCTGAACGAACATTCCAGATGTTGATGCAGCATGCAAAAGGTTTTCCGGGGATATCAAGGATCGTAGCCAAGGGGTGTGCGGCAGGAGGGCTCAAGTGCCCGCTTCGAGTTGGCCAGGCGTGCGGCGTTGGCCGGCGACCGTATTAATGGGCGATCCATCGGTTTCGGACGATGGTTCATAAGCTGCTCCCGTGGTGGAAGTCCGAGATGAAAGGCCTCGTAGACGCGCTGGCAGCAATCGTGATAAGCCCTCCCGGGGCAACGATTCATTCGGCTCTTGCGATTCGCCATGAGGCTGTCTTGAGCGCCCTCCCATTCGAAGAGGTCGCGTTTGTGGCTCTGGGGGTGTTGATTGGAACAAGCGTCCAGAGAAGACCATTTGCACTCGGAAAGGATTTGCGTGCGCAGCACGGGGGGGCCTGGTGAGACCATCGGGGCGGATCGATGTCGTATGACGCCCTTGCCGATCCGAGGCCGACGGCCCCTCGACTGCCTGCGAGCGGGGCTTGGGAACATAGTAGTCGGCTTTGCACAAAGGACAGCAAGCCCTTCGACTTGTCAACCAAGGGTCGACACACGAGGCGTGGAAAGCATGTCCACAGGTCAGTCCACGGATGTCATCATCGTCTTCGATGATATCCAAGCAAATTGCACAAGAGTCGCCGGGATTCGGAAGTAATTCTGCAGGAACGGCTTTACGAATCTGATCGCCATCCTCTTCATCTTCTTCCAAATCGAGGTTCTCATTCATCAAAGAATGTTGCCACTTCTCTTCAGTCGTTTTTGTACCAGATTCTTGATTTGTAGACGGGGCACTCGTGCCCATGGAAGTCTGTTCTTTCGTAGACCGTAACGCAGGTTCGACTTGCGCATCACGGGATGGTTCAGGCGGATTGGTCGATACCATCGGGCCGTCCTCCAATGCGGGCGCAATCGCAGCTGTAGAACCGCCGGTTGGCGCAGAGAAAACACCGCCATCATCCTTCAGACTCTGTGGTCTGCTGTTGGGGGCCGTGATGCCTCCTTCGGTTGGGAGGCCTTGATTAGCACGAGACGACCTCCACACTTTATATTTCACTAGTGGGAATCGCTCGTTGACTTCATCCATGCTCATCAACTTCTTTTCTCGTCGTCTCCGATGCGCACGAGGCATGGCAACTAAGTCTATTGGCTCGCCAGTCTCCTCGTTGCGCAACTGGCGATTCCGTTGATTGTAGCGGAAGCAATACTTGACCCCAACAATGATCCTGTGTCGCCGAATGAGACTTGAGCATACAGGCTAACGCGTGGGATAAGGAGAGAACATACCAGAGATTAGTGAAGACGACGCCAAATCCCAATGCGACAAAAAAAAGAAGAGGGGAACTAGTCGCATTTGAGCCGGAGGAGCCATCACCACTACTAGTCGTAGTTGCGGCACTGCTGGCCGCCGTGGTCGTAGACGGAGCCATGTCGCCAAGAGCGCAAAATTTGTTCAAGAGGTTCGCAAGGATACAAAATATCAGGTTCCCTTTTGCAGTCGGATTCCAGTATCGCCCGAGTTGACCCGGCCGTCAGTCATTCCTTTTGGACGGGGGACACAGGAGGGATATAAGCCAAACAGGGGGGATGGCTACTCGCGGAGGCGTCAAAAGCAGCCGGGGTGAGAATGATGAGCCGCCGCTCAGAATTCAGAGTGCAATGAAATGCATGCAGTTGGCGGTTGACCACTTTGGTTCAGTCAAAGATAGCCCGGTCGGTCATGGATCGACGGAGCAGGGAGACCCACAGCAGGCTTTCGGTCGGCGATGTCGAGTCTTGAATTCGAGGGACAGAAAAAGTCCAGCTCCTAGCACCAGGTCATACCATCTATTCTGGGGGACCCAAAAAGGATGATGAGTAACCAAGCAGGCTATGTGGGAGGGAAAGCAGGAGGGTAAGAGGGGAGGCATGAGAGGGATGCATGCGGATTTCGGGGGGCAGGCGGACACCTGAAGACACCTGAGGCTGTCAGGTCACGGGAGCTGCATCAACAGCCGCTCGTGGCCCATCGCATTGACAGTATGGCCATTTCTCTTCCTTCGGCTTACTTTGGTGACTTGACCCTCGGTATTTGTTTGTCTTTGTTTGTCTTTGGTTCTTCAAATATTCTCCAGAGGGGACTCAGCAATAAGAAAAAGCAAATATAACGCAATTGAAAGAGAAGGAAGAGCCCCCACACACACACACACAGAGAGAGAGAGAGAGAGGAGAAATTCGAGAAGCCTCACGCAAGCCATACAGCGGTGCACAGACAATAGAACCCTTCTTCAAGGCATCAATCACCTTACGGCTTGCTGCCAGTCCAATTTAGCCACCATCACCACCTCCGCCTCCAGCATATTTGACCTTCATCATGGCTGAATCTGCCACTCGACCCATTGAACCTACCAATCCGGTAGTCTTCTTTGACATTGCCCTCGCCGGTGAGCTAAATATTCACCTTTTTCTTTTTCTTTTCCTACTTCTCTTTTGCAACCATGGAATCTCCTCCATGGACGAGGAGACTTCTCTCAAACACACGCTGAACAAAGACCGCCAGGTGAGGCTCTTGGACGGGTCAAAATGGAGCTCTTCGCCCATGCTACTCCAAAGACGGCAGAGAACTTTCGGCAATTCTGCACTGGCGAGAGCAAAAACTCCAAAGGGCAGCCCCAGGGCTACAAGGGTAGCAAATTCCACCGGGTGGTATGTGTCGGAGCCCCCAATTGTATTGGCAAGGGCCGGGAACCCTGACTTTACTTGGTTCAGATCAAAGATTTCATGATTCAAGGCGGCGATTTCGTCAATGGTGACGGCAGCGGGAGCTGCACCATTTACGGCACGCCCAAGTTTGCAGACGAGAGTTTTGCGCTGCCACACGATCGTCCAGGGCTTCTGAGTATGGCGGTAGGTCCTATTCCCCCTCGTCGAACAGGCTCCTCAATCCAGGACTCTGTCTTTCTTCTCCTTCGTTCTCTTCGTCTGCTATTCGGAGTGTCCTACTAAACTGCTCAACCAGAATTCGGGCCCAAACACCAATGGTTGTCAGTTCTTCATTACGACCACCGCGACACCTTTTTTGAACAACAAACACGTTGTATTCGGTCAAGTCATTGATGGCATGGATGTAGTTCGCATGATCGAGCATACTCGGACCACTCGAGATAAGCCGAACCAGGATGTAACGATTGTGCAGTGCGGAGAGATGTAAGGATATCTGTGTCGTCTGTTCTTGCAAGATCCTTCTTGAGCCAACAATGCGAGAGACCCTAGTCTGGTTCTGATATAAGGACGGGATGGGTCTTCGTCTACTCGCAGCAAACTACAGGGAAGATGATTTGTGGAGAATTAGCCGTCACATAGAAGAATTAGACGCCGAAATAAAAGATTTCCAAACAAGTCAATTTCATCTACTAGAAACGATCTCTGTTTTTCCTCCCCCTTTTTGTTCGCCATGTCCCTTCTTGTCTTATGTTCTCTCGCCCTTCACCCCTCGGTATATCACGGTCAATGTAGCCGACAGCAAATCCAGGGAGCAGAGGTTGTGGCCGACTTCTTTTGTTTTGGCAGTGGGTCCCATTTGTAACTCGCATTACGCGCGCGGGGGCCTACAGTTTAAATTTACTCAAGTAGTCCGATGCGAGCGACACAGCTTCGTCGACCTTGTCGGGGTTGGTGCCATTACCGATGGAAGTCGCACCTTTTCCACCGGCTTTGCCTCCAACAGCGTTGGAAACAACGGCGGCCCAGTCATTCGCGGAAGCACCTTGGTCACCAAGCTCCTAAAATGGGATGTTAGATGCACAGCGCAAGATGTGTGGCGTATTGCTGTTGGGTGAAGAAGCCTGATTACTCACCTGGGACACATAGCAGCCGTGTGCAACCCGGGTCTGTTCGGGATCCACTGCCATCACATAAACATTTTTGTTTTGCATCTTCGTCTTAACGTAGTTGATAGATTCGCTGACAGCCTTGGCACTTGTGGGCATCGGGAGCTTAACAACAAATGACGAGGCGTTCTGATTTTCCGCCGCCTCGAAGAAAGACGTGATGGTTTCCACGGCCATCTTAGCTTCCAGCTTCTGCTGGGCTTTCTGGCCATCCAAAACCTGCTTGTTGATCGCGGTAAAACGTGCGCGGAATTTCGCCTTCTGGACCGCAGAGATTACCAGCTGGTTGAGATCAACCTGCACCTGCTTGGCTTCTCGCTCCTTTTCGGGGCCAAGAGGCATAGCGTCCAGCTGGTCAAGGCGGTTCTCAAACTCCTGAGCGATTCGCTGCACTTCATGGGCCTCCTCACCGGTAACAGCAATAATGCGACGAATGCCCTTAGCAATACCACTCTCTTCCAGAATGATCAGATCCTTGATGTCGCCGGTTTTCTGGACATGAGTTCCACCGCAGAACTCAATGCTGACTTCATGCCACCGGGGATCCTTGACATTCCGCAAGATCTCTTCCAATTCAACTCCGACGGACACAACCCGAACAGGATCCGGGTACGTCTCACCGAAGACTGCGCGAACGCCAGAAATTTGCTGCGCGGTAGCAAGAGGCACTTCCTGGGAATAGACAGCGCAGTTCTGTCGGATATATTCGGTGGATTTGGCCTCAATCTTCTGCAGATCGGCATCGGATACTGCAGCCTTGTGGGAAAAGTCGAAGCGCAGCTTCTCAGCCGCCACCAGGGAGCCCTTTTGCTCCACCCCATCTCCGAGGACTTCTCTTAGGGCGAAGTTCAGGATGTGGGTACCCGTATGGTTGTTCCGGATGGGCCATCGACGAAGCTCATCATATTCACAAATCACGGCGTCGCCCACCGACAAAGATCCATACTTCATGAAGCCGGTGTGCAGAACGTACCCAGCATAGACTTGAACATCTCCTACTTCCAGCTCAGCTTGCCCATCAATGACAATCCGGCCCATGTCAGCCTCCTGGCCGCCTTGTTCGGCGTAAAAGTTGGTACAGTCGAGGATGACACCTAGCTGTTCGCCACTGGGAGCATCTTCGGTGCTGTTGTAGAAGGCTTTCCCATGGTAGATGGCCTTGATGTGAGCCGTGATATTGTCTCGTCCGAATTTGGCGGAGTCGTCCGTCTTCTGGACGTCCTCCATCTTCTCTAGCTTGCCGAGATCATGAACATCCAGCTTCACGACATTGGCGGCGGCTTTCTTCTGGCCTTTGCTAGCTTCTTTCGCTTTCAATCGTGCTTCTTCAAACTCGGCGTCGTCGATGCGGAGACCACGCTCTTCAGCCATGATCTGGGTCAGGTCGACCGGGAACCCGAACGTATCGTAAAGCCTCCACACATCTGCACCGTGCAGTCTGTCTGATCCCTTGAGTGTAGCTTGCTGGGCATACTGCTCAAATTGCCGCTCTCCTCGGTCCAGGGTCTTGGCAAAGGATACTTCCTCCTCGTCTAATATCTCCACCACGTCGTGCTGTTTCTTTCTCAGCTCCGGGAACATTTCCCCGAGCTGATCCACGACCGTTGGTACAAGTTTCGAGAAAAAGTTGCCGATGTCGACCTGGAAGTATTTGCGAGCATAACGGGCTCCACGGCGCAACACCCGACGGATCACATAGCCACGACCCTCATTGTTCGGGATCACACCATCGGAGATGGCAAACATCAAGGTCCGCACGTGGTCTGCAACCACGCGATACGCAGTATCGATCCCGTCTCGGTCTTCGGCGCCAAAAAGCCCTCGGTATTCGCGGGCCCCGGTGACGGTTTTAATAGCCTGGAAGATCGGGGTGAAAACGTCCGTGTCATAGTTCGAGGGTTTGTCTTGGAGAACAGACACCAAGCGCTCAAAGCCCATTCCGGTGTCGACGTGTTTGTTGGGTAGCGATCGCAAGGAGCGGTCTGCCTCGCGGTTATATTGGATGAAAACGTTGTTCCAGATCTCGAGCACATTGGGGTCATCCTGGTTGACCAGGTAGGCAGCATTACGACCGCCAATCCGATCATAGTGCACTTCGCTGCAGGGTCCACATGGTCCTTGGTCGCCCATTTCCCAGAAATTGTCCTTCATGTTGCCGGGGAGGATGTGGGACTCGGGTACTCCCACTGATTTCCAAAGTTCCTTGGCCTCGAGATCGGGCTCGAGACCGCCGGCCTCGTTGCCTTCAAAATAGGTCACGTAAAGGCGATCTGGGTCTAGTCCGTAGACCTTCGTGAGGAGTGTCCACGAATACGAAATGGCCTCCTTCTTGAAGTAGTCGCCAAAGCTCCAGTTTCCGAGCATTTCGAAGAAAGTCTAGAGAAAGAGAAGAAAAAGAGAGGATCAGTACTACCGCCATGGGACCAACAGGGGTACTGTTCGAAAGATACTTACGTGGTGGTAGCTATCCTTGCCCACATCGTCGAGGTCCTGTGCGAAGCCAGTCAACAGCTGTAGAGGCGAATCATGCAACAACCCCACTCACGTTGTGTTTACCACCAGCGCGAATACACTATAGAATGAACTGGTCAGTAGGGGAACCGATAAGTGAGGACTCTCGTATGGTAGGGGCTGCCGTGCCTTCTGCGAATTCACGGCGCGCCGCAGCTTTGCAAAGTCTGACTGCGGGTCCACGGTGCCCAGAAAAATGGACTTGTACTGATTCATTCCCGCATTGGTGAAGAGCAGCGTTGGATCCGACAAGGGAGCCACAGGCGACGAGGGGACTATCAAACAAATCGGCCAGTCAGCCTCGAAAAATATTTTTGAAGGGGGGGGTGGCCACGCAGATGGCGGGGGTTGGGTGAACCATTCACCACGCACCGAAAGTATGACCATTCTGCTTGAAATAATCGAGAAAGGTTTCTCTGACCCGCTGCGCAGTCCATTCAGAACTGCCTGTGTCGGAAGAAGCCATCCTGACTGTGAAAGGAAAGGGAGGGGTCGGGGGTCGGAGGGGAAAGAGGCGGGGAGGAGGGTAGAAGGTTCTGGGAGGGCACGCGAGGAGATGACTCAAAGCCAGACGTTCCCCCTTCAGCATCCCAGATACCCGCATCGACCCCGAGAATGACCAGCCAGACCGGGCAGACGGACCAACTCAATCAGATTTCCCGGTTTCCCTTTACCTGACCCTCTGAACACAACGCTTTTCTCTCGTCCTCGGCAAGGAAAAGGGGGGGTCGTGGATGGCGCGGAGTGATGAGAAATCCCACGGCAGAAAGCGCCCCGCGGAGGGTGACCCGGACGGCGCGCAACCTCTAGCGAAGCGGTTTGGGCGCCTGCAAATAGGTAGGGTCTCGGGGTGAAGATGGTTGCGGATGCGAAGATCGAATTAACATTCCTGGCAGATAATGAGGCGCCAATCTCCGAAGCTCGGGCCCAACCTGCTGGGTGTCCCAGCCCAGCCTTTCCGGCTCAGGCCGACGCGATGCTGCTGGACGATACCAAACATACCATCTATATTCACGACTTGGATCGCGAACTCGCAGAGCCCGAAACTCCGGGGGGACTGGTCCTGTTGCCCATCGCGGCGAAGATGATCTCCATGCCTGAATCGGTTCTGTCGGCCTCCTCACCGGGGAAGGAATTGGTCCTGTACACGGAGCCGTCCTCCTTGACACTTCCCAAGGAGCAAGACAGCGTGAGGAAAGCGATCATCGAATCCAGGGCCCGGGCGAGAGCCGGTCGTCATCAATCACCCCCTCCGCCAACCGAATCCTCTCCGTCCTCGAGCAACGGCTTCCCGGTTACTACTGTGACGTATAGTAACGATGACGATCCAATGGATATTGACTTCAATCCCTAGACGCAGCGGAGAGGTACTAAGCTAGGAAGACCGTTTTGAACTTTGACCCTTTCTGGGAATCATGTTGGCGATTTCGGTTTGGGTGTCAACCTAGAAAGATAGAGGTAGGCACAATTGAATGCTCTGTTTGGATTTCGATATCGACTGATGTAATGGGAGGAGGCTGGTACATTGTGGAGGTGAAATGCTCGATCGATCACTCATATTGTTGATTCTTGGTGTTGTTGGTGGTATTGGCTTCAGCGCAGGCTAGGGATACTGGGCATTATCTGCATTGATTGTAGTACTGTACAGAGCTCAAGATGGTAATCATCTCTTGGGGGAAAACCTGGGTTCGTGGATTACCTTGCCCACTAGGGCTGATGAGGGTCTATCGGTCAGCCTATTCTGATTGGACCCTACCCCCGATTGTTTAATTATCTAGCTTAACTAGTGGTGGCGGGTATAGCATCGGTCATTAGAGCGATTATTTTCTTATTATACCTCGGCAAGAACCATAAGGGACCGGACCAGACCGGGGACTGGGCTGCACTATGTACAGCTTGGTCCTCGCACCACTACAATCTGGTCTGGTCTTGCGGTCCTATAAATAGAATAAACATAGAAACCCCTATAACATGTAAAATTTATGTAGAACCTATAGGTATTTTTTAGTATTATACTTTTATTCTTTATTAGATATATTCTTCATCGATATATGCTAATTCGTGCTAAAATGGTTAGAAGATAATGTCTATAGAAATAATTTATAAAGATAGTTTCTGTAGAAAAAGTGTATAATTCTTTATCTCTACTAATATTATGGTATCTACTTATAGGGTAGAGGGCCTATCGATTAGGTAAGAAAGAACTAGTATAGTTGCTTTAGAATAAAGACTAATTCTCAAGGAATTAGGAAGAGATAGGAGATATAGGACTTTTTATACTGGAGTATCTTATAAGATACATTAGCGGGAGGGGTATAGATAATATTTCGCACTATAGTTAGTATCTAACATACTAAGATATACTACTATCCTAGAGTAGGGTAGCCCAAAAGTACGGTCATTGTGGTGGTTATATTGTTGGTTGCCTGAATGTCAAAAATTGCTTAACACATCGCATATGCGCATTTTGGCCCTATATAAGGGGTATCGGTCTTAGGGAGAGCTTACCTAAGAGTCTAAATGAAACCGCTAACCGCCTTGATATTATAGAAGTTAACATATATTCTTTTTGTGGCCTCTGTCGTGCCTTAAAGTCTTAACTGTAACGGGCTGGCGCCCACTTGGTATCACGTATCACTGTATGTGACCTTTCGCCCCCTTTTGTTTCCTTCTGCTTCTCTTTCCTAGCTTTCTCTCCTTAAGCTTTTTATTAACAGTTCACAGCCTAGTTAGATTAAATCAATTTAGCTATAGCCTTTTATATATAAAAAGCTTCCTTCTCGATTTTTTATTAAAAAGGTTAAGTTATATTAGACCTAGTTAGCTAGTTTATCTCCCAATTTTAGCTAGTTTCCGGTAGTTATATCTAAATATATTAAAATTAGCCCTTTTTTGCTATTATCTAGCAACTCTAGTAGTAACTTATAAATTAGTAACATTAACTAAAGGCCCTTACACCTACCCCCCTTAGTTTAGACTACTGGATCTGCTACAATTTGATAGGAAGCTATATATAAAGGGCTATAGCTAATTTGATTTAACTTAACTAGGCTATAAACTATTTATAATAATCTTAGAGAAAGGGAAATAAAAGGGGTAGAATAGTGTTACAGAATCTACTTATAGGGTAGAGGACCTATCGATTATGTAAGGAGGAACTAGTATAGTTAAATTAGGATAAAGTCTAATTCTTAAGGAATCAGAGGAATATAGGAAAATAGAGGACTTTTATACTAGAGGAGATACTCTGGTATAGGGTATTGGTAGTATTTTGCTATATTAGCACTATATCAATCAATATTCTTATAAAGCTGCCTATAGCGAGATTAGATAGCTTACTACTATTAGACTAAAGAAAGTAGTATAAATATAGTAAATAATAAGATAAATAGGATAAATAAAAATAGTAGAAAAGAGAGCTAGGGAGTTACTACCCCTATAATCTAATATCCCTATATGTTACGGGGTCTACTTATAGGGTAGAGGGCCTATCGATTAGGTAAGGAGGAACTAGTATAGTTAGATTGAAATAAAGACTGATTCTTAAAGAATCAGAGGAATATAGAAAGATATAGGACTTTTATACTAGAGTAGTCACTCTAGTATAGAGTAGTAGTAGTATCTCGCTATATTATCGGTATATAGTAGCCGAGGTATACTATCTTCCCGAAGTAAGGTAACTCGGGGCTACTTAGATAGAAGATAGGGGTCTTACTAGGGGAGTCGGTATATTAGATACTAGGCTATATAATCTCGCTCGAGTAGGGGTACTTATTTTATAATAATTATACTTTCTCTAGTAATATATATCTCTAGGTACGCTAAAGATTATATTATCTAAGATTACTTATATTACTATATATTAAGACTATAAGTATTAATAAGGATTATATAGATTAGAGGTAGCGATACTTAACTAAGATTATATATATTAATATATATTAAAGATTAGATCTAGTAACTAAGATTATATATCTAGAATTATAGATATTAATAAAGACTATCTAGATTAAAGGTTATAATACCTAACTAATATTATATATATTAATATATATTAAGGATTAGGTCTAGTAACTAAGATTATATATCTAGGATTATAGATATTAATAAAAACTACCTAGATTAAAGATTATAATACCTAACTAAAATTATATATATTAATAAAAGAGAGTCTTAGTTCTTAAATTAATATAATTCTCTAAGCTTCCTAGGCTTTCTTTTTTTTTATTATCTCTCTATTTTTTATTTTATAGTAGTTATATTATCTTCTTTTTCTATTATTTCCCTATTTCTATTTATTATATCTTTATTTATTTTTTACTAGGTAATATCTTTTTACTATATCTCCTAAGATTAAAGCTAAAAACTATACTATCTTTAATATACTAATTAGGGCTAAAGTACTATAGTATATATATTATCTATATACTATAATTAGCTAATATAATCTAATTAGTAATTAGTTAATAGAGATTAACTATATCTTAGATACTATAGCTTTTATTTTATATTACTAATACTATACTAGGAACTTAATATATATTCCTATAGATTTTACTATATTCTTTTTAGATAATAGTTATTAATAAAATAGGCTTTTATTAGTATTTTAGGTAATACTAATAATCTAGGTTTTCTATTAGATTAAGCTAAATATTTTTAGACTAATAATAAGATTAATAATAATAATAAAGACTTTTTTTAAACTATTAGTATTTAGTAAGAGATAGCTAATATTATAGTAGATTTATATTAATCTTTTAATAATATAAAGATTATTTATTAGGTCTATTACTCCTAGACTAATACTAAATCTAAGAATAAGATAAATCTAGCTACTATATAGATTTTAATAATATTTAGCTAATAGTTTAGTAAAAAAATATTATAGTCTATAAGGTTTTTATTATAATCTATTATATTAAACTTACTAATATCTTTTTTTTTATTAGATATCTCTAAAGTTTTTTAGTATAATTTCTATTCTAAAAAACTACCTAGGCTTTTATCTAGTAATAAAAACTATATAATCTAGTCTTAAAAGAAACTAGTCTTTTTTAGCTATATTTAGTTAGTAATCTATAAATATTTCGAGAATAAAAAAAAAAAGAAAAAGACTTAGTTATTTATTAATATTATAAATACTAAGTTCCTAGTAATTTTATCTTATATTTAAATAGGCTAGTCTAGATAGATTTCTTTTTAAAGATCTTTAGAGATTTTAGTATAAATATCTATAGTTTCGATAAAGAATAAGTAGTTTATAGTTTAATAATACTAATAGAATATATATTTATCTCTTAATCTTTTACTTCCTAAATTTTTTAATAAGATCTTATATATTCCCTATATTATCTTAGGATATCTATTAGTTATATTTAGATAGCTAGCTTTTTTATTTAACTAAGAAATAGATTTCGTTTTTAATAATATATTTATTATAGATTTCTTCTATTTTATATTTATTATTACGCTTAAGTTCTAGTATTAGTATTATTTTATTAGTATTTCTTTTATATTTCTTCTATAGTTCTAGATAGGAAATATAGAAGATATTATAGATATAGTTATATTAATAGGATAAACTTAGGTAATAAGCTTATTTTCCTATAATCTTAATAATTCTAAAAAGGCTAATAAAATATAGAGTAAGTTTTTAGTTTATTTTTAACCTAAGAGTCTTTATAGAGAATCTAACTAAATCTTTTTTCTTAAACTATAGAGATTTATATTTATAATTATAGTTTTTTATTATAGATTCTATTATTTTTTACTAGTATTTCTATAGTTCTTAGTAGATTTTTTCTAGTTTCTTAATTTTTATTAATATAGCTAGAATCTCTTTTTATATAATATTAGTCTTAATATAGCTATAGAAACTAGATAAATAGCCTAGTAAAATTTAGAAAAATAAATAGTAATTATATTTATTATATTATTATAAGTAAATTTAGCTAATTTTAGTAGTTTTAGCTATATAATTTATTCTTTATTAATAAAATAATAGAGATAATATTTAAAGATTTAGTTAATCTACTCTATTTAGTTATTAGTTTATAAATAGAATACTATTAATAATCTTAAATAGATATAAAAAATATAGTAAAATTATAATTAGAATCTACTAATAAATAGTAAACTATAATCTAATATAATATTTTTTAATAGTCTAAAATAAAGTTTAATTTCTATATAGAATAATTTAGCTAGTTCTCTAGTAATAATTACTATAGAGATAAATAGGAATATTAATTATTTTATAAATTAATTAATAATAACTAATATTATATTAATAATTTTATTTTAAAAGATTATAGATAGTAAATCTATAATAAAATCTATAGATAGTTTAAT